TAGGATATCTTCAGAATCAGCATTTTTATGAGAACCAATAAGACTAAAATTCCTTGTAAAATTTACCCATGTTAATTTATGAAGTATTCATTTGAATGATTAGTATTTGGATAATTAGTATTTCTCATCACAGTAACTTTTATATAGGGTTCATTTTTGTTTAACTCTTCATTATGAATTGGAATGGCTCTCTTTTACATATACTTATCAAGGTTGGAATTCTTGTATCTGAATTAATTGAATTTAAACCTAGGAGAAGAGGGTTCTCTTCGACTATGATTTTATAAATAAAGCATAATTTCTTCATCTTAATTGAATGATCTTGAAGTAAATGCATTCATTCTAAAAAAACTTTATTATTATTCTCCATTAGAATAAAAATTTAGAAATTAATTAAATTGTTATGAGGATCTAATTTCTAAAAATTATTATATATCTAATAATGGAATATTAAATGGGGAAAGTAAATTATTATTTTAGTTATTGTTGTTGTTGTTGTTGTTTGAATTATTATCATTATTATTATCATTATTATTATCATTATTCATTATAAAAAATAATGAAATATATTAATAATTTATTTAATTTAATGGGTAATTTGTGTAAAAAAGAACAAAATCCAAATAGTTCTTATAGATCCTCTATTTACTACGAACCAAGAAAAGGAATCTGTATAAAAGAGACATTAATTGAACGATATTTGTTTGATCGACGCTAAAGTCTTTTAGTGCCAAGTTTGAGTAAATTAATAATCAAAGAAGAACTTGGTTAAGAGACTGGTACACCTAAACCAGATGAAAGTTTTATAAAAGGTAGTCATTTTACATCTTGTACATCAAATTTAAGAGAAAGTTCTATTACAAATAACACAATCTAATTGTTAAATGTAAATTCTCAAAGATATCTCCACTCTCACAGAATTCGATATCCTAATTCTCGATTGAATGAAGTCATATGTTGTTAAGATTGTGGTAATGATTATGATAATTGGTCAGTCGAAAATGTTGATGAATCTTTAGTTAAAGTACTCATTTAGCTTTTAAAATGATAGTTATATCATCCTCTTACTAAATGCTACTTGAAAACTCAATAAAAGAGTAGTAATGGTTAAATCGATGTCGGAGGTGGTGAAAATGGTGATATTTGGTAAATTGAAAAAATCAATAACAATATAAGTAAATTCTATAATTATGACTTAGAAATACGACACTTAGACACTGGATATTATTTATAAACTAATCTCTACGAATACAAGCCTGAAGGTTAATTCATAGTTTCATTACTCAATATTGATTCTGGTAAACCTGATGATACTTGTACTCTTTGGAAAGTAATTGAAATTCAATGATAATGTTTTATTTTATATCAAAAAGTTGATTATCAACTTCTTCTCATTCTTCTATCTCTTTTTGATGGATCCTATCCGTTTCCAACACAATTTTAATCTTAATATGTATAAATGTTTGGGTATGGTTATTTATCTTCAGCTTTTCTATTCTCTTCTGTCAAATGATCAGCAAATTTCTAAAAGATATAATAGTTCTAATTACTGATAAATGTTTTCTTGCTTAATTAGCAGATGTTTCTTCTTTTTTTTATCCACCCAAATCAGTGTTAGGTAAACATGATTCACCTTAAAGTTATATAAATTTATACCTGGTTTCATAGATAAATTATGACCTAATTAATGTTTAGTATGTCTTAAATGTTGATGTCTTGCTTGAATAACAAAAGCAACTAATAATATGAAAATTATTTGTTTAATCATTAATATATATATATTATTATTCTTCATCAATTTAAAATGCAACTCTCATATGTTGGTATCATATATTTTATGTTTATATAAGCATCCTATTAAATTATCCATCAATATCTTACTTCTCCTCCTGTTTATTCAAATAGTTCAAGTGTTTCTTATATCAAATCTCCAATAATAACTCTTTTTCTTTGATTATATTCAATTTTATCACCTAAATTTAAATTATTATTTTTATATAAGTTCATTATTGGTAGAAGTTATCTATAATAAGGAACTTATAAATTAATATAAATAATTTACCTAATGCTTCACCTACCATCTCTCCACTTAATACAAGTTTTTATAAAACCTTTAATTATACTTCCATAATGCTTGGATCTCTTGTATTTAAATTAGCTATCAATAATAAACAAATGCAATTACTTTTAATTGGAATAATTAATTATGGAATTACAGGTAATATTTTATTACCTCCACTCTCCAATAAACCATAAGTTCCCAATATAGCTAAAAATCTATAAGGATCCATTTTTTCCTTTAGTTTTTAATAAATTTATCATACTCTTAATCCATCAAAAAATATTGGCAAATAGTGATGATAATCTAATTATTCTGGTGATATTTTCCATATAATTCTATTAACGCTTCCTTAATGATCAACCTATCAATATAGCTTTATTCAAATTACTTTTATTGGTAAATCTCCTCTATCATAATATCTCCTGAAATCTGAAACTGTAATTACTCTTTAATCATAAGCTCCTGCTTTTGGTGGTGCTGGCTTATACTCATCCTTCTTTTATAATTATGAACTTGATCTTCCACCTGTTCCTTGATGAGTCCCTTAATATTTATCTATAAATGCTTAAAAGCAATTCTTACTAGTAATTAGTGCATTTTGAGAAGTTTCATGAACAGGTTCAATTACTTTTTGTTAATTAGCTTTCTCCTTTGGGATGTATTCTTTTGGAAAATCACCAAATGGAGAATGAGGATTCTTTGGAGCATAGGGTGTCTTCCATGCTTTGTAATTCTAAAAGTCATTAAATACTAAAATACTTGATTTTCTTGTTTTTTTAGTATATTTTTTAAATGATCTTCAACTATCTGTTAAGATGCCAAATTTTCTTTTCTTCCAACAGATTATCCTTGAATTTTGGGTAGCATTTAATTATTTAATTTTTATTTATGCAATAATTCTAAACCTCAATCCTTCATAAAGACATACTCTTTTATGTAGAAAAAAACATTAGAGTTAATCTTTTAAGTTTAGGTTTACTAAAAAATCCTAATGTATATAAATACAAATTATAGTAAATTTAGAATATTATTATTGAGAATTCAAAAAGACATTTAGTTTATTAATATGGGAATCTATATAATATAGAATTAATGTATTAATATACATTTTGATGATATTTCAAAATGATTGACTCTGATAAAATAAATAATAAAATTTTTCTCTAATAAAAGATTCTATTAAGTATAACTTTTATGATGAAAAAATTCTAATAATATATTCAGAAACATATATTGTTTAGTCAGTTCAACTGATAATCCCTAAACTATTTCAAAGATTAAAAAAATGAAAAAATAATCTATCAACCTGTATTAATTACAATAAGAACATTGCTTTATGTGATATTGGAATGAATATCTATATCAATTATTGAATTTCTTTCTTGTGTATAAATTAGATTATAAAAAAACTAAATTATTCTTTTTTTTATTAAAATTACATAAATAATTATGTTCAAAGTCAAGATTCTCCAATTATTTGATTCCTTTGTGTTAAATAATCTTGGCCCATACTATAGGAGAATTGGAAAAAGTTTCCTCTCCTAAGGAAATGATATGCTCGGAAGCGAAGCTAGCGATGATCGTTTAGTATAGTGTTTGAGATAAGTACAATCTAATGGTTAAACTCCCTAAATTAGTGAAGCATTATTTACTGCCCCTAATTCAGTTTTAATTGGAAATGTTATCCTTAAATAGAAGTACTCTAAGAAATGTTGATCATTAGTTCCTCTGTCTGGTATGGTGCTACTTTACGTGCTGATTAAAATGCTATAACAGTAGGCAAGAATGCTTTAATATAAGATAATGTCTATGTAAAAGCAACATAACCAGTGACTTTAGGAAATAATTCTTATGTAGGACCAAATTCAAATTTATAAGGATGTTTAATTGGTGATGATGCATTTATTGGAATGGGATCTACAATTAAATAAGGTGCTTCAGTTTAAGGAATTGTTGCAGCTGGATCTCTTGTACCAGAAGGCACTCAAATTAAACAAGGAGAAGTTTGGGCTGGATCTCCTGCTAAATATTTAAGAGATATCACACCTCAAGAATTATAAATCCTTAGAGAATATAAATAAGAATTAATGGAATTAGCATAAGTTCATGGTGAAGAAACATCAAAGAGTTTCAGATAAGTAATTTCTATATTAATTTTAGATTGTAATTGATACAGATGAGAGATTATTAAAATAATAAAGGGGAAATGAAGAAGAAGCTCTGTAGAAAATTGCTGAATTGAATTTCCCTTTAGAATATGAGGATGAAGAATTTATTGAATAAAGAGTGTTTATGAAATAATAACCTCCTATGTTCATGGATTCTGAAAATCTTTTTAGTCAACAAGATTAATATGAATAAGATCTAAATTAATTTTCTGAAAGTATTCATAAATCCGAATCTCCTAGATATATAAAAATATGGTGAAGATTATTAAATTTATGAAGAGGCTAAAAAGTACTTTGAATAAAACCCATAAGCTAAAGCTAATCAATTCCAACAAAAATCTGAAATTCCTGATGATTAACCATGGAGTAGAAAATATTGATTTATTAGACATTAAATAAAAAATTGATCAAAACCGATTATCTTATCATATATTCTATTTTGTTTTAAGTAATACTAAAATTGTATTTAATAATATTTAAAATTAATATATCCAAATGATCCTAAATTTATAATTATTAATGAATAAAAATATTTAAATTAATTTAATAATCCTAGAATGATCTATTAATTAATAATATGATTTTTTAATCTTTATTTTGAAAGTATAATCAACTGATAATATAATAATTTTATATCTATTACGAATACAATAAGATAGTACATAAGTATTCATATTAAAAATAAATACCTAAAAATATTCAAAACTAATTAAAAAAAAAAATAAATTCTATTAATGGAATTTTTTTGAAAACATTGTTAAATCAATACATCATTTATAATTGTGAGGTGTAGCCATGAAATTAACTAAACCAGTTTCCTGATCTTTTTTATACTTTCTAAATGCACTTGGACTATATCCACCAATACCAAATTTACTAGTTGGTGATTTATAATCCTTTTAAACCTCAAAAGCATCTCCTATATTTATTTCTAAATCTGAATCTTAAGTAGCTAATTAATTAAATATATATTTATCAGCATTGGCATCTATATATAATTTTTTAATTTACTAATTTTTTATTGTAATTGATAAGCAATGGTATCAAGTGTTTTCTCTTTACATTAAGTATAAGGTTTGGTTATAACAATTGGTACAAAATTTTATTTACTTACTGGATTATCATCTTACAAACCTTATTCTTCTTAATATTGAATTATAGGTTTCTAAAAGAATATCTGTCTTGGTGTTAATACAGAGAAAGCTGGAGTCATTTAATGATTATTAGGACTATTATTTCCTTAATAATCAAAAATGTATTGTTAATGATAATTGTTAGATGATTATTACTATAAAATAATTAAAAAAGGAATTTACTTCTTCATTATCCTGTTGGATTTCGAATTCATCTCGAATAATATTGAATAGTGGACCTTTTTTAGTTCTAATACATATATCTATATAATCTTCTTTATCAATATGCTTTAATATAATGGAAATTCTACCACTTTCTTTTTTGCATTTAATCTAGAAGATCTCTTAAGAGGAACATAGTTACTTATTTCTTCGTATTTATAATCACTAGTATAATCATCATCATCTTCATCATCATCAATTCTGCTTTTTCTCTTTTTATGGTTTTTCTTCTTTAATTTTAATCTACTTTCTCTTTATTTTGTATAAAGAGTACTTATATTAAATGATAAAAAATACTTAAATTCCATAATTTTATCTATAAGTTATTTGAACTTGTCTTCATTGAATTGATTTATTTGAGATTTCTATTTAGATTAAGCAAATTCTAAGATGGAGTCTTATAATCCTTTACAAGCTTAACATAACTTTTTCATATGATCATCTTTTAATTCAGCTGGGTTCTTTTCTGCAAGTATAAAAATCTTAGACAAGACACCTGGTTTAATATCCTTGATCTGTTGGGTACCCTTTTCTTTGCTAAATATATAATCATGCGAATTACTGTTCTTGTCTCCAATAAGTTTATTGATTCTTCTTAGACTTCTTCTTAAAGTAGAATAGAAATGATTTTTTATTGCATTATCTGTTCGTCCAGGTAACAGTTTTGCAATTTCTGCCTAAAAATTAATTCAACATTTTCTAATACCCACTTATTGCCATGTTCTTTATGTGCAACAAATATCACTTTTTCTTCATTTTCACTCCAAGGCTCTTTATTGATAGTTGGATCAAGATGATTATGATAACGTTCTCTACATTATTTTCCAGACCTTCCTAATAGTCCATAAACTTCTTTCATTTTTTCAGCTACAATTGTCCACTTCTTTATTCCATACTGTTTTACTAATTATAGAATCACCATGTCTTCCTAAAATAAATGAATCTTAAGTTATATACTTTTTAATTCCAAGCCTTTCTATCAGTCATATTTAAATAATTAATTAATTAACTTTATCCATTATTTCACTTAAAAATCTAAAAGAATATCCAAGAATTATCGGTATTTGATACTCTCAAATTAACTTTGATTTTATTATTGAGAATAATTAATCTATATTCTCTTTTAATAAATATATCAATATTGTTGAAATCAATTACATATAGATTTATGAAAACCTAAAAGATATGCTTTAATTGTATATACATAATTATTTATTTATTAAAAGAAAATAAAATCAACAATTACTTAGCATTAGGACTCATTAAGTTTTAAAATTTGATATAATGGAGAGTAAACATGATTATTTTAATTTTAGGCTGTATCAAAAACTTTAGAATAATTCCAATTATATAAAGTTATATTAAGATAGAAAAATCTAAATTAGAATTAGTTTTAAATGCAATTTAATCTATTAAAACTTCTAATCTTAAAAATTCAAATTTAGCTGGCTAAATTATATAAAGAGTTCAAATAGTTCAAAAAAAAACAATTAAGAACAATTTTTTGAATTGAATCCTACAAATAACTATTTTCATGTTCCAAAATCATAAAACTAATTAAATTTCTTTGACTTTACAAACATCCACAATAATTCTGATTAATCAAAAGAGAATCTACCTCTTTTTTAAATTTGATTATTCATTTATTTAATTTACTATAATAATTATTTTTATATTTATATTTTCTTTCAAATTAGTCGACGAATAAATAATATAAATACTTCAATCATTATCTAGTTTACCTATTATTCCATTTAATGGTTTTATGTCAACTTCTGATTTGTCATCACTCATTGAACTCACATTACCTGAAGATGATGAGCTTGTATCTTATTACTTAAAAATGACAATAGAAAGTCCTCCTTATTTCTTCTAAAATTCATTTTTTTATTAAATAGAATGTTAAGTTCCCTCTTTTCCTTCATATATTGCAGGTAATTATTATGTTGTAGTATTTCTGCTTGTTGGATATGCAAAATGTTTCATTGTTGGTTTTCCTTATCTTCCAGGAGACATAATATCTGAAATTGAATCTTCCTTTTTTATTTATTAAATAAATGCCATATCACCAACACTTCCAGCATGTTTTAATTTACTAATTCTTACAGGACTTGGAGATGTACTATTTTTATTTTTAGGTTTTAGTAAATGAATCCAATCAAATTATAATTATAGGTCATTTTGGCCTAATAATTAAAAAAATGGTTATTTCAATATATCATAATTTGGAAATTCATGAGGTGATAGTAATCTAATTGCATGGTATAATTATAGAAATTATTCAGGAAACCCTTTTAGTTCTCTTTCAGGAACAAATCTTTATTTAATCTCATAATAATATTTAAGTTTTTCTGAACGTTTCACATTAGGTTAAGAAGGTAAAAATTTACCTAATGTAATGATGTGTAATAAAATATAGAACAAAGATTCTAGATCATCTCTTGGACAAGGAACTTTATATTCTGATATTAAAGTACATTATTATAAATGCGTGCCTATAGATGAGAATTTATTTATATACAAGTTGAGTTTATTTTTTTTTTTGATTAAAATCTTCCCATTTTTATCCATATATTTTGATGAATATTCNATTTTAGGCTGTATCAAAAACTTTAGAATAATTCCAATTATATAAAGTTATATTAAGATAGAAAAATCTAAATTAGAATTAGTTTTAAATGCAATTTAATCTATTAAAACTTCTAATCTTAAAAATTCAAATTTAGCTGGCTAAATTATATAAAGAGTTCAAATAGTTCAAAAAAAAACAATTAAGAACAATTTTTTGAATTGAATCCTACAAATAACTATTTTCATGTTCCAAAATCATAAAACTAATTAAATTTCTTTGACTTTACAAACATCCACAATAATTCTGATTAATCAAAAGAGAATCTACCTCTTTTTTAAATTTGATTATTCATTTATTTAATTTACTATAATAATTATTTTTATATTTATATTTTCTTTCAAATTAGTCGACGAATAAATAATATAAATACTTCAATCATTATCTAGTTTACCTATTATTCCATTTAATGGTTTTATGTCAACTTCTGATTTGTCATCACTCATTGAACTCACATTACCTGAAGATGATGAGCTTGTATCTTATTACTTAAAAATGACAATAGAAAGTCCTCCTTATTTCTTCTAAAATTCATTTTTTTATTAAATAGAATGTTAAGTTCCCTCTTTTCCTTCATATATTGCAGGTAATTATTATGTTGTAGTATTTCTGCTTGTTGGATATGCAAAATGTTTCATTGTTGGTTTTCCTTATCTTCCAGGAGACATAATATCTGAAATTGAATCTTCCTTTTTTATTTATTAAATAAATGCCATATCACCAACACTTCCAGCATGTTTTAATTTACTAATTCTTACAGGACTTGGAGATGTACTATTTTTATTTTTAGGTTTTAGTAAATGAATCCAATCAAATTATAATTATAGGTCATTTTGGCCTAATAATTAAAAAAATGGTTATTTCAATATATCATAATTTGGAAATTCATGAGGTGATAGTAATCTAATTGCATGGTATAATTATAGAAATTATTCAGGAAACCCTTTTAGTTCTCTTTCAGGAACAAATCTTTATTTAATCTCATAATAATATTTAAGTTTTTCTGAACGTTTCACATTAGGTTAAGAAGGTAAAAATTTACCTAATGTAATGATGTGTAATAAAATATAGAACAAAGATTCTAGATCATCTCTTGGACAAGGAACTTTATATTCTGATATTAAAGTACATTATTATAAATGCGTGCCTATAGATGAGAATTTATTTATATACAAGTTGAGTTTATTTTTTTTTTTGATTAAAATCTTCCCATTTTTATCCATATATTTTGATGAATATTCAAAGTGAGTGAAATATATTTCAGAAGAGAGAGTAGTAATTAGATTTGATAATTTTAAGCATCGATGAATTATATTTAAAGAATGTAATTTTGAGAGATGAGTGATCTAAACTTAGTAAACACAGAATTACCATTTTTAAAGCAATCAAAGCAATTGTCTATATTGAAAACTTACGTTTCATTAATAAAAAACACAATTTCAATGAGGGTCCTGCCTTCTATTGTACAATATAATGATAAGATGTTTCTCCTACTTTGAGAATTCCAAATTGATGAATGTTAGGAGTAATACCATCTTATTTAGAGTATGAATTATACTGTCGCTAGTCTTTTTATATAATCTGCAATAGCATTATGACTGATTAGTAACCTATTTTAATGTGTTCCAAACTATACTATTTATACTAGTATGTCAGCATTTTTTTGATCATCTTTGACTAACACAGCATTATAGTAAACAGAGTTTCTACCAGTATAATAAATAGATGTCAACAGATATTAATCATCAATGATTACAGGTTTATCATTTTTAAACATTTAGAATTTTAATTAATCTAAATTAATTAACTATAATTTAAAATTAGACATATGATATATATTTTAATATACTCATAATTGGAGAATAATTGAATTATTTTAAAGATATTTTATGTATCTATTACTATTTAAAAGAAACGAGATTATTAATTAATTATGACAGACTTTAAATATTTAAGTTTCAGTAAGCTATTTAATTTTAGTTTAAAACAGGAATTTATTAAAGTATAATGTTCTGCTCCTAATTATGGTTATTGATGTAGCAACATTGCTTCTATTTTAATGTGGATAAAAATTTGGGTAAGATTTGTATGAATTTTAGAGAAACTCTTGAATGTGATAAAAAGTATAATTTCATAAAATGTATTATTTTACTATTTATAAAGCATATAATATATTTAGATACTATTTATGAAGTAGAATTATAAAAATAAGCTTTATGATTTCATAAAAAGTATATAGAGTTTATTATTCTAATAAAATAATTAACTATAAAATATGAATATGAAATTGAATATAATAATTGTATATATATCCTAATATGTAATTGAAAGCAATGAATGAAAATTTTTACATAAAACATTTTATCTTGTAAATTGAAAAGACCTAAATTTTTAATTTTAAATACTTTAGAAATAGTTAATTTAATAATGTTATAAAATACAGCTTATTCGATTGGATGGCTTGGATCATAACCAATCATTTCAATTTCATTATTGCGATATCTTGTTAAAACAGATGTTGCTGCTCTTTATGCTTCTTAGTTTTTCCTTAGACTCTGGTGTATTGTTGCTTTTCTAATAGCTTTTATTTAGTAAAATACTTAGTATTAATTATCATTAGCAAAATTTTGAGTCTTCAACATCCAACTAAGAATTCACCTCATGAATTAGCTTAACCATTTCGGTTTTCATTTTCTCTTGTTTTCACTTGTGCAATATTTGAATTCATTTAATTAGCATTAACAATTCACGCAGTAACAATCGTATAAAATATCAGTTAGCCTATTACAGCATTGTTCATTATTTAGCACTTTATTAATTATTTAGAGCTTTCTTTAGAAGTTGGATCAACAATGTAACTCCAAATACAATATTTTGTTCATTTTTATTAATGGGTTTAGTCTATTTATTAGAAGATTGGTTAGTACTCATTCCTGGTACTGCTTTTTAAAACAAATATATATCTATTAAAAAATCATTTGATTGGTAACCTCTTATTATGGTTATTGGTGCTGCAGCTTCTCATACTTTTGGAATTTGGATGTTTAAAGTTTTGTCTATGAAAATGCATTAAACATAAAAAGCTTTTATTGATAGAGTTTCTTGGTCTAATTATATAGCAGATGAACCTGATAAAATTACTTATAGCTTATGTGTAGTCAATAGTTTATTTTGCAAATATTTAGAGTGTTAATTAAGAATTCATTGTGAAACTAATTCTATGTAAATAGATGGACTTTCTTAAAAGGAATTAAGAGCATTAATAAAGGATTATTTTGATAATCATTTAACTTACAGTTTTTAATATATGGAGTAATTCAAAATATTTAATTTCAACAAAGAAGGTAATTTTGATACAATATCTGATAAGCCATTGATGATCCTGCCATATATAAAGAAGAAGACACTTTACTAAGAAGATTAATTAAGGAGAAGATATATGAAATCTAACTTTAACATCAATAATATAAAGAATTATTTGGATCAGATAAATACCTCAATCTCTAATTTGAAATTCTATTTGAAGATTATGGTATTCATGAATATATATGGGATGATGAAACTCCTTATATTTAATTGATAATTTCATTTTTTGAAGGAATCTTTTGTTTTTGTGCAGCTTTCTTAAATCATGAATATGATGATTTATTTTCTAATGGATATGATGTAAATATGTCTCATATTTAATATTATGTATGGATAACTATATTTTTGGGAGTTTTTTAATTGATAAAAATATTGTAATATTTAAAAAAATTAATATAATAGTTCATTTAAATTAATGTTCTTATGGAATGTATAAACTTATTTTTTTAGTGGAATTTTCACTGAATTATTAGTTGTGTATATTACAATGCTTTGGATTGAACCAGTTGGATATTTATAAATGTTAGGCTTAATATTATCCTATTGTATAATGTGTGTGTTGTATAGATCTGCTGAAAAAGTGAGAGATCAAAGTAAACTACTTATATACTTTCATTAGAAAATAAATTATTCTATCTGAGTTTTATTACTTTCTTAATAAGAGTACAAAAATTTACAATCAGAGAAGGATCTTAAATAATTCAAATGATGTCTCTATGTGCAGAAAGATTAAGTCTCAATGAATTTTTAAAGGTTTTAGCTTAAATTCTTTGTACTCATGGAATAGTTAGTTATGATTAATTAAGATAAATTAAATTTAGTCATTTTGGATAGAGTCCTTTTTTTTAATTTTAGATTCCATTTATTTTTTAATCTTAACTTAGATATGAAAATAATATTGAAGATCCATATCTTCCTGAATTTGATGATGAATAACCACTTAGAGAAGAAGATAGACAAACTAAATTTGAGAGGTAATTATAAATTCTATTATAAAGATATGTTATTGATAGTAAATATGAAAATGAAAAATAATAAATGAAAGATGAAGTCAAATAGACAGTAATGGAAATTAGAAAATTGAATAAATCAAAGATAATTTAAAGTAATATCTAATAATCAAGAATTGTTTAAAATGATGAACATCAAGAATGAATTTCATGAAATAAAATTGATAATTCTAATGAATATTTTCATTAATCTATATATATTTGTCCATTACCAAATGATTATTAAATTGCTCCTTCAATAAATAAAAATTCAATAGGTCTACTTCTCATACATTTATTAGTAACTGTATATGCAGTTGTTCCATTTTCTTAAATTAAACTCAATGATCCTTTTTCAGGTAAATGAATAGATAAAACTTCAAAAGGTAATCCAAAGAAAGTTACATTATCTCCTGGACATGATTTTGCATGTTAACCCTTAAAATTGCATTCACTAAAAACATAAATACAACCATCTTAAAATGTAGTTACTTTTTCATTGCTATATACTTTCTTTTATGTTATACTATTCTCAAAAAGATGATAATCTGGTTTTTCTGTAGCTCTTACTGCATTTGGATTTGGTTAATCAATAATGTACATTGATTCAATAAATTTAATAGTATGATCTTCTGTTTCAGAAGGTGTTAATTTAAGAGCTTCTTCATAATTCAATAGAGATGATAATTATTCTTTTATTGAGTCATCTGAACTTCTTCCCAAAAATGTAGGTAATCCTTTTTTTTTAATTGTATATATTTCTGTTGATAAATCCTTTTGTTATTTCACATGCTTTTATTTCTCAAGAAAACTATCTTGAGATGTCACTATAACAGACAACAGTACTAATATGTATATTTTTTACATATTAATAAAAACGGATTTATAATATATATTATATATATGTCTTCTTAATTGAATTGTTTACAATTATGTATACTATACTCTTTTATATTATTACTCTATATGTATCTTTATGAAAAATAATATTTATATAAAAATTAAGGATGCTAAATTTTGTTTTGGGCATAGAATAATTTTCCAATTATTCTATTCTAAATGTATAGATGATGAAAATAACAAATTTATTTTATTTTCTACAATGTCTACTAGAAATCCATATAATGAAGAAATATAGAGAAAATTAATTGAAATAGTAGATACATATGGAGGAAAAAAGTGTAAAAGTTGGACTTAAGTTGCTCGTATTTTTGAATTATAGACTGGAATCAAAGTCTAAAAAACTTTTGATTTAAAAAAAAAGTTATTAAATTTTGTTATCATAGATGGGAAATGTTTACTAATTATAAGGAAGATTTAACAAAGATTGAACTAAAAACTTTGTATGCAACTGGAGTTAGATGTAGAGGACATCACAAAGCAGGAAATGAAGAGTTTTTTAAATAGACTGGTAAAAAGTAAATATTTATTAAATTATTTAGATTGTATGTAAATCAATATAGAAAATTGGTTGGTAATTTCTTATTATCTGCTATTAAATTATTAAGTTAATCTTATGTTAATCCAAAAAAAGTTAAATGTAAATAATAAGGATAAGAAAGATTTCATAATAGAATAGGTTATGTCTCTATTCATATTCTATTAAGAGCTGTAGAAATTAATAAGTATTTGGATGACTATATGGTTTAAGAATTGAAACATTCAGCTTAAAAGTTTGAATAATTATTATTAATACATGCTGAACATCATGAAGATGAAAGAATTGCTAGATTTTCATAGTATCATAAAGTAATTAACAGAAGAGAATTTAAAAAGATTTAATTTTTTCTTGATTATGTTAATGAATTAAAATAAATTAGCATCAATTTATATACAGAATAAATAGGTAGACATCCATTATTGTTTCCTTAAATTGATTAAAATAAATCATCAAAGATTTATGAATTATTGATTTGGGGAAATGATTGGTAATCAAAATACAACTTATTTTAAGAGTGTGCAGCCAAATCTGATTGGGAAGAATATTCAATGTTAATTAAAAAAACAAAAAAAAATGAAGAAAATAAATAAATCAAAAATAAATAATAATAATCTTCTGAAATTATTAATGCAGAAACTATAGAACCAGAAACTAAAAAATTAAAATTAAATTCATATGATTTAATATCTACAGCTACACATAAGGTTTGTAATAATGCATCAAAATAACAAATTAAATAATTAGATAAATAAGAATTGAAATCATTTAGAGGTCATTATTATAGAGATGGATAAATTAGAACAAAAGGATTAACTACAATCTTATTTGATACAGATATGAGATCAGATGAGGATGATTAGGATCAATATTAAAATATAGAAGAACATAGAAAAGAGTTTTTTGATAAAATGGAAGAAATATATGATTGTGTCTTTGGAGGAAAGGCTAGTTTAGTCTCATTTGAAAAGAGCTTACAACTTCCTAATTGAATTTCTACCATTTTCATTAATTTCATAACATCAATTTTTTTTAAAGCAAAACTTATTTTTAAGGTTTTTTTGATATAAATTCTATTCATTATAATCATATGATTAATTCTTATATGGAGTTAACATTAAATCTCAAATTTATGAATATTAGCATACCATGTTACAGATTAAAAATCTTTGAAAAAACGACATTATAGTAGATTACAAGGGAAAGTAACACCTAATAAATACGAACGTATTTTTATATGTGAGTATAAAGGAATGAAACAAAATAATTTTGTAATTTAGAAATAAAATTATTTTTAAGAAAATAGTAAATTCTTCAATCTTTTTAAAGAAAAATATTTTTATATTAGATTATATAATGTGTAATGTAATTTATTAAAAATGATATTAAATTCAATAAAAAAATCATACGTCATTATAAATATTTCATCATATATATATGTCACATAAATTTATATCATAAGATATATTAAAAATAGTGAAAGACAATGGCTGATTAACTTAAGCAAAGACCAGAAGGAGGAAAATTCTATGGATTTGATCATATTCATTTTTGGGTTGGAAATGCTCTCCAAGCAGCATCATTTTATGTGTCTCGTTTTGGATTTCAATATTATGCTTATAGGTATATTGATATATTTAATTGAATAGAGGACTAGAAACAGGAATAAGAGATGTAGTAACACATGTTTTAAGAAATGGGGAAGGAGTGTTCTTTGCTTTTTCAAGTCCTTATGGTCCAGAGAATGTAATAATGAACACTCATTAATCTAAACATGGTGATGGTGTTAGAGATGTTGCTTTTAGAGTTGAAGATGCAAGAGCTCTTTATGATAAAGCAATTGCTAAAGGAGCTAAATCAATTAGACCACCAACAGAGGATAAAGATGAACATGGAAGTGTTATTTTGGCTTCCATTTAAACCTATGGTGATACTATTCACACTTTTGTTCAAAGAAATGATTACAAGGGTTTCTTTTTACCTGGATTTACAAAACATCCAAAGGTTGATCCTATTAATACAATTCTACCCCCAGTTGACTTTTTAGTGGTAGATCATGTTGTTGGTAATCAACCTGAACATGAGATGGTTCCAGTTGCTGAATGGTATGAAAAAACATTGGATTTCCACAGATTTTGGTCAGTTGATGATTCTATTCTTCACACTGATTATTCATCACTTTAATCAATTGTGGTTGCAGATTATGATGAAGTGATTAAGATGCCAATTAATGAACCTGCTCATGGAAAAAAAGTATCTTAAATTTAAGAATATGTTGACTATTACAATGGACCTGGAGTAATTATATTTTTAATAATTAAGGTTTAACATATTGCATTGAAAACAGATAACATTTTAAAAGAAGTAGAAGCAATGAGAGCTAGAGGACTTGATTTCCTTTCTATTCCTGATACTTATTATGATAATTTAAGAAAGAATATCCCTCATATGAATTTCAAGATTGCTGAAGATATTGATTTAATTCAAAAGAATAAGATCTTAGTTGATTATGATGACAAAGGTATTCTTATTCTTTATATATTTAGGATATCTTTTATAAATATTTACTAAACCTTTAGAAGATAGACCAACCTTATTTATAGAAATTATCTAAAGAAGAAATCATTCAGGATTTGGAGCAGGTAATTTCAAATCCCTCTTCTAATCTATTGAACTAGAATAAGCCATTAGAGGAAATTTAACAGACAACCCTAAATATAAAGCTCCATATTGAAAATTTACAAAAATTATATGTAAATTTATTGTAAATATATCTTTATAATTATAATTAAATTGCCTTTTAAGTGCAATACTATCTCAATTAAGATCTGAGAACTCTTCAATAGTTCTTTTATTTTTTTTTTATTAAATAAATGGTCTTTCAATCATCTATTATTCTAAAGAACTTTCAGGCTCTTATTAATTAGAAATTTTCTTAACAGGAGGAGGACCAAATCCAATAATTGGCATATTCATTGGTCGTCCTTAAAAGTTATTACCTATTTATTATTATTTATTTGAAGATTATTTATATCCTGTGGTTGAATCTTCTTAAACGAGAGGGGATTATTTTGCAAAAGCATTTTTAATTTCTTAAAAATTAGATCTTTAATTTTAATCCTCAGAGACAACATTCTTTTTTTGTTCATTCTATTATTGAAATTTATTCTAAATTGTTTATTATTATTTTTATTCATCCCCAGGTATTTTATTTTGAACACTTGGTTTACTAAAAGCTACTTGATTTTATGACTATTTATCATTCTTCAAAAAAGGATTATTAGCAAGTTTAGTTTAAAATGGGGCAGTCTCTATTTAAACTTATTGTTTAGGTGGTTACTGAATTTAATTTATATCATCTAATTTAGAAGTATTAGATTGCTATTTTTCTAATTATATCTAATTTTTATTCTGCTCAGTTTATGAAGAAGATTCATTAGAAATTGTTTAACTTTCAATCTTTCTTATTGAGACATTTGATTAATCTGATTAATTTGTAGTTTAACTCACCTATATTTATGGTGGAATTTTTTCTTCCAATTTTTTCTACTAAACACTTGATTTGACAGCTCCTTAAAACTTCTCTTAAACTTGATTATTGGGTCCTGAAAATTTCTTCATTAGGTCCGAAACTTTGTTTTAATTTGATGGAAGCTATTGAGAATTACCTATATATTTAATAGGATATTAAACAACTTTAAGTGTGTTCTTTTTTCATAAATTAACAATTGCGACATTTTTGTTCTGGTCCCATTCTTGTATCAGTCATATCCATAACAAACTTATTGCATACTGATTGCATTATTTAATTATCAAATAATAATTTATTACACATCAATTATTTTGATAGAATTACTTTTTAAGGTATTAAATAAAGATATTCTAATAATAAACATATTGATTTTAGTAGTTCATTTTCTAGATTATTTATAATTCAAATAATAATTGTAATTATTATAGTTTTGTTAGAATGAATGTAGATATATAGATAAAAATACCCTTTTAGATAATCTATTTTATTAATTTGTATCATTCTTATAATTTAAACAAATAGTTTTAATCTTACAATAAACAATTTTATTATACGAAAAATAAAGTTAAAAATTATATTCTTTAATAAATAATATTAAATAATTATGTCAGAATAGGATTACTCACAATTTTTATTTGAAAAACATGATCAAGACAAATTCGATAAATATGAAGAATTAGTAGATTGTAAAGGATTTAAGCTTCCAAATGATAAGAATTAAACTAAATATTTATTAGATGAGGATGAAGGGTATATAAATATATAAATTAATATAGTTGGTGTGATTTAAATGGATGTTACTATAATTCTCTAGGCCAACCAAGTGGATGGATTATATTGTCAAAGGATGGTAAAAAATATATGAGATTTAATTAAAACAGGGAATTTATTGAAGAATAAGAAAATAAATATTATTAGAATGAATAATTTAATGTAACACATTTAGTATAAAATTAATAAAAACAAAAAAATTTAAATGATTAAGAATAATAATAATAAAAATAATAGTCTAAATAAGAAAATAGAAAATAATAAAATTAATCTAATTAATCTAATTAAAAAAATTAAGACAATTAAAGAAAATAAAAATACAATAAATAAAAAGATTAAGAACATGAAAAAGCTAAGATCTAAGATATTTCAGAAAAAGATTAAGAACAAGATTAAGAGGAGGATTTATATGTTGAAAAAATTGATTAATAATTACCAAAAGAACCAAAAAATACAAACGATGATCCAAAAACTAATGATTAAGAAGGACGGTAAAGAAATCAAAGGGATAGAAAACAAAATGACAGAAATAGGAAAAAATAAAACAAGGATGATTAGAATAATAATAATTAGGAAAGTAAGAAATATTATATTTTAAATATAAATGAAAATTCTTTGAGCAAAGAGGATTTTATAAAATTTTTAATAGAAGAGTGTAAAATTAAAGAAAAAAGTATAATAGAATACAATGAGAATATCTTAAAGTTAGCATTAGAAAAAGATGCCATTAAATTATATAGATTGAATAGAAAATAATAAACAGATAAAGTTTAAAAATTCATTGTCTCAACATGAAATTAAAAATCTATATCAAATATTATATTTAATTGATACTAAAAATTTTGGATATGAAAATTTATGCAAATTCTTTGAGTTCATTTTAAATGTTTATTTGAAGTATTTGTATTTCATAAAAACTCAATTGATGATCATATATTTAAATATTCATTATTTGATTTAATATATAATGTAAAAATTATCATTTTTTTAAATAATAAGAATAATTAAATAAAAAATGAAATCCATTTTAACATAAGCGTCGAAAATTCCAAAATATTATGCTGATTTTAATACTCATTAGCCTAAGCATTATTGGGATTATGAAAATTATAAGACTTAATTTGGGTATATATGAGGTTAATTCAGACATCAAGATGACTATGAAATATATGAAAAGATAGGTTAAGGAAGATATTCAGAAGTATTTAAAGGAGTTTCAATTAGAACTCATTAAAATGTCATTATCAAAGTTTTAAAGCCAAATGTACCAGAGAAAATAAATAGAGAAATATTGATTCTCAAAAATTTAAAGAGTCATCCATTAATAACTGAATTAGTAGATGTTGTATAAGATTATAGCAGTTTAAGATAATCTATAATTTTTAAACAAGAAAATTGTATTAATTTGAAAGATATTCGTTATTATGAATCATTAAACCCAATAAAATTTTTAATAAAAAGTGTTCTAGAAGCTTTAGATTATTGTCATTCAATAGGAATATTCCATAGAGATATTAAACCTCATAATATATTAACAAATACTTAATTTTCTTGTAAAAATCATAAATTAAATATAGGTTTTAAATTATTGGATTGGGGATTGGCAGAATTTTATCATCCTAATAAAGAATATAATACAAGAGTTGCATCAAGATATTTTAAATCTCCAGAGATTTTACTTGATTTTAGATAATATCATCATTCAATAGATTCTTGGGGAGTTGGCTGTTTAATGGCTGGTATGATATTTTAAAAAGAACCATTTTTTGCAGGTATTAGCAATGATGATCAATTATTAAAGATTATTAATATATTAGGGTCTGATGTTTTATATACATATTTGAATAAATGGAAAATCAATATGCCTACAAGGTATAAGAGTATCCCATATTCATCTTAAAAGAGATTTGAATTATTTATTACTAAAGAGAATGAACACCTTTGTACACCTGAAGCAATTGATTTGTTGAAACAATTACTTATTTTTGACCATTCAGATAGAATATTGCCTAAAGATGCTCTATAGCATCCATTTTTTCAATGATTCCATAATTATTGTAGAGTAGACTTTAATTTATGTTATTTATTATAATCTGACTAAAATATATTGTAGTGATTTAAACAATATTGGCTTATTCTTCATTATGTTTCTATTATAAATTTAATGAAATAGTCAAAATAATCATAAAATTAGGCTCATGATGATTAATTCTCTGGCTCTAATACTCCTAATGTTCATGGCTTGTTTTTACCATAAACGATGACTATGGGTGTAAAATATTTATTAAATGAAAGTAAATGTCCGAAGACAGAAAGGGAGAAGATCAAAGACTAAAATTAATAAGGGCTTCTACTGATCCATATGAGGCATTTAAGGATGATGACTTTTTGTATCCAACCAAAGAAGATGAAATGTCTCTTTGGCAAAAATATTCTGGAGATTATATATAAGGAATGCCAGTATTACCAACAGGTAAATGTAGTTTATTTTGTAACATTGTTTGTTGTTTTTACTTTCTTATATTTGGCTTAGTTTTTGTTGGAATAGCTGGTAGTATCACAGAAGTAATAATAAATTATATACCTGCAGATTCGATTAAATTATGGAAAGGAATGTGAAGGCAAGTAGCAATGTATTGTTAATTTTGAAATTGAAAAAAATACTTATGGACCATTCTTTTTATATTATGAATTAAATGAGTTTTACACAAGTCATTCTGAGTAATATTAGAATATAATAGATTAGTTTTGCTTAATCAATCAGTCCTAAATAAATGAAAGGTTAAGAATTGACAGATGAAGAGTATGATGTTTTTTGTCCTGATACCTAATCCTTTGAATCACTTTAAAGACCTGTTGGATTCAATAAAAGCTATGCTGGTTTTATGATAGACTTGAATAAGAAAGTAAGTCCTTGTGGTATAGCTGCTAAATTCATTTTTAATGGTATAAATTGCTTTTTAGATATAGATTCCTTCCTACTTTTTGATGTTAATACTGAAACTGCTACCTCGTTAGCTCTCAATTCAACAGGGATTGCATTCTCTGTTGATTTAGAATATAAATATTCAAGAACATAGAATTCTTAATTTAGATAATGGTTGGATCTTGATGATGGTAAAGAATTCTCTTTTTAATATAGAAAAAATAATAAATTGGTTTAATATTCAATCCTTACCCTTAGTTAGAAAATTATATGCTAGATATGATAATGATTTATCAAAAGGAACCTATAGTATTGTAATTTAAAATAGTATATTATAAAAAATTATTTTTTTAGATTATCCAACCTCAATTTTTGGAGGAGAAAAGTTTCTTATAGTTACTACTTTGTCTTCGTTTGGTAGTAAGAATTTTTCTTTTGGTTATCTGCTTATTGCAACAGCAGGTGTCTAGTTTATATGTGCTTTCGTTGTTTATATTAAACATAGAATTGTAGAAAAAAGAGAAAAACATGAATAAAAAATTCATGCTGATTTAAAACTCAAAGAAAAATCCGATTGATAATTTATCTAAATATACATTATTTATTAAAATCAACTAATTTTTCCATTGATATCATTAGAAATTAATCTTTACAAGTTTTTACTATATTGTATGTTTGAATTATTTTTTAGATTAAAATTTGTTATAAATTTAGATATTTATTTTGAATTTGATAAAAAATAAGAGAATTAATGAGAGTTATTATTTAACAAATGAAGTATATTAATGCAAATCTCAACTCTATAATAAATATAAAGTACATCATTTATTTCTTAATCAAGATCAATAGAGTCTTCTAAAATTGCATTAATTGGATTAGATAATACAAATAAATATTAATAACTAAATAAATGTTATATATCATGAACTTGAAGAATTTGAATTAAAAATTTATTAAACAAATATAATATCGATTAGAAATCATTTTATATCTCTTCTGAAATTTTATTAATTTTATAATTATTTTCAAATTTAAATTATAAATATTGTTCAAATATTAAAAATCAAATGCTTATGAAAATAAAATTATCAATAACAAAAAGATTAAGTTGATAGTTAATAGTAAAATGAAAAAATATCAATAGAATTCAGTTTAATTTTGATTAGATATAAATTAATAAATTATTAGAATTATTAATTTAATGTTTTCTCCGCCAAAAGTACATCCATTTGAAGAAAATTATATTTAGAAAGTGCTAATGGATATTGAACGTAGCCCATTATTACAATATGAAACACCTTAAGATCTTTAATTATTGTATTTGATTTTGACATATTATTTAGTAAATCTCAAAGTTTACTATGTGATGATGATCAATAATCACCATTTCAAGCAGCTCGAAATCTACCACTTTAAAGATTCAATTCTGAAGTATTCCATGATTTTTCTGGATGTCAATAATAAATAATAGGAGATAATAATAAATTTTTGAAATAAAGAAAATTTAGAGCTGATTTATCTAAATTCTCTGGAGATTTTGAGGTTATACATTAAATTGGAAGAGGTTCAAAAGGAGTAGTTTATAAAGTATTATCAAAAGTTGATGGATTATATTATGCAGCAAAGAAAGTGCCTTTGGAGGATAATATTCAAACTTTGACATTAGATGGTCAAGTGTAATTTAATTGCTGTTATCAACATTAAGGATTCTTATACATAATAATGGAACATTGTGAATATTCTTTAAAGTAAAGATTAATGTAAAGAGTATATGAATCAGAAATTAGATAGATTATAGTTGATGTATGTGAAGCTCTATAAAATTTCCCATAACCTCATTTACATATACATGGTGGAAATGTTTTATTAAGCAAATAAATGAAATATAAGTTAAGTGATTATGGATATTCAAATAATACAATTCATTAAGCACCTGAGAAAATAAAGAGCAAATTGTCTGATATTTATTAATTAGGTATTTTGATGATGGAATTAATGCTTGAAAAAGAGATTAGTTAAATAAGTTCTTTAATATTGTAAAAGTTCGATAATTTATCATATTATTCAGTATCATTGAAATAATAAATTAAAAAAATGGTATCGACAATTCCTGATCATAGACCTGATATTTAATAATTAATTAATTTTGCAAAAGTGAATTTGGATTAAGAATTGACTTTACTTCAAGAATAAAATGCAGAATTGTAAAAATAGATTGATTAAGTTAAACCTAAAAACAGGAGAAGAATTTAGAGTGAATGATTTTAATTAATAGTTAATCTATATTCATAGTTTTTAAATTATTAAGTTAAAATGTTTAAATCAGATAGATAAAAGTCCGATAAGGAAAGAATATTTACAATAAATGCATCTGGAAAGTCAAATAATGAAGTGTTCCCTACAAATTTCATTAAGACATCAAAGTATAATATTGTAACATTCTTACCTTTATCTCTTTTGGGTTAATTTAGAAGATATGCAAATATTTATTTTCTGTTTATTGCCATAATTCAAAGTTTCCCTATTATATCACCATTAAATCCAATATCTGCAATAGCTCCATTAGTATTTGTATTAGGATTATCAATGATAAGAGAAGGTAAATTATCGTTTGATAAAAAGCTATGGAGGATATAAGTAGACATAAATCTGATAATGAAGTAAATGCTATGGGGTGTACTAAGATAATTAATAACAAATAAGTTAAGACAACTTGGGCTGATGTAAAAGTTGGTGATTTACTATATATATCTGAAAATGAGATGTTTCCAGCAGATATAATAGTCTTAAGTAGTTAATTTGAAAGTGGGGCTTGCTATATAGAAACATCTTCATTAGATGGAGAAAAGAACCTAAAGCCAAAGTCTGCAATTAAAGAAACTTAAACAATATTTGGGTTTAATGAAACTTAATCATAGAATTAAATGAGTTAGAACAACAATTAATAATTCAAAGCCTAAGGAAATCCTCCATCACCAGCATTGGGTGATTTTGAAGGTTCAATTCATTTTCCAAATGGAACAAAAAAGTAAAAAATTTATTAGTATCAAGAGTTTTGAATGGTAAATAATTATTATTGAGAGGAGCATTTTTAAGGAATACAAAATTTATAATAGGTGTAATAGTTTATACAGGAGAAGACACAAAAATAATGAGAAATGCAGAACCTTCAAGAATTAAATAGAGTACTATTGAAAGTACAATGAACAAACTAATATTGGGAATATTAGGTGTTTAAATCATTGCATGTGCATTATCTGCTATTTTATCTTCATGGTGGTTACATAAATCATTTAGCAAACACTTTTATATCATAATAACTGAATAAAATTATACTTTATTATCAGCTATTGCTTTCTTTTCATTCTTTTTACTTTACAATACTATGATACCAATATCCTTAGTTGTATCAATGGAGTTTGTTAAAGTTTTTCAATGTTATTTTATTAATAAAGATTAAGATATGTATTCTTCAAAAAGAGATAAATATGCTAAAGCATAAACATCAACTATTAATGAAGAATTAGGTTAAGTAGAATATGTTTTCTCTGATAAAACTGGAACATTAACTTGTAATCAAATGGAATTTAAATATTGTATAATAGGAGATATTCAGTATGGATAAAATGAAAAAAATAATAATTTACCTTCTCCAAAATAGAATAATCATAATAATAATAATGTATAAGAAGATACTTCTCAATTCAAACATTCAGTTTTTAATTTTCAAGATAATACTTTAACTGGAATCATTTAAGATAAACCAGAATATTAAAATCAATCTTTATAACCAAGAAAATTGATCATTTAATCAAATGATAAAAATTCTATATTAGAAATAAATACATAAAAAGAATTAATACATGAATATCTTATGTTACTTTCTAGTGCTCATGAATGTATAGCCTAGAAAGGAAAAAACTCTTAAATAAATTATTAGGGACCTTCTCCAGATGAAATTACATTAGTAGATGCTGCCATGAATTTAGGTTATAGGTTTGAAGGATAATCTGCAAATGAATAAGAAGTAAGTAATATTATTATAAACTTAGTTTACAATTAGAGGTAAATAAAAGAAAGTTGAACTTCTTTCATAATTTGAATTTGATTCAAATAGAAAAAGAATGAGTGTAATAATCAAAGATAATGGAATTTATAAATTGTATATCAAAGGAGCAGATAGTATTATAAAAGCTAGACTAAAACAAGATTAACCATTCTTAGAATTTATTTAAAATAAATTGTCAGAATTTAGTACTATTGGATTAAGAACTTTATTAATGGCAATGAAAATATTATCAGAATAAGAGTATCTTGCTTTTGAAAGACAAAAGGATGCATTGGCATCATCTGATAAAAGAGAATAAGAAAAGGAAGAATTAGTTAATAATTTAGAAAAAGATTTATATTTATTAGGTGCAACTGCTGTTGAAGATAAATTATAGGATGATGTTCCAGAAACTATTGCAGATTTATTAAAAGCAAATATTAAAGTATGGATGCTTACAGGAGACAAATTAGAAACTGCTGAAAATATTGCTAAAAGTTGTAGATTAATCTAAAATGATTTTATGGTTATGAAATACTCAGAAACAGATCTAAATAAATTAAGAGTTTAATTATCAGAAAATAAATTAACTTATTAAGCTTGTATAAAAGAAAAGAAAAAGAAATCAATCTTAGTAGAAGGAGAATCTTTAGTAATGTTAACTATTAATTAATAATTAAAGAGAGAATTCACAAAAATGGCTATGGGTTGTGATAGTGTTGTATGTTGTAGAGTTACACCTAAATAAAAGGCAGAAGTTGTCCACTTGGTTAAAGATCTTAATAAAATAACATTAGCTATAGGAGATGGTGCTAATGATGTCAATATGATATAAGAGGCACATATAGGAATAGGTTTATATGGTAATGAAGGAATGAGAGCTGTTTAAAGTAGTGATTATGCTTTAGGTGAATTTAGATTTTTATGGAAACTCTTATTAATACATGGTAATTGGTCATATATTAGAATATCAGAAATGATTCTTTATTTCTTTTACAAGAATATGATATTTACTGTCCCTTAATTTTTGTATTCTTTTTATAGTGCCTATAGTGCTTAAACCTATTTTGATGATTGGTATATCACATTTTATAATTTGTTTTTTACTTCCCTTCCATTAATTGCAAGAGCAACTTTGGATAGAAGTGTCTATTATAAAATGAATGTAAGAAATGAAGAATACTCTGATATTTATTAGAAGTCAACTCAATATTTAAAAGGAAAATTCCCTCTTCTTTATTCAGTTGGTTAAAAATAAACCATATTTACTTTACCAAATTTTATATTCTGGTGGGGCTAAGGATTTATTCATGGATTATTAGTCTATTTTATTAGTTATGCATGTTTTGATACAGAATTAGTTAATCTCAATGGATAAAATGCAGGTTTTGCTACTCTTTCGATTACTGCATATACTGCAATTATATTTGTATATTTTATTCATTTATTTTATTAGATTGTTGACATTAAAATTGCAATTTATACTAAATTTTGGACTTTTATTAATATAATCACACTTCTCTTATTTTCAATAGGAATTTATATAGCATACTTTTTTATTTCTCATTATTTTAAGGGTACTTATTCTGAGTTTACTCCTATTTATTTAATTTAATCTCCAAATTTTTATTTGATTATTGCTTTGCTTAATGCTATTATATTTATATTTGATTTGGTTATTAATGCAATTATACATGAATTTTATTCAACTGAAACTGATAAAATAATAAAATGGAGAAGAGATTTTAAATAATTAGCAAGGGAAGGCAATGTATTATAAAAGATTGAAATGTTACAATAAGGAAAAAGAGAAAATGGATAAAGAGACTGGGGAGATTCATTTTTTGAATAAATTTTAGAAGAGAGATTAAAATCTGATAGAGATTAAAATATTGTTGAAGAACAAAGAGCTATTTTAGATTCTAAATTTTAACCATATGCATCTCCAGTAAATCTCAATAATAGTGATCATACTAATAGACAATATTAATAAAAAATAGAATTATAACAAATTCAACTACCTCTATAAAATAATAATAATATTAAAACTATTAATTATTAAATGTCATAAAAACAATAATAAAATTTTAAGAATGTTAATGAAGATAGTAGAATAAATCATCCTTAGTAATAAAGAATTTATGTAAGATGAAAATCTATTGATATTAATTAAATTATCTATAAAGTAATTTATGAATAGTATATTACCATATCAATTTTAATATTATAATAATGAAAAATATGAAAATAATTACACTAAATTCTAACAATTTATAAATTTAAAGTTTGTATTTATTATTAATAATTGTTTTTATTATTATCATCTTTCAATTATGAAATTAATTGATATTATATTTGTTATTTATAAAGATATTATATTAAATAATAAGTTATTTGATTTCAATAAATAATAAGTTAAATTATATATAGAAATTAGATACATAAAATATAAAATTGAGAATAAATATACTCTAAAATTATCATTCCATGATTTATAAAGTAGTTTCTGTCATTTCTCTGAAACTAGTTTTTTTATCCCAATGATATCCATCACCTAATGGTCTTCCTATAGGGATCAACCAAAGGAATGGATTTTTACCAAAATAAAAATTAAAGTTATACCAAAATCCTAAATTATATATTGTTAAATCCGTATGCTTATAAAATTAGATTGAAATTCATACATATTTTCTTTTATTTTAAACTTCTATATTTAAAATTATTTAATCAAGTGTGCAAATATTAACTGCAATAAGTTTGAAATTATTCCAAAAAAAATAATACAAACCAAAGCCATTTAAGAATTGTGAAAATGTCATTAGAAATATAAATCCTGCCTTGATTTTATTAAAATCAAATGAATCTTATTCCCAAATTCTATTCCAAAGAGCTTAAATATTTGTTAATCCAAGTAAAGTGGCTGAAAACATACCTACAGAACCCCAAAATAAAATGAGTAAGAAAAACTTCCTATTGTATAAGCCAATACAATTAGCTGTCCAAACACAATGATGATCCATATTCAAAACACATCTTTTACATTTAGAACAATGATGTGATCTTTCTGGTCTCTTTATTCTACATTACAAACAATACTCTCTTTATTTTGTTTCATCATATTCTTCTAATGTATTTTTAGGAATAAATCCAGGATCAATTCTTGATGTTCTATAAAGTGCCCAAAATAACATAATAATACTAAAAGTGCCTATACCTATATATATCCATTCCATCAAACATTCTAATGATTAATATTCTTGAATACATTTTGAAATTTATATAAAAACAAAGTATACAAATGTAAAGTAAATGAATAGTACAAAAAAGGCTAGAATTAAAGGAAAGTATTTCTTTAGAGCTTCAGGCATTACTTCTGCAATCATTAAAAAAAAATTATATTATTTTAAGAATATAATGAAATAATAATTGTAAATGGAATATCTCTTTGATCTTAATTACTTAAATGATATTAGTGATAGTGTATATACACTAAAAAATCATCATAATTAACTCAAATTTCTTAATTGATCTAAATACTATAATGGACTTATTATTTAGGTAGATCCAATAAATACTTATTTTAACTTATTTGAATAATAATTTCTAATTGCACAAACTTCAGAGTGACTGATTCCACCTAAAATAAATATGCATACACTGATTTATTCTACTTTTTCTTCTTTCTTTGATCTCAAACTTTATTAAGCATTTGTTTATTTTTAACTTGAATTTTATCCATATAAAGTAACTGTATTAAATTTATTATCATCATTCAAAAGATCATTCAATAATTTTTCAATTTCAGGAGTATGTCTTTATAATTCTAAAGTCATTTGACTTAATTTTTATTTAGCTAATAATCTTGATTCTTTATTAATATTTTTTGTTATTCTGTTTGATTTCATTTTATCAAAATCAAATCCTAACTTCTATAAACCATAAAATGGTTTTAAATCTGTTATTTTATCAAGTATCTATTTACGTTCATATTCAGGCATTGATACAGTAAGTAAAATTATTAAAACTAATCTAATTTTATCATTATCTTAAATGATTTTTGATTATAACATAAATAAGACTTCCTAATATAGTTAATCTGATTTTGTTTGATTTCCTTATTTAGTAGTCCCTGTTGCTAAAGCTTATTCTAATTCTCCTAAATCTTTTAAACCTTTAGTTTCGAATTATTTCCAGATTTAATCAATTTAATTCATATGAAAAGTAAAGTCTTTTAATTAACTATTATAATTGGGCATTGAACTAATGATTTCTTACATCTTTTGAGTATCTAATTCTTTAAAGTCTCCTTTGTGGATTAGAGCTGATGGATTAGTATTAACCATTTTTTAAAATTCTTAGGGTATTCCTTCTAAAGCATAAGCAATATGTTTATATCTATATTTTTGATATACAATATCTTCACACTCAAAAGGAGAGAAAGTCTAAGGTAGTAGATCTACAACTAATGATTCATAATGAAAATCATGTAACAATGGTGTAAGAAGATCAAAATTACGATCCAATATTAAGAAATGTAATTCTCCACCATCATCTTTTATCATTTAATTTGTTCTTTCCCAATTATCTAATAATCTTGGAAGATAATTAGTAAACAATTATGCAAATTGATTTGTTTTTATTGTTGATAATTTTACACATTAAAAAGGTCTCATTGAAGGCAAAGAAGATAAAAACAATTAAGCTATTTGCATTAAATCATCAAAATAAATTTGTGGAATTTAAAAATGGAAAGCATTATCATCAAGAAAATAAAGATGATGGTTAAACTCTTTAATTTATATTATACGATTAGCTAAATTTGATTTGCATATCTATTCTAATAATCTTTAAGGTAAATTGTAAGAAAATATCACATTAATTTTTCTATACATTTATTAGTCTTTAAAATCTCCAATAAGTCTATTGACTGAATCATCTGATGGTGTTATGAAATAGAAAGCATCATGTTTGGGATATTATTTACGTTGTAATTCCAATTTTTCTATTGTTGATACTCCCATGTCTATCAGATCTTTAAGTTTCATTATTGAACTCAATATTTTGGCTGAAATTTAATCTAAAATCATTATAAGGCATCTTTCAGGATTTCTTTATTTAATTGCATGAACTAAATCACAAAATCTATTTTTTGCATTTTATTTCATTTATAATTTTATTTAAGAGAATTAATTTATTTAAGTACATATCATATTATTATATTTATCTTAAAAAAATATTCTGACTTTGTATAGTATCTAATATATATATTAATACATAATATATTTCTATAATATAATGGAAATCTCAAATATATTAAATGTTATCAAACATTTTGTAACATTCATTTATTGAATATCCTTTAGTTTGACTATCATCTCCAATTATTTTTTAACGCACTGATTCTCCTTCTAAAAATTCATCATGTAAGTAATCATGATATCCATCTCCTAAATTACTAATTGCTCTTATTCTTTATTCTATAGCATTTTTCACTAAAAATAAGTATATAAATTAAATTACGCAACTTGAGATTTTCAACTTTTTCTTTATCTTCTTAATTCTAATTATAGACTTGTTGCTATCCTTATTATAAATTCATCCTTTTTATCTCTGCTTTTCTTTCTTCAGCTTCGCCTATTTTAATTTCTAGTTTTGATGGCTCTTTAAGTGCTATTCTCATATTTTTAAAAGCATCATTCATCGCAACCTCCACAAATTATTTTCTTATCAAAAATTCCCTTTTATAGGATGCCTATTTCTATTAATCTTAATTGTTTTAATCCTCCAAACCTTATTTTTATTTCTAAAATTCCCTTTCATAGGATGCCTATTTCTATTAATCTTCAATGTTTTAATCCTCCTATTAATATGTAAAATATTCATCATTTAGCAATTAAATATCATAATCTTTTAAATTCTTCTCTTCTTTTATGCATTTTTTACAACATAGAATTTAATCTTCATATATAAGTTACTTATCATTGTTCTAATTTATCTTAGTTAAGACAAATTCATAAAGGTAACCATGCACTTCACAAAAATTTTCACATCCTTATGTTAAATCTAACATTTCTCTCAATTAGGCTATGTTCGTTCCATCTATATAGTGTTATTTGAGTATATTAATGAATTTGTTTTCGTTGCAACAATATTTATCATATCCAAGCGTTCTTCCTGCACATCCTCTACATATTAAGGCCCTTTTTTGGACCTCATCAAATTTTATCATTTTTAATAAAAAATAATTTACAAATAGTTTATAAAAATATGCTTTTAAATTATAATATGCAATATTAAACTCTATTACTTAAATAATTATCTTAAATTATTTTTTTTGTAGTCTTTATATTGAATAAAGTATAAAAGAACATAATTGAGAGTTAGGTTAATCAAATAATTAAACTTATCTACTAATTATATCATGAAACAATCAATAAAATTTCCTTTAAGTAGATAATTGTAATATTTGATTAAATATCATCAAATAATTTGGATCTAAATTAACTACTCTTAAATTCTTAGAAGAATTTAATAAATTCAAAGTCAATAAATAACAATTAATAAACTTGTTTAAAGAACTATAATGATCTAATCCTTAATTTATTGTAATATACAATGAAATTATTGGAAATAAATTATAAGTTCTACAAGTTTAATTCTTTACAAAATAGATCAAGTACTATTTAAATTCAGAAATGTTAATAAATAAATAAATTAAACAATAAATCTATTTTGACCACTTACTTTTACAATAACTCTGTTCAATTCTTAAAGCTTTCTTTTAATTTTATATTTAATATTTAAACTTATTTCTATGACCAATCAATTGGAAGAACATAAAATTATTAATTGATGAATTTAGCTCTAATCATAAGTTAATCCAAATAGAATAATATAGTATTTAGTAGTGCTAGAATTACATAAAACAAAGCCTAATTAAAGACCTTAATAATAGATTGGCTTAAGTTCATTTTAGAGTATAGAGACACTTATTCAATAGAGAATAATAATAATAATAATAATAATAATAATTATTTTTATTATTATTATTATTATTATTATTAAAAAAATTATAGGATCTCATAAAAGAGTAATAAATACCTAAACTAGTCTTTAATTAACTGTAGATAATTAAAATTGGACTATTATTACCAAAATCAAGGTAGAAGAACAATAAAAAATTATCAATTTAATCCTAAATAGGATACTCTATAAAAAATAATATTTTTAATCTTATTAATATTAATTCAAACCAATAATCAAACTATATCACTTTTTTTTTGCACCTCCTCCTTTTCCCTTTTTTTTACCCAACAATTTAGCTTATTTCATTAAATTATGCACAGTTTTTTCTTTTATTTTAGCTTCCTTTTCTAATTCTTCTTTCCAATTTTATTCCAATTCTAATCTTCTAGCATTCATTCTAGAAATAATCAATTAATTAATATACCTTTATTCAATTCCTTCTTAAGCTGTAATAGCCTTTTCTTTATCTTACATTTAAATTGTTGAAGTTTAATCTTCATTTCTAATTCTTTGTCTTTCTTAAAATTCTCTATAACGTTCATCGTCATAAATCTTTTTATTTCTAATTAAATAATCCTAACATTTTCTAACATCATTTAAATTCATTTTTGGATTTTCAGTGATATCTAAACAAATTAAACTTGTGTTATCTCTTAATGAATTTGCCAAAGCTTCACCACATTTTTCATCAAGTTTACAATTACATAGATTTAATTATAAAAGAGTATCATTTTTTTCAAGAGCTTCACATAAAGCATATATTCCACTATAATCATATGTATTTCTATCTTTATCATGATTAGTTAAATTATTGTTTTCTAAATCAATAACTCGAATAGATTTATTGATTTCTAATAATTTTGAAATGGCAACTAATGTTTTTGATCCAAGATTGTTACCTTCTAGTTCTAATCTAATATAGATTGAAATATCAACCTTTCTAAGACCATATTTTTTTCTAAACTTGCTGCTATCTCTTATCCTTCTTCATCTCCTATACGTTTCCTACTCATTGATAAACCTTTTAATGTATTATTATTTTCTGTAACCTTTACCAAAACTCTAATTTAAGTTGGTCTTAAATCTAATCCTGAAATGGTGTAATCCAATTTAGAATCCCCAGTAGCCAAATCGATCATCATATTACCATATTCACCCTTTAATGTATTCATTTATTATATTTCTTCTTAGCTCCTTTTTTCTTCTTCCTTTTTTCTATCTTCTTCTTATTTCTTAATTCTTTCTTATTCAATCAAATATTATTAAAATTTCTTCTACTTTTCTGCTTACTCTTTTTATTGTGTCTCTTACTATTTAATGATATGATTTAATATATTACTTCTCTTCTCTTCTTCTATTCTTCCTCTAACTATTTCTATCTTCTCTCTAGAGTTCTCTTAGTATTTGGTAAGATTTCTGTGATGATTGATTTGTGAGTCTAGTCCATTTGAAAATAAAATATTAAAATTATTAAAAAAATAAGGAAACTGTTATATCAAATACTGTATTCACCTGATATTGCCTCTATTAAAATAAATAATAATTTGAAGATTTATGTATAACTATTTAAACATGCTATTAAAGGATATTCTTCAATTTCATACAAAATATCAGTCTATCTTAATATTAATTTATACTTTAAATTAGTAAATTAGTATACAAACATAAGTAAATGTTATACTTGAACATATTATTGCATTCTCAAATGCTGAATCCATTAAAAAGATAACACAAGTAATAAAAATCATTTAAGAGAATAATACCCATATGAAAACACTTGAGTATTCAAATTCATGCTGTTAAAATAGAGAACATACTATTAATCCTAATATTGGAAATATATTAGAATATAATAATAGTTAAACATCCTTATTTGAGTCATAAATCACAAATAAAAAGCTCAAACTAAATGTAAATGATACATAGAGGATTAGACTATAAAAATTTCTTTTCATTACCTAAATGGCTATTTTTTGAGTTTATGTTTAAATATATCTGAATTTAAAAGTATTACTATAATCACAAATATTGTGGTTATCTTATANAATTATAAAAGAGTATCATTTTTTTCAAGAGCTTCACATAAAGCATATATTCCACTATAATCATATGTATTTCTATCTTTATCATGATTAGTTAAATTATTGTTTTCTAAATCAATAACTCGAATAGATTTATTGATTTCTAATAATTTTGAAATGGCAACTAATGTTTTTGATCCAAGATTGTTACCTTCTAGTTCTAATCTAATATAGATTGAAATATCAACCTTTCTAAGACCATATTTTTTTCTAAACTTGCTGCTATCTCTTATCCTTCTTCATCTCCTATACGTTTCCTACTCATTGATAAACCTTTTAATGTATTATTATTTTCTGTAACCTTTACCAAAACTCTAATTTAAGTTGGTCTTAAATCTAATCCTGAAATGGTGTAATCCAATTTAGAATCCCCAGTAGCCAAATCGATCATCATATTACCATATTCACCCTTTAATGTATTCATTTATTATATTTCTTCTTAGCTCCTTTTTTCTTCTTCCTTTTTTCTATCTTCTTCTTATTTCTTAATTCTTTCTTATTCAATCAAATATTATTAAAATTTCTTCTACTTTTCTGCTTACTCTTTTTATTGTGTCTCTTACTATTTAATGATATGATTTAATATATTACTTCTCTTCTCTTCTTCTATTCTTCCTCTAACTATTTCTATCTTCTCTCTAGAGTTCTCTTAGTATTTGGTAAGATTTCTGTGATGATTGATTTGTGAGTCTAGTCCATTTGAAAATAAAATATTAAAATTATTAAAAAAATAAGGAAACTGTTATATCAAATACTGTATTCACCTGATATTGCCTCTATTAAAATAAATAATAATTTGAAGATTTATGTATAACTATTTAAACATGCTATTAAAGGATATTCTTCAATTTCATACAAAATATCAGTCTATCTTAATATTAATTTATACTTTAAATTAGTAAATTAGTATACAAACATAAGTAAATGTTATACTTGAACATATTATTGCATTCTCAAATGCTGAATCCATTAAAAAGATAACACAAGTAATAAAAATCATTTAAGAGAATAATACCCATATGAAAACACTTGAGTATTCAAATTCATGCTGTTAAAATAGAGAACATACTATTAATCCTAATATTGGAAATATATTAGAATATAATAATAGTTAAACATCCTTATTTGAGTCATAAATCACAAATAAAAAGCTCAAACTAAATGTAAATGATACATAGAGGATTAGACTATAAAAATTTCTTTTCATTACCTAAATGGCTATTTTTTGAGTTTATGTTTAAATATATCTGAATTTAAAAGTATTACTATAATCACAAATATTGTGGTTATCTTATACTTTAAATACAATTCTAAATATATTTAATAAATGTATGTGTATCCATAAATACATGTCCACAAAACAAATAAATGTTAGATAATAATAGTAAGAAGTATATTTCTTTAATTCTTAAGAGTTTCATTATCCATTTCTTTGATGGCATCAATTTGATCAATAATGTTATGAGTCTTTCGAAATCGATTTTTCATGTATTAAATTAATACAACATCAGTATTAATTATTTAAATATATACATCATGATTTTCAATTCTGAAATCTCAGGCCAACAACAACACACAACATCACCTGTTGTAACAGGAGGCAGTGTCATTGCTTTAGTTTACAATGGAGGAGTAATTGTTGGGTCTGATACTCTTTGTAGTTATGGAAGCATGGCAGCATTCAAGTATAATATAAATATAATTCATTTAGGAATGTATAAAAGATTGTATAAATATCCTAAAACACAATTTATGCATCTAGTGGTGAATATTCTGATTTCTAATAAGTGGTGAAGGAATTAGCAAAAATTGATAGATCAGCTTTATAATATGATGATGGTGTTCATCCTTCTCCTAAAGATTATGGCAATTTCTTAGCAAGATTATCTTATAAAAAAAGATGCAAAATTAACCCTTTGTATTTACAGAATGTTATAGCTGTATTAAATTCTAAAAATTTAGGGATTTCATAATAAAGAGAGATATTTAGCACTTGTTGATATTTATGGTACCTATTTAGAATCTAACTTTATTACAACTGGATTTGCAAGTTACTTCTGTAAAGCTATTATTAGTAATTATTGGAATGAAAATTGTACTCTTGAATAGGCTAAATAAGTAATTAGAGAATGCTTTAAAGTATTAATGAATTCTATTAATAGGTCTTATTCTGTAGAGATTGTAGAGCTCATGATGTAATTTAATTGGCATATGTTGATGAATAAGGTACACACATTGAAGAGCCTGAGAGAGTAGAGACTAAATGGGATTTTAATGGATTCAAATCTAGAGCTAATGAGAAATTACACACATAATGAACATTATTATTATATGATTTTTATTATTCACTCCTCTCAAGGATCAGCTACTTATGGTCTAGTAGAAATAAAGCTTTCTCTGCCACTGGGTTACCATTCCATTGCTTCATACCAAAATGTACGCAATTTCATGTCTCTACATCTTATAAAACGTTCAAATCTGCTTGATCTCCAAAAAAATTTATCTATTCTTTCATGAGAATGATAGAGAATGTCATATAAACAAACTGGCAATAAAGTTCCAAGTGTTGTAAGCACCATACAAACTGGAGCTATTTTGAGTACTGTTCTTAAAGGAATTGGATATGAACTATTAGGCACAGGCATAATTATTTATTATTATTATTATTATTATTATTATTATGATTATTATTATTATTATTATTATTATATTTATTTTTCTTCTAAAATAATTGATAATATTATAAATCATAAAAAATAAAGGATATTAAAAAAAATTGATCATGCAAATTTAGATTTATTGAAATTTATTAACTTAATAGTGAATAAATATGGAATGGTTAGGATATAAAATAAGTAAAGTTAAAACATTATTAAATATACATATTATATTAGTTATCATTTCTTTGTTTTTTAAGCTTTCCAAATTAACTCTTAACTAGTCTCATATTATTTATCAAAGAGATCAATATCTAAACAACGCTTACTTAATTACTTTTTGCAATTTTACTCACTGTAACTTTTAGCTCTTTAATTTGAAATCTAAATATATAATATAACTTACTTGATTTATAATTTCAAATTACTATTTGAAAGGAATGTTGCTAGTAGAAGTCTATACTTATTTTATATTTTTAGTGCTACCATTATTAAGACTGTTTAGAAATGGATTTTATGAAGTTGATTATTACTGAGTCTGTTATTGTTAATTAATTATATTAGTATTATTGGATAGAACTTAAGTTTGTTAATTACCATAGCAAGATTTGGAAGAGGACCTATTATTTTCTGATTAAAGTTGTTATTATTGAAAATAATTAAGAGGTCTTTAACTATTTTATGATGTTTTAGCAGTGCTGCATTAATCATATTATCTATGAGATTAAGCAATTGAATCTAATATAGAAATGAGTAATTTACATCTGAAATTATTTTCATAAGGACTCATACAAGGAGATTAGTTTTCTTCAACAACCGTTGATAATTGAGGTTAATCTAAAGTGCGTTTGGAATCTGGTTTATTCATTGAAGAGTGATGTTAATGATTCTCTTTATTAGCTTTTATATCTTGGGAACGCATAACTTTAGTATTGAAAGCGAATTGTTTATTTTCGTAAGTATTCTTTGCACTTTTAGGTTACTACAATTCAAGATGTTGATTCTTCTTTTATTTATTTAAATCGACTGACATCTACATAGATTTAGGGACAGATAGATATTAATCTTCTCTGTAAGGTTCTTCAAGTTCTTTATTAATACTTTCAAATGCTGAATCAAATGGAGTCCCTTGAAGTTGCATAATAGAAATCTATGAGTGATTGATTATATGATTACTTTCTTATTGTTATTAAATATTTTAGAAAAGTTGTCTGGCTTAATTATTTCGTCTGGTTCTGTTTTATTAGGTCTAATTGGAGATAATTTTATTTAATCTTTGGGTTATGAATATTTGTGTCTACGATGTTGAGTAGCTAATAACTATTATAATAGTGATGCCTTAATAAATAGAGACTATGTATTTACATTGCATTGATTCTGTTTATGGGTTTCAATGGTGATTTCCATCAGTTGACTGAAAATAGATGTCCAACCTTAAAGTGTTTATTTGATTTGTTGAATATCTTAAGATAGACAATCCAAGTTAAAGGAGTGAGCTTCCATTAAACCATTTTAGGGATGATCGTACATTTGATTGTTAAAAATATAATTAAATGTCAAATTAATAATCAGGTAATGAGAAATCTAAAAGCAAATCCTAAAAATTATAGACAATGGAATTGAATGGAAAAAACTATATCTTATTGGATAAATATTTTTATAATCCTGATGATGTAATAGGTGAAGGGGCATTTGGTAAAGTCTATCGTGGATTCAATTTCTAAGCGTAATTATTTTGAATTACTTAATTATAGACAAAAGAAAGAAAATGATAAGGAATGTGCAATAAAGAAAATGGAGCTTCCAGAGAATATGGCATTAATGAGTGATAGAGAGAAGATGACATTAGATGCTGTAAGAAAAGAGATTTGTGCATTAAAATTACTTAAACATCCCAATATTGTTAAACTTTATGATGTAAAGAAATTATAAAATGTAATTTATATGGTTATGGAGCTTTGTAATGAAAAGGTATAGTGTAATTATATTCTTAATGATCTTAGTCTCTATCTGAATTCATTAAAGAAAATAAAGATATAACTGAACCAGAGATAAGGTACAAGTTTGGTGAAGTACTTAATGGATTTAAATATCTCAGAAGTAAATAAATCATACATCGAGATGTGAAACCAGAAAATATTCTTATAAGAAAAGGGGTTTTAAAAATAGCAGACTTTGGATTTGCTAAATAACATAATTCAAAAACCTAATTGCATTCTTATTTAGGAACAAGAGCTACTATTGCTCCATAAGTTATATTAGGTATATTCTTTGATTTCAGTTAGGTGATTATACTGATAAATGTGATATTTGGAGTTTAGGAGCTACTCTATATTTTATGTGTTTTAAGAAATATCCATATAAAGAATTTTATGCTAGTGAAATTAAATTAATGGAATTAATGAAAAGAGATTTTATTGAATTTCCAAAAAATGGTATGTAAGTATCTTAACCTTTATAATAAATTATTGTATAAATGATGAGATATAGAGAAGAAGATAGAATAGATTGGAACGATTTATTTGCATGTCCTTTATTTTAAAATAAATTATTAAAAGAAATGGGATTAAATATATTTGAATATCATGAATCATAAGATGATTCTGTTGATATTAATGATGCAAAAATTGATGATTTTGATTTCGAAATGAATGATCATTCTGAATAAGAAATTGAAAGAATTAATGAAAATGCTAATGTTGTTATTTATTAAGCTGAAAAATAAAGAAAAAATGAAGAAATCTTCTCAAAATTGATTAGTAGACTCACTTTTGAAAAGGGTAAATGTATGTTCCTAAGATTATTATCTTAAAGAGTTAAAGAATATGAATTAACTTTATCTAATAAATTAATCTTTGAAAAAAGTAAAGTAGATATTTCAGATCATCTTAAATCATTAAGATTTGGATTAAATAAATTTGAACTTATTATAAATAGAGGATTAGTAGAATGGATGGAAGTTAATAAGAATCTTAAATATTATTGTTGTTGGGATATTAATAATCCGATAGGTGTTAATGATACAGATTGGGAAAACTTTTTAACAGAAGGTTTAGATAGAGAAAAAATTAAAAAGGCACTTGAAAAAGAATTAAATATCACTTAATAATATGTTTACAATGCTTCATAAGATTAATTATAGTAATTTTAATAAATGAATGAAAAAGCATTTCAAAAATTGAATGTTAATAAAGAATTTATGAGTTCAAATTTTGAATGTAATAAGAATTTTTTTAAAGTTCTTTATGATCTAAGTTTAGGTTTAGCTCGATTACTATTTCCAGAAATTGTGAAAATTAGAAATAATTTAGATTCTCTTCATAAAGTTCTTCCAACATTAGTTCTCGTAGATGATCTATTCATATTATTAACTCTTGACTCAGTATTTTCACATACTGATTCTAGTTAAGTGAATTATACTGCATTTTTTGAATTGAGAAAAAAGAATTATTCAGAAGATTAAATAATGTATAAGACTATGTATTAAAGAGTGATGAGAGCATATGAAGTATTTTTTGAATGAATAGATTATCCATTTCTATATATATATAACTATTATATTCTAGAATTTTTTAATGATTAATCATAAAATTAAGTATTATGAAATACAAACATTTGTTTCTTTAGATAATATTTATGCTTCAAATTAATTATGTTTAATTTTAATTCATCTATATATCACATTCAATAATATTATGATTCATCTTCCTCTTCTGATTCAGGCATATCAAGATTTCTCTTTTATTTTTTAGGTTTAGGTACTCCTTCAGCAGTCACTCTTCTAATTACATTAAATTTAAGTTTACTTTTTCTTTTTCTTCTTTTTTTCTTATTATTATTCCTCTTAACCTTCTTCTTTTTATTCAACTTTTTAAGGTTATTCCTATTATTATTATTCAACTTCATCATCATCTTCTTAATCATCTTCTGCTTGATGTTTTAATTACTCAATCAATTCACCTTCATTGACTGATTCGAATTATCTATCTTTATGATTCCCCCATTTTCTATTTTTTCCTCTAGCGTCCTTAGGCATTTATTAAATTTTAATATATATATATATATTTATATCAGCGAACGGATCATTCATCACTAAACATAAGTAATGTATAATATTTCATCATTATTTATAAGTTAATTATCAATATTATGTGCCTTAATCTCAGACTCTTAAGTGTTAAGAGATATTTTATTTAAATATTTTAAATAAATTAATGATTAATTTTCATAATTAGCGAAGAATATTAATTGCTTATTAATCAATCAATTCTATTGGAATTACTGTTAAGGATAACCTTAACAGGTTGATTTGTTACTACTACATTTTTGCAAAATATATCAAGGCTAATCCTACAATTATTAAGGTACAAAATCCAGTTATCGAATAATAAATAAGAATTACATCAAAATTATCTTCTATTAATTCCATTGTAAGATCTAATATTTCTTATCCAAATTTTTCAAATGCTATTTTTGTATTGGTGAAATATCTACCAAAAATTTAATGAAAATCAACAGAATTCAATACTTCTAATGAAGCTTAGAAATCAGGATCTATCCTTTCCATTTCCAATTCATAATTATATGAAATTGTAAGGAAATTAGACATTTTTGTATAAATTCCTATTATTCCTTTATTGTATAGATATGTACAATTATCTTTAATATTTGATGAATTTGGGCATATTAAAGGACATAAATCTTAGAAAAATATATCATTTAGAATACCAGCTTTTTTAGGATCAATATTAGGATCTTTAATAAGTATTGATATTATTTAAATTTAACTCTATTGAAATGATTTAACCAAATCTTTAAATTCACTTAAATTCTAATATTTTTCAATTTTAAAATAATTTATAGCTTAATTCAGAATTTTAGGATTAAGTTTATTTGTTAAAGAATTATTACTTAAAATAATATTTTGACTTTTTATTCGCATAGCATTACTCACAATAGAATCAACTTGTAATGTAAAATGATGAAATTCTGCTGTTAATAGAAAAGATGGTTTTAGTTATTTTTGTTTTTATGAATTCAATAAAAATCCACCTATATTAACTAATAAAATAATTAATAAAAGAATGAGTAAAAATGCTGATGTTGTATAGATATTAAAATTTTATTGCTGTAATCGAGAAGATAATAAAGTAGTCTTATTTTATTTTCCATTTTTAGTTTATTATTCATTAAGAGGCTAATATATAATATGAACATAATCAGCCTTTTTCCAATTTAAAGAATATTTATCAAATAGTATATCTCGAACAGCTTATAATCTCTAGATGGCAATCAATACATCTTTTTCATATAATCTACAATTTAAATGAATAATTTTTCTATAAATTTTAAGTAAATCTAATAAGACAAGGAATTATATTAAAATAAGTGAAAACTATAGGACAGTTTGAATAATAAATAAATTAATAATGAATTCATCATTTTAATCTATATGATCATAAAATTTATCAATTAATTGTCTAAGTAATAATCTAAATAATTATGAAGTTTCATTTAAATTTAAAGTTTCAAATAAGGATTGTTAAAAGAAATAGTCATCAAAATTATTAATATTGTATTCTTAATAGAATTGAATTATTAATTAAAAAAATATTTTTATTTGATTGTAAAAGTATGTAAATGTCATATTTTTAATGTTAGGAGAATCAATATAATATAAAGAAATATTTGAATTTAAAATATTTTCTTCTTCTTCTTCAATTTATGAAAATACTTAATAAAATTTAGACATATTTTATAAATATTAAATATTATTAAATCTATTTTTTATAGTATCTAGTAAATCTTCACTAAATTCAATACCTTAAATTTAGGCTAATTTAAAAATAATATCATGAGAAGTTAATTCACAATAATAATTATTGTATATAAAAGGAGCCTATAATTCAATTAATAAATTATTGCTATTTTATTTTTTTGTATTAAGTGTAATTATTGTAAAAATATTAAAAATGATTATGCTTAACACTATTAATAAATCTATAAATAAAATTAAACTTAGTTAAATAGGTTTCACTTTTGAACGAGATTTCTGTTTCAATAATTCATGATTATGGTTTTTAGTTCTTCTAGCAATAGATCCAGCAGAATTAACTGCTTAAATTTCTTATTAATTATTAATATGATAATTTTTATCTTCAGAAGATTACTTCTCCTATAATTAATCTAAAACTGTTTTATGTTTACAATATTAAAATTAATCTACATTGTTATGTTAATCATAACTAAGTTCTTATTATTATTTTATAATTTTAAAATCATCTTCTAAATACTTTGAATCATCATTAATACTTTTATGTTTAATAAGATTAAAAGTAGCTCGTTATGAAAATGGAGCTAATATTTATCTAGATGAATCTTATAATTAATCAAAAAATGATTAATCATATTTACCTCTAATTAAAGAAACTTCTGGATATTATTATAATTTATCATTTTCTTCAATTTTAACTTTTTAAAAACTTTCATTTTAAATAGAACTCAAAACTTGATGACTTGATTTATTTAAATCTGATAATTCCATATTTTAAAGCATAACTTCTGAATTAATATCTTCATTGTTTTCTTCTATTGTTTAAGTAATAATGTCATTTATTTCTAAAGTAAATAATGGTATTGATTTATAATAACCAAGAACTAAATATTCTAAATAACAATTTATTTTATAATTAGTAGTTTAAATAGAATCATCTACATATTATAGCATTCTTTCTTAAAAACCTTCATCAAAGAGTTCACAATCAGGTTTTATTTATTCATAATGATTAAAGTCTATATTAAATTGTTATTCCTTTCCCGCTTAACAATAGTCATGAGTATCATAGGTGGTCCATATGCCTGCATAATACATTTAATGTTTACTTTTTCCTTTTGAACTTTTCATCAATTTTTAAAACTGCCCTTTTATTGGATTTCCTATTTTTAATACTATATTATTTTCCTGATTTACATCTTAATCTTGTGTTTTATAAGCATTAATTACAACAAATATTTTAGGAATAAGTTAAAATATATATCCTTAAGTTAATTGATCTTAAGTAATAGTCTTATCAATTGAACTTAATAATTTAAACATTAAATGATTAGCTCCTAAAATTTTACCTTTGGAATCAAAAAGTAAAAATAAACATTTTTCTTTAGTTTTTGAGAATGCAGCTGTTATTATATAATCATCATAACTAATGAAGAAATTGTCTATAGTAATATCAGCAGGAATAAAAAAATTATTTTTGCCTTTTAGAAATACAGTTCTACTCTTACCAAATAATATACTATGGCCTAATTTTTTAAATCTTTCTAAATATTAATCATGAACTAAAGCCAAAAAGTCAGGCATTAATTAATTAATATGTTTAATATCTCTAAAATCCATTTCATTTTCATAACCCCAAAATTAAGCAATTTATTAAGTATTGATTCTAACTATTTATCCTTATGATTTCACTATACTAGAATATAATAAGCAAATCTTATTTTCCATAATATTTCCATTCAATAATTTTCCTTCTGCTAGACTTTCTGTTCTTAAAATATCATTCATTACTTTTTGCATTTTTATTGCTTATTAATAGTCATTCACTATTATTGCATAATATATTAATAAAATAATTACTTCAATTACTGTTCTAGGTTATTCAATATCTTCTATATCTTTACATTTATATAGTAATTCAAGTTGTCGTTGACATTAAACAATTTTTTAACTTAATTTTGAAGTTGCATAAAAAAGTCTTTTAAAATTGTTGATTAAAGAAATCAATTATCTCCAATAATTTAATTTATAATCTATTGTACTAATTATGATAGGTATTGAATTATCTCTTATTTAAATAGCTTCATATATGTCTCTTGTTGACAATATTCTATCATCTTAGTATGATCCAGCTTTATTTATTTAATTAATATTTTCTTGTACTTTTGTTACTGATGTCCATAATTAATTATGTAGAGTTGGAAATACTATTTTAAAGAACATTGAATGATCTTAATGGATATTATAATATTATTTTAATCTGCATAAAGCAGTTAATGGAGCTTTATGTATACATAAGAAATGAATTAATGCCAATTCCAAGATTTCATAATCTAATTTTAATCTTTTACTTTAAACTATTTTATTTTCTAATTAACAAATCACTATATCAATCTTATTTTAATTTTTATGAAGTATTTTACAACTATTCTTGTGTTACATTACTTTAATGTAATGTAAAATATCTTCTTAATCATAAAATTCTTAACATTAAATTAAAATTTGAAATTAATTTTAAGAATCATAATCTGCTTTTCTATCATACAATTAATAAGATAGAGCATATGCTAGAGTTCCAAATAGAATTGTAAAATAGAACATATTTTCCTCTGATTTTGTTATCAAAGAAATTGAATTTAGTAATACTATTGCACTATATAAAAAATTATATTAAAATGCCAATTTATTGTATTGTAATCTATATGGTTTGAACATAATTACATCCAAACATAAGGATACTCCTTGAAATAATAGCATAATCTATTAAAATAAATGAAATTCAAAATCAATTAAACATATTGTATCCAAAATAACATTAATTATTGTAAGTTATGTAAATTTTCTAATAAAAGGATTACTATGAATAAATTTAGTGGATCTATTAAAATATAAATTAAAAGTTAGAATTGAGAATAAGATAATCACACCAATTATTGAAAGTTCTATACTTCCAGATCGATAAGCCAACATGGCTACCTGAGGTATATAGAATATCTTCCATAATAAGTTATTGTAATAAAATACTAATTACACTCTAAAAAAACTTAGGATGAATATGCTAATGTTGAACAATATCAATATTATTTTAATAGTGTCTGAAATTTCATGATATAAATATGACAATAGGATATATGGAACATTTAATTTAAAATCTGAATATTTCCAAACATTCCAACCATCTTTAGGAAAAATGAAATGCGTTCTTAAAATAAATTAAAATAGAAGTGCACCTTTAAATAATGAATCCCATAATTGAATTTTTGGAGATGCAGTCATTAAGTCTAAATAATTTTTGATTAGCTTTTAAGTTATCTGCAACATGATTGAAAGAATAAATTTATTTAAGCTAAACTAACTAATAACTTAAATTAATAATATATAATTATCTTGTTTTAAATTATTTATGATTAAAAAAACCAAATTTCTAATCTCATAAAAAGAAAGTTTTTTAATAACATAGAGAAAGCGACACACAGAGAAATAACATAATTTTATTTTAATAAAATCATTTGAATTAATTTTGAACTATAATTCAGCATAACGTTAATAAAGATTAAACTTATTAAAATTATAAGAATTACACAAATTATTCTTGTAATAATAAATAATCTTATGATATTTATTATTATTAATATCTAATAAATTTTATTAAGAAGAAAAAATTAAATTTTATTTGAGCATCCTTTTTATTTTCTAAAATAGAATTCATAAAAATTATCATTTCAAGGTAATATTAATATAGATTTCATTCCTGATGAGTCAAATACTAATTGATGAGGATTATTAGGTTATCTAATCTCAATTTATATTCCTGGTAAATTACACTTACCAATTTCTATAGGAAATAATAAATATGATAAAATGACTTCATCATTTACCCAAATCATTTACTTTACTCTTCCCATAACAAAAAATGATTTCTTTTCTTAATCTTTTAATTAAATGAAAAAATTCTATGCTTCTGAAGTCTTCAATTTAACTTAAATCTCAAAAGTTTATTGAGATTTACAAGTAGGTGGAGATATAATTTCTACATTTTGCATATAAGATTACACATTTACATCATTAACATAAACATTAATCTCATAATTATTAGAATTTCTTTAATATTTAACTCTAAAATATCCAAATTATAAATAACTTGTTTATTCTCTTGTCTAAAATATTACATTTAATTTATTTTTATTAAAAAAATCTAAATCAACTACTGGTATAAATTCAGTTTCTTATGGAACTAAATCATAAATTTCTAATTATAAACTGCATCTACTATAAGCACTGACTGAATTTTTATTTCGATTTTAAGCATTTTAATATACACTACTCATTTATTTAAGTTTAATTTTATATGTAAAAGGAAACATAAATTTAATTTTCTTTGTAATAGTTTCACCTAATATTCTAAAGGAAATATTTTTTTCAAGAATTTAAGTTTCTGTAATTAATAATGTAAATTTATTTGTTTTCATTATCTTATCATCAGTTTATTTAAATTTCTATAAAGTATTTTTGTTTAAATTAAATCCAATAAGTTCAACTTCAGTTACATAACTTAATTCAACTTATATTTCATTAATTTCATTAATATAAGCAATGTCAGATGAAAAATTGATGATGGGAGGATCTCTTGATTTTTAAGATAAATAATTAACTTTATACTTGTTTGAAAATAAATCAACATCTTAACAAATAATTGTAACTGATAATTTATCTCTAAAAAAATAAATAATATTTTTTACAAATATTTTCCAAATAATTTAATCTAAACAGGTTTTTCAATAATTTTATCTGTTTTTAAAATTGAATTTTAAGTAGCTATAAATTCTATTTCATAATTTCTACAGTAAATAATACCAGTCTCTATCAAATCTAAAATTTATTAGTTGATATTCATTTCAATTTTAAGTTAGACAAATGATTCATCTGACTCTAATTTAGAAATAGAAATAAATGAATTTGCTGGAATAACTAAATCTAATTTTTCATTTAATTATGATGCTAATTTTTTAATATCTGTTATTTTGTTTTATTCATAAAGTAATATTTCACTTAATAATTAAATTTATTTAATAAGTGGAGCTGTTTAATATTATAGATATATTAAATTTTTATATTCTTCCATTAATCCAAATTAAATTAAATTATCTTATATTTATTGTTTCAAATCAAAGTTTTTTTAAATTAATATTTGTAAATATTTAAAATATACATTTGTATATTAATAATTAACTTAACCATTATCATTATATTATTTCCATATTTCAAATATAAATGAAACATCTGGAGCTAATTCTATCTCTTTTTTTCTAAAATTCATTATCTATTAATAATAATATCTCTTTTGTTCACTTTTTATTTCAATAATTTAATCATTTTCTCTGATCAAATAATTAGGTCTTCCTAAAAATTCAGGTTCTGATTTATATATTTAACAACCATATTATTCCATTTAAGAATTTTATTATTGTTATCCCAAATATTGTAATTTTATATATGACAATAGAGTTGTCTATAATAATGATAAAATATTACTTAAAAATAGTTATAAACTACATTATAATTAACAGTTTAAATTTTTGATTCTAAAAATCTTATTATTGAAGTAAAGATTTTTACTCTCCATAAATATTCTTAAATATCAAATAGATTGTATTAAATAATATTTTTAAATGTCTTAAAATGAATTTCAAATTATTAAATGACATCTTAATATTCTAGGTTTCTAAATAATTTGAATCTCAACTGATCAGCTATCTTGCTATCTCACAAATAAACAATACTTCTCTATATTCTTCTGCTTATAGTATCAATTCATATGATAAATAAAAAGAATTATCATCAATAAAAGTTAATAATTCTCTTCTTTTTGAAGCTAACTAAGTTACTATCTCATAAGATTGTTGAAGATGTTTATTTGTTTTTTTACTATTATTTTCAATTTCACTTATTAAAGTTTTCTTGATTTCAAGAATCAACTTTTAATCACTCATTTCTTGCTTTTATAAATTACTAGCATCTGCTTTATATCTATTAAATAGTTCTTAATAGAAATTTTATGAATCTTCAACTATCATTTTTTTTAATCTAATTAAATTAAATCATATATACCTTTTTAATTATTAACCAATATTCTCAAATTCAACAGCAAACACTTTTCTTAAATCTATTTCTTTTTTTAAATAATTAAAATCAAATCCTCCCACATTTCTACCTGTAAGTATGATTATGATTTTTGGTTGAAACTTCTTAGCCAATAGAAGTGTTTATTTTAAAGAATTATAATTATCTAATAGACTATTAAGTTTTTCAGCTATAATTATTAATAGAATCAATACATTCTGAAATATCATAAATCCAAATTACAACAGATGGAAACTATTAAATTAATTACTAAATTTACAGTTTTTAGTTTATTTAACCAAGACAATTTCATTATTCCACCTCCTTAATGAGCTAATTTCTTGTATTCTAATTCTAGTGATATTATAAATCTAAGCTTATTATTATGAATTTTACTATTGCATTCCACCTTCAAAATTACTTAATTGATTTTTCAGTTTCTCTTTATAATCTCCCAATATACAAACTATTGATTTATTAGTTGTAATCAAATCCATGAAATAAATATTTATATAAATATATTAAAAATAAAACTATTTTCTGAAGAGTTGAGACTTCAATTCAATAAAAATATATTTATAAATCATGCAACTGAATATTCATTACAAAGTAGACAATAATATTTTTACTATCTTCTATCCAAATTATTAATCTATACATTAATACATCTAAAACTACAAAAATTATTTGTACAATTTAGCACTTTGAATTGTTTATGAAGATTTAGAAATAATTAATCCTATTATTAATTTAGCAACAAATCAAATAAATTTTTATTAGATAAAGTTGTTAAATGCTAACATTTTATATTCACATCACAAAAACATTTAAGAGAATTCTTATTATTTTTCAGATTTTATTACAGCAACAAATGAAGTATAATTTAGTAATTTTCTAAATGATCTTAAATATAAGAATGATTAATGAGACATCTCTATAGTTAATTTTATTTATTAGAAACTTAATTTATTTATTTTTCTATTAAAGCTTAATATTCTTCTTACTCTATTTATTTTTTATTTTCAATTATTGAAGAGATAGTAGTATATAAAACTTCTGTATCTCCTAAGTTTTAAGGAGTTTATGAGTCTTAAAATATTCTAGGTTTTAGATTTATTTGATCTTCATATGGTTCTTTAGGCTACTTCTCAAAAGAATCTATTTTATCCTAAGCTTTTATTATTTATTAATTTATTTCATTCATCAATTATTTAAATTTTTGTAAATCATCTTTTGAAATATTATAGCTATTATTGATTGATTACAAGAATTAATCCAATTATTTAATTATATCGCATAACATTCCTTCATAATATTCATTTAATTATTAAGCTTATATAATGATCTTCTTTTTTTTTAAATCTGTATCTTCTCCATTGTTTGGATAGATGTTAATATCTTTTAATTTTGTTAAATGTTCTTAATTGTTGGCTTTATAATTCATTTTTAATTTAATATTAAATAATACAATTTTTAGTTTATTATATTACTTAAGAATCTTATTATAATATATATATTTCTTATGAGTTTATAAAATTTAACTGATATATTCATATAAATAACTCCCTATATAATTTAGGATGTTTAACTTTGTTATAGACTTAAAAATAGAATAGATATTAGTCTTTTTACAGAATGAGATTATATATTAGTATAGATTTTTTTATTTTCAATTGATTATTAAACTATATTATTTAATTCATATGTTTATGTAACTTCGAGGAGGTGGATGTGGAAATTCTGCTAATTTAGTATAACCCAAGATTACACCAATTAATACAACAGAAGAAAAGTAAATTACACCTAATTTATAAAACAAAATTAAATGGCACACTTAAAGGATAGCTTAGAATGCTGTAACAGCTATAGATAAAAAGCATGATCTTATGAATAGTTTCTAATTTTTTTAAATTCACCAGAGATAACTATGGGAACAAGCGAAAAATCCAGATTTATCAAAAGAGAATATTGATTTAATTTTAGAATGTCTTACTTTACTATTACCAGCCTTAAAAAGTTTTATATAATCGAATCACTTATATGCACTTTTTACTTCATAATCTATTTCTAGTCTAATTTGGGTAGTATTTACATTTTTTTCAACAACAAAGGAAAGATATCTATAAGTTTAGACTTAGTAATAATATTTAAATGAAATTGAGTAAATTTATGAAAGACTAGAAATAGAGAGTGGTAATGAAACATCTAAATATTAAAATAATATAGAATATGAATTATTTCTTATTAGGGCAATATTATTTGTAACTCCAACCAATTCTTAGGAAGGAGTTGAGATCTTTACATAATTTTTAGAAGGAGCCTTTTAAACTTTAGTTACATTCTCATTAAATGATAAATTGATTTAAAGTTTAAAAAGAGGTGTTGTATTCTTGTATTAATAAGGTGTTAAGTATTCAAGAGTAAAGAAACTAGAAATCATTTTCTCATTACTAAGTTTGAAATTTGATGCTATGAATATATTGGAATAGAGTAGAGAATCGAAATAATAAAATAATAAATCTATTGAAATTGTTGAATTGCTTGGAAAAATGTATTGTAATGTTGTAAAAGAATCAAGTGATTGGGAAATATGGTAATGTTGGATATAAACAATATCTTCTTTATTTTAATTTAAACCTGTAGTTTAAAAGTTGAACTTAGAAAAATCTCTATTAGATGAGATATAAAATAAAGATTATGCAATAAAAACTTTGGGAGATTAATAAATATTATCATTAAAATACTCTTATATTTAAAATGATAAAACTTCTAAGACACTATTTGATTGTTCAACAATACTTTAAGAATTAGCTTAACTTTAGATTTTCATATTATAAGGTTATGGTTAATTATCTAATTATGAATAATAATATTTTCTTAAACTTTAGGCTTTAGAAGAATAAAAATAAAATAATTAACCATAATTACCAATTACTTTATCAGGAATATCTTAATTATTAAATTAAGTAGAATCATTATAATCAATATTTATTGAATTTAATGAAATTGTAAAGTCTTAAGATTTTAAAGATTAATAAAAATTAAAACAATCTGAAAAATTAATGAAACAATCTTAATTGAAAATTATAGCATTATTATCAGATATAGAAAATTTGAATACATTAAAAATGATAGTTTAAGATTCATAATAACCAAAAGATAATTAAAATGTATTTTTTGAAGATTACTATTAAATTTAATAAACAAATTGTCAAATTTATCTAAGTGGTTTAGTTAATATTGGAAATGATTAATTTCAAGAAATATTTTAATGTGATTAGTATTTTTCAATTATTGTTGAATTAATAACAGGTTCTTAAAATGGTTAATAATTTAAAAAAATGTATGAATAATTTTAAAAAAATTAAAAGGACAAATCTGTAATAATAAATTTATCAAATGCTTTAAAAAATTTAGTTTTCAAAGAAGAAAGTTCAAATTTTTAATAAAATGATTCTTTAATTGGTTTAATTAAAGCAATAAATTTAATTATATAATGGAAATCTAATTTAAAATGGAATTTATAAATTAGCATAATCTTATAAATACATCTGAGAATGTTAGTATAAGAATAATATTATGATAAAGATCCTAATCTTTATTCTTAAATAATTGCTATTACTAATTAACATATTTCATACTAAACATTAAGTTAATCAATTTAATTTTTATATAATTAATATTCATAATGTGAATGTTATAATAGGTTTTCAAAATTAGAATTAAAATCAACAAGTCATCTAGAAAAGTTACTAAACACCTTATTAATAGATAATTTTGATGCTAAAAATACAACTTTATAAATTCTTCGAAAGTATTTATTTTCCAATAGTTCATCAGTTTAGAATGTTAAATTTGATTTTGAAATCTCAAAGATGATGGAAGAAGAATTAGATCATTCATTAAATTATATAAATCAGATTTAAAGTGCTTTAAAAATGATTATTGATTTTCTTTTATATGAAAAAGAAGTTAATAATGAAGTAACTGATGAATTAGAATATCTTCTTGATTTAAAATGTATAAATGAAGTAAAATAAAGTTTTCTTCAAAATTAAACAAACAAATATAAAATATAAGAATGTCTTTAAAAACTTTAGAATTATTTTAATAAATTTACAGTAATATTTACAAATTCTTAAACTACTATTAAGGAAAATGATTAAAAAACTTATGAATAATTAAATCAGAAATCTTAAACATTATCATAATTAATTGTATTTTTTACAGGACTCTCTGAATTGAACATTTTTAATAAAAAAGATGAAAAATTAGTAGAACAAATAAAAATAGATATTAGAGAGAAGTTAGATGAAATAATTGATTAAACAAATATAAAATCTAATAATCTGAGTATTAAAGTTAATAATAAAATTTAAGTAGAAATTGAATTTTACTAAAAAATTAATTCTTAATTAGAAGAATTGAGATCAAAACAAGAAAAATAATTTAATCAAGTTAAAGAAATTTAGAAAGAATTATAATAGATATAACTTTAACTAAAAAATATAGTAACTTTAAATAAGTTGAAAGAATAAAAAAAAAGTTATGATACTATTCTAAAAGAGACTGAAATAGATATTATGTAATGTTTTAATAGATTAAAAAAAGAATAAACTTCTTTAGAATTAGATTTTTCAAAAATAAAATAATAATTAAGTGAAAAAAAAAATAATTAACAAAAAAAGGATATTGAATCTTAATTACATTTTATATTAGTTTAAATTGATAGTAAGGAGAAATAATAAAATTATTTGGAATAGTAATATGATAAAATAAAAGAAGAAATTGTAGATTTTTTATTTAGTAATAAATGGAGAATAAGATAAGTTATTATTTATGAATTATAGTAAATGAGATAATTCTGTTTATCATAAAATTCAATTAATCTTAGTTCAGGACTCTTGATTAAATTTTCTGTTTTTGAAACAGATAAAAAAATAAGAGTATTATTCAATAATTAAAAAGGATAAGAATCTTAAATGATATTAAATAAATATTGGCCAAATTAGGAATAAATGATTTAAAATAAAATCAAAGAAAAAATAAAAGAATTAAATGATATTGCTTAAAAATTGACAATAGAAACTTCAAATTAATTAAAAATTAAATATCAAAAGGAATATAGTAGATTAGAGAAAGAAATATAAGGAATTTTAGAAAATGTAGAAAATATTGGAAATTAATTAGGAATAACAATCTTGTTTTTTTAAGATTTAAAATAAGATCTATTAAGAATTGAAAATTAAATTAAATAGATATAAGAAGCTATGGAAAGTATTAATAAAGATCTTAAGTTCTTAAAAGGAAGATCAGTAAAAGAACTTTTTGAAATGAGAATGAAACGAGTACTTTAATAAAGATTAGTATATAATTCAGATAATGTTTATATTTAAATTTTAACAAAAGAAAAATTATAATAAGAAGATAAAGAAGATAATGAAACTGTTTTATTTACAGAAGACTTATTTGGTAATGGAGAAATTAATGAATTTATTTGGAAGTAATAAAAAGATTCATTATTAATTCATGGATAAGCAGGATCAGGAAAAAGTACAGCAGCTAGAAAAATTGAAGAATTTTTATGGCTTATATATTAGAAAAACAAAAATTAAACAGATTATATTCCATTGATTCCAATCTTTGTATCACTTCCTTAATTAAAAGACCCTATATATTGTGCAATAGAAGAAACCCTTAGATCAGATAATTATAGATTTAGTGAAAGATAAATAGAAGAACTTAAAGAAGCATTAGAACTTAAATAATACAGATTGATAATAATCATGGATAGTTATGATGAATTAAAATAATAATATATTGGACTTAATTTAAATATATCCAATAGAATTTCAAAATGGAGATGTAGTTCTGATAGAAACAAATATCCAAAAGTTATTACTACATCAAGATCAGAACTCTTTACAATAAAGGGATATAGTTCTTGGTTCTTATCAGAATCAAATTCACAGAACTTATATAAAGAAGTAAGATTATTAAAATTTACTGAGAATCAAATAAAACAATATATTTAAGAATATACATTTCTTTGTGTTAAAAGAGTTATTAAAGAATTCTATTTTACTGCTTATTAAGATTAAGATTATTAAGAATTTGAAAATGTTTATGTTGATATTATCAAAACAGTAGGTTTGTTAAATTTAAAATAAGATTAATAATAAATGTTAAGTTCAGATATTATAGATTCCTTAATTTTGAAATGTAAACATTTTGTTTCAACTGAACATCAAAAGACAATGACTTAAATGTTGATGGAGATTTGGTCAAGTTCAAAATATGAAAACTTCATTAAATTAATGGGATTAGAATAGGTAATAGAAACACCATTTATGGTTGAAATTGTGATGGCTGTCCTTCCTTATGTAGTAAAGTAAAGATAGGAAATTAATAATATTAAAGAGAATTTCATTAAAAAATATGTTTATTTAAGTAGATAGGATGATTCTGTTTAAAAATAGGCACTAGATGAATGGCAAGGAATATTGAATAATCAATAATTCATTACAGAATTTGTATAAGAATTTTAGATTGCAGAATAGGAGAAGAAGATACTTCAATATTTTTAGAATAATTAAAGGGTTAATATTATAATGAAGGCATTGTTATTGGAACCATTATCTACATATGATTTCTATATATAATTTTTAGAGCATTATTTTAAGAGATAAATTAATAAATTAAGAGAAACTGGAGAATAAATTGATTTTGATTCAATAGGAAATGAATTATGGGAATTTGCTCATAAATTGGCTAATGAAATGACATTTAGTAATTTGAGTTAAGTTCCATTTTAACCTAGTGGATTAGTATTTAAAAAGGAGGATAAAGATTGGAGAGATGATTTTTTTAATGATGATTGTTAAGAAGGAACATTTAAAAGATTATTTAGAAAATGTATACCAATAAAATAAAAAAGTGGAATTTATTCATTTAATCATAAATCTTTATAAGAATTCTTAGTAGCTAAATGGTTTATAGAATAATTAATAAAATTAGATGTATAATTATAGGAAACATCAATAAATATTGATGAAGCCTAAAAAAAATAATTAGTTAAATACAATTTTTTTAAAAAATCATGGGATTTTGATTATATGTAAGGACCTATTAGATTTATAATTAATAAAATAAAATTTAATGAAGAGTTAAAATAGAAATTAATGAATTTAGTATTTTATTCAAGATTTGATGATGAATATATAATTGGAAGTTCAAATAGTTTATATTTATTAAATCTTTTAGGATAGTAATTTATAGAGACAAATTTTTAAAAAATTAAAATTAAATAAGTAAGTTTAATTAATGCTAATTTTTTTGGTTGTAATTTTAATGGATCTACATTTAATAAAGTGAAATTATCAGGAGTTAATTTAAATAATGCAGAAATAAAGAATGCTAAATGGTTAGATATTTTAATTGATGAATTACCAAAAATAGAAACAAATTTAAGTTAAGTATCTTAGATTGTATATATTGAAGAAGAGAATATCTTTTTAGTTCATGATAATATTTCTGTTAAATAATATAATCTATATAAATTTTAAGAGGAAAAGAAATTAAATATAGATTTTAAACCACGATTTATGGTCTTATCAAATAATTAAAAATTATTAGCAATGATGAATAAAAATGAGGTCTTAATTTTTGATATCATTAATAATAAAGCTATTTAAAAATTGAATTTTGGTGATTGTTTTTCTTAATATAAAGAAACTATTACATTTGGTCCAGATGATTAATCTATAATCTTAGGAGGAAGTGATGGAGCAGACGAATTACGTTTGATTATATAATATGAAAATGTTGCAGAAATTAAAAATTCAAATATTAGATCAAAACATGCTACTAAAGCTAATTAAAAAGTTAAAATGATTGGAGATGATAATGATGATAATGATTTAATTTAGAATTCAAATGATATTTAATAATCATAAAAAAAGAAAATTATCAAAGTTTAACCAGATTCTATAGTAGCACCAGATGAATTTCATTCATTAACATCTGAAAAAGTTTATGAATTAAAATGTGCAAAAGTTGTTGTTTTATAACATTTTTTCAATTTTTCAATTTATAATTAAAAAGATAAGAAATTAGAAACTCATGAATCAAATCTAAGAAAATTGACATGTTCTGATATAAATAGAGATTCAACTTTAATTGCCTTTGGAGGTGAATAAGGAGAATTAATTGTATTTTAAATATCATAAATTGATATTAATTTTGGTTTAGTAGGTCATAAAGAATATATTTCTCAAATCTAATTTTCTACTGATGGAAAATAACTAGTATCTTGTTCATTGGATAAGACAATTAGATTATGGAATATTTAATAAAAATCTTTGATAAGTCAAACAGCATTTATCTTAAAACCTAAAGTATATTCATTATGCTTAGTTAATAATTCAGCTTTAGCTTTAACAGGATTTAATGATGGACTTATATAATTATGGGACTTAGAAAATTCTGATTCAAGGATGGATGTTAATAAAGGACATTAAGCTGAAATAACATGTGCAATATTTTCATCAGATGGAAATTATATCATATCTGGATCAGTAGATAAAATGATTAAAATTTGGAATACAAAAAGTGGAATTTAAGAAGGATAAAATTTAGTTAAGCATAATTAAACAATCTTATCATTAGCTATCTCAGATGATTCATATTTATTATGTTCTGGTAGTTTAGATGGTTATGTTTATTTATGGGATTTTAAAAGTCAGAAATTTTTATAATAAATAAATTTATATGGAAGTTAAGTAAATGATGTCAAAATTATAAAATATAATAATGAATATAGAATTTTGACTTAAACTAATGAATCTGTAGTTTAATTATGGTAGGAGAGTCTTTAAGAATACTATTTACTATATGATTATGTAGATGTTAATAAAAGAAGTATTTCTGCTTAAGAAAGTAGCGAAATACTTTTACAATCTAAAAATTCAAATACTTTTGTAAGAGAATTTAGAAGTATTACATATGATGCTCTTAAAGATCATAAGATTACATCTATAGGAGCTAGTATAGATGGATTATTTAAATTAGTAGGAACAGATAAAGGTACATTATTAATTATTAAACCCGATTCAAGATCAGAATAAAAATCAACATAACTCTCTCAACCAATTTAAATGATAAAGACTTTAAATTCTAAATACTTTTTAACAGTAACTTAATAAAATATATTTATATGGTGGTTTTCTGATTTTACAATAAAAGAGTCAATTTTAACTGAAAATAGAGTAATAAATGATATTCTTGTAATTGAAGATTAATTTTTATGTGCAGGAAATCTAATAGAAATTTGGAGCATCTCCAATTAATTCAAAGTATAAAAAAAAATATTTATACAAAATGCTACTATAACAGCTATTGGATATGATTAAAAAAACAATAAAATTTATGCAGGATTATATAATGGCAATATTGCTGTAATTGATTAAGTTACGGATGAATAGATTTAAATTGAATAAGCTCATTCTAAAGAAGTAAAAACAGTTCATTGGCTTAAAACAAGAAATTTATTATTAACAGGAGGAGAAGATTTATCATTGAAAATATGGGGTTCTGATTTAGGACTTATAAAAGAGGTTGAAATTTATGATAATTTATAATAAACTTTTGTTTCATCTAATGAAATTTATATGATAGTTTAAGAATCACATCAAATAAGTATTTGGGATTTATAATAAATGGAATTAGTAGAGAACATGATCAAAATACAAAAATAGACTAAAGTAATGTTGATCAATTCTACTTAACAAGTATTTTGGGCTAATGAATAATAAATATCAATGTTACCTATCATGAATAAAAAAATTAAATCATCTTATATGATGGAAAAATAATCACATGATCCTGAATTTATGGCAACTACTGAAAAGATGATAATTACAGCAGATAGAAAAGGAAATTTATTTATGTGGGATTATGAAGGTGAAAAAATTGATTAAAAAAGAACAGATAAGTAAAATGAATTAAAATCTATTCATTTATCCTATGATTAAACTAAACTTGTTTTAGCATTTAAGAATTTGATTACTGTCATTGATTTATAAAAAAAGTAAGATATATTTAATAAAGATTTCTAAAATTTTGATATAACTAGAGCATTATATCTAAATAACAATGATCTAATTATTGTTACTAATTCAGATAAATCTCAAGTTATAAAATTTTCAATTTTAGATTCAAAAAAGGAGATTATCATTAGTAATCATATAGGTAAAACTCTTGGGGCTGCAACTTATTATTAATCTTATTTAACTTATGGATCAGATTAAGCAATTAGATATTATGTAGATTAATAATCATGCAAATTTGTATTTTCTTCATAATTATAATTTGAATGTGAAGGGGCATAAATAAGAAACAGTGAGATTTCATTTAAATCAAAAATAGATCTTGCAGTTTTATTTAAATAGAAAAAGGCTATTTTAGAATGAAAAATTTAATTATATATATAAATACATAATAATATTTAAATCAAAAAAAATAATTGTTTTTTTAGCAGTTATTAATTATAATTGATTCTACAAACACACAAAATGATTACAAAATAAATATCTAAATTTAAAGATTAATAATAATAGCTTATTATTTAAATCTGAAGATAAGAAAGATCAATTAATTTTATTATTATATTTTAACACTAACTTTAAATTCACTTTTTTGATTTCTTTTATTTTTCGTATTACTCTCTAAGTTTTCTATCATTTCTTTATAAGTTTTCTAAAAGCTCTTTATTTTTTTAAGCGTTAGGAATATCTCCAATTTTTAAAGATTGTAAATCAGATCTATTTTTGTGGTCACTTTCAAGTGGTTATTTATCCATTTTAATTTTGAATGGAGTTACATATCTATAATCCCAATATCTCACATTATCAAAATTAATGAATCCTATGTATGTACCATATACAGTTGAAACTTTTTATCCTTTGCATGTAATATCTGCTTAGAAATAATCAGAAGTTCTAAACTTTTAATATAAATATACTTCTTTTTAACTTTTCCAATATCAATAATACATTATAAACCATTAGCTTTATCTTGGAATGTAATTTTATTGATAGATTCCTATCTAAGTTAACCAAAAAAGGTTCCACTATAGAGTTCATTAGGGAAATCAAAATCTATCTTTTACCCATCATTGAATTCAATTGATCTCTTACCTTTATTTATAATCTAATATAGAATATTTTATACTGTCACAGAATTTAAGCCTGCTCTTCCTTCAACCAAATAATATCCATAGTATTTGTACTTCTTGTTTGGTCCATAAACTAAAAAGTAACTTACAGGTGGATGATGCATAATTTATTCACAATATATTTATGTTCCATCATTATATGATGCTTATAAAGTTTCACCCAATATTGGATTAAGCTAAATTAATATCAATAATACAGGTTTCAAAAATGTATTAGTCCAAAAAAATGAAGATAATGTTGCTGTGATAACTAATTTGAATCTTTCCAAAAAATCTGGAGTCATAGTTGCCTTTGTAATATATAAGGGAAATATGGAAGCTATGATAATTTACTTATATTTATTACTTCCATGAACAGCAGTTTCCAATGCAGTTTTAGGAATCATTACTCTAATAGGAAAACTCACTTTAGTAAGATTCAATGATCCTGATAGGATTTTCTTACCTATTTATTTTACCATTTCTTTTCCTACACTTCTTGCCTTACTTACTACTTTTTTATCAGCACATATTCTTCCTCCTTTTTCATATCCTTCACCATGGCGAATTTCCTCATCATTTGGAAAATTTTTAAAGCTAAGCACCAATTAAAGTATTTCATCTCCTGGTATATCATGATAACCAACATAATCCAATTTATCAGGATCAGCAATACCTTCATTTTCCTTGTCCTATTCTTAAACTTATGTTATAGGATCAAATCCTTTTTCCTCCAATTCTTTATCCTCATTAGTAACAACTTAAGTATCATCCTTTAAATTTATTAAATATTTTACCTCGACAAAATCACTCTCATCTTTTTCCTCTTATTACTGTTAATTAGTTTCAGGCTTCTTTTTTTTGAACCAACTAAGCATATTTTGATGACAATTAATTTAAAATAAAAATTTATTAGTAATATATTCAATTACATATTCAAATATTGGAAAAAGTATAGTTCCTATTATCTTAACATCATAGTTTAAATTATTAAAATACATTTTTATATAATAAAATAAAAGTTCATATAAACTACCTTAATAGGTATATATAGTAACAATCCACATGTATCAACGTATTTAAAATAATTGATATTTAATCACTTAATTAATTAAGTACTTTATGATTTTATATATTTACAAAAAATCATCTAAAACATTTAAATTATTATTTGATTTATTTATATTCAATATTAAAATCATTATATTTTTATACTTATCTATCTATCTATATGTTACTATTATTCTTCTTAGTAAGTAGTATTATTAATTTTGAAAACATAAATTATTCTTAAGGTTTTTAAAAAATTTATTTGATTTAATGTGTTTTATTTTTTATTTTAATTACTAATAAAATAAAGATTACCTATTGGGATTTAAGATGGATAAAATGTTAGATTAAAAATATTAATTTAATTATAAAATTTATATAATTCTCAAATCTTAATTGATATTTACATCAAAGCAATAAATAACATTAATGCTAACAGAATTAGTATATTTGAAGATAATTTATCATCTAATATTTTTGATATAAATGTAGCCTCCAATTTTTTCTCTTTGTATGTTTATATAAATCTTATAGGAATTGATTATTTATTATTAATTATCTCTTAATTTTAACAAGAATGCTTTTTAGATGTTATTTTCTCTGGTCTATATGGTTTACATCTTGTCTCTGTTGCTGTAATATTGTCTTTTTACATCAATTAGGCATTTATTCTAAATTAATTGACTTTCAATAAAAGATCTTTTAAACTTAATCTTGATTCTTCATCAATTACAAGCATTTTTGATACTAAATACTAAAGTAATTTATTTTCTACTGACAATAATTGATTTTAAATATAATTAGCTATTATTATAATATAATATATTACTTTTCAATTTAATTTCAATATCTTTTAATAAATCTTGAGTATTAAAACCTCTAAAAGGTAATTCTCCTCCTTTTAATAATTCATACAATAAAACACCTAGAGACCAAATATCTGTTTTTGGTGAATACACTTATTATCTTAATAATTGGGGTGATTAATAACATGGAGTTCCTAAGATGCTACTCATAGGTTCCTATTTTTATTTATAATATATTATTACTTCATCTATATCACTTAAAAATTTGGATAATCCAAAATCAGATAGTTTATACTTTCCATTATGAATTAATACATTCTCTAATTTTATATCTCTATGAATTATGTTTTTAGAATATAAATAATTTAGAGAGTCAATAATATCCCAAAATACCTCTTAAGCCAATTTTTCATATTTCTACTAATAAAACTTTGGACATGGGTAAATTGATTAAAGTTCTCTAATTTTTTTCTTTAGATTGCCACCATTACAATACTCCATAAAAATGTAAATGTTTTTGCCATCAAAATAAGAATGAGCCATTTTTACAATGTTTTAATTATCTAAAGTACTCATTATTGATAATTCTCTATCAACAAGCTACTTAAGCTTTTTATAGTTATTTTAACTTGATTATAATGATCTACTTATCTTAAAACTTTTACATTATTTTACAAGCATACTCTTGATTTAATTCATTTTAAGCTAAGTAAACACTTCCAAATCCACCTTTCCCTAACAATATGCTTTTATTGATTGTATAATTTAAAACACATTGGTACATGTTTTTAAATTTTATAAATTTAAGTTTTATAAATATAAAAAGCAATCATTTAAAGTTTTTAACGTATTCTTCATATTATTATTATGATAAAGTAGGTTTCACTTTTTGAATGGCTAAATCAAAGTCATCTTTCGAAACTGCCCTAATATCCTAACTATGAATTGAAAAAATAATAGATCGATCTTCTCTTAATGGTGTCATACAAGCTTCCTTAACAACAGCTTTGATATCACTTGCAGAATATCCTAATTAAATTAAAAATAGTTTATACCCTTAAGTTTCTCTGCAATATAATTTAATTATTAATCTGTTAAATTATTCTTTACTTTACTCATAAGAGATTTAACCATTTCTACTCTTGCTTTATATTCTGGTTAATCTATCAATATTTTTACAGTCTTAAATAAAAAATTCTAATTACAAATCTTCTTAGAACTGCATCATCTATATCTTAGGGTCGATTTGTTGCAGCAATCAAAAATACCCTATCTTAATCTGATGATTGAATTCCATCAAAAGATATTAAAAATTCTGTTTTTAATCTTCTACTTGCTTCATGTTCATTTTGAGATCTTTTTGAAAGTATTGAATCAATTTCATCTATAAAAATTACAGAAGGCTATAATTAAAAGGCAACATCAAATAAAGCTTTCATTAACTTTTCTCCTTCACCTATATGCTTTTATACTAATGTTGAAGCACTTATATTGAAAAAGCAACATTTAATCTAATTAGCTACAGCTTTTGCAAGTAAAGTCTTTCCATTTCCAGGAGGTCCATAAAAAAGAATACCTTATATAATTTAAAAAATTCACCTTTTGGAGGAGCTCTAATACCTGTATATATATCTGGTCTTAAATTTGGTAAAATTATTGTCTCTTCAAGTTGATTTTTTATATGTTCTAAACCAATTATCTCTTCAAAACTGATATCGATTTTTCTAATCATGGAGGTCTCAATTATTTATTGGCAATATGGGTCTTTTTAAGCCTAAATTAAGGTAAAGAACAAATTTAACAATTTATTATTGTTTCTAAGTGATTTATTTATTACAGTATTCAGCAAGTCTAACTCCATCTTATAATTTTTCCAAAGCCATAGGTTTCACCTATTCAGAAATTTCTTTTTAAATTAAATATTTCTTACTGTTCTATTTTATTTATGAAAGGAGAGTGCTAGAACTTCTGAATAAAACAACCTTTGCAAATGTATATTGTCCATTTTTATAATATAACATTCCTTAATCGATCATTTTAAAAAGATCTTTAGTTTGATCTTCTAATTCAGTCTACTATTACATTTATCTTTCTTATTTAATAGGGAAACAAGATTTTGAATTCTATTAATCAGATCTTAACAATTCTTCTTACATGTTTTTTATGGAATTTTATTTAAATAATATCATTACATTTTATTCTTTAATATTGAATAAACTATGAAGGTAATAATCAAAAATTGAATTAAAAAATGATTTCAAATGTACATATTAGCACAAAAGAATAATCAGAGACAAATTAAATAATCAAACAAAACTCCTAACCTTTAATTAATCAAAAATGATATTTATTATTAATAGATGATATTCAATTATATATTGAAGGAACATTGTTAATTATATTCCCTATTCATTTTTGATTTATCTAATTATAAAATAGGTATTTAAAACAAGAATTTTAAGAAAATATTTATTTTCTTTGAATTTAAATTTAGTGAATAAAATTATAATCATTATAAAAAATTGACATCTAAAAATCAATACAATCCTGCTTTAATAAATGGAAGCCATTAAATAACTCTCATTTAGACATCCTTATTAACACTTATTATAAATATTATTATTACTTATTTGCAAGGTTCTTAAATTAAGGAATTTTGCATTTCAACTAGTATGCTGATCTACACAATTCAAATTATTCATCAAAGGATAATTAAGATACATTAGAATCAATCTTAAGAATAATATCTTCAGCTTTAGATTGAAGAGCTTTGAGAAATTCATAGCATTAATTTTAAACTTTAATTGTGATCATCTCATATTCTTTTAATTTTACCAAAATATCAGAAAAATTAGGTTTGCTATCATAAATTTATTAACTTAACTATATAATAAATATTAAGAATTACATTAGATGTGTAAATATCATCAACATCCTTAAATATAGCAAGAATCTCTGCATTCCATTATTGAATCTTTGTTATTTACTATCTTAATTCATTTAATTTTGGCAATGAAAATTTGATATCAGTTTTCTAAATTTATAGCTTGATTTCCTTTTCATATTAAATAATTAATTATTCATATTACTCCAATGTTGATTACTATTTCATTTGTATTTGTAATTAATTATTTAGATCTTATTAAATCTTTAACATTTATATTGTTTTAATTATTTAATTATCAACGTCTTATAATAATTCAGGATATTTTTCTTTTACATACGTATATAGTTATTCTGTTCTATCTAATTAAGGTTTTTTCATTTATTTTGTCTTAAAAGTTGCCCTACTTTATAATTGTTCATTTGCAGATGATAAAAACTCTTTTTGGCAAATAAGTGAAATCAGAATCTTTTATTGAGGTAAATTTATTGGTAGCCATTCACTTTCTGCATATAATGCAATCAATTATGGCATTTACAAGTTTTTCAAATCATTAAAAGATATTAACCATTAATCTATTTTTTACTCAAGTAGTTCAAGTAATTCAAGTTCAACCAGTTGTGCTGGTAAATTCTTACCAATTTTTAGAAAATCTTTAAAATCTTCTACAGTTGGTAATTAGAATTGAGAGTATATATATTCTCCTGAGTTAGGAAGTATATTTTTTTCCAATAATTATTTTTACTTCTAATAGTTATCATAAAGTTCTGATTATGGGTCAAGACATTGATCCCACAAATTCTCATTTAAAATTAGAAATGGAATATTCATTTTTATCAAACAAACTAATAATATATTTATATATATTTACTTCTGCAAATATATTTATCTGATTATTATTCTTTTAATTTCTTTATTCCCATACATTCATAATGATACCATTCTTCACAATTATCACATAATATCATATATTTTACTTACTACTATTATTTTAAACATTATTAATGAAATAATTAAACATTATTCTCATGTAAACTTTTTATTATTTAAAAATCTGAAATTGCTGATTCACCTCCTTGTCTACAAGTACAGTAGACTTCTTCTTAGCTATATAAATTTAGTAGTTCTTAAGATTACATTTTTATCCAATCTAAGAAATTTGGGCTACCTATTTCAACTTCTACATTAGGTAGTATTTTTCTATTTAATCCTTTTTTATAACATCTTTTATTTGTTGTCTTCTTTATAGCTTATATGACAGGATCAGAGGTCAAAATTTCATTAGAAGTTGATTTGAAAGCTTTTCCCAAAGGTATATTTGCATCATAAAATGCTATACTGTCATCTCTCATTAATTTTGAAACTTATTTTACTCTTTTAGAATGTTTAATGGACTGACTTTCTTAATCAATAATAGGTTAAGATTCTTCTTAATTTTTTATTCTAAATTTATTTATAGATTTTAGTATTTTTTTTTTATTGTTTGATATTTATTAAGTTGGTTAATATTGTTATTATTATTGTTATTATTATTATTATTGTTATTATTATTATTGTTATTATTATTGTTATTGTTATTATTATTATTGCTATGATTGTTATTATTATTATTATTATGCTGATTAAGATTTAGAATTCTTTAATTCTTAATTCTAAATTTAATCTAAATAATCTAAGAATGGCTTTAATTTTTATACTACAATTAAATTTTTTAGTCTAGGTGTGTCATTTATCATTTCTAAAGCCATTTATATCCAATTATTTATGACTCTAAATTTTTTATTCATAACATAGAATTCAGGCATAAAAACTTCAGAATAAAAGTGAACATCCTTAACACTTTAAACTTATAATGCTATATCAGCTTATTTATTAATTGTCACTAATTTTTCAATAGAACTTATCAATTCTTAACTAATGTAATTATTCTCTATCCCTTGCAAAACAAGACAAAGAAGTTCTGGTACCTTAAAGTAATACAATAAATCTCCAGTTAAATAATAGGATTCTGTTAATGATTCTGAATCCTTATGCTTTTTTTTTTTTTTTTGTTATTATTAATCATTGACATTTATTACTTAACATTACCATGACTACAATTATTCAGTCCATTCATCCACTTATTAAGAAATTTCTTCATTTTAAACATCTCTTTAATAATCTTTTAACTTTTACACTTTAATAGGTTAGAGTTTTTTTAATTTGCTTTCATCTAATTTTGCTAATTGATTTAAGTAATATTTTATGGTGTTTTAAAAATTAAAATAAAAATTTTATGCAAGCTTAGATAATTTTGTGCCTTCTTTTTTCTTTTTGTTTTATGGATTTTGTGCATATATTTAGAGCATCTCTTCTTTTAATTATTTTATTGATTCATCATTTTATAATGCTTTCATTACTGGTTCAAATAGAGGATCTTGATTATGAATAATAGATTTTATCCAACTTATCTTTATAGATGAGGCATGCAAATTTTATAATTCTTTTACTAATTATTCTTCCACAGGTAATTTAGGAGCTTCATCTAATAAATTTTTGATAAGTTCCTAATTTTATGTCTATAAAGCCTCTTAGGCATCCTTATTCCATTTCTCAATATGTTGTGTTAATGCTTAAATTATTTACAAATCTTTTGTTCCACTTAAAAATGGAGATTAAAATTTTTATAATTTATCTATTTAATCTTAGGTTTATTGTGACCCATACTTTGAAATATACATTTTTCTAATTGTATCTATTCCATCAATTTATAATGTTGTATCATCATTAACTCTTAATGTTTATTTTATAAGAGTAACCTATGCATGCCAATCTAAAATTTAGAGTATAGTTTATCTGACTTTGACCATCAAAGATAATTCCTATTTATATTTTAAACCCTCCTTAAATAATTCCCATAATTTATTAAATGATTTATTTTAATTCCCCTTTCTATTTGTTTATTGAACCTATACTTATTTACAATCAATTAATGAAATTAATGAGTCTTTCCAAATTGCAACTCTCTCTGCAATTTTATTTATTTCTTAAACCTTTTCAGGATCCAATTATTTAATTATATCCTATGATGGTTAAAACAAGGTGCTAGGGTATTATTGTAATTCAAAGTTATCATGATAAACATCAATTAATGTTACATTATCATGATAATTTATGATTTCATCTGCTAATTAATTCCATTCTAAAACTTTATGATTTATTTCCTGTAATTATTTAAGATCATCATTTATTATACCTCTATTGAAAAGTGTTTATATCTAATCATTAGCCTCTTAATGTTATCCATTTGACATATTTAGTTTTATTTAATCCAAAATTTAAGAATAATCAATTATACTTTGTAATTTTTCTTATACATCCAAATAAAATGGACAATCTAAAACTTCTTATAATAATCTTTGTTGTAATTCAGGATCATCAATTTATTATTATGCTCTTTCATTTAATTCTAATGCCTACTAATAGAGTTCATTAAAATAATCAAAATCATCACAAGTAACAATCAAGTATAGAATTTGTTAATTAAATTATCCTGCTTGAGCTAATGTTATTTTCTCAATTTTTTCTCCTTAATTAGAATTCTATTAACCTAATCTTGTTTTTGTTTACTAAGTTTTTGTAAATTTTATAATTTTCTCTACTAATTCTAAAACATAATCATATAATCTTTTGTGCAATAATTCAAATGCTTTTATCTCAATTGGTAATTATTTGTATTCTTAATTACAATTTGCAAGCACTCTTAATTAAATTTTCTAATTCAATGAGTTAGATATCAATTTCTCAAAAACTTATTCAAAATTCTCATTATCATTAAGTGGTATTGGAAGCTTAGATAATTTGACAAAAAATGATTCAGATTTTTAAACTTAATCTCTTAATTATTAAATTTCAGGTGTTATTATTGGAATTTATTCTTCATATTTTTCTAAAGTTTAACGTAATTTTTCTAATGTTTATTTTTCTTTGAATAATTTATTTAATTATTTTTGTATTTATATTGAGGATTAATGAATTTATTTTATTGATTCAGGTACCTCATATTTTAATTATTATCCTTACTCTAACAATGTTTATAATTAAGCCAGATGAACCTTTTATTTGTTATTTATCAACTCCATTAAATCTTATTTCCATTTATTTTATTGCATCATTTTATCTTCATTCAACTTACTAATATATTATTCAATTTTTTCATTCATATATTCATCAGTGAATTTTAATGCATGCTTATGTTTATATTGATTATATATGATTAAACTTGGAAATAACAAGTAAAATTTAGCTTTAATAATGTTATAATCCATTGATTTCAAAAACATCAAAGCCTTTTCATTAACTTGCTCTTATGTTATAGATAATCCACTTAAAATTAAGCCATCACCACTAAATCCTTTATTCTTCTTTTTAGTATCATCTGTTATTGTTTCATCTACTTAGTTCAAAATTAAAGATGATGCAAATAGTAGATAATCTTCAATATTGGAAATATTTTAGATTTGCTAAGTTTAAAATACTAGACTTTATCTCTAATAATAAATAACATTATTTACATGCTTTTTAAATTTTTCTAATGTTTTTTCAGGTTTATCTGGAACCATTGCTTAACATTTCTCATCAACTATGATCATTCGTTTAGAATGAAGAAATCTGTTCTATTAATGAACTTCTTGAACTTTCACATCACTTTATTCAATTTCCATTGGATCATCCATGAAATTCATGATCTCTTTTAATATTAATATAATTTTTTAATGGATTTTTCATAATCGTTTAAAATAGGAGAATTGGAGTAGTTTTTTTCTGTATCATTTTATAATAGTATAATAGATAAATATATAGATATTATCCCTATCATTTAATAGAATGTTAAATGAATTTAATTAATTCATTTATCTCCCTCATTTTTATTCCAGCTATTCCTTTATCAATATCATTAATTTAAATTAATTCTTAGTAATCTAAGATATTGGTCACAAGTGCAATATATCTTAAACGTTCAGGATTAGGCTTCCCTTCTTTTTATAGTTCTTCTTTTGCAATAATATTAAAATAGTTTCTTAATACTTCTTTATAAATTTCTTAAAATTTTTCAGTTTAAGAAAGTTCATACACTTCACAAATCCAATTGGGACTAAGATACTTTTCAAGATTTTTAAAATTAGCTCTAATTTAGATATAATCAATACTAAACAGTCTAAAATTCTATTGCTAAGTGTGTAGAAAGTAATTCATTTTCCTCTTCAAATTCCCTCATGAAGGTTTTAAAAGTTTATTTTTTAATCAATTAAGAATATAATTTATTTTCTTTAATTTAAGCCCTTAATCTATAATGTGAGAAATATATTTGCTTTATTAAAATGTAGCTAACAAATATGCAATCAAAGATTTTTTTATGTTGAAATTATTTCATATCATTATAAATTATACTTAAATAACTTATAGGTTATTTAGCTTTGATATATTTATTGATAATTTCTGTTTCTTCTTAATCTATTTTGTGTTCTTCTTAATGCAGAATATCAGATTGTAAATATTTATCATTTAATTAATGATTAGTTTATTGATTTAAATTATTAATTTTTGATTTTTTGGAATTTTTTTTTGATTAATTTAGTAATTCCTAAAATTTATCATTAGTTTTATGTATTTCGTTTTAAAGTTATTCATCATTTATTGGATTCAAGGTTTCATATTGTTTTTCATTTGCTTCTGCTTTTTAATAAAATAATTTGCTTTTATGTGGATCGATATCAGTCAAATATTAAGTATGATCTTTAATTATGCTCACTTAACTTAATATAAAATATATACTTGAACTTTATCCCATAAAAATTGAATTACTAAATAAATCACTCCATTTTAATCGCTATTTTGGATCATATTTAAGCATATTTGATAATAAATCACATATGTTTTTGTCAACAATTACTTTAGACTTTAACTTAAATTTTGGAGGATCTAATATTAAAAATTTTCTTTATTGTACTTTGTTCTTTAACTGCTTTAAGGAATGTCGTTTTATCAAAAGAATTAAAAGGAAATTAAGAAAATATCATTTGATATAAAATTACTCCTACTGCAAACATATCTGCTTGTAAACCATATGGTTTTCCTTCTATAGTTTCTGGTGCCATAGTTCCATTTGAACCTAAATTACCAACAGCCAATCCATCCTAATAGATATAAAATAATATAGACTTAATCTTATAATAAATGGCAGAAACCAAGATCAGCTATTTTTAATATTTCTCCATGTAATAATATATTAGCCATTTTTAAATCTCTATGAATAATTTTTTATTTATGTAAAGCCTTCATACCTTTCAACAATTATTTAAAGAAAATTAATGCTTGAAATTAAGGGATAACTAAATCATTTTTTTTCCAATAATCTTCTAAAGTACCACCTTTGAAAATAAATAGTCATATTTACCATCACAATATTCTAAAATAAATACGGTATAATCTAATGTATCAAAATATTCATGTAGTCTAATTACATGATCAGATTTTAGTAATTCCAATGCTGTTCTTTCATTATTAACCAATTATCCTAAAAATCCGTTATGCTCTTTTAATCTTATTTTTAGCATAGCTTTTAATGCTACAGTCCCATATTTTTTAGAGTAAGCTTTAAAAACCTAACATAATTATACAATTTACAATTCCAAAACTACCATTACCAAGGAAATCTTGTAAAACATAATCTCCTATTTTATCCCCTTTTTTAAGTTTAGGAAGAGACATTTTAATAAAAAAAAAATATAATAATTATTAGATATAACACATTTTTTGTATGTTTTTGTTTGTTAAAAATACTTAAGAAGAAAACAATTATCTAAAATTACATATGTTCTTAATTAATTGGTTTTCTCAGTATAATTATTAATCATATTCTAAAATTTATTCAACTTTAATGTTATGCTAAAGAAGATGTATCAGCTTAGATTTTTTCAAGTCAAAGTTATGAATATCTATCCCAGTTTCCTTAAACTATTTGTTTAAAATAATTATTTTCTTTGCCATAATTTCATTGATATCTTTATAGAGAATTTTATTTATATATTTTTTATTTATTTGATTTTTTTTAATTTATTGAATTCTTCGATCCAGATAAATTCTATTATTGGCAATATCTTGAAATCGAAGATCAATCTATATGTAAATTTACTTTTCTAATTCTAAAAGTTCGTTTAATTAAATTTTAAATCAGTATCACTTTTGATAATGCAAATTTAATGTTTTATTTATTTTTGAATTGTAGTATTCAAAAGTTAAACTTATTAACATTAAAGTATAGCTGCATAATGGGTTTTCAATTGAACTTAAAATATTACTAAAATTGTATTAGAGAAGAAATATATCATTCATTAATTTGTTTGAATGATTAATTTTCTAGGTCATAGCATTTTTTATTCTTTGCATATACATTTTAATTAATATCCTTCTTTAAGACTTTGTTTCAACAATTTTTATATTCTAATTAGATTAAGAATACAGTTAATAAAATTATTGTTAAAGTTATGATTAATATATGAAATTAAACTTTTTTGGTTGTTTGGATTTCTTTTTATACTAACTTTGAAATTATTTTTCAAAAATCTTATATTTAATAATTATTTAGAAATGAATTCGCTTATTTAGATTCAATTAAAGCATTTTCTCAATAAGATCTTTAGCTTATTCAGAAATATCAATCTTATTCTTTCTAAAATTTATTAATCTCATTATATAGAATTGAATTTTGTTAAATTTATGACCCATAGTCTTTTTAATTAAATTGAGATCTTCCAAATACGATTTAATCAAAGATGATACCAACTTAAAACATCTCCAGCTATTAAAATAAAAATATCAGATTGCAATCTTATTATTTTATTATTTAAATAACTATATTGATTGTCTTAAAATAATCAATAAAATCTACTACTACATATTTGCTTTTGTCCATCACTTTCTTAATACCTTTCAATTTTAATCACTTTAAGAGCTATAATTTAATTTATTTTCAGAATTTTTCCTTAATAAATGAATTTTAATAATTAATTTAAATAACCAAAACATCCTTTTCCTTACAATTTAATAAATTGATATCCATATAGTTCTTTATCAATTATGATACTCATTTGTTTTATATAATAATTAAATTATAATTCATTTTTCATATCCAGCCTTTTAAAAAAGGAATTCTATTGTTTAATCAGGCAACTTCTATAAATCTTCTGTCTTATTTAATTTATCATCATGATATGGGTTATAAGTTTAACATATTTGAACTTATATATATAGAATTAACATATCCTTTAAATTTTATGTTTGTTTTTATTATTTTGAAAATGGTATTTAAGATAATTGAAAATACCCTATTAAAAATTAAAGAGCTTTTTAATAATTATTATTAAATAGTGGAGTAAAATCAGTATTAAGTTCTTTTTCCCAATTGTTAATTTGATACTTGTATTCATTTTCTTTTCTAAAGATAGATAATATGAAATACTTTAACATTTACAAAACTTAGTCCAAAACACCTTTTAATTTAAATATGGTTTTATCATTCTTTTCAAGTTGGAGTACAAAATCAGGTGCTTTACATTTCTATTTGATTTCTTGTGTAAAATTTATTAATTCATAATAACTTTTCTTATACATCATAAATCTTGGATACATAGTCTTTTTCCAATTATAAAATTCTTTTCCACCAAATTTTTCTGCCACTTCAAAATAAAATAATGCCCTTTTAGATATAGATTCAACAAATTCTTTTGTAAAATCTTGAGTTTCAAATATATTATTTTGAATTATTCCCCAAAGTTCTGGATTTAATTAAGGTGATTAAGTAGTAAATAAACTATTTTAAGATTCTTATATCCCCATATTATTCAATAATTCTTGCTTAATTTCATAAATTCCTGGTCTTTATGTTGGATTATATTAAACCATTCTTTTTATTAATTATATAATGAATGGACTTAATGACTAAGAAATCTATTCATTTATCAAGAGCTAACCTTAAAATTTAATAGAATTAAATTACTTTTTTATATCTACACAAGATAATCATTAGAACTTTCTTAATTAAAAGGATTTTAACCAAAGATCATTGCAAATAGTATACAACCAAGAGAAAATATATCTGCCTTTGATGTAAGATCCACAGGGGTGTAAAGTTCTGGAGCATAATAACTATTTTATGATTTAATCAAAAACTAAATTCTTATATCATTATAGTACTCTTTAATTAAAGTGTGCACATTCAAAATTTGCAATTTTATAATGACATTAATTTATGTATATATTTTTCATACATAAATCAGCATGAACAATATTTTATTATTCTAAATTTTCTAATCCATCTAAAATCTCTTTAAATATATCTAAAGCAAGACCTTCTGAAAATTTTTAATTGTTTTATTACCAAAAATCTTCTAGTGTTTCTAATTTATATAAATAATAAATTTTACTATCACAATTTTCTAAAATAGTTAATGAATATTATTGATCCAACCTTTAATCTATAAATTTGATAATATTAGGTGAAACAAATTTTTTTAGTATTTCTTTCTCATGTTCACACAATGAAGAATACTACGAATCTGTAATTTTTATGGTGTAATTTTGTCCATCATTACGATTTTTTGCTTAATACACCTAATTCCTTTTGAAAAGTATATACTTTAAGATATGGATAAGCTTAGATAGTTCCCAATATTTAGTATTCGCCAATAGATTAATTTAACTACATGATATCAATATATTTATTAAATTTAATAAATATAATATATTAATAAGAAGAGTAAAAATTTAATTAGCATTTTTTCTAATTTGAAGAGATTAATTCATAAACATCATTAGTTATATTGATTTAAATTTCAACTCTATTTTGTTCAATCCACATAAATTTTTTAAAGTATCTCTATAATGTTTTATTACTTAATTTTTTCGAACTATTTTTTTAAATCAATATTTGAAAAATCTAATTCATGGAAATTCACACAAGTTTATACTTTCAAAATAGTAATGGCAATTTGTTTCTTTCTAATAATTTCAGGTTCTTTATTAGTTTCATCTCTTAAATAAGAATGAATATCAAGTAATCCTTAAAATAATAATGATGAGAAATTATCAGTTGTGTGATTGGATAATACTTCTGGGGATAATAAAGATTTTTTATTTTATTATATTTTTTCTTTTCTAAGATTAAATATTATTTTAATACATTTTAGAAATCAATAGATTAAATTCTTATGAAAAAGGAAAATTTAATAGATCTTAAAGCTTCAAATCCATATTGTCCTAATTTTTACAATTTTATTCATTTTTTAAGATTAATTAATCAACTTCTATTATCATACTCTTTAATAACATTAATCTCCCAATTAAAAGCTAATAATAATTAAAATTAATATCTACATTTATTTGATCTGATTAAATAAATTCTTTTAGATCATTATAAAGTTGTTCGCAAAATTAAAGTTTATTCAAGCTTTACTTAAATTCATTAAATAATATAATAGAACTACTCACACGAGGCTGAATTGGTTTAAATTATAATCCATCTTTTTAAATTTGATCAAAAACCATTTTATCTTCCTTTAAGGGAGTAACATATTTTCTAGCTTTTATTTGTTAATTTAATTTTATTGTATTATTTGAAATTTATCGATCATCTTTTCCATTTTCATTAGTAAAAAACACTTATAAATTCTCACCATTATTGGCTTCAACATATGTGAAATCTTGATTTTTCAAAATTTCATCTTGGTTTTTTTTATAAATATCATCATAAAAATTGCTCTAATTAGGCTAATCCTGTTTTTATTATAACACAAAATTACTTTTCCATTAATAATAGACCTCCAATCTTCTTCATCTTAATTAATTTGGTTTTAAACCTCATTTTAAATTTAATTGAATTACTAATTATCAATTATTATAAATGATTACTAAATTTTCATTTATTTTTTTTTTGAATAAATCAAATTAATAAAGCTCTGAAAATGTTAGTCTTTTTTTAGGATCCCGAACTAACATTCTTTAAATTATTGATTATACATTTTTGGATACCTTAACTCCATTTCTTCTAAAATTGATTTATTCTAATTTTATGATAAGTTACATTCATCTATCTATTTTAGATATAATTCTGTTGAATGAAAATTAAAAGGGAGTTCACCAAAGAGTAATTGATAGAATATACAACCAATAGAAAATATATCAGATTACAATCCATAGCTCTCTTTATTTACTATTTCTGGTGCTATAGTCCCAGGAGAACCTAGTTGAAGTTTATCATGAACATCCTTAAAAATCATAATAATTTTACATTATCCTTTAGCCTTTTACAAAAGCCTAAATCAGCTAATTTTACCTAACTTTTATTAAGTAAAATGTTAGCTAATTTCAAATCTCTATGAATAATTTTATTTTTATGTAATTCCATTAATCCATTCAGAATTTATCTAATTATAACTAAAGTTTTATTTTCATCTAAAATTCTATTATACCTTAACCAATATTAATACAAATCTCCTGCTTACTATATATTTTGTTTAATTTACAATCACAGTATTCCATTACTATGTAGCATCTATTTGTTGTTTGCAAATAATGTTCAAGTCTTAAAACATAAGGAGATTCAATTTAAGCTAGCGAATTAATTTCCTCTTTTAATAATTACCCTACAATTCCACCTTTAAAAGAAGGAGACTAATATTCAATAACTTTTATTGCATGAATAGATTAATCAGATATATTTTTGCATTTATAAACCTAAGATCAATTAATTGTTATACGCATCCATAATTCCCTCTTCCAAGTTCTTCCATAAATATATAATCTCCTATTTTTTTGCCAGGATACACTTTTTCTTTTTCCATATATTTTTGAATATATTTTAATATTATATAAAGAATATTTTTATATTTAACAACACAATGCTTTTTTTTTCAAAGCCATAAAACTTTATTATATTATATAATTTGATAATGATTACTTTATCTAAAATTAATCATGGTATATAGATTATACTGTGAAATTTCTTTAATTTTTTATACCACATACTTTTACTTTCTTATTGAATGATTCTATTCAAATCTTGGAATAAATAATCATCCCCTATTATAACAAGCAATCTAGTATTAATGCTTATTCCACTAAGACATAATGTTGATTCTTTTAAAATTTAAAATCATACTTCATAATTATAATTAACCATTTTAGTTTTGACAATTGTGTTTTATTTAGATTTAATAAATCTCTATATATTTCATATCTATCTTTTCTCTATAAATTCTATTGATTAATTTAAGATTTTTTCCATAAATTAATAATCCAAGTTTTTTTTAATTTAATTCTATTTATTTAATCTAATCACCATAAAAAGATATTAAGTATAAACTTTACTATCATAAGTTTATATGAGATTATAAAGGAATGTCATCTATAAATATAACGCATTTTCATTTTTTTTAAATTAATTTATTAAAATCCTAACTAATTTAATTATACTCATCTTAAATATTAGAGATAATATCTCATTTGTTAATAAGATAATAAAAATTATAATAAACTTGTTATTCTTTTTTTTTTTTGCCATGATTGTTGAGCATTCTTAATTCAATTTCAAGCAAAGATTAATCTATAAATTTATGTTTAACATTAATTCTCTACCTGTGTTTTCAACATGCATATAAGGACGCCATTTCGTTGCTTTTCCTATTTATTTTATTAAATTAAATAGTGAAACATAAAATACAAAAACTTAAGAGTTTAAATTAGAAGAGAAAAATCATTAAAAATAAGAAGAAATTCATATATAGTATAGAGAGCATACGAATCCTAAAATAAATCATAATTCATATATATATCCAGGACAATCTAAAAACTATTACAAAACTTTAGGAAATAAATTATCTATATTTATTCAAGAAAATTTTGATGAAACTGAAATCAGAGAAGATCAAAATATATAATAATTTATATAAAGAGATAGCAAAAAATACAATAGGGAACATTTTAAATATTTAATAAAATCAAAAAAAGGAAGATAAATCATCAAATTATATTTTGGGAATTATATGTGGTGTTCGAGTGTTTTGAAATAAGCGAGATCTGATATTGATTTTTATCTAAATCTGAATTAATAAATATTTAAGAAGAAAAAAAAAAAATTAGGAATAAAATGAGCTTCATAAATATATTTTATTGAATAGAATATAAAATTAGAGCTATATTCATATAATCCAATCATCCTATTTTATCAATTTATTATAATATTATTAGAGATTTAATACAGTAATACTACTTCTTCTATTAATAATTTTAAAAAATTAGTTTTATATCAATATTAATAATGATTTTATTTATAATAATTAATAAATAATAATTTTTTTAGAAATATATAAAAATTCACATATCTCTTAACAGAATTCTTGAGTACTTTTCTCTAAATCTATAATGAATAGTATGAATACATAATTTAATATATTTGTATTTATATCCAAAATTTTTCAATAATTTATCGCTATATCAATTTTAATGATACTCTTATATCATATCATAAATATGAAAAATTTATTAAAAACCTTTATGGTAAATAATTATATATCCGTTATTTTATTAAAGTTTTGCTAATAAAAAATATACATCAGTGTCATTTATATCTGAAAGTTTTAGTTTTCATTCAAAAATTATTCTTGTAGTAAGAACTTAATATTTATATTATCATAGTATATAATTGTGCTAACAAAATTTATAAGCTTATTTAAGTTGAAAATATTTTCTCTTAATTCATTTATGGAATCTTATTTATATAATGCATAATTTGATAAAATTTTTGAAATAAAATCAATTAAACAAAAATCTATACATCAATAAATTTTCAAATCTTTAACTGGAATTATACTTTCTTCAAATTTCTATACACTAATTTTTATAGACAAACTCCTTTCTTTGCTCATATCTCTATTATTGCTTTTTCTTAGTTTTTTATTTTTTGTATTTTAATCTTATATTTTTATGATTGATTCATCAACTTTTTAGGTATTATAATTTAAATCAGTTGATGTATAATCAATCACATGACTTGCACCAAGTGAAATTTATAATAGTTTTTCATTTTTAAAAACGCATGTAATCTTTAATGATGATAAACACAAAAATATACATCTTTAGGTTTGAATTGGGAATTCTCATTTCTAGTACCTAGTACAAAACTTTAACCATTTCCCCAAGAGAATATTCAACTTTATTGAGAGATAGCAAAATTAAAATGCATAGAAGAATAAATAGATTATATTTTTGGGATATCTTTGATCATTTATGGAATAGTGATGAATTCATAACCAATAACTTTATCAGACTTTTAGATTTCAAAGAGTTCCCCTTACTATTTATTTTTCTTGCTTATCTTTTTTTAATTTACTTCATTTAATTTTTATGATTATATTTCTTCTTCTAATTATTTTTATGCTCATTCTTTTAATTGTTCATTAATTTCTTCTCCTAATCCAAGTTGTCCATCATCATGTCTACCAAAAGAATGTAAATTCCCTTCAGTATCTAATGCAATTGTATGATGTTCTCCTCCAACCATATCAATAATATCAATATTATCAAAATATTCTATTAATTGGTTATGGATTTAAATTTTATATAATAGATCTTCTAGTTTCACTTTTTCTACCTATTACTAATGTTTCTTCATCTCCCCATGTCAATAACTATATATATATAAATAATATACTTTTTAACTTTCCAATAATACCATTGTATGATTTTAACCACATAATATTTTTTTGATTCTCTCTGTAATATTATCCATTTTTTTTGGTTTTATACAGGTTCTCCAATTGGACCATGAATATTTGCAAAAAATCCCCAGAAATATACTAAACCATGAGAATTTGCAGCAATAAAATGAGAACTACCACAAGCAATCATATCAACTCAATTATTCACTTTACATCAATAATTAAAATAAATATTCATTTATTTTTTCTATCTGCTCTTGAAAATCTTCTAACCAAAAGAGGACCATGAAATTTTGGTTAATTGGGTACCGGATTTTGCAAGAAATGTACATAATCTGGATGAAGGTAAGGCTATTTATGAAGATCTATTAATTAATCTAAATAATTACTCAAATAAGATAATGTATTATAAGTAGTTAAAGTTTCTATAGTATTAGAATATTCTTCATCATTTATTACAGTTTCTGGAGGTGGCATAAAATTAATTTTTTATTGTTATTCATCTCCAAATACATCATTAAAAGATTCAAATGCTCCCCTTAAAATATATTTATGTTTATTTACTTTTTATTTACTTTTATATAAATATATGTTAACAAAGATTCTAATTTTACATTCAAAGGTAATGTAGTTCTTTATTCATAAGTCCAATCTGTTATTCTTTCTCCTATAGGAGATGGACTTATTCTTTCGGCAATTCTACCAAGAGATTCTATAAATTCTATGAGAGTCATTCTAACATTTCTATCTTAATTTAATTCATCCACTTATGACATCATAGAAAAGTTGTAGATTATGACTTATTATTTATCACTTAAATATTCATTTAATCCAATCTATTTACAAAATTCTTTAAATTCTTTAATGGAAACCCATTTTAATTTAAAATACCATCTTCGATTGCTGATATCTGTTATATAATCATATAATTTTTTAAAGAATCCCATTTTAAATTATATTAATGTGTCACATTCTTTATTCCATAGTCTTTTCTATCTCCATTCCTAAGTGGAATCAAAATTATTAAAATAAGGCTTGAATTCTTTTAATAATCTATATACTGCATCAGCTGCATTTTTCACAGTATTAGTTCTTACATATTTATCAAGTGCCAATCTATAAAGACTCTCTATAAATTAATATCTTATTAAAGCTGTATCTGGATTATAAATATATTTATTATCAACATTATTCTTAATTGATATTAGATTACTTTCCACATCCTGGATTTTCAAATCAATTCCATCAATTAATCCTAATTGTTAAATTAATTTTGTAAATTATGGGAATTATATGCAAAACATATCATATTAAGGTGGTTAATGTCCAAAACTAGAAAGGTACTTATATATATCTTTTAATAATTAATATTATTGTCTAAAATATTCTTTCATCTTTGTTCTTTCATATTCATTTCTAACAAATCTTGTAATCTTACTACATGACCAATCAAAATCTAAACAATTATCCAATAAATCATCATTATCACCTTAAAATTATTTAAAAGATGAATCTTCTTTATTCCAAAATATAATATTGACTTTTTTTCTTATAGAATTATTTGCAAATTTTCTCAATATATATTTTTTTTCAGCAGAACGAGGAAATATTTTAATTAATGGTTTATAATCATTTTTATCATCTATTACATATTCTTATTTTGATAATAAATAATTAATTTAATTAATTTTTTTAAATTTAAGTCTAGTTCCATCTGCAAATTAATGATATTAAAATTTAGTATCCTTTCCTTATAATATTAAATCATCAGGAGGAGATTACATACTTAAAGAATTTTTATCTATAAAATAATCTTCAGATATTGGATTACTAAAGAAGTACAAAATTCTTCTTTTTGGTGGACACATTTAATAAGTAGTATAATAAAATTTATCTAGATCATCCAAACATCTTTCATCTACAATTTCATCTTTTGTTTCAATATCATAGGCTTCTTAAATTGCAGCCATTGTTATTTTCTTATCCTCATTTATTACTTATTTTAACTAATAAATTATTTCCCCAGTTGTTAATTATGGTTCAACTGATTTACTTTTTCTTTATTATTTCATCTATTCCTTTAATTCTAAACTTGATGTCATTGGTATTGGTTTATAACTAATATTTTTATAAAATATTACTCTAAAAAATCAAGATGGAGAAATATTGGAACATCACCATTAAATTCATCTGGAGTGTAATTAAATTTAAATTCCATCCAACCTTAACAAATCCAACAACAATCATTACCAATTAAACCATCATTTAATTCTGGTATAAAATTCACACCATCAATTTCATATTTCTTTTATTATAATCTTAAAGGACTTCCTTAAAGTTATAATCCATCATTAGAAAATTAAATGAATCCATTAGGATCTACATATGCTGGACATTTATTTCCTTCAATATGTAATCCATATATTTGATTATTCTTTTTCAATGCTTCATTCAAAATTCTTAATTGTTATTCACTAAATTAATTATATGATAGATCTATATGAATAAGTGACACTTTTGGATTTGAAATGATTTCACTCCAATATATCATGCAATTATTTTATCCAAGATGATTATAACTTAGATCAATTACTTTTAATGATTTATTATTGGCTAATCCTTTGGCAATCAATTATCCTGATAAAGATCCTAAATAATTCCAGTTTAACATAAAAACTTCAACTGTTTTATTATTACCTAAGAAATTATATAAAATTTATGAGATAGAATCTGTTAATCCATTCTCTGATAAATTCAATCTAGTAACTGTATTGTTTTTCATTAATGCATTCAATAATATTTAAGCTCCTGCATCTCCTAAAGTATTATTTGCAACATTTAAATATTTGATGCTATCAAACAATATAAAATCTATACCTTTTATGGGTTATTATAAATTTTTCTAAAAGCAAAGCTCCTCCTCTTCCTAATTTATTATTTGAAATTTTTAATTCTTTTAAAGAAAGAGGAATACAATCTATTATTAAACTTAATTCTTTATCCTTTAAGTTGTTATCACTTAAATATAATTGTTTAATTCTTTAACTTTTTTATTATTTCAATAAAGTGGTCAATATTGGATAATATTTAGATCCAATCCCTAAATTAGTAAAATTCATTTCTTTTTTATCAACTAAGCAATTTGATAAATCAATTTTTTTAGGGAACAAACTGTCATGAACACAAAAATAGTATATTGGATTCATTCCATCTTCTTTAATGAAATTTTAAGCAATGTCTCTCAACTTTTGTTAATTCTTTAAGAACCCAAAATATGATTCTTCATTATTTGTATCTCTGAATTATCACTCTAATATACTTAATTTATTTTTAACATGCTCCTTATGTTTGTCTAAATCAAAAACATCCACACTACTTTTTGATTTCTCTGAACTATCTTCACTTATCTCTTCACTCTAGTTTATCTAAAGATCATTCTTAGCCGGAAAAATTCTTGGAGTTTATCTAATAAGTTTTTATGATAGATAAATTGAATTCTTTTGTTTCTTTATGCTTTCATCAAAATAGTAAGATGTCTCTTCTTTAAATACCTCGTTATTTTGTTTCGATCTTGATTCTGATCTGCTAGTTTTAGATGTAAAAAATGTTTTCAGCATCTCTTTCTTTTACCTTGTATAATCTTTAAGTAATGGCAGTTTTCTTTATTGTTTTGAATTAGAAAGAATTATTGACATTTTATATTTTATAAATAATATGCCATAATTTCTTTAAATCAATTTTTACAATAAGTTCTTCTATTTAAAACTATATTGATTACTAAATATTCGATTGATTGCTATTAATATCAATTCAAAAATATACAAAGTTTATTTATACTATCTAAGAATAACAATAAAAAATCATATTTTAATAATATTTTTGTATTTTTGTATCAATAAGAATTCAAACAAAGATGAATTATTTATGTATAATTTACTCATGAATAATTTGAGATAATTATATGCTTTTATTACTGTCATGTAGCTTCATTTTTTATAAAAAATTCAAGCGTCAATATATGGGTATTGTGAAGATTCAATATAATTTATCTGATTTTTTATTATTACTAAATACAATTAAAAGAATGAAGTTAAACTTAAATCAGCACTTACTTAATACAGACTTTAATCCTTAAGAAATAGATTTTATCATTAATCACAAGAAAAACAATATTCATATATTAACTTAATAATAATAATTAATTTTCAAGATGGATAGTTTTTTTATTAAATTATTAACTCTTAATTTTTTCTTTTAAAAAATAGGATTGTATTAAGTATATATTAGAAATCAACAAAAAATAAGAATGCTTTAATATCCATTAAATTTGAAAATTCAATAATAGAATTTAAATTAAGGTTCTAGAGTTTAGGAATTTAGTATTTCGTATTACTTATTGTTTATAATAATTAATAATTTCACACATTTATTCCAACTTCATGAAAACAATCGCGAATTATCTTTTACTCTTCTTCACCAACTGATTTCATGGCATGTTTTATTTTTGAATTTTATTTTAATACCCATTTTAAAGCCTCTAATAATATAAATACTTAGAATATTACCTTTTAGTATATATGGAAAGCTCTCTTTAAATGAAATCAATTAACTTTTTTCAGAATTCATGAATGCAAGTTTTTATTCAAGATCTTCCCTTATACTAGTCAATTTTTCAATGTCTTTAGTAAAGTTTTCAATGACTTAGATATGCATATCTAAATTTTCTGATTTTTCTTCCAATCTTTAAGATAATCTTTGGTTTTCTTATTAAATTTACTATCCATAATAAGATTTAATAAATACCTTAAGATGTTACTAATTTTTTTGGGCTTATTCAAATTTTTCATAATAGGTAATATTTTTAGCTTTTAGTTCTTCATTTTGTTTAATAAAATGTTCTAAATTATTCTTCAAAGATTTTCTAAATACAAAATATAAATACTTTTCTTGCTCTAAATCTTCTTTCATTTTTTATTTTTTTTATTTATAATCTTCTCTAAGTTTTATTATTTCATTAAACTTGTCTTATTATAATTTAGAAATTTCTTAGAGGAAAATACTTTGTTGTGAATGATCCATAGCTCTTCTTTTAAAGAAATCATTCATTTAATGAGCTTATTATTTCATATCCTTATATTATAAAACTAAATCATTTGATATCTAATAATAATAAAGATATTTATATACATCTTCTCCTGGTTCTCTGTATGATTAATTATCATCATTCATTCGTTTTAATAATTGTTAACATTCAACTCTTTTTCCATTAAGTTCATTTCTTACTCTTTAAAGTTACTCTTATAAATTTTAAACATCTTATTTCAATTTTTGATTTTTTTCTTTTTTATTTTACAATTCTTAATTTAATGACATTACTTTAGCTTAACATGCTTCTAATTCAAGACTTTTAATTTTTTCTTATTTATTTGTCTCTCTAGTCCAATTTTCAATTTCATATTTTAATTAATCTCTTTCCTTTTATATTTCATATAATAAGCTTTCTTAATTTGCAATAGTTTTCCTCAATCTTTCTTCACCTTCTCTAGCTTAAACTAGATATTTTTTAGTTTAATTATTTTCTTCTATATAGACTTTTTAAACATTTAATATAAGTTTTTCAAAATAACTAAATAGAAATGAAGGTACTTTTTCAGAAAAATGTTTATATTTAGAATTGCCTTTAACATTTTCCATATAATATTTAAAAAAACGACTATAAGTTTGAAATTACTCTACTAATAGTGAAGGTTTAATGCTATCAACATTATCTAAAACTGGAACTTGAAAAGTATTAAAAAATTTCTATAAAATTTAATTAGCTACTGTAGTAGATTATTCTTTATTTATTTCTAATCTAGTTTATAAATCCTAAGACATCATTTCATGTAATTCTGTTTTCATACTAGCAATTTTAGAATTATCAATTATTTCCTTAGATTTTTAATCTAACCTTTAAAATATTTCAGTTTCAATTTGTTTTTTTAATTAAATTAATTCCTCATCTTCAAATGGAGCCTTCATTTTAGACAATGCCTCTTAATACTTTTTAAAGTATAGACTTTTAAGTTCTTCAAGTAGATTTCTTGCTTCTTATTGTATAACTCTATCTAAACTAGTTAAAATTTAAGGTATTCCTCCAGAATTAATAGCATCAATATATTCAAGAGAAAGTTTCAAAAACATTTCTGCAGTTAAAGTAGTACCATTAATTTATTTTGGTGGAATATTCTTAAAAACTCTTCTCTCAAAATCATATACAGCTGATATGAATTCTGGTCTTAAAGCATTCCAATCTTCTTCTTCAACTCTTGCAAGTCTTTTTTCATCTTAAATGGGTCTCACCATACAAATACAATCTCTAAATTTAAAATACTCTCTAATCTTTCTTCTAATAAGATTTTTTCTTTCTCCATCAGGACCTGGATTAGATTGATCTTAAAGTGCAAATTCCAAATATTCACTTGGAGTACGTCCTCTTAAATCTAGAGAGAAATCTCTCAATACCCAAAGGAATGTTGGAAAAAACTAACTCAAACTTTTATCCTCAGATCCTACACTAATGTTCTCACTTAATTTAATAACAAGAGAGAGATTTTCTATTGATTATTCATCAATATGACCCAATTGATTAAATACAAACATTGAAGATAGCAATAAAGATATTGAGAATATTTTAGTGTCAACTCCCAAGTCTCTTTAAACTGAGTTTAATCCTTCTGTATCCATTAATAAGATTGAAGTATTTTCATTTAATGGAATTGGTTAGCTCCATAACCAAATACCTTTAGTACATGGCATAGTTGTAGGTCCAACAGCAAATCCCTTTTATCTCTTTAATACTCTATTAGCTAAAAAGGACTTTCCAGTTCTTTATGGACCTGCAATTGTAAGAACAGCTACCTAAATATTCCATTAAATACTAATACTTTTCTATCAGCAATTGATTATAACATCTTAATTGCCTAAGGATGAATTTCAAAAATAGTTTCCATTCCTTCTTAAGTTTAAATTTCCTTTAAGTCAATGAATGGGATTGGTTAACCTTACATTTTATATTTATATTATTATAAAATTATTCAATTCATTATAAAGTGAATTTATTACTTCTTTTGTAATACACTCTTAATTTAAGCGATAATTGTTTTACTCTATGATAGAAAGTGTATTTTTCAAATCTATCATATATTCTTTAAAGTCTTTAGTTTTTTCTTTTCATAGTTTTAGCCATTTGTTTAACTTGAGACTCTAAAGAGTATTGAGGCATATATGAAATACTCATAAAGTTAACTTTGTCTAAATTAAAAGCATTTTAATAATTAAAAATATGTTTGACTTCATCAAGAATACTAAATGATCTATTTAAATGATCTGTAATAGGAGCAAAATTACTTTTGGATGTCTTATATTCAATTTTCCCAATTTTTAATTTTGATATTGAAGACCCTTAAAAAGAATAAATATAAAAGAATACTATGTTGAGTTTTGACAAATTATTATTAAGTAATTTATTTTGATTATTATTATGGAGTATGTTAATAATCAGAATGTTATTCTTCATCACTAATACCACTAAGATTTTAAATATTTTAAGTTATCATTTATGCTGAATTTTGATAAACAACTTCTGATAAACAAGTTCTTTATTATGGGATTTCATTTTAATTGTTTTCATTCATACCTAAAAGTTATATCTATTAATCTTCTTAAAATTAATTAAGAGTTTAAATTAATTTATTTAAATATCCAAAAGTATTATTTCTATTATCTTTTCTTTTCTTCTTAATTCTATAATTATGTTTTTCAGCAAAGTTTTCTTTTTTCAAAATTAATTCTAAATCTGGTTTATATTAGATTAATGGACAATCAATTTCTAAATGAAAAGATCTATTACAAAAATTACATTTATGATCAAATAACACTAAGTTATTTGTAAATATAATTTTGTCTTTGATATGATGAAAAATATCATGATCCTTTTGGTTGCTTCGTATAATTTCTAAGAATTTTTTTCTATTTATTTTATATAATTAAGTTGGACTATTACAAATGGCAGTCTCTTTGGGACAAAAACCTGTAAAAAAAGAATATATTCCAAGATATTAATTTTTTTATAATGTTTTAAGTGTTGTTTTGGTTTGGATCTCTGTTTATTTAACTTCACCCTTATGTATAAAATATCTTAAATAAAAATGATGTTTGTTACAGATTATCCTCCTAAAGATCACCTTATTTATATACTACATCTCCAGCAAGTAATGAAATTAATTATAGATTCTTAGCAACTTAGATTTAAGTTGATTTAGAAAAATGATTTATAATTAATTTAATTTATTTAATTACTCTAGCTTAGATATCAGCATTTAAATCTTATTGTAAATTAAATGGAAGTGAATTCAATATATTGTTTACATCATCCATATTCTCTTTTTTCTCTTAATAAAGTTAAGAATTTAAATAATTTCTGATTCTTCCTTGTATTTATTCATCTACATTATTTTTTAACATAAATTGTGTAATTTAAATTAAATTCTTTCTATAAATAATCAATTAAAAAATAATTACTTATAAGTTAATTATGTATCATAAATATTCTTTAAAATAATCCCTATAGAACTCATTGTATAAGCAAATGCACAACTAGAAAGAAACATAACAATAGATGAAACAATCATTTCAATTTCATTTCTAGCAACTACATCACCATATCCAACTGTAGTCATAGTCATTGTTGCCCAATAAAAAGCAGCATTATATTTACTCCAAATAGATTTATCTTCTAAATGATTATCTATTAACCATGAATTTCCTAAATTTTCAGTTTATTATCCAACATAATGCCAAATACATGCTATAATATGAGCAAAATAATAAATTTAAATTATTAAAGATATTAAATCTATTGTAAAACTTTGATTTCCTCGACAATATATTTATTAGAAATACTCTGTTATATATCTTTAAATTTTTTTATATATCAAAAACACTTAAAATATATTTAGAAACTCTTGTAAGTAATAAAATTAATAAAATTAGTATTTTAATCCTATCCATATACCCAAATTAAAAAAATCAAAAATAGCATTAGATTATAAATAATTTTTAATAAAATCCTTTCTTTTATATACTATTACTGCTTCTATAATTATAGCTCTATTAAATATTACTAAAAAGTCACAAATCAAATAAATTAATATTATTGACTATAAATATTACATTATACTATTATTATAATCTTGAAAAGAACATAAAAATGGACTGATCCAAAGCATTATAAGATGAAATAAAAGTCCCAAAATATCCCAAAACATAATGAAATGTGTTGATGGTAGAAATATCCATTTATTTTCTTTACTATCTTCAGCTGTAAAATATATTATGTTATTTATTTACAGCTATTTTTAGCAAATTATTAAGCTGGTTTTTCATCTAAAGCTTAATTTATTCTTAGCTTTTAATCCTATTTCATGAAATAAAGATTTGTAAATAGATTGTTTATGAATCGATGTATAAAGTATTGTTTCCTAAAATTTATTACAAATTATGATGATTTAGATCTTTCAGTCATTCTCAAGGATCTATTTGTTAAAAATATTGCATGCTTTAAATAATCAGACTAATTTAAAAAATTCATAATTTTACTTTACGACTTTAACCAAAAACTTCTTGCATTTTGTCCTTAATCATATTTCTATTTATAACTTCATTCTCTTCATCAAATAATGATTATGATGAAGGAGACTCTGGTTTTGATGTGATTTACTATGTTACATTGCTAGGACCCATTCTAGTAGTGTTAGATGTATTAGCTTCCATAACTAATTTGAAAAATTAATTCTTGAGAATGCAAAATTATTAAATTCTAATGAAGCTTAGTTCTATGTTACTAAATAATTGATATAGAAATATATATATATATTTATAATATTGTTCTTTGAAGTAAAAATCATCAACAATTTTGTCCTTTATGAAATATATATATACAATTATTCAATTTACTTTAAACTATTTTACTTATTTACTAGATTTTATTAATTTTTATAACACTTATATTGCTAATCCAATTAATATAGTTGTTAATATTATGGCATTATAATTGAAGTTGTTCTGCAACATATCGTAAGTCTAAAATAAATAATTACTACTACTTTATCTGGTGATATTATTGTGAAAAATATATCAGAACCATATACTATAAGTAAGGCAGAAGATTCTAAATTTGTAGTTTCTAATGAAAACTTCTCGAAATCGAACTAATTTAATAACAAAAATAAATTACTAATTAATTGTAAGTCAGTATATTTTAGAAATAGATAGGAAGTTCATACTAATAAGATAGTAAGTCATTAGACCATAAGGAATATTCTAAATGTTATTTTTCTATTTTTCTTGCAGAAACTAGATTTCTATCTAATTAATGTAATTGACTAGAAGTAGTTATAATTAATAAATTTTTCTTAGTTAAAGAATTTTTAGTTTTGGATATTCCTAGATATCTTATACCCAAAGGATATCCATAAACTTATTATAAGAAAATAGCATTATAATCTGTTTAATAATAATTTTTTATTATTGGATCTTAAGAGAAATAATAATACTCCAACATTTTTATAAATGAACATTCAATTATCATATGATAAATCTCTATTGTCCATATTTCAAATATCATTTAGGCTTAATTATAATATGTTACAAAAACCTAATGTTCATCAAAAACTAAATTAATTTGTTAATTAAGATCTGCTTCATTTTAGATACCTTAAAATAGAATTTTCCCAGTTTTAGCATTGACAATATATAATTTAAGTGAATCTTCATCTGTAGTAAGAATTGCAAAATTTGTATGATCAATTAATTTAAATATCACATTTCTATCATCCCAATTTGCAACTCTAGGATTATCTTGACCATATTAATAAGATGATCTTATAAGTATTATTTTATCTCTCATATTTATAGTCCATATTTTCACTAATTATTTATCATATAATTTATATCCTATCAAAACTCCATTATCATTTCTATAGAGTATAATTTCTTTATAATTCAAATGATCATTATTAGGATAAGTAAATACTTTATAATCTTCATCTATTAAAATGATTAGATTATTATATTAACTAGACTTACTTTCTATTTTATATGGGATTGTCCAAATAATCTTTTTTGATCTTCTTGAAGCTACTTATTATATTGATCCATAAGACAAATCGAGAATAAAAGTATATAGTTTCTTTCGTTGATCTGAATAATAAAATAGAATATGATTCTTAGATCCAACTTTTTAATCATAATTCTATGCAAGATTTGGACTAAAAGGCCATAAATATAATTATATACTCTATTTAATGGAGTGCCACTAATTTAAATGTTTAATCAAGATTATTTATATACAACTTTTATATTAGTTTATGTTCTTTTGTATCATAACATAATAATGTATTATAAGTTGTTAAAAAACATACTTTTTATTTAAGACCAAAAGATTACTCCATTTCGTTCTTCTTAATTTTTTAATTATCAATATCATTGATAAATTGTATAATCATTTCTTATAAATCTTTAATCTCATTTATTACTCTTAATATTGCATTTTGAAATATTAAGAAAGGATTGTAAAGACCATTCTATTATAAGGATTTATAATATGAATTTTTATATGTTTATTTTTCGTTTTCATATTTCTGATAAAATATGTTATCTATGCTGATTAATGATTATTCTGTTTACCAAAGTATTGATTAATTCTCTAATAATACAGTTTATAAATCTTAATACTAAATTAAAAATTATTTCTATGATAAATCAATCAAAAATGCTCTTAAGATATTTGATTTATTTGTTATTTCAATAATTTAAACACTTGACTTTTAGGTTTCTCTGTCTAAACTTTGAATTATAAGATGATTTTATTCTTATTTTACCAAAAAGTAGTATTTTTAAGTCTCTAAATTTTCTATAACTTATAAATTAGAGTGAAATTCATATTCAATTTATCCTTACAAATCTATAATTTGTTTATTATTTTTAGTTCTAATAACTAAAGTTTAAGAAAAACCTAAGAATTAGCAAGTTTTTCTTATAAGTTCAATATTAATTTACTTTGCCATTTTATCTTTAAGATGATAGGCAAAATAATTATCATAATAAATTAATGTTTTTCCAAATTCAATAACTTTGCCACCCTTCTTACTATTAACACAATAATCTTCTTTAATTGTATTTCTAATCGATAAAATACAAATTTAATTTTATTTCTATATTACTATAATTGGTATTTCAAAAATATATCCAACATAAATAATTTAATTTTCTATCCTTTATTAATGATCAAATAATATTTACTTTTTAAAAAATTTTTCGTTGATTGTTGAAAAAATAGTTTGACCAGATATAATAATATATTCTCCATTTAATCCAATCAGACAATGATCTATCTTATCATTTATTTCCCATTATGCTAATATTGAAAAACCATTATTAAACAAATGAACAACTTTTTAGTTTGATTCATATTTGACATAATTAAAAAAATCACACATTATGTATGTATTTCTCGATTAAACTTAGCCTATCAAATTTAGTAGATCTACTAACTACCTGTAACTCTAAAGATTTTTCCGTTTTGGTTCAAAGTATTATGATAATAAATTATATCCTCATAAACATAAATGGAGGAAAGCTATCCAAATAATCTCATTTACCAATTATCTAAGTCATTTGACTATTAAGATAAGGCTTACACAATTGAAAGTAAGTGAATAATTACACAAAGTAACAAGAAAAACATTATGGATAATTAAATTTTTATAATCCTAATATGTATTATTCAAAACATATTCATTTGATTGATTATTCATTATCTATTTTATTACTTGATACTATTTAAAATGCTTATTCTATTTATTATTCTGTTGGTTCAAATCTTTTTTTTTTACATTATAATCTATTTTCCTTTTGATATTTTTCTAATTTAGATAATTATTCTGTTTTTTTATTTTTTAATTCTTTTTCTTCTTATTTTTATTTTTTTAATTAATTAAGAACTTATTTTAATCTTTAAGCTTCTTTTTTATCATGAATAATTTTTTGATCTTTCTTTTCCATTAATTTTTTTCTTTAATCTAATAATTTCAATTTTTGAGGATCAGGAGGAGGTACAATCTTTTTTGATTCTTATTTTGATGCACTTCTATGTCTTGATAAAGATTTATTTAATATTTCTTTTTAAACTTAAACAATTTTTTCAATTCTACTTTTTCTTAATTTACCTTCTTCAATCTAAATAATATAAATATAAATAATACTCTTGATATATCTGCTCTCCATGCAACTTTTGATAGACTTTATTCTCTAGGTTATGGTTAAAGTTATTTAGCACTATATAAATTTTGTAATAATTTTTATTTTTCTTAATATTCTTTCAATTTTTATTTTCTAGCTGTTTCAGGATTTATTATAGCAGCACTTGAAGGTCTTGGTTTTCTATTTGATTAATGAGTAGTTAAATGTGATTATCTGTGTTCATAATGATGATATTCACATTTTTATTTAATTTATTAAGAAGAATTCAAAATTTTTTATTTTCTAGATTTTTTAGATTCTGAACTAACAATTGATGATTATTCTAAATAATATATATATTTATTATACTTATAGATTTATTAGATTTATTAGTTGATGGATTTTCTTAATAATTTCTTCTAACTTTAGGAGTGGGAGTTGGAGTTTTTTTAAGTCTTGTTGAACTTTTTCTACTGCATCCACAACAAGAACATGAACAACAACTAATCAATTCATATTTTTGATTAGAGATTCTTGATTTTTGATCTCTATGAGTAGAATTAGATTTAATTGATCTTGAAGACTTATTTGTTTGAGATCTAGGTTAAGTTGTAAGAATAGTTCTTGATGGTCTTTAATCTTCATAATATTGAATTGGTTAAATAGATTATTGCATTTTTCTCTAATTCAAAATTTCACTAACTGATATTTATTCTGATACTACATGGTATGATGTCATCAAGCATTGGGACAAGTGCTATTTCAGGATTAATGTGTTTAGCTAACATTTTATTTGAAAGTTTATGTTAATTTTGTTATTCTAGATTAATTTTTGTTTTAGGACTTAATCGACCAACTAACTGAACTGTCAAATTGTTATACATATTTTTAAATTTAATTAAATAAATTATAATACTTAGTGTTTTAGAACAAAGAATTTTNGTTGGTTCAAATCTTTTTTTTTTACATTATAATCTATTTTCCTTTTGATATTTTTCTAATTTAGATAATTATTCTGTTTTTTTATTTTTTAATTCTTTTTCTTCTTATTTTTATTTTTTTAATTAATTAAGAACTTATTTTAATCTTTAAGCTTCTTTTTTATCATGAATAATTTTTTGATCTTTCTTTTCCATTAATTTTTTTCTTTAATCTAATAATTTCAATTTTTGAGGATCAGGAGGAGGTACAATCTTTTTTGATTCTTATTTTGATGCACTTCTATGTCTTGATAAAGATTTATTTAATATTTCTTTTTAAACTTAAACAATTTTTTCAATTCTACTTTTTCTTAATTTACCTTCTTCAATCTAAATAATATAAATATAAATAATACTCTTGATATATCTGCTCTCCATGCAACTTTTGATAGACTTTATTCTCTAGGTTATGGTTAAAGTTATTTAGCACTATATAAATTTTGTAATAATTTTTATTTTTCTTAATATTCTTTCAATTTTTATTTTCTAGCTGTTTCAGGATTTATTATAGCAGCACTTGAAGGTCTTGGTTTTCTATTTGATTAATGAGTAGTTAAATGTGATTATCTGTGTTCATAATGATGATATTCACATTTTTATTTTGTTTATTAGGAAGAATTCAAAATTTTTTATTTTCTAACTTTTTTTGATTCTGAACTAGCAATTGAAGATTATTCTAAAAAATATAAATAAATAAATAAATATACTTATAGATTTATTAGATTTATTAGTTGATGGATTTTCTTAATAATTTCTTCTAACTTTAGGAGTGGGAGTTGGAGATTTCTTTAATCTTGTTGAACTTTTTCTACTGCATCCACAACAAGAACATGAACAACAACTCATTAATTCATATTTTTGATTAGACATTCTTGATTTTTGATCTCTATGAGTTGAATTAGACTTTATTGATCTTGAAGACTTATGTGTTTAAGATTTTGGTTGAGTTGTAAAAATAGTTCTTGATGGTCTTTGTTCTTCATAATATTGAATCGGTTAAACCGATTACAACATTTTTCTCTAATTCAAAATTTCACTAACTGATACTCATTTTGATACTACATGGTATAATGTCATCAAGCATTGGTACAAGTGCAATGTCATGATTAATGTGTTTAGCTAACATTTTATTGGAAAGCTTATGTAAATTTTGTTATTCTAGATTAATCTTTGTTTTAGGACTCAATCGACCAACTAACTGAACTGTCTAATTGTTATACATATTAAATTTAATTAAATAAATAAGTTATTAAATTAAGAATCTAAGAGTTAAAGATTTAGAACAAAAAGAATTTTATTTATTAAATACAACAATAATTTCATTTTAGTTCTTAAAAGTCATCATCCAAAGTTGATTCTAGATCTGATTATTATTATTATTATTATTAAATTTAATTAATATCCATTGTTCTCATTTTTCTATGAATATAACTCTTTAATTTATCATATAATGTTATTGCCAATAAATACATTGAATGTAAAGATGGTTCTTATTTACTTAATTATTAATAAGGCATAGAATATAATTTATTTTAATAGAACCAATATACTAGCAATATAATTATTATTACATCTACTAGATTTATACTTGGCCTAACTATCAGTTTATCCATGTTTTTTATTTACCCAAGATAATTAATGTGGTATTTTACTCAAAATTTCAGTTAATTCAATCATATCTGCATTCTATACCTTTTCTTACCAAATCTTTCTTTTTTCTACAGATGTCCAACAACTCTTCCAATAATTTAATTCATATTCTGAATAATCTTTTTCTAATGCTAAAAGAATTTGTCTAACAATATTTATATCACAATTCTAAAATAATTCAATGGCCATAGAGTCTTGACTAATTTATTCTATTCCATAAGTATTATCAAGTGCTATTGGTTCTAATTTGCAATCTTCTAAATTAAAATAACCTTCATTCACTAAATTTTTCATTTAATCACATTTCTTTTATTATTATCCAATTAATTCTATCATTTCTGCTCCTTATATTACTTCCCAATCTTCTTCATTGTTTTCTTAATAGATACATCTTTTTTCTTCTTCAAATACCTAAAAGTCATTGATTTAAGTACATAAAGATTATTAGAGATCTTCTCTATTGCTTAATTATGAAACAATTATTTATTACTAACTGTTGATGCTTTTGTATATAGTTTTATTTCTTCTTCTAATCCTGCTATTAATTAAAGAGTCTTAACTTATTCTTTTTATTTCTTTTTAGCTACTTTTCCAACTGATTATTGTAATCTTTTTAATTCTGTTTCTTTTTTAGCCAATTCTTTCCTCCAATCATTATTTGATAATATTTCTTAAATCTTTATTCTTTAATCAATTTCTTAAATCAAAAATTCTGATTCATAAAAAATTGTATCTATAATAAATAAGATGAGTTTTTATTTATCCAAAGCAGACCAATTTTTAAATTACTCTTATTATAAATGTTCTTTAAATTATTAGTATTCTAATTCAATTTCATCTTTTATATATGCTCTAATCCTATATATACGTGTAATTAATGTAAATATTGTTGGCCATATGTTCATCAATATTGATCGACGAATAAAATAACTAAAATTGTAATTACATTATACTTTTTTATTTATCCTATAACATTCAAAAAAGCTGAATTAGTTTATGTTGATGCTTATACTAAATATGCTAAGCAAAATTTATCTATCAATCCTATTACCAATTAATATGCTAAAGAAGAATTTTCATTTGATTCCTAATAATCTCAAAAACTATTTACAAAACTTTTATGCAATTATTCTACTGTATAACGAGTTCTTAAATTCAGTTGAGAAGCAAATGTACGACAAAATTCATAAATTTACAGAGTATTCACCAAAGACATACTTTAATTATTAATTATTACATATTTAGCAATTAAATTGCGGGCAATAAAAAATGAATTTTTCATACTTTATTATATTATCTTATAAATTTCTATTTAATATATTCAATTCAATCTCTATACTCATTTTGAATTCAAATTAAACTAAAGTATTAAGTAAATTTAACAATTTAAGTCAAATATATTAATTAATACAAAAATCATTCATAAGTACCTTTAATTAAATAAGATACTGTGTATTATAGAAAATTCTATATCTTTACTAAGAAATTTATTGAACTAAAATTAAATAAGAAATTTTGAATTGAATTAATTATTTATTATAAAATATAAATCCAAAATTTATAAATATCTATTATTTAGTCATTTTCCTAGAATAGGTAAGATCATTCTATAGTCAATGTTTATTCATTATACCTACGACAGGAGTTTTATATTCATAAAAGTCATTTCGTTTGAAAATTAACATAGAAATTTACGATGATAATATACAGCAAGAACCTCCTATTATATTAGAGGTTCTCAAGGTGTCAATATTTTATATGATTTTACTCTTATAGAATCTCTTGATAACGTATTTAAATTGGTAAGAAGAAGCAAAATAATAAGCTTGCTTAAATATTAAAATAATTCTGATCAGAAATAAATCAGCAAAATAGTAGTTGGAAATGATAGTTCAAAGTTTAAAACTGAAAATGTTATTTAACTAAATATTCATCAATGAATTAGAAGAATAAATGAATGTATAGAAAAAATAATTAGTCATCAAAATCTGATGTTTAGAGTTATAAAATTATTTAGAGTCAAAATTCTAGAATAATTGGCATCTTAAGTGTAAGTTTTAATATAGTAAGATAAAAAATTATCAGAATATATTCATAAATTTAAGTCCATAGTTAATTAGGCATAAGAATAATACTTTAGAAATCACTTAAATAAATTTATTTATAATAAATATATAGAATATTAAATAATGTGCATTTATTAATCAATATATCTAAAGTAAGAATAATAATATTATTAGAATATTAAATTTAATAATATGAAAATTTTTATTAAACTCAAACGTAAGAATTATTNTTCTTCATTGTTTTCTTAATAGATACATCTTTTTTCTTCTTCAAATACCTAAAAGTCATTGATTTAAGTACATAAAGATTATTAGAGATCTTCTCTATTGCTTAATTATGAAACAATTATTTATTACTAACTGTTGATGCTTTTGTATATAGTTTTATTTCTTCTTCTAATCCTGCTATTAATTAAAGAGTCTTAACTTATTCTTTTTATTTCTTTTTAGCTACTTTTCCAACTGATTATTGTAATCTTTTTAATTCTGTTTCTTTTTTAGCCAATTCTTTCCTCCAATCATTATTTGATAATATTTCTTAAATCTTTATTCTTTAATCAATTTCTTAAATCAAAAATTCTGATTCATAAAAAATTGTATCTATAATAAATAAGATGAGTTTTTATTTATCCAAAGCAGACCAATTTTTAAATTACTCTTATTATAAATGTTCTTTAAATTATTAGTATTCTAATTCAATTTCATCTTTTATATATGCTCTAATCCTATATATACGTGTAATTAATGTAAATATTGTTGGCCATATGTTCATCAATATTGATCGACGAATAAAATAACTAAAATTGTAATTACATTATACTTTTTTATTTATCCTATAACATTCAAAAAAGCTGAATTAGTTTATGTTGATGCTTATACTAAATATGCTAAGCAAAATTTATCTATCAATCCTATTACCAATTAATATGCTAAAGAAGAATTTTCATTTGATTCCTAATAATCTCAAAAACTATTTACAAAACTTTTATGCAATTATTCTACTGTATAACGAGTTCTTAAATTCAGTTGAGAAGCAAATGTACGACAAAATTCATAAATTTACAGAGTATTCACCAAAGACATACTTTAATTATTAATTATTACATATTTAGCAATTAAATTGCGGGCAATAAAAAATGAATTTTTCATACTTTATTATATTATCTTATAAATTTCTATTTAATATATTCAATTCAATCTCTATACTCATTTTGAATTCAAATTAAACTAAAGTATTAAGTAAATTTAACAATTTAAGTCAAATATATTAATTAATACAAAAATCATTCATAAGTACCTTTAATTAAATAAGATACTGTGTATTATAGAAAATTCTATATCTTTACTAAGAAATTTATTGAACTAAAATTAAATAAGAAATTTTGAATTGAATTAATTATTTATTATAAAATATAAATCCAAAATTTATAAATATCTATTATTTAGTCATTTTCCTAGAATAGGTAAGATCATTCTATAGTCAATGTTTATTCATTATACCTACGACAGGAGTTTTATATTCATAAAAGTCATTTCGTTTGAAAATTAACATAGAAATTTACGATGATAATATACAGCAAGAACCTCCTATTATATTAGAGGTTCTCAAGGTGTCAATATTTTATATGATTTTACTCTTATAGAATCTCTTGATAACGTATTTAAATTGGTAAGAAGAAGCAAAATAATAAGCTTGCTTAAATATTAAAATAATTCTGATCAGAAATAAATCAGCAAAATAGTAGTTGGAAATGATAGTTCAAAGTTTAAAACTGAAAATGTTATTTAACTAAATATTCATCAATGAATTAGAAGAATAAATGAATGTATAGAAAAAATAATTAGTCATCAAAATCTGATGTTTAGAGTTATAAAATTATTTAGAGTCAAAATTCTAGAATAATTGGCATCTTAAGTGTAAGTTTTAATATAGTAAGATAAAAAATTATCAGAATATATTCATAAATTTAAGTCCATAGTTAATTAGGCATAAGAATAATACTTTAGAAATCACTTAAATAAATTTATTTATAATAAATATATAGAATATTAAATAATGTGCATTTATTAATCAATATATCTAAAGTAAGAATAATAATATTATTAGAATATTAAATTTAATAATATGAAAATTTTTATTAAACTCAAACGTAAGAATTATTATTATACTATATTGATTATAAGAGAAAATGTTTATTATTTATGTATAAATAAATATTTTAACTAATTTTTAAAGTATTATTTTATTAAATTTCTATAAAAATGGGAGGAAGAAGAAAATCGAATAGGATGCCAAAAAAAGAAAAAGCTTAAGCAATTAAAACTATATTTGATTGTGCACTATGTGGCTATAAGAATTGTGTAATTGTTAAAATGTAAAATTAACAAAATGAAATAGAAAAAAAGTCATTAAGATTGCAGAATTAAATTGTGATAAATGTCAAGTTACTTTTACTACTAAAATCAAAGGACTAGATGAAGCTATTGATGTATTTCACAAATGGTTGGCTGAATTGAAGTAAAAAAAACTTACAAAAGACTAACCAGAAACTAGATTTGATGATAATTCAAGTGCTGATGAAGGATCTGGAAGAAATGTAGAAGGTAAAAAATTGATTCTAAACTTTTAAATTAGAAATTCTTAAAGATAAAGGAGATGCTGATAATAAATCATAATTTAGTGCTGATTCATTAGATGAAAAAAATCCATAATAAACCAATAATAATAATGAGAAAAACACTAAAGGCAAACTTAAGAAACAACACTCAGATGATGGAAACAATAATGAAGAGGATGACGACGATGATGACGATGATATTTCAGATGAATCTAAATTAGATTCTGAAAGAATTTCTGACATTGATAGTTTACTAAGTGATGCAGACGACGCTGAGGAAATTATAAAGAAATTTAGAAAACGTTGATTTTATATCATAATGTTTAAAATGTCTAAAAGAACAATTTCCATCTTATTTTCATTCTTTTTTATGCTAATTTATTAGTACAATATATATTTAGAGAATTTCAAAATTTATAATTGAGTAAATTTTTTAAAAGATACAGAATAAAATACTTTCTCATTTTTCATATAGGATTTATTATTTATAAATCACTTGACTTATTTCACCAATTATTTAAAAATAATTCTCTAAATCTAATAATTTAGACAATTTATATAAATTATTTTATTTTTAATAAATTATAGTTATTATGCAACAAGAAGAGGGAGTAAATTGTTTTTGCTTTTAGAAAAAAAATAAAGGAGTTCTCCCTAAAACCTTTAAAAAAACTAATGAAATACTTCGCAAATATAAAAATAATTTTTTAGATGTAAATTATAATACAAATACTAGATATCTGATTCTGATATTTTAGAAGTTATTATTAGATTGTATGTTTCAGAAGATAAATAAAAGGCAATTTCGATGTTATCTCGTTGTCGTATTAATCCAAATTTTTAATCAAATAATTTAAGAGAAGATCTTGAATATTTCATACCTTAAATGGTTAATTTTATGGTATTCCATCAATAATTATCAGATGAAAATTTAAAATAATTTGTTTTAAAAGCATCTTCATTAGATTTCTTTTTTGCACATTTGGTTTATTTTTAGATGAAAAGCTTATCTTAAATTATAACTCCTCATGAAACAGTCACAATTAATGTTGTTAAGAAATTTCTTGAATATTTCTTATTTTCAATGGCCCAAAATTATTCAGGCAATTTATTAATTGCAACTCACATTCTTTAAATGAACTTAGAACTAAGTAACCTAAAAGGTGATAATTCAGATTCAGATGAAAATTCTCCAAAAAAATCATAATTATAAGCTGTTTATTAAGGAACTACTAAATAATAATCAATGAAAGTTAATGAAGCAATTTAAAATTATGGCACAGCTGATTGGATTAAATATTAGAATTCTCATCCTTATGATAATAGAGTAAAAAACCATAAAGAAATAGAGCTTTAAGATTATGAATCAATATTTAATTTAGAAAAAAACGAAAAAACTTTAGATACAGCATTTATATCAAATANTGATGATAATTCAAGTGCTGATGAAGGATCTGGAAGAAATGTAGAAGGTAAAAAATTGATTCTAAACTTTTAAATTAGAAATTCTTAAAGATAAAGGAGATGCTGATAATAAATCATAATTTAGTGCTGATTCATTAGATGAAAAAATTCCATAATAAAAGAACAATAAAGAAAAATTAAAGAAACAACATTCAGAAGAAGGAAACAACAATTAGGATGATGATGATGAAGATGATGATGATGATATTTCTGATAATTCAAAATTAGATTCAGAACAAATCTCAGATATCGATAGTTTATTAAGTGATGCTGATGATGCTGAGGAAATTATAAAGAAATTTAGAAAACGCTGATTATTATAATTATGTTTAAAATATCTATTATTTTTAATCTGTTTTTCTATTTTATACTATATTTTTAGTAGAAGATATTACTAGAAAATTCCATATCATAGATTGTGAAATATAATGAATAAATTATTTGATTATTTAATTAATTATTTTAGGAATTACTTTACGTATATCAAAATAATATTTTTAATCTTATCTTTTATACAAAAAATTAACTTTAATTAGAAATCAATAATAGTCTTAATAATATAAGAAATCAAATTTTATTTGCATTCCAATAAAATAAAGATAATTTCCTAGCATCTTTAAATACCTTAATGATATTAAGCTATTGATAAATAATATAATTTACTGGATGATTTTCTTTTATGGATTGTTCCATTATATAAACAATTAATATATATCTTTTCCCAGAATGTAATTTTCTCTTAATTAATTAATAATTTATGTTAGTAGAATGCTAAAGACATTAGCCATTAAAATTTTCATAAAACCTAACATTTAAGTACTATTAGCACTTTTTGTTCTTTAGTATCTCACTCGAAAAAACTTTATGACTTATTTATTATATTTTATAAACATATATTCAATAAAGAAGATTCTATTCTTTATTAGCAAATTGGTGAAATAAATGTATAAAATTAGCTGAATTTTTTGTTATGTCTATTTGCAAAATTTTTTATTATTATAATAACATTTACTTAGCTTAAGATATCATTTAAAAGATAAAGTATTTCAAAATTATTGATAGTAGATAAAACACTTTTAGAAAATAACTTGTTCTTTTAAGATATAATATTGATTAAACTTTTGAATATGAATTAATATTTTATATCTATATTTTGAATTAATCTTATATAAATATTTTTATATTACTAATTGTTTAGACAAGGGAGAAGATTTTATTGAGAATTATGATTGTAAAGTTAATTATATCAATAAGAGTATTAATTTATTTTTTTGACTTTAAATTTTGAATGTAGGCAATCAATAATTTTTAAAAATGATGATGAATTTTAGATTATTGAAATTTTTAATTACTTATATTAATAAAACATTTTTTTTATATTTGTTTCCTATAAAGCTATTTATTTAAATTTTGACGGTTTAGAATATTTTTATATAAGGATTAACCATATATTTAAATGATTCTTAATTAAACATCTTTATTAAGAATCATTAAGTATTAAAATGATAAAACGGAAGATTAATGATTATGAATTCTATGATATAGTCAATTGATTGAAGTAGGATCAAATCAAATAGAAAAAAATGAAAATTATGAACAGTGAATTTGCCTAAATTTTTTGAGTCGAATTAATACATATTAATTAATGAATAAAATATAATTCAACTCTTTACAGGTAAAAACAACTAAATTAGAATTCACAATTCCTAAACCACCGTTGAATTATATTGTAAAATAAGTTCATCGTTTAAAATGTGTGATATAGAGTAAAAAAGATGTAGAACTCATAATGGATTAAATAAATTTTATTATAGAATTACTAATTGCAGGATAAGTATATATATAATTTTAGAATTTTAGTTTGGGACTCCCTCATTAGCTTATTTAAATGAATTGTGTAACACATTAAAATCAACTATGCATTCATTTGAATAAGATTAATTGGGTTTTGTTTTAGCTAATATGGAGACATTAAAAAAGTAGACAAGCTTAGATTATCTAAAAGGTTTTAAAAAGGGCAGCTCTAGAAATTTAAAGATTGCTAATTAACTTTAAAAGTATATATAACTAAATTTAATCATGTTTTTAGAATATAGAAAAGATTACTCTCAGTAATAAGAAATGTATATGCTCAGTTTGTGTTATTTTGGTTAGATGAACATTAACCAGAATAAAGTATAGCTTTACGTAGTAAGCGTATATTTGTTGAAACTAAAACGTAAAATAAAATAATCATTAATTAATTAAAATAGACTTATACAATGTAAATTAAAAGAATTAGATTTAGAAAAGCATAAGAAAATAGTATGTCGAATATGTGAATAATTAATAGAAGTAGAAATTATGGCAGCTCATTGTATAACATGTGAAAAGAAGGCAGAATAAAGCAAGAAATTATTATAACTAAATTTATAATTAGCAGATGCATCTTAATCAGCATATAAATTAAAGCATGATGTTTAGATAAAGTTGGGTAAATTGAGTTTATAAGAATAAAAGAAAAATAGATAGAAGTTGAAAAAATAAGAAGAAGAAAAAAAACCATTAAGATCTCTTAGAAGGACTCACACTATTCATTTATAAGACAATAAACTCTAGTAAGAAGAAGAAGAAAAGAATAAAGCCAAAAAATAATTGGCTTTTATAAATTCTGTTATGACTATTATAGTAAATTATACTGAAAAGGTTTTAAATAGTAATATTAATAATGAAGATAATAAATGTATTAATAAAAATCTATATATTTAGTAAATCGAATAACATTTGATGAATTAACTGAAGCAAAATGTAATTTAGAAAATGATCAAAATAATGAAGAAGTACTTGATATAATAGATAAAGCTCGTTCATGTATGTATGATAGAATGGAATATTTTAAAATTATATAAAATTTAGAATCATAATAAATTTAAGAAAGTTAAAAGATCAAACAAAAAAGTGAAATAGATTTAAAATAAAAATATAAGAATTCAAATTCAAGTTCATTTAGAGTTTCAAAATTTAATAATATAACTACTACTATCTAATAAAAACTTAAAAGAAATGATACTATCTACGAAGAAGATGATGAATTTGTTGGTTAATCTCCAAAAAATGCCAACAATTAAAATAAAAAATAGAATCTTACTATAATGTCTTTAATTAAGTAAATTACAATTATGATTATTAGTAAAGATAAATTTAATACAAGTAATGTTGGAAGTGTTAATGATATTAATAGAAGAGATAGTTTAACTACTATGTCAATGTCTAGATCTCAAGTGCTTGGAAGTAATTAAATCAAGAGAACATTTTAATCTAAAACTAATACCGAAGATTAACCTTAATCACTATCAAATCCTGGTTCTAAAATATTAGATAAAATTGTTAATCTATCTAATTCTTCTGATACTTTAATAAGTCCAAAATCTAATAAACCATCTCTATTTTTTAAAGCTTAATCTCCTAGAATTGTTGATTCTGTAATTGAATCTTCTAATTAATCTCCAACTGCAATAATAGGATAATTTGATTTTTAGGATGAAAGTCCTCGAAATTAGAATATCTGTTCTTTTGCAGATTTTGCTTAATGTGATTCTGATTAAGAAATTTCAATGAAAAAATAATTAATTCCATCAATAGGAGTAGGTAGACAAGTAGATTCAATTGAAGAAATATAAAAAGACAGAGAATTAAATGTTTTAAATTCATTAGAAAATATTAATTAATGTTAATCTGATTAAGAGATAAATTAAATTCAGATGTCAAATCCCAATTCAAATCAAGAAATGAAAAGGTCTTCTTAAAATAGTATGAAGAATAGTGGCAAAAATAATATAATTTTAAATTAACCAATTCATATGAATGTACAAGATTTACAATAACAATTACATAAAGAATTAGGAGCAAGAATTGAAATAGAATAAATTATTGAAGAATCTTCAAGTTAAAATTCACCTGAAAAATTAGTTTCATAAGATTTGAATTAAAATCGTTTTTCTTCCAATGAAAAATTAATTATTCTCTAGAAGGATGAAATCAATTATGAGGCTGATATAAATCAATCTTTGAATTAACCAAAAAAAGGTTTATTTAATCCATAAAATTTCAGAAATAATAATAAGAAATAAAGTATGGTATATGCTCCAGAAAAATCTAAATAATCATTTGATTTTGAAGTCATAACTGTAGATAGAGGTTATAATTCAGATTCTGAACTTGTTAGTATAAATGCAGAGAAAGCTAATTAATCTTAAGAGATTGGATTGAAAGATTTTGAATTCATAAAACCATTAGGACAAGGGGCATTTGGATGGGTATTTCTAGTTAAAAAGAAAACTTCTGGAGATTTATATGCAATGAAAATCATTGATTGTTCATAAAAAGTATATTATATTTAAATTAATATAAGTAATTAGAAACTTAGCTTGATACTTTAAAAGCAGAAAGAAATATNTATCTACGAAGAAGATGATGAATTTGTTGGTTAATCTCCAAAAAATGCCAACAATTAAAATAAAAAATAGAATCTTACTATAATGTCTTTAATTAAGTAAATTACAATTATGATTATTAGTAAAGATAAATTTAATACAAGTAATGTTGGAAGTGTTAATGATATTAATAGAAGAGATAGTTTAACTACTATGTCAATGTCTAGATCTCAAGTGCTTGGAAGTAATTAAATCAAGAGAACATTTTAATCTAAAACTAATACCGAAGATTAACCTTAATCACTATCAAATCCTGGTTCTAAAATATTAGATAAAATTGTTAATCTATCTAATTCTTCTGATACTTTAATAAGTCCAAAATCTAATAAACCATCTCTATTTTTTAAAGCTTAATCTCCTAGAATTGTTGATTCTGTAATTGAATCTTCTAATTAATCTCCAACTGCAATAATAGGATAATTTGATTTTTAGGATGAAAGTCCTCGAAATTAGAATATCTGTTCTTTTGCAGATTTTGCTTAATGTGATTCTGATTAAGAAATTTCAATGAAAAAATAATTAATTCCATCAATAGGAGTAGGTAGACAAGTAGATTCAATTGAAGAAATATAAAAAGACAGAGAATTAAATGTTTTAAATTCATTAGAAAATATTAATTAATGTTAATCTGATTAAGAGATAAATTAAATTCAGATGTCAAATCCCAATTCAAATCAAGAAATGAAAAGGTCTTCTTAAAATAGTATGAAGAATAGTGGCAAAAATAATATAATTTTAAATTAACCAATTCATATGAATGTACAAGATTTACAATAACAATTACATAAAGAATTAGGAGCAAGAATTGAAATAGAATAAATTATTGAAGAATCTTCAAGTTAAAATTCACCTGAAAAATTAGTTTCATAAGATTTGAATTAAAATCGTTTTTCTTCCAATGAAAAATTAATTATTCTCTAGAAGGATGAAATCAATTATGAGGCTGATATAAATCAATCTTTGAATTAACCAAAAAAAGGTTTATTTAATCCATAAAATTTCAGAAATAATAATAAGAAATAAAGTATGGTATATGCTCCAGAAAAATCTAAATAATCATTTGATTTTGAAGTCATAACTGTAGATAGAGGTTATAATTCAGATTCTGAACTTGTTAGTATAAATGCAGAGAAAGCTAATTAATCTTAAGAGATTGGATTGAAAGATTTTGAATTCATAAAACCATTAGGACAAGGGGCATTTGGATGGGTATTTCTAGTTAAAAAGAAAACTTCTGGAGATTTATATGCAATGAAAATCATTGATTGTTCATAAAAAGTATATTATATTTAAATTAATATAAGTAATTAGAAACTTAGCTTGATACTTTAAAAGCAGAAAGAAATATTTTTGAAATTTTATCAGGAGATTTTGTAGTTAAAGCATACTATTCATTCAGTCATGAATAAAATTTATGTTTTGTCTAAGAATATATGGTTGGAGGAGATTTTTCAAATATTCTAAAGATGTATACGGTATAAATTTCTATTACATTAAGGCTTTAGATGAGGAATACGTTAGACATTATATAGCTGAAGTAGTTTTGGCTTTAGAATATTTAAGATCCAAAAAGATTGTTCATAGAGATTTAAAACCAGATAATATTCTATTAGATAAACAAGGTCATGCTAAATTGGCTGATTTTGGATTATCAGAAGTTGGTTTCAATAATAGATTAAAACTGAAATTAAGACAATAAGACATTGAATCGTAATTATTATTTTTTTTATATTAAGAAATACCATTCCAGAATTTGCTGATCGTAATGATCCATAATATGATACTGTTTTTGATCTAAAATTACCTTAAGCTTAATAGACTATTAGAGCAAGTATTTAAAATTATAGCAGTAAAAATAAAAGAATTGTTGGTACTCCAGATTACATTGCTCCAGAAGTCTTAAAAGGAGAATCATTAACTAATAGTAGTTTAGATTATTGGAGTTTAGGGGTCATCATGTATGAAATGCTTTGTGGTATTCCACCATTTAATGATGATTCTGTTGAGAAGATATTTGATAATATTTTAAACTACAGAATTTAATGGCCAAATGTTAGTGATTTTGAAGAGGAAAGCATATCTCATAATGCTTATGATTTAATGTGTCGATTAATGGAACCAGATTATACAAAAAGAATTGGACATTAAGATATTAATGAAATAAAAAATCATCCTTTTTTTTAAGGTATTAATTGGAATACAATACTTTCTATGCCTGGTTTAATTGTACCTAAGATGGTTTTAAAAGAAACTGAAGTTGATGGGAAAAATTGTGAAAAAGTCTAATAATTCTTAAATAATTTAGAAAAGAAAGAAGTTAAAAATTAAACTTTAGCATAAAAGTTAAAAAGTTAACTATCCAATTTAGAAAGATTAGATTTATTAGTTAAATTAAGTTTAGAAGAAGCAAATGATAAACTGTAATTATTTAAATTGATTATAGTTCTAAAATAAGGACAGAAGAAAATAAATTAAAAAGAACCTTAAACAAAATTGATCATTATGAACAAGAACATTAAGTTTAAATGTTACTATTGTATGAAGATGTTTTTTGAATTTAACTTTTTTTGTATAATTAATAATATCAATAGATTTTTATAATTATTAAATACATATTTTTTTTATATATTCAACCCTTCTTTTAAGTAAAGAATTATTATTTAATTATCTATTCTATTTAAAGATATATATTTACAAATGAATTTAGAGGATTAAAATTATTTGGTTTAGAATTTTATATACGTGTTGATTCTCTTATTATCATTTAACTTGTTTTCTAAAATTATGAATCATTTTGATTGAAGTCAATAGTAGCAGTAGCTAAATTTCTAAAACTACTTGAACCTTAAAGTTTTTCAGTTCTTTAATAATCAGGTTTTATTGAAATTCGGTTCCCTTTTTCATATTCTGCAATCTAAATATGATAATATATAATAAATGTACTTTTAATATTAATTCATTATTTTTATTTTAATATTCTTCTTTCAAAGTAGTTTATCTCAATAATTCTTGTTTTACTATACTAAGTTAGTTTTATAAATCTATCAAAAATTGTTAATTACTAAATTAACAAAAATATATACTCATTTTATTTTGTTATTAAATTTTTATTATTCTCTTGATTTTAGATTTATTCCTGCTAATTTGTTATATAATTAGACAACTATTAAATTTCATTATCTTTTTTTTATATAATTTCTTATATTTCCATAATTTTTTTATTAAATTGTTCATGTAATTCAAGATTCTCAATTTTCTTTTCCTCATTAAATTATTTTAAAGCATTTTCTAATTTATTGCAATGTTACATTAATTATGTCATTTTTTCTTGTTATTAAGCATAATCTTAAATTTATGTTTAATTTTCCTTTAAATTTGAATAGTGTTATTCAAGCTTTACTGTATATGATTATATTTTCTCATTTTATTTTTTTATTTCATCATTCTTTTATTTAATCAAATCTGATAATCTATTAATTTCTTTTTGTATTTCATCATTTTACATTTAAATCTATTTACAATTATTTTTGCATATTAAATATTCATCATCTTTTTATTTTAATTTAAATTAAAATTCTTATTATAATTATTAAATCTATTAATTATTTTTAGTTTCTTAACTTTTTAATTTAAACTCATAATCTTGTTTACTCAATTCAAATTCTCCCCATTATCTTTTAATCTGATTTTCAGATTCATTTAATTTTCTCTTAAGTTCACTAATTACTTCTTATGAATCATTTTTAAATTTATCTCTTTATTCATATTAACTAATCATTTATTTATACTATATTATTTCTTCTTAAACTTAATTATACTCTTTAATCTTTAATTACATATCATCAACTGATGATTATAATTCATATAATTATTATCTCATTTTTGTATTCTCATACTTCATTTTTTCATTTGCAGAAATTAATTCCTCAACATTTTTCTTTTATAAATTTAATTATTTTTCCAAATATTAAATATCATCTGTTTTTAATTACAATTATAATTCTAACTATGATATTTTAAATATATCTTCATCTTTACTAACTTCAACAGTTTCTTTAATAACTTTAATTTAAGATTACTTATTTGATAATTCTAAATTATTCTATTCTAAAATTCTAATCTTTTATTCTAATTATTAAATTGTCAAAAATTCTTAACTTTATGATTTTCTCAAGGATTCATTCTATTAATTCAATTAGAACTGTAAATTTTTATTTTCCTATTTTAATGATATTAATTATTTTTAAAGTTCTTAAATTTATTCTAAATCTTAATTAATTATATCTGATTTTTTTATTTGTTCAGTATATTAAATTTTCAATTTGAAATTTTCATCTTATAATTATTAAACCATCTACTCAAATTATTGGATTCTTAACAAATCTTACTTTGAAGAACCTTCTACATATTCTGTTATTGGGGATTATTTCCTATTACAAACTTCATCATAATCAGTCCTTAAAGTAATTAATTATTTTTCTAATTCTTTAATTCGATTTTTATCTATTTCAGATTATATCTCAATTTAATTTTACTTTTGAGTATTTAATATCATATACTCTGATTGTAATTATTGTAATTCCTATCTCAATTATTTAATTAATATTTAATCACTTTGTGATGGCACTTCAATAATTTCCTTTACCACTTCCTTTAATACTTATTATTTCAAGGTATTCAACTCAAAGTATTGTTCTTTTTGAATTCTTAATTATTCTTCTAGCTATTTTATTTTATTTTTATCATCCTATAATCCTTAGTTCAATTAATCTTTCATAATTTAAATATTATATTAATTTTGAAGACTAATATATTATTCTTTCATTATAAGGTACTCCTATTAAAGATTTTATAATGATTATTCTAATAATTTTATTCTCTCTTAATCCTATTAATTTTCAACCTATATATATTCTTTGATAACTTCATTTTTCTTCTGATTTAATAAAATGATATCTTTTTAAGAATTCTCCAATTGTAATTCTAATTATTGAATTCTCTTTTTATCTTACTTTGATTATTAAGAAAATAAAGTTTCTCTTTCTGAAAACTTCAATTTTTCAATTTCAATTTGTGTCTCTAGATCAAAACATTTAGTAGATTTAATATTTAATTAAGCTTCTAATTCTCTTATCTTTATTTTTAAATCATCTTATTAAAATTATAACTACTATAATTGATTTTCAGACTCATTATTATTTTTGAACTATAATTCTTCAATTTTTTTCTAATATTATGTGATAGTTTCTTTATAATGTAATTCTTTTTAGTATAATGAATGCATTATATTTTATTATTCTTCTACCAAAGCTTCTAAATTTTTAATTGTAATTTAATCATATTCATTTTAAGTTTTATAAATGAGATATTAACTGATTTGATTACGAAGTTCTTGATATTTATACATCAAGTCTTCATTTTATGTCTGTTATTCACAAAATTTATCTTACCAAAGTTTAATCTAAATATCTTCCCCTTATTTTTATTCAACCAATTATTGAATATCCCTTTTTAATTTATCAATTTATGCTTCTTAATTATTAACTTCTAATTATGTTTAAAATGTAAATCTACTTTCATCCTAAGATTAACCTTTTTAATAAATCTCCTTTTGTAACAAAATACATTTATCATTTACACTTTTAAGTTCAATTTAATAAATATTTTCTTAATCCTTTAATTATTTAGTGTGTTACTCTTGCTGAAAAAATATTTCACTTTTTAACCTTTCAATCTCTTCTAAATAAGAGTTAATTTATTATTAGACTTCTTTTTAAGATAATTTAGTTTAATTTTACTAAAGAATTAATTATTTAGTTCTTTAATTTTCAATTTCTAATTACAATTATTCTATAAATTATTTCAATTAAGAAATTTCATTTTTATACTATTGATTTTCTATTTATGAATAATTATTTGTCTAATTCTGAAATTAATCAAGTTTCTATTTCAAATTTTAGTATTCTTTTATTAATTATGATTCACTTTATGATTTCTATTATAATTCTGCTTTTAAATTAGTAATCTATTTGTTTTATTAGTAAATCTAATCTTTAAATTAAGATACAACATCTAAATTAGCCTATGATTCATCATATCTACTTTTATAAACTAATTATTAATTTTCTTTTTCTAGAATTATTAATTTATTCTCTAATTCATTCTTCATTAATTCTAAATTCTCATACCTTTATTACCATCCTTATATCTATGCAGATAACAATTAGATTTAACTTTTCATTTAATCAATATCATATTTAGATTACTTTTTTTATTCATTCAAAGCCTTTTCTAATTTTTCTTAACTTTGACTATAATCATTTATTAAAATTTAAATATCTTCTTCCATTTCTTTTATTTTCTTCTAATACTATGAATAAGTTGTATCTTATATTTCAATAGTTTAAGTTAAACGGTTTTCTTTAAATAATTTCAATTCTATCTCTAAATTCTGTTTTTATTTATTTAACTCATTAATTTATTATTACAAATTTACATTATCTAAAATATTACTAGCATAAATACCTTATTGAATTTTTTATATATATTTATCAGTTGATTATTGAGATCCAAATTGGTTTCTAATCCTTGAGAGTTCCTATTAAGCAGCTGATAACTCAACATTAATAAGCAATTATTTTTGCTTTAATTCGTTATTTTCCATTTGGAATGATTTAAGTAGCAAATTCTCTTTATTCAATTGTTCACATAAATCTCTATAATAAAATATCTCTTATTTTTGTTCTTCTCTTTTTCTTTATTCTGAAGGTCTTTGATCATATTAAGAAGATAATCGACTACTACTTTGTAATATGTTATTTCCATTCATACTAATTTTAGTATAAATATTTACCTGATCATGTATTTGTCTTTTATATTTTGAATGGGATATTACTATTACATAAATAAATATTATTTATGTTATAATATCAATAAACTTTAATTCATGTTAATTTACACTCTACACATTAGCTTATGGCATTTACAAATATTTCCTTGAATATTACATTATTTATATAGTCTAGTAATTTAGAATACTCAAAAAAGTAGAATCGTAAATATGTTTTTGAATTCAGTTTTATTAAATCCTAAAAGAAGTATATAAATATTTTTAGTATCTGAATTATTGTTAAATCTATTAGCTTTTGTAATTTTGTAGAATATTCATACAATAAAAATTAAGTACCAATATCTATAATAATTAAATAAAGATTTTAAACAATAATCAACTATTAAAATTGCAAAGCCTTGTATGTTTTGAAAGTTTGTAATAAAATTTATATAATTATATTTTTATTTGAAACAATCGAATATTATTTCTAATTTATATAGAATAGTTATAATATCAGATTAGAATATTAAAGACTTTGATTTATTAAATATATAATATAATCTTGGAATATTTAGTATTTAATTTTATTAGTGTATCTCTTTTTATTTTTCTAAATTAAATTTAGATGTAATATTTTTAATTCAACTCAATTAAAATTAACTTATTCTATTTCTATAATAATAATAAATTCATCAAAATTTAATCAAATATAATAATCGTTTAAATCATATCTTTATTAAAAAAAGATGAATTTATTAATTACTTATAAAATAATAAATTTATATAATTAAAATATCTGAATCATTACTCATTTTTTTATTATTTTACATAATCATTAAGTAAAAATAATAACTCTTTCGTCTTTTAACGAAGTTCTAGAGGATCTTCTATAGTTTCTAATTCTCTTAATATTAATTAATATTATTTAGTTTGAACTGCTTCATATATTAATTGTTTATTTTATTCTCTTTATTAATATATTAATTCAAGAGCCATTAAAATTAGTTATGGCCAAGTAACATGATGGGTTTCTTAAATTTAAAACTTTTCACTAAAGAATATTGTTTAAACTCTATCAGAAATTGTTTCTATCTCTAAAGGATAATTATAACATATATTCATAAACTTGATGAATTATTTCTATTAAACAATAGCTTCCATCACTTTCTTTCTTGGTATAACCTTAATAGTAAAATTAGTTAAATGTAAAAGTTTTAACAACAATGGAAAAGATTTATTTAACATAGTCATTTTTTAAATGAATTATTTAAAAATCGGTTTAGTATTAGTTGAAACCTTATCTGATGTTTTTTTAGTCTTTGAATTTAACTGAAATTTACAAGTATCTTATTCAATTCTTAATTGTTCTGATATATCTTAATTTGATTCCAATAAATTTTTTATTTTAAATAAATAAGTACCTATTTATAAAATATTGCATCCAAAGGATTTAAATTATTCATTTGGATCTACCTTATTAAATAGTATTAATTTAATATTTTGACCACATAATTACCAAATTTACTATAGAAGTATTTTAAATTATTCATCTTTGTATATTTAAATTAATTCAACCTAATATTTAAAGTAATTATTGATTATTAATTATAAATAGGAGATTAAAACATTATTCAAATCTACTTTTAAATAATTAGGGTTTTCAAGATGAAATTTCTCTAATGCACTAGGATTCATAAAAGAACATAAGATTTATTCTAATTTAAATTATTGTGCAAATTTAGCTAATTCTGGCATTTTGCATAATTATAAGATTATTTAATCTGATGGAGATATAATTAAAATCCCTCTTTTATCTGGTATTTTATGTCTCTTACTAAAATATATAAATTTTATTAATTTAAGTAGATGAGGAACAACAATTTATAAATCTATTAATTTCAACATTAAAACTTTAATTGCAAATTCCTTTCTTATTTTATTCTCTTTTTCAGATTGATCTTTTTCTTCATAAAGAAATTAATTAAATTTATCTTTGTTTTAATCAAATTAATTTAATGATCCATTTTATATATCATTTTATGATATTATTTCTTGTTATACATGTTAAGATTCATCTGAACTCATTTACTATTAATTTAATTCTAATGCTAATAAATCTGAATGAACAATTTTAACTTATTAAATAATCATTTTTAATATTTTGGAATTTTAAATTACTGAATTTTTAATTTGTCTACATAAATTATATTGAATTCTAATATTTTGTAAATCTAAATGATGCATTTTAAATCTTTTCATTCCAAAATCAGCTAATTTATTAGTAAAATATTAAAGTAATTTTAATATGATTTTTTCATCATTATCTAATTTAGTTGTATCAGATTTTTAAGTTATTTCTGGATTTGAACTTTTATCTTTTTCTAATTTATTACGAATTCTATTTAATTGTTTTAATAATGCATCACAATAATTTATAGTAACTTTATCTTTTGAGATATTTACAAAAGATAGAATTTGAGGAAAAACAACTCCTCTTTCTATTATGTAAATTAAATATTCCCTAATTTATTAAATCATTCCATCAGTGGGAATTTTCGATGTTAGGATTTGATCACTAAGTTATATATTTGATGTTGAATTTGAGTTTAATGGTAGGTCTAACAATTTAAATTAATAAGAAAGTGTTTGATTATCTTATGTTTAATTTATTAAATATGCATTCTGATAATTCTAAGTTAATTTTTCTTAAGTTTTCTAGTGTTTCTTATCTAACATAATTATTATTAATTTTACTGCTCCTAATTTTTTGAATGAATAAGTAAAAGTTATTTATATTAGCTGAATATATAAAGGATTTTTTTATATTACAATATTCAAATATTAAGTTAGATTTTACTTAAATATTTATATAATAATAATAAAATTTCCTTAATTTATTTCGAATCAATAATTATTTTATTAGAACTCAAAATATTAGATCAAAATCAAGTGAAAAATATACTTATATAGTTATTTAGTTCATTTTATATTCAGATAGTTAATTTTATATTTAACAATTCTGATTTTATAATTAAGTGTTGTATGCTAAGATTTATAATAAAAGGTGAAATTTCTAGCTCTTATTTATTAGTATTACATTATGTGTATCTTAATAAGTTTGAATAAAAAAGGTTATTATTACCTTTGAAATATTTTTAATTTTATATATGATTTTATCTGAAAGAAACAAGCCGAATATGTAAATGTAAAGAAAATACAAGCAGATCTCATTATCTTAAGTCTTGAAAAAGCCACTCATTATAAAATCCTTGCCTCCTATATTTATTACATCTGTTCAAAAGACTTTGAAGTATACTTAATAAAAATCAGATAATTGCTAATCTCAAAGATTTTCATAAGAGTCTATATTGAATAAATTTAATTGTTTTGGACCAGTAGGATTATCATAAACTCCTTTGAATAAAAACCCTATATAATAGCAAATAGTTTTATTGAGCAGTAGAAAATTAGATATTTAAGATAAAAAAAAATACACTAATTATAGAAAAATTCATGTTAAACCAATATAACTTTTGACAGAAAAATATCACACAGAGGAAGATGTTCAAAATGATAAAGTCAATAAATGGTCTTAGACTACATTTGATGAAGACTAGCTACTTGAATATTTAAATAACTGAAAAAATGAATGAAAATAAAACTGATTTTTTATATGTATTTTATATGTAAGTCTTTTTTAATTAAAAAAAATTGATTTTCAATATTAATTTAATGAAATTGCTTTTAATTTTATTGTTATGTTTGAGTACTTATGCTTTTACAGATTAAATGATGTCTTTAGAAGAACTGGCGAAATTTGATATAAAAAGTGTAGATTGTACAAAGATTGATCAAATATCTTTGATTGAAAAACAAATGCAATAATGGGAAGACTTATTAAAACATTAAAAAGCTATTTCTCATGATATTAAAATATTAAAATCTATGGAACATCTATTATCATCAAAGACAAGTTCATTTTTAGAAATTCAAACATAAATTTCTGGAAAAAAATTGATGAAAAAATTACACAAATTAGAATTACCATTAACAAAAAGTAAAATTGGATTAGCATAAGTATAATTGTTAAAAGAATAATGTAAAGGCTTAGATTCAGAAAGTAAATATTGAATATAAAATAAATTAGATCCTGAAGAAAGAGCTTAAGCAAAAAAGGAGTTATGCAAACTTTTAAAGGAATATGTTAATAATTTAAATAATTGTAAGTAATAATGTACTAATTCACCTGTGACAGTTATTAAGATTAAAGGATAGATTAAAGATTTAGAAATAATAAGAGATAATTGTTAAAATGGGAAAATTAGTAGAGTTAAAGTTGTAACAATAGATGGTGAAAATAAAGAATATAAAGTAGCAGCAGATGGCATAACTGAAATACAATGATTATTAATAAAAATATATTGATTAATATAAAGAACATTAAGGTCTATTTATTATATTAAATGGATTAAACATTTATATAAAATATTGAGAATTTCAATATCTATGGATTGTTCTCATATTTTTAAATTATCTTTTTAACAAGAACTACACTTGAATTAAATGATTCAAAAAGCTAAAGAAATAGAGAAGTAGATACTCTTTAAAAAAGAATATTCAAACCAGAATTTTATTATAATCCAAAATTATTTGGTATCAACAATTATCCTAAATATTTTAATTAAAATTTAGCCAGAAGATTATATCTTTGAGTAGCTTTTGATATATTCTTTAAAAATGAAATAATTAGTTTTATTTTTTAACTTTATTGATCATATCTTTTGTGAAATATATGATGGTGAATAAATGAAAATTGTCCATTTTTAATAATTAGAAATATGATATATGCAATTATTTAGAATGGATTCTAATTAGATTAAATAATAGTAACAAATACTAATAAATGTATCATCTATAGAGCAAAATATTAAGTGTAAAGAAACTATATAGCTGAAGTTTTTCGTTTTGCTATTACTAAAGATCTTGAAATAAAACTAATGTCTTATTTTATTAATCCTAATGATCCTGATTTTAGAGCTAAATTAATAATGATAATAAAAAATGTTTTTATTATTAAAAGTTACTCTTAATTAATTAAAATTTCACTATCAAAAATCGATATTTTTAATACATAAAATAATTCAGTAGAATTAATAAAATTATACTAAATAATCATTCACATTCTACTACAATTAACTAAACCTTATTTGAATCTGTAAACACATCACTTATTATTTCATCCTTTTTATCTTTCAATGATAACCTTGGAAAGTTCTAAATTAGATCTATATTTGAATTAGGATCATTGAAACAATCATCTTCTTAACTTGATGCAAAATCAAATATCGACTAAAACTAGATTATAAGATATACCTATATTTTATCATTAAAATTAAATCTTCTAGTTTTATTAGCATTCTCAAATCTAAATAATATTTCTATTCCTTCTTCACCTTCTGGTTCATCTGGTAAGTTTGATAATATAGTAGCTTTTTGTAAAAGTCTTTATTCCTAAAATTATTTTATTTTAATACACTTAATTATTGTTATTCTAATAATTTATTTTCTTATTATTATTTTAATTCTTATTCTTTTCTTTTTTTCTCTGATGCTTATTATTCTGCAATACGATAAGCTTCTTATTATTACTTTATTAATTATTCTCTTTCTCTTTACTATACTTCTTGTTATCTTCTTTAAGCATACTATTATTATTATTATTAACCATAGAAATTTGGAATATATTATTATTATGGAACATTACATTCTCTTTTTACTTGATCTTCCATTATAAATTATTTATTAAATTGACCTTTTAAAGATTTTAATTTTCCAGCTAATTCTTAAAAATTACTCTCTGGTGACAAATGTATTGTGTCCATTAACACAGGTTACTCAGTTAAATCTAATCTGTAAATTAGAAGAGTTGGAGGTTAAGGTTTTACAGGTAACAATTCATATACCTAAGGACTTTCCAAAAATCCTACAATATGATAATTTTTATTGACAATCTAAACAAAAGTTTTGTTGCTTATCATATTCTCAAAGGTATATAAAGATTATTGATTATGTAAATATATCAATAAAGGTTTAGTCTCTTCATGAGCTCTCCTCAGATTATCTTAAAAGTTGCCCATTTAAAAATTAATGTCTGTTTAAATCTATTATTATTAAATAAATGTCTAGAATGCCATTCCATAATTTGTTTCTCGTTTGACTAAAATCTTCATTATAAACTAAATACATAGATATGTTATTGCACTCCAACCAAATTTAAAAGTCTTTTTAAGAATTCCATCATCATTGGCTCTTTTATCCTCTTGATATTTTTTATATTTCTCAATCAATGTTGCATCTGGAGCTGATCTCTAACGTATAAGTTCAGGTGGAGGATTATTTTGATTAAAAATCATTGTATTCACTATTTCTAAGAACATATAATACCTTCTTTAACATCTTGCTAATTTAAATATTATTGTTAATTTTATTAGTACGGTGATTTTTAAGATTAAACACTTGATTATTAGCTCAATGTTGGTTAACCTTCTAAGTCAAGATAAAGTTGAATAGCATTCTAAAAATATTCATTAATTCTACTTCTAAATTATTGTCACCCATCTAAATATATTATAAGGCTTTTTATTCATCTTAACATCCTGTTAAAGCCATAAAGTCTAGTATGTCTTTTTCTTAAGTTGCCTGCATTAATTTATATTAATTTATATTAATTTTCTTAAAATCACATCAGCATTTATTGGATGATGTAAATGTAAAAAATAAAAGAAATTTTATTAGTAATTATATAGAATTCTTTTATTATTTCTAAATCAAAACAATTTATAATAAAATAATATATCTGAATTTAAGTTTTAAAATACATTATTACTTTTTTTATTATGTTACAAGATATTTTTATATGAAATCTATTCAATAATTATTATAAATTATATATTTTAATATATTTACTTTAAAAATTAATAAAGATGATACAAAAATAACAACTCAAAAAAATTTTAATGATGCTTCTAATTCAGAAAGAAACTTTGTATATTAATTTTGTTTAACTTCAATTTTTTTCATTTGATCTTTCAATTTTTTATTTATATCCAGTTTAGTTAATTCTCTATTAATTTGATTAATTGTAAATTGCTCTATTTAAGATAAAACTGGTTTTTATATATTTGTTAAATAGACTGATAAGATTCCCTTTTCTGCTAATCTATTTAGAAATGCCATAAAAGTAAAAACAAATTATTTGTTATCAGTAAGAAACTAATGAATTTAAGTTGATGTCAGTTGATTATTTGTATAATAATCTGTTAATGTTTTGGATTTATTTAAAATAAGATTCATAGCAGTAGTTTAATCTATTTATTCATTAAGTTAAATTGATTGCTGTTATACTTTTTATGTGGCATATCTATTAAATCTCTTTCTTTATCCAAATTGTTTAGGAGGTAACTCTTCACTTAATTATTTTTATAAGGATTTAGTTGATTCTTATAGATTGGAGTTACTTAATTTAGGTAATATTTGATTTATTGATCCTTTATGAGTAAGTCTAAATTTGGTATATTAGGTTTTGCTAGTTTCATCATCAGGAGTTCGTTTTTCACTTTATGTGGATTCATTTTATTCAAATTCATCTCCTTCTATTGAAGTTCTAAATTCTTGTTATTTCTTGAGTTCTTTGATTGTTTTAACAGTAGTTGATTATATTATATTTTATTCCATTTATTATTTCATAAATTATATTATTTTATATATATAATAAAATACAAGATTATAATATAGAGTAGAGATCATTATCTTCATTCATTGGTTTTAAATTGATCTGAAATCTACCCAATTTTATCTAAATGTTATGTAATCCCATGTTTAATTTTCATATGTTACATTAATGATCCTTCAGAACCATAAGATTTATTGCAATTTTTAATTTAACAAACATGACTTCTTGGAATCTCAATAGCAGATCTTCTATTTCTTTTTCTTTTATCTTCCATTGATAATTCACTTTCTTAATCATCCAAAGCCTAAAATTTCAATAATTTTTGCTTAATTTCATTTCTCTCTTAAGTGACTTATTCAACCTAGTATTATTATAAGAGACAATAAATGTACATGTTAATGAAGAACTATATTATAATAATATAATCTAATTGATTCCTTGTAGTAGTCAATAGCATGTTATTGATCATACTCATTGATTTCTTCATTATTAGACATTATTGTTTAAATAAATATAATTGCTTTTCTTTTATATACAATAAATAGGTTATAAACAATCTCATTATGTTAATCTAGACAAATTTATTATTCCACATTCAATACAAGAAAATACTTAATCAACTATATTCAAAGTGACACCTAAAATAATACAAATAATCCTAACAATTTCAATTTTTGTGTTGAAATTCTTCCTAATTTTATTTAACTCACTTTTCTTTAACTAATTGCAATTAACAATAATGCATATTTTAATTAAATGCTATCAAAACATCCATTATTTTTTATTTCATCTAACAATCTTTTGGCAGCAGTTTCACCTACTTTTTCTGGATTATTAAATTCATTTGAATATTCACAATTGACAATTAGATAAATAAACCATTTGTACTTTCTGCTATTAAACTAACTTTATATCCATTCTGAAATTCATTTCCTTTTTATGATTTTTGTAAATCAGTATGAATCCAAACATCAGGTATAGAATCATTAAAAACATTTCTACATTGACTAACAATTCTATAAAAAAGATTAGGAGCTACCTTACTATCTGAATATAATTCTCTTATTTTAATAAATAGGTCCTCTCTCAATTATAGTTGTAGCCTAAATCTATCTTATTGGTTTAGAATACAAACTATAAATTTTCATTTTTATAATACATTACAGTTCCTGTCAATACCTTCTAGTAATTTTTAAGGAGACATCACTTTCAGGACTAAATTTCTTTATTAAAGGAATATATGAATTTATAATTGAATCTACAGATTAATCAGTCTAATCATTTTTTATGCCATCTAATTCTATTTTTAAAGGAGCTTTGCCAAATAAACTCAGAATTAATAAGATTTCCAAATAATATGATATTGATCTATCAACATCAAAATTACAAATTTGCAACATAACATCTTAATTTGTTATGATTCCTATATCTAATTTTAAACTCAACTTGGTATATTTATATAATTCCCTTTGTATTAACATCAATCTTGCATCCAGTTTAGATTAATTACTTTAATTTTAATATTGATTATAAATGAGGACATGACTTATATATATATATATCTCAATATTGATTTTACATATTATTAAAATTCTATTTTAACTGCTCTTTCACTCAAAGTTGAACAAAGTAGAATTTCTCTAAAATTTATCACTTATTAAAAACTAATTACATATATATTAATGACAATATATATTTTACACAAATACTTGCTATGGTCAATGAATTAAATTTAATTTGCCATCTTTTTTATAAATTAAAGGAAGATGAATAAGAAATAGAACTCTGGTTAAAAATGTCCACTTTTTTAACAAAATTTTATTAAACCATAGAATTAAATTTATTATTCTGATGTACTCTAATAGATCACAATCATATAGAAAAAATTACTCTTTAAAACTTTATCCAGGAAGTCCAACTGAATCTCATCGAGAAGAATCAGAATACAAATATTTACCTTTGATTACAAGAGTTAGTTAAGAATAATTAGACCCAAAGTGGTAGGAATGCAAAATTGATGGTAAAAATCTCTTACCGAGATCTAGCTCAGCTATAACCATATAAAACAATCAGTAAATTAATATAATAACTCAGTTTATATTTATATGGAGGATATTAGTATGCATTAGGTATTATGTAAGACTTCTACAAACTTAATCTGAATGCCCAAACTTTTGTATGGTAGAAAATTAAATGTAATTATGAACCAGGACCTAGATGTAGACATTCAATTTGTAGTTTCTAAGATAATATTTACATATTTGGTGGATAAGTAGCTGATTTAATATCAACAAATGAAATATTCATACATGACGTCAAATAATAATAATGGACAAAATTAGAAGTTAATAAAACATATCCATTACCTATGGATAATCATTGTGCAACATTATATAAAGATCAATGGATCATATTTGGAGGGTTTTATAGTGGCAATCAATGTAAACACTCTAATGATTTATTCAGTTATAAATTTTAAGATAATAAATGGGTCAAATTAAATAATAAAAAAGGAATGGAACCTGCCCCTAGAGATGGGAGTTCTATAACTAGTTATAATAATAGTGTATATATATTTGGAGGTAAAAATGGAGATTTGAGGTATAATGATCTTTGGTAATTTGATATGTTGAAATTAGAATGGAATTTTATAGCAATTAATAATTTAAATACTATTCCAATGAGTAGATCTGGACATTCATTAATATGTTATTAAAATAATTTAATTCTTTTTGGAGGTATTCATGATGTGACATGGGAACTTGATGATTTACATAGTTTCAATTTGGATCTTAAAGAATGGAAAACTATTAATTTCGATACTTCAAGGAGACAAGAATTAGAATTACGTTCACCTCCAAAAACTAATAGGAATCCACCAAGATAAAGGAAACCTAAGAGATTACCAATTTTACTTAGACCTTTAAGTTTGAGAAAATCTCCATGTCCCTCACCTAAGAAACTTCGTCCTGGTTCGTAATCATAATATTCTTCTTATTCTATTAAAAATTAAAACAATTATGCTAGTCCTGATCTTAGTTAATGTTAAAGTAACTTAAATAATTAAAATAATACAACTATTTAAACAACTTTAAATAATGTTTAGGAAAGAAAAAGATGGGAATAATAAAAGTAAAAGACTGCTATGTTGAAATTATTTGAAGTTGAAAATAGAGAAATAATGAATTTTTAAGATGATTGTAATGTTGCTGAAAAATTAAAAACATCAATTATTTTGATTGGAAATCCAAAATAAGATTTAAAATTAAAAAAAGGAATATTAACAGAATTTGGATAATAGATTATATCAAAGTATTGATACTTTTAAATAATATTTAGATTTCTTTTACCATTAACAGGAGGATAGAATACAATTAATGGCAAGAAACCATGTGCAAGAGATGGACATGCAGTTGTTGTATTTAATGATTCTATGATTCTATTCGGAGGAGATAGACATACTATGTCATTTAATGATTTGTATTTATTGAACTTGAATTAAGTTTGAAATGTTTTAATTGAATTTAGTTTGATTTATTTTTTATTTTACAATTATAATATATAAAATAATAATGAATTCTAGAGATGAAGATCCATTAAATTAAGTAGATTTAGATTAAGCATATGATATTCCAAATCAATAAGGAAATTTAAAATAAAAAATAAATGAAATTCAAGATATTACTGCTGAAAAATATGATGATATTAATTAAATTATCAATTATGAAATGAGAGCAATGTAAGAGAAATTAGGATTTAGAGGAGAAAGACCATAAATATACTAATAAACAGCTTTGTTTGTAGCTGTAATTTAGTTAATAATAGCAACATTTTTATCAATGTTAATTTCATAAACAACGTTTTTAGGTCATGCTTGGACATTTATTCCTTGGGTCTAATATCTATTCATATTTACATATTTATTCACTATTATTAGTATTTAATGTTTTTAAGAAACAATATAAGAGGTAATAAATTGAAATTGAAATGATAGACAAGATACAATTTTGGAATTTGTTGCATTCATGCAGTCTCTAAAATTGTTTTAATTGTATTTATATCCATATGGTTTTTTGACATAAGAGTGGAAATATTTTTAGTAGCATTAGTTGCAATTTAAGGCTATGTTACTCTTAAAATATATATTCCTACTCAAAAAAATGAAGAGTTCGAACTTAAAGTAAAGGATTTATGGAAAAAGATGACTTTGTTTTAACTTTGTATTTCTATATTCTTAGTATCAATTTCTATTATTTAAGATGTACTTTACAAGATCAACTTATACATTTGGATTTGTAGTGTTTGTATCAACTCTATTAATAGGAATTTATACTATAGTGTGTTTGTAAAGATTTAAAGAATAGTAATATTTTTCATTTAATTCTAATGATTTATATTTGGGTGCTTTATAATTGGAAGCAGATATGATTTTTCCATGTGCATTGATTACATTTTAATAAAAAAATAAAACTTAAACTCCTTCTCCACATCCATCAATAAGGAGTTAGAAAGAGAATGAGAATAAGAGATAAGACTCAGAATAAAGAATAGCAGTACAATCTATAAAGAGTGTTGCTGATTGATACAATATGTTGCTCTTTCATATTAAATTAAAAAATAGTATTAATAATAATAATTAATTTCAATTAATGGATATATCATCTTATTAATTTTGTTCTGTTTTGCAAATTTCAGATTTTGAATCTTCATTATTCTCAGAATAAGTTACTTCTAAATCTCCATTTTATTAAACTACAATAGATTTATCATGAGTATTATATAAGATTTCTTTAATTCCTTTACAAATTTAATCAGCTGTCATTCCTTATTAGATGTGTTATTCCATTAAACTATCCAAATCTTTTAATTTTAAGTAATAAAAATCTCTTTCACATTTCAACGTTTCAATTTATAATAATAAATCTGTCATAGAAGCTTATCTATTTTCTTTATTAGAAAAATCATTATTTAAAATTTAGATTGTTGCAAAAGAGGAATTCTTAGATAAATTTTGAATAATCTATTACTAAAATATAATTAAAAAATTATAATACATCTTTAGTATTATTTTTTGTTAGAACTTTAGGTTTTGATTAATTTCGAATTTATTTGTCAGGATCCTCAAAATCTTGATTTCCTCTTTTTGTCAATGGGTCATAGTCTTTTGGTACATAATGAGTGTCAATATATTTTTTCATCCATTAGAGAAATTCAAGATTATCTTAATATTTGCATTTAGTCAATTTTTCAATTTCAACTGGTTTCTACAATCCTAATTTTGTAAATGCTTATTAAAGAATTTTAAAATTATTAACAAATTCATATTCTTATTTTGCTCTCCAATTTACTTTACTTAATTGAACTAAACATTAAAAAAAAAATTAAATACTTTTCCCTGGATGAACTGCATCTATAAGTTAACAATAAATGGCCCCAGTTCCTAATTATTCAATTTTATTAATAGTTGTTTTTAATAAATCATTGACCCATTATAATAATTCAGCTCTTGATATTTCTTAATTCATAGCAATTTAAATTCAAATTAATATTTAGGTTAAAAAATATATATATATCATTAATCTCTCATATTTTCAAGTTGTTTTTCTAATTTCTTATATTTGTTATCATTTATAGAATTCAATAACTTCATTTCATAACCATTACTTCTATCAACACCATCCCATCTAAATCCAGGTAATATATTAAATCTATTGATTGGAGGTGGAAATTTACATTTTAGTAAGAAATCAGATTACTTTAATGTAATTTATTTATCATCTTCTTCTTAAATCATCTTTCTCATAGGATCATCAAATTTCTATTGGCCCATTAATTACATATCAATTTATTTTATTTATTCTTCATTCTTAGTTACTAAAGCTTATTGAGCATCTTCTTACTTCTTCTATTTCTCTTATATTTAAACAAGTCCTTTTGACCACATTTCTATTTGTTATTTATTGGCTTATAGAATTGCTTATTTATCTTCTTTAGCTTTCAATCTTGGATTTAATTATTTTTCTTATTCAACTCTTTAACTTTAAGTAATTCTCTAACCCGTCTTAACATCTCTATGAATGACTTCTTAAGGTTTAGGTGCTCTCTCGACAGACATATCAGAATCAGATTTACTAGAAGAATTATCAGACTCTGAATCTGAATCTGACTCAGATGAACTAGATCCTTAACTATTGCTTCTACTTCTTTCTTTATTCATCATCTATTTGAGAAACAATTATTTCTTCTATTTATCAATGAGTATAGATTCAGGTGTTTCCACAAATATTGGTTATTGTTCCAATTCATTATAGTTTTCTTTACTAATCACTCTTCCCATCAATACATCAATATTATCTTGATCTTTAATATTATTTTGATAAGTAACTTTTGTTTTCGATTGTCCATTATCCATATATTTCTTTAAGTATGAGAGTTTATCCATTATATATATATATATTTTTATTATTATTTATACACTCATATATCATTTTTACATATAGGGTTTCAATTTCTCTGCAGAAAAATCCCATAATTTTTCAGATAATTGTTTATTTGCATATAATGGTTATTTTAATTTGCAATCTGAATAGTATCCTCCATCTACTAATTTATCATAATCTTCTAAAGCGCATTACAAAGTAGTTTATGCTCCTTATAAACAACTCTTAGAAAAAATAAAATAAATTGGAGTAACTAATTTGAATAGGATATTTAATATAGGATTTCCAACAATCTCCCTCACTAATTCTGTTCTTACAACTCCAGGATGTAATGAACTAAAATAAAAATTTAATATTACCAACCCTTTATTCCATGTCTTTTAGAAATTTCCATAGCATGAAGTATATTGCATAATTTACTATTTCCATATGCTTATAAATTGTATTTAATTGGCCATAGTTTAGAATTAGCAAATTAAGTACAATTTATATCTTTGAAATCCAACTTAGAGTGTTTATGAGCTAAAGATGATACATTAACTACTCTGCTTTATTATGCAGTTTTCAAATAGGGAATCTAAAAAGAATTAATTAAATATTAGTACCAATAACTCAGTCAATAGAAAATGTCCTAAGTGATTAGTACCAAATTAAAGTTCATAAGATTGTTTAGTTGTTTTATAAGTCTAAGGAGCCATTACACCAGCATTATTAATTAGAATATCTATTTATGGGATATTTAATTTCTTAAAATCTTCGGCACATTATTATACAGAATTGAGACATGATAAATCTAATTTGATCATATAAGCTTTGGTTATTTTATTCTATTGTTTTAATTAATTTGAATACCAATTAATCTAAAACTTATTATCCTTTGATTGTATCTCGACATGCAATTACAATAGTGGCACCCATAGTTGCTAATTAAAGTGCTGTTTCTTTTCCAATACCAGTATTAGCCCCAGTTATAAAGACAATCTTTCCATTCAGATTTTTTTTTAGTTTGCATACTCCTCCAGTCATATAGATATGAAGCAACCATAAAAAGAGAGCTATTCCTAAAATACAAAAAATGCACATAAAAAATAATATGAATATAATTTATTCTTTATTCCTAATTAAAAGATTTTAGAATTATTTATTAATTAAATGAATTCTAAAATATATTAGATAATAACAAAATAAATTTATATTAAAATATGTTTCAATAACGATTTGATTATCTAAGATTGCCTGGCTTTGTAGCAGATAATATTATATTAGATCGTAAACAAAATTATTATTGATTCATAGCTAGTAGTATAAAGATAGGAATTGGTTAAAATGCGATTAGAAAGATTTTCAAGGTGGAAGATTATGATTAATTTGAAAGAATGCAAATAAGTTCATTAGCTTAAGCATTATAAAAGAATTAGAAATATGATGCAAATATTCACACAGATGATCTTCTACTTAGATATCTTTATGCTAATAAATTCAATATTCAAGCCTCAGTTGATGTAATCATAATAATCATTTTAGCAATTAGTTAAAACAAATGAGATTCTTTTCTAACCTGGTTATATGTAACTTGATAGAGAAGTAGAGTAATTATATGTAAATAAATAATCTAAATTAATAGTTTAAAGGAGCATTATATATAGAGGGAAGAACTAGATAACATATTCCTTGTATTGTAGTATCTACAAAGTTAGTAGATGATTTGGCATTATTTGAGAGAGCAGCTATTATTTTATGTGCTATAATTGAGGATTATATGTTTTATAGTGGTAAAGTGGAATCATGGATAGCTGTTATTTAAACTAAAGATTAAAGTGCTTATAAAATGCCATTAGATAAAATATTTTCTATTATTAAGATATTATAGACTTGTTTCCCAAATACTTGTGATGCAATATATATTCTTAATGCTACTTTATCTATTAATCTACTTTGGTCATAAATTGAAGGTAATAAATTTCATAATAAATAGAATATATAAGTCCTATTACTCTAGGCAAAATTAAATTTTTGAAGGATAAAGAATTACCTATATTATCAAATTAATTTCATCCTGAGTAACTTGAATAATCATTAGGAGGTGAAAAGATTATATAATCATATTGGCCACCAGATCCTAATGATTATATGTATGATTAACCACCTTAATAATAACAACCATTTTATGAGTATGAAGAATAACCTTAGGTCTTCTTTTCAAATAATAATAATAATCTCTAATACATGAATGAAGCACCTATTTTACATGAAGAAATTCCACCACCTATTCCTGTTTCAAAATAACCTGAACCTATATAAGAAGATATTGTTCCAATTGTCCCTGAAAAAAAGAAAAAATGCATTTGTGTCAAATGTTCTAGAGATTTAGAAAATTTAAATTCTTAACCTCGTGAACGTTAACCTTCTGAACCTTAACCTGTAAATAAACCTATAATAAAATAATAAGAACCATAAAAATAAGTAATTTAATAATTGGATGATACTTATATCCCATATGAAAGAAAATATGATAGTTTCATTAATGATACTAGTTTATTAATCCCAAAAACAATAAATGATACTATCTAATAAGATAATAAAGATGAATAATAATTTGGTGGTAATTCATTTAATAATTCTTAATATTAATAATTTAATCAATAACCTGAAGTAAATCAAAAATCTAGTAAACCATCATTTACAAATCCATTTTATAATGCTGATTCAATGTAAGGATCTTAAAAAATAGAAACAAAACAACCTCCAGTTATTTCAAATAAAGTGAGTTAAGAAATTCAAGCTAATATGGATGATACTATAATTGATGATAAACCAGATTATTAACCTAAATATATTAGCAAACATAATCGACCATAATAATCTAGTAATTTTAATCAACCATCTCAATCAAGTCGTCTAACATATAATAATCCAAATATTTACAATTTACAAAATATTCCTAGTTATAATCCAATTAATTATGCCTAATATTCATAATAACCTGCTTAATCATCATAATATATACCAACACTCCAAACTTAACCTTAGAGTTAATAATACATAAATATAGAACCTTAATTTTAAAAGTTTGAAGTTATTTAATAGCATCCAGTATAAGTACAAGAATTTGAAAATACTAATTACAATCCTAATTAATCCATTTATGCTCCATAACTTTCTAATGATCCAAAAAAGAAATATGATTTTAGTTAATGGGATAAGTATAATGATGGTAATGATATTGTACCTATCCAACCATATGTTCCTATATCAAATACTTATACAACTCCTTATGTACAATAGAGTCCAATATCCAATTATAATATAAACGAAGATTATAATAAGATATATGATACTACTAATGATTATAAACCTGGAGAGTTTAGACCATCTACCTATAATTTTACTCCTTATGATTATAGATATAGTGATTAACAATTTTAGCCAAATGCGACTAAAGAGAATGGGTATGAATAGAATAATTATAATTTAGAACTTAATAATTATATCAATAAAAACCAGGATAGTAAGCATGTTAAATATTTTGATTGATCAATATATAGTTTGAATTAATTATTATTATGATGTTTAATCCATTCTAACAGTGCCATGATTGTCTTCATCTAAATAGACATCATCTAAAATTTCATTAAATAAATCCCTGAGAGATATTATTCCTTAGAGTTCTTAGCTAATCACAAATGCTATGTTTGTCTTGTATTTTTAAAACATTAACAATAAATCTAACATAGTTGTGTCACCTGATATTATCAAAGGTTAATAAACCTTTACTAATTCTACTATTAATTATCCATAATTTGATTCATCCAAGGTTATAAGATCTTTAGATTTGAACAATCCAATCACACAATTATTCTCAATTATAGGTATCACTGAATATTCCTTTACTTTTAATCTCCTTATTAATCTCTTACAATAAGGTTCATCTGGTTAAATATAGCATACATGATGAAGTGGTTTAATAAAATTGATCACATATTTATTTCTTAATTCCATCACAGATACTATGATTTTTAATTCTTCTGGTTTTATCACATCTTATTGTTAACATATCTCCATTAATTATCGAATATATTCCAAATGATATCTTTTACATTTTGTACCAAGAACCTTATCTAGAATCAAACTTAAGGGATAACAAATCAGATATAAAATTGAAATTAGAAACTAAATATAAGGTGTAATGAATGATGCTATTCTAAATTAATGCTTTCCTGTCATTATTGCTGATGGAAATATTTCTCCAAACAAAACTACTAATATTACAGATATTAACAATGCAATCCAATCACCTGTACTTCTTTTTATAAAAATTGGTAATGATTCATTAGCCAATGAATTTGCTACTAATAAAGTTGATAATAGTAAATGATGCTCTTAAATTACAGATAAAATACGAGATGCCTACTATTATTTATGTAATACCCATTATCTTTTCTTATTCATTTCCATACCTCAGCTTTACCTCTATAGTTATTTAATCTATTGACAAAAGACCTTATGTGGCTCCACTGCAAAAACCAGAAAATAATATTAACAATCTAATGATTAATTTATTCTTATACAAACTTATTACTCCATACAAAATATGATCTTCTATTTCTATTATCTCAGGATCTAAGGCAATACAATTACCTATCAATCTAAAATATAAAATTAATCGAATTATTCGAAACATTTTTTAATTATTACTAATTATTAGAATTCACTAATATTAATTATTTAATAATATTCTTAATAAATTCAATATTTAATTTAACTATCTCATTCTATTTATTGGGAAATAATTCAATTTACATATAGTTTCATTAATTTAAATGAGATCTCCTATAAAATTACTACAAGTTAACATTGTTGAATTAATTAATTAAATAAAATAAATTTAATATATAAACAAATATGAAATAATCACAAGATATTATAAAAATTTAAAATCCATTGATTTGACTGATTTAAATATTATGGGTTCCTCTTGTTAAAAATAAAATGAAATTATCACTGCTTATTAAGAATCAGAAGCAATTGAATTTGATGATTAGAGAATTGCTAAAGAAATCTATCCCATAAAAGTTCATAGAGGTTTCAGAAACACCTTTTAAAAAAATAAATAAGTGAATAAGAATGTTGAAGCCACATCTCTTACTCTTCTTTAATAGGAATTAAGTAAATATACTAAACAGAATTATTGTACAGAGAAAATAATTCCTACTCAAATCAAATAGGAACATAAAAAAAAAAATAAAAATAAAAAATAGTTAAAAGGTATAATTAAACAACATACATCATGTTAATTAATATAATCATCTACAAGACTCAATTATCATTTAAAAAATTAAGAATATGAATTTAGAGTAGGTTAAAGAATACACTCAGAAAAATAAGTGAGATTTAACATTCCGAAATTAAATAATAATTCCTCACGTTCTTGCTCAAACTAAAAATCAAGAAGTAAGAAAAGTCATATTTGATAATATTATTAATACTTATAATTAAAGAAAAAGAATCTTAGAATTTTTAAAATAAAGTAATTCAATTATTTTTTTATTTTTTTGACTAACAGAAAATGATATTAAATGAAAACATTCAAAAGTTAAATTTATTTTTATGATCATTTAAAGTTATAAATGATTTTATCAATTTGATTATTCATTTTCTCAAAAGTTAATGTACTATTATCATGATCTTAAAATATTACATAATTAATTTAATTTATATAAGAAATTACATCTAATATTAAGTATTTTGATCATACATTTTATAAATTATTTACTAATTTTTATGGGTGCTGCTTGTCAATATTAACAATAAGGTTCTGATACTTGCTACAATCAAGAAACACAATGGTATATCCCTATATCAAAAGAGTTTAAACCAAAAGCAATAAATACTAGTATTAAACATGATTTAAGGGCTAATTATCTCGAGTTGGATTGTTAATACTGTGATAAACCTGAAATGAAAGAAATGGGTGCCTAAACTTAGGTTACATTTTATAATATAAATTAATGTGTCACTTAAAAGAAAAAGAGCAAAACTTAGAAAAAATAGAAACAGTAAAAATGCAGGGAGAAAGTTAGTTTTGAAAATTCTGAATCAAGCAAAAAACGTTCAGTTAGTCAATCATCTAAAACTTAAAATAAACACTTTTTATATTAATCTTATACAAATTAGAGAAAAAATTAAGTTTAAGATTTTTAGCCATATGTAGTATTGATTAACTCTCAAAAAGTATCACCCTCTCATGTAGTATAAGTTTCAATAGACTGAAATTTCATAAAAATGATTATTTTATAATGATCAATATAAAATCAATTATAAATAAATAAATACAAATTTATACTCTATAAAATTAATTATTAAAACAAATTTACTTATATACTGTTCATTGATGGAATTTTCTATTATCATAAATTTTTGTTCAAAACTTTCTTTAAATTTGTAATATTGTGATTTAATACCTTTTTAGAAAAGGATTGATATATAAAAATTACAAAAAATAATCAATTAAAATTTCAATTATATTGAATATATGATATCTTCTAAATTGATATTTTAAAAGAAAATTTAAATTTATGGCTTTTAATAAAAATAGATATTAAATTTTATTAGAAATAAATTTTTGAAGTGCAATAAAATTTTAATATGAAATAACAATATCCAGTTCCAAAAGTAACAAAAAAGGTCATCATAATCAATCAAAAGTAAAGAATTCTATTTAGATATACTAGATCAAATGTGTTACATGAAAATGATAATCGATGTAATACTTAAAACTAATAACAATTCAATTATGATTAATAGAAATAAATTAAGAATATTGACATTCCAATAGAACTAGAACGTAAAATAAAATTTAATTCTTAGAAAATGCTAATAATTATAATGAACAATCATATTAGCAAATTAATTTATTGTATTAAAAGAATAGCATTTAATTATAAGATTTCTAAACTTAAATAGATGAATTAAAGTAGAGAATCCAATTTATTGAATAAAAATTCTCTAATTTAGAAGCAACAAATAAAAAAAAAAAAAACAGAAGAACTGCAGCATAAATAGAGAAAAATTTTGAAGTTAGTTAGATATGATCTATTTTGTAGTGTCCATATAAAAATTGTTTGAAACAGTATGGATCTGATGTTTCTTTAAATTTACATATTAAATTTAAGCATAATGGTGGAAATAAGAGTGAACGCTAAAAAATAATTGTAAATAAACAATTTTATAATAAAGAAATAATTACAAGCTGGAGAAATTGATGAAAAAGATATTAAAAACATCAACTTACCACCTATATGAATAGCCAATTTTGCAATCAAATATACATTTTGATTTCAAATTAGTTTATGTGTTTCAATATTTTTATTCCGCCTTTTTTTATTATATATACAGACTATATTATAGAAAATTTAAATTTGAAAGGACATTATTTTTATTATTAGAGTTTAAATCAATTTCCATCATTTATGTCTAACTTATATGAAAATAATAGAAAATTCATTACAACCAAATAAAGATGGGTATTAATACTATATTAAATTCAGGAAACATTAACACAAAATATAACTAAAAAAATTATAAATAAAGAAAACAGTTCATTAGGCAAAAAAAATGCAATTGTAAAATCAATATAAAAGAATAAATCAGCTATATCATTTGATAAAAAAATAGAATTACCATCAAGAACAATTACTAAGTTTTTCAAAATATAAAGATCATAATTATACTCAAATCTAAAACTACAAGATTCAAAAGGATGTATTAGAGAATTCAGATGTTATGATGATAAAGCGTTAAACATCCCTAATTCTTTTAGTTAAACTATAACACATGTATATAATGTTTTAATATTTAGTAACTAGATAATGATTGTTAATCAGATGATGAACAAGTTCAATTAGCAGTTGAATAATTAAAAAACTTACTTGAGTCTTAAATAAATTAGTATCATAAGTCCTTTTGAAATCTTAACTTTATTTTTATTATAAAATTTATAATTATTGAATAATAATATTTACAAATTGAAGAATTTGATGATATTTAAATACAATTATATACATTTATTTTTATTAAATAATAAAAAAATACTAAAAATCAATGAAATTATTTATAATAATATTATATTATTATTTTTTAGATGATATATTTCAATTTAATAATATAATCTAATTGAATTAAAAATTTATATATAAATTATAAATACTTTCTATTTATTTTATTAAGTTATTTGACAAAATTATTAGAACTAAAATAAAATTTATATTAATTTATTTATTAAATGGATCCCGATGCTTAAATTAATGAGAGATACTCAAAATTATAAGAGAAATTGAGCACACTACAGTTTGAAGTAGATACTACAAAAGATGCAAAAATAGACGAAATTTATGATAGAGTAAATAAAGCACAAAGTGATTTGAAAGATATTATCAATAATTACAGTGAATAACTTGTAATATAATGTTCTAAATATAGGGATAATTGACAAGTTAATTTTCTGATCTCAACAAATAATTCGAAAAGCAAAATGAATAATATAGTTCTTAGCATGAAAAAAAACTTAAGGAGATTAAAAATTTAGAGAATAAGCTTTAGAAAAAGCTAGAAGATGACATAAAGGCAAACAGAGAATAAAGTGATTAAGTCCTATCAAACTATGATTAATAAGTATATTTCATAAAATTACAACTTTAAAGGTCTAAGATTTACTCTAACAAATAGGATAAGAATTAAAGGTTAGAAATCAATAAGTGAATATTATAAATACTACTCTTCAAAATGATTTACCTGCTTTGTGGTAATATAATGTTTAAGAAAATTAAGAAAGAGTACAAGAGGATTAAGATATAGTCAAAAGGGCTAGTAATGAGATTTCTAAACTGTTTGAATAGGCAAATTAAGGAAAATAATAAAGGTATAATAAAATCAATTAATTTTATAGAGAAGATGCAGATATGAGTATGTTTTCAATGCTGAAAGAAGTGGTAGTAAGAATCAAGAGTGAATTAGAAGAGGAAAGACAATTAAGAATGGATGGACATGAAGCTTTGTTATCTATACTTGAAGAAGCTTATGAAAAAATGGAAGAAACTCATGCAAAAGTTTAGTAATAAAAGGCTGCTTTACAAGAAAAATGAAATATAATATTATGTTCAATTTTTATCATATATGATTTTGTATTGGAAATTATATAAACTAAAAAGTATGTATTTGTAAAACAAAAGATTAATATTAAGGTTTGCTTTAAATAAATATAGTTAAATCTTAATTTTATAATTTTTTAATATAGAGTTATTTCAATTAATTTCTCTACTACCAATTTTTGTTTTAACCTTTACTTTCAGTAGACTCAAATAATTTTGTTCAAATTTTATAAGATAATTTTAATAATAAACTTCTATCATAATCTATGATATTCTTATTAATTTAATTTATTGTTATTATTATAACAATAAAGATTTCATCTATTCTAATACTAGAATACTATAGTTTTAATTAATAAATTTAATTTTCTATTTTTTATATAGAATCATATTATACTAAGTATTTTTTGGTACTATTAGTTAATGGTTTCAAATATTCTTTATAGTATTAATAAGGAGTTGAAATAAGATTGTAGAAATTAGTTTTCATGATTAATATTTTGAGAAGATTAAATATTCTAATTTATATATAATATCTTATTTAATATTTATTTGTTTTATAAAGAAGAATTGAAGGGATGTTTGAGGATACCGAGTAGAGTTTTAGAGTTAATGAGATAATTTGGGCAAAAGTCTTGGGCTGTAAGTATAATATAATTCTTTAGATCCTTGGTGGCCTGCAAAAGTAATTATACAATAATCATCTTATAGATTGCTTCAATTACTAATGTGAATGGCAAGAATGGATACCATAATATATACAGAGTCAATTTTATTGGAGACACTTCACAGTATTAAATTTAGTTAGCATTATAGCGCCAAATTGAGGTTTGATAAATTAAAGAAATGGAATCCTAAGCCAATATAATTAGAAACTAAAAAGTTAAAAGAATCAATAGATTTAGCTAATAGTTAAATAGAAGCATTTGAGAAAGCTTAAGAAATTGAATTAGCCAATCTAAATGAGCATATTTTAAAGAGTCTAACTATCAAAATGAATGATCTTGTTTATAATGAGAGATCCATTTAAGATGTATAATGATCAAATTATGTCATAGATTATTCAAACCTTAAATCTAATAAGCGAGAATGAAAAATTATCTATTGTGAAACTAAATTTAGGATAATAATATTTTGCATTGTATTAAACATTAAAATATGGGAAAGGAGAGAATTATCTTTAATATTCCTAAGATTTTATTGATTAATTGAAAGCAACCATTGGTTTTTAATTATAATAAGACTTTTTATCAATTTAAAAAAAATAAGAAAAACCTACTCCCAACAGTGATGACACTAAAGAAATCACTGATTCTCCTATTAAGAAAAAGAAAATAGAAGAAATCTTTAAAGATACACTTTGTAATTAACATTGATCTTATATATCATTATTTCTACGTATTTATTGTATATTTCTATTACTTTTTGATTTTTTAAATCATATTAATAAATTGATTTTTGAATAATATCATAATGAAAAATAAGAAAAAAGTAAAAAGATTAACTTTGTTAATTATTTTTGAGTTAATCTATTAAAATATCATTGAATGTTACACTTAATATTTTTCATCAATGTAATTATATTTTTTATACGTTTTTTCAGTTCCTCCATTTAATAATTACCATTTATAATCATGGGATAACTGGAATTTTATAATATTCACACTTCTTTTCATCATAAATTAAGGATTAATTAAATTTATATTATTGTGTAGCATATAATTATATAGTTCTTCTTGTATACTTCTAATATAATTGTTTATTATTTCTTTATAAAAAGTCATAAAGATGGTTATTGTAATTTTAATCGTTAATAAGTTGTATTCTTTAAATATAGGTCATTTATCAGTGAACTTATTTAAGTTAGGGAAATGAATTATTTTTCGAACATGAGATCTTTTAGAGTGAGATATTACTATGCTCATCTATTTTTTCTGATCTAGAATCACTATTATTCGAATGGAATAAAATATATATTTGGAACAAAAAAGAATATAGATAAGTAAAAATCATTTATTATTTTTCTTTATTTTCTTAAGACATCCTAAAGCCTACCTTAATTTATTCATTCTAGATTAATTGGTTAATTTTTGATGATGCATGATCATCCTATTTACTCTACATCTGAATTCATCAATTTGAGTCTTTGATGAATCAAGGAAGTCTTATGGAATAGTATGAAAGGCATAGTCGAGTTGATCAAGAGCTTTTTCTGAACTTTCGAAAAGAACTGATTGAAGTTTTTATTATGGAAGTCTCATGAGAAGTATGAGCATAGTTCTTGATTCTTCTAGTATCTTAGGTTGATTTGATTCCGTTGCCATAGCAAGATGATTTGAATTATTTTTTAAAAATAATCAAAAATTAACCTCAGTCCTGCTTTATTGTTGTAAATTACAAATCAACCTCATTAAATATAATAGTTAATAATAAAAACCCTAAAAATAGTTATCAAAAAAAAGTAAATAAATGAATAATAAACAATGTCTTTAAGCTCTAATTTTCTAGAATTTAGAAATAGATGGAAAAAACAATAATTACAGATTTCTAAATTTTTAGTTTTCAAAAATATTAAAAACTCTTTATAACATTTTTAACTAAATAATTTTATTATAAATCATTGATATTTAATTATTCTATCTTCAATCATGAATTGATTTAGGAAAATAAAATGACATTTAATTTTAGATCATGTTTTGAATTTTAAAATTAAATACTCATTTTTTTAGTAAATATAAATCAAAATATATAAAATATTATTGTTATGTTGGTGTTTAATGGAAAAATACTGAATTATTAATCAACAATCTTATTACTATTCAATAATCGTTGTTGTCACCATTCTACTTTTATAATACTTAATTAGTTCTTTAGGAGCATATTTAGCAACTTCTGTTGTAAAATATTCTTTAGATTTTGGGATTGTACCATTAGATCTAAATAAATAATAAGATATACCTTGGTCTCCATTATATTGTAGCAATCAATCTACCATTTAAAAAAGACTTCTTGACTGATACAATTTTTTATATTTTGTCACCTTATAAAAAATCACCATTCTCAATTATTGGTCCAAATGTAAATGATTCATTTTTAAAGTTATCCAAACTTAAATCATGAATTTTTTATATTTTTTATAATTTAGAGGTTGTCATAAGATTTTATGTGAAGTCATCTTCTCTTTCATACCTTGTAAAAATATCAATTAAATTATCCAAATTGTTATTATATTTTGAAATATGTTGATCAGCATCTAGAATTTCTAATTTTGTTTTCTTTCTTTACTAATCTTCTTGCTATTCTAATGTTTACTTTCTTCGATTATTCTTTTTCATTATTAATTTTTTAATAGCTAATAGCGGAAAATTTTTGTGTAAATTTAATTATAAAATACATACTAAAAATTTTCCAAAAACTCATTTTATTTAATATTAATCAATATATTCAAATACTATTTGAATTAGTTGACATTTTAAATAGAAAATATTTTGAATTTCAAATAATTAGAAATAGTTTAATTTTCCATAACATAAAATTTATAATATTATAAAAAAAATGTTTAGATCATAAGAAATGAGTTATTTTTAGTTAGTTATGCCTTAAGACAGTGCATGGACTATAATGGATTAATTAGGATATCTAAGTAAAGTTGAAATTATAGACCATAATCCTAATGAAGCCCTAATCAATAGACCATTTGCTAATTATGTTAAAAGGTAAATCAATTTTTATCAAAATATTAGATGTGATGATTTGATAGTAAAAATAGAGAATATGTTATAAGTAGCAAAAAATTTAAATTTGCTATCTAATTATAAGAAAGGAAATTTGAAATAGTTTACCAATCAAGTATTCCATATAATATAATTATTGTTTATAGCAAAATTCACACTCTCATACTTATCTTGACAAGATTGAAGAAGACATAAACAAAAAAACTTCATCTTTTCAAGAATAAAATAAACATCTTGAATAACTTATAGATTAATCTGAATATATTCAAAATTACATTGAAATTTTAATAGAGAGTAGAAAATATTTGGGTGAACAAGTATTTCAAAATTAATAAATATCTAAATTTGAATGTTAAGTTGGAATACTAAAAAATTTAGAATAACTATAGTATTTATGTGTAGTAGAATAGATTCCATCGTGTAATATTTAGAGTAACAAAAGGAAATTCCATAGTTTATTTAAAGAGAATGAATGAAAAACAATCAATTTTCATTGTTTTATTTCCAAACATAGGAAATTATGGAAAATAAAAAATTTAAAAGATTGTGGAATAAATATCTTAAGGAAGATTTACTTTACCTTAGAGTCATTAGGAATTTGAAAAAAAGTTAAATGAACTGTAAACGAAACAAGCTGAATATATTAATGTAATAAACAATACAGAATATAGCTTATATAAATGACTTAGAATTAGTTGTGTTAATGCATATCAAATATGTTGGTTCTCAGAAATGGATTACCACTTATAGAATTTTATAAGTTTTACTTAATTAAAGAAAAGGATCTCTATAAAGAATTGAATAAATTAAAAATGCAAGGAAGACTATTTCTAGGGGAATTATGGGTGCCAACAAAGGATATTTACTATTTAGAATAAACCTTATAAAACATAAAAGAACAGCAAACTAATAATCCTGGAGGTTAATTAGGTTAAAAGAATCCACCTGATTTTCTTTAGAAACCAACATATTTCAAGTTAAATGAATTTACTTAAATATTTTAAGAAATAGTTAATACATATGGAATTCCAAGATATCAAGAAATTAATCCTGCAATAATAACAATAATTACATTTCCATTTTTATTTGGAGTAATGTTTGGAGATATAGGTCATGGATTTGTATTATTTATGTTTGGATCATATTTATGTTTATTTAAGGATAAATCATTCTATAATTTAAGATATCTAATATTATTGATGGGTTTATTTAGTTTTTATTCAGGATTAATTTATAATGATTATTTGAGTTTATCTTTAAATCTATTTTAAACTTGTTTAAAATCAGAGGAGAAATGTGTATATCCATTTGGAATAGATCCAATGTGGGGAGGTCATTTAGAATTTAATGACTCATTTAAAATGAAATTAAGCATAATAATTGCATTTTGCCATATGTTATTAGGTGTTACTTTGAGTGGTTTAAATTATCTATTTTTGGGAGATTGGTTAAGATTATCTTGTAAATTTATACCATAATTATTATTTTTGATATGTACAATTGGATATATGGTATTTTTAATAATATACAAATGGTTGAATCATTTTGAGCCATAAAATGCCCCAAGCATAATAACTACAATGATATCAATGATTTTAAATTTAGGTAGAATATCAGGTCCTTAAATGTGGGAAGGAGATTCTTAAGATTATGTTTAATATTGTCTATTATGTATGTTTATTATATAGTATTTAGTAATAACAATCATGACAATACCTTGGATGTGGTTTTCATCAATTATTAGTCATTTGCTTTAATATGGGAATAATCAATAAAATGAAGGTAAACGTAAGACTCACAGAATAGATTATGGATAATTAATAGAAGAGCCAGGAATAGAGATGACCTAAACTCATTCTTTTAGTCATGAATAGATAGATTCAAAATACAACTAGCCAAATGTAGAAACATAAGAATCGACAATCTTTATTAAATCAAAAGATAATTCTCATTAAGGTATCTAAGATCTTATTGTTCATGAAACAATTGAAACATTAGAATATGTCCTTGGAGTTATATCAAATACAGCAAGTTATTTAAGATTATGGGCATTAAGTTTAGCTCATTCATAACTTTCAGAAGTTTTCTTTGAATTGTTATTAGTACAACCAATAAATCATGGATAGCCAATTAGTTTAATGATTGGATTTCTATTCTGGGCTTTGATTACTTTTGGGGTATTAATGTGCATGGATAGTATGGAATGTTTTTTACATTCTTTAAGATTACATTGGTAAAGATTGTTCATTATTATTTAGGGTAGAATTTTAGAATAAGTTTTATAAAGGAGATGGAGTTTAGTTTAAGGTGTTTTCCTTTAGAGATAGAATTAAAGAAAGTATCAATTTAGAATCTTAATGAAGGATTAGAGTTATGTTTTTAGTATTAATTGAGATAAGATATTAAGTCTTAAATAATTATTCTCTTTTACACATATTCTTCATTGAAATAAAATTATTATGAATAAGAGAGTTGATCCGTATTAATTAAATATTAGTTATGAAAATGACATAATCAAGACTAATATTTTAAGTAAAGGAGAACACTTAAGTTCACAAGGAGTTGACAATTAAATGAACTTACCAATAGAACTTGATGGTATTTGATGAATTAAATAATTTAAGATTATGAAGGGCCTACTCTTTTTTATTGTCATCATTGTAAAATGGATTCAGTTTCATCTTGTGAATATTAGGCTACAGGTTAAACATTTCTTTGTGCATTTCTTCTATTTTTTATTCTAAATATTTTCGGTTGTTTGATTCCTTATAGTTCAACAGCATGTAAAGACAGAAGGCAAATATGTCCAAGATGTAGAAATTTAATAGGAATCAAATATTATAATGCATGTGCATGTTGAAAACAAAATTTACAACCTAATAATTTGATTGATAATTATTTATTGTATGATTAATAATTAAATTTATTAACCAGTTGAATTCATATATTCATATACGATAGGAAGAAAGGAAGGGTAGCATTTATAATTAAAAAATGAATTACCATTAAAGAAGAGAAATCTATCAGAAGAAGATAGAAGATAAATAAATAGGGAAATATAAAATAAGTTTAATAGCAAGAAAATTTTAAAGAAAAAAATTCATATGCAAATAATTATTAAAATAAACCATAAGAAATATATAAAATTGTATTGCATATGTATTAATTTTTTAGATTTAATAAATTGAAGTGTAGAAAAAATAAAGTGAAAAAATTATCTCTTGGAAAAAAAATAAAAATAATAAAAAGAGAAAGAATATATCAATTAACTAAAGAAGATGATGAATAATTAAAAGTTAAGGATGCATATGATAAAGAATATGATAAAGGTAAAGTTAAAAAAATTAAGAAGAAAAGAGAAAGTTAAACATTAGATTTTGATAAAGCATATAAATTAAAATATAATAAATGAATTAAAAAGATGAATAATTTAATGAAGAAATCTGTGTGAAAATAAAGACCTTAGATAATCATACTTTAGATGTTCGTATTAAATAAAATCAATCTGTGAATGATCTAAAAAATTAAATTGAAATAGTAACTTGTTTATGTTTAACCAAGGTCTCAAGCATTCCATCATCAAGATAAAGATTACTATTTAAGGGAAGATAACTTAATAATGAGGATACTTTGATTTCTTTAAACATAGAGGATTAATGTGTTGTTCATTTAGTTGCCAATATGCCTGAATTTGAATCATCTCCTTTAAATAGAGGATTATCTACTAGTTCATTTGATGAGCATGATAATAGAAATAGTTGTATTTATATATTAAATATACAGTTGATGTACAAGAGAACAGAAGAAACTCTAGAAAAAAGGTATTATAGCAAAGATTACATGGATTTTAATAACTACCAACAAGGAATTCATTGTAATAAAATGTTATGACATTACATAATCTATTATAATCATTTAATACAGTAGCTGAAGCCATTGAATAGGGATAAATATTTGCTTAGAAAGACTTTGAACTTGGTTAATGGATAGATTTTAAGGATTCTTAAGGAGAATGGATTGAAGGTTATGTTGGATAAAAATAATAAAATCAGGTTTTAATTATTCATTAAAATGGTGAAGAATGGATAGGAGTTCCATCTAATAGATTAGCATTATTCAGATCTCATACTATATAAAAAACTTATCACATGTCTCCTATTTTAAATAATCATGAATAACAATAATTATGGAGTTTTAGTGAATTACTTGGTTAAACAGCAATGTTATTATCAAGAGCTGGCAATATGATGTCTAGATTAGCAGATAGTGTAGAAGACAAATCTATTCCATAAAGTAAGAAGGCTGATATGTCTAATCTTATAACTGGAATGATTGAGGAACAAAGAAGGATACAAGAAGAAAAGGTTGAAAAATAAGATGATGTTGCATCTCTTAAATCTATGAAGTCTATGAAATCTGATAAGATATCTATTGATTATGAAACATCATCAATTAAATCAATGAAGTAAATTTTAATGACTTAAATAAGATCTGATATCTCTAAATTAACTACATATTTTATGGGACATAATCATAATACAATGATGGCTGAAAATATAGCAGAAGAAGAAGAGAACAGTAGTTAAGATATGTCAGTTGATAATCAAAGAGATGCTCCAAATATTTCCAAAGAATTTAAGGAAAATTATATATATTATGAGACTTCTTTGTTGGCTGCCTAATTAGCACCTTTATCTGATAGACTAGGGAGATTATTGTAATATTTTGCCTTTATTTTTTATAGAGTTGATTTATCCCCATATCTTGCATTGAGTGGATCCAATATAAACAAGTAATCTTATGTTATATGAAGTATCTTTCAAAATCATCCTAATTCCAATATATCCAATTTATCCATAATAACTAATGAAGGCAGTCAGTATTCAACTTAAGCTAAGCAATATTATTTTTAAGTCCCTATTATGTTAACTCCTTATGAATTACATACACAATCATAATATGGAGCATCAGCCAACAGAATTGTAGGAGATAATTTAGATATTTTGAATCATTTAAACAATAATAATGGTAATCCAAGACAAAAAAGAACCACTAAAAAAGAAGAAGAAGAAAAATAATAATTTGTAACATTATATAAAAATAAACCAACCTAATCATATCAATAATAATATTAATAATAATAATAATAATAATTATAATAATATCAATAAATGAAAGAATCAAATTTTTAAAATACTGAATAAGATGAAACATAATATTTATAATAATATTAATAATAAAAGAAATAATCTATTGATGGATAAATTAAAAAGAAAAAGAAAGGTAAAGAAGTATCTTTTTCAGAATAAATTAATCAACTAAAAAAAGATAAATAATTTTGATAAATATAATATATATATATATAAATGATTATATAAAAAGAAATAATATTTCATTCTACTCAATAATTCTTGAACATATAATAAAAAAACTTCATTGTAGTTGGTGGGTAAACAATTGAATAAAATTTATCTTTTTGAGATTAAAAAAATTCCAACTATTTAAATAAATCATAATAATATTACTTCATATGATACTTCTCTCTAACCATTTATATCAATCACCCATTTTTCACAAGCTAACATGTCATCCTCTTTATCAATTTTAGAATTTCTATATATATTTTACATCCAACTATATTTTGGGGTTTCTTTACACTTTTCTATGCTTTTCAATTTCAAATATTCTTCTGAACTTTTCATAAATTTTAATTCAATATCTGCTATTCCCTTATAAGCATAACTAAATAAATCATATTTCATTTCAATATCTATAAATTCTTCATGTTCATCTCTCTCTGGATTATCAAATGAATGTAAAGTAATAAAAATATCTTTTAAAAATGATTTTGGATATCTATAATATTATTCTTAATTTTCTTTCTCCTTATCATTTTCATTATTATTAGACATAAACTTATAATTTATTAAATTAATTAAATATAAATATAATTTAAGGAATGTGATAATTTTATAATTTGATGAAAAAATGCATCAACTTTTAATTATAATATATTATACTAATATAATGTCCAAAAATTATGAAATAGAAAATCAAATTAGATTTCCTCCTGAAAAAGCATTAAAAATTAGAGAGTCTATTGACAATAATCAGTAATTGTCTAGGACAATTGAACCAAAAATTTGAAAAGGTATGAAATTTGAAGTACAGTTGATTTGATTTTTCTTATTAATTTTACATTAATTATGTATTGGAATATATATCAAATAGGGTAATAGAATCTTTTAAACTATTATCATTACCATATATTAAAATAAGATCCATAATAATAAATGTCTATATCAATTAACAGTTTGAAATATTAAGATAAAGGTGTGTTAGTTGATCTGCCAACAATAACAGAAAGTTATAAATTTAAAGATTATATAAATTTATATAAATCAAATCATATCAGCTAAATGATTTGAGTTGGAAAGACTACCAATACAAGATAATGTGGAGATAAAGTAGTTTGTGATAGAGGATTAACACCACATACTTTTGATATTAGAAAGAATTTTCATCGTAAAAAATCTTAAATAGATTATGGAGAAATTCAAAAAAAAGAGAGGAGAAAGATTACATTCTATTCAATCAGAGTTCATGAAATAAGCAGAAGAAGAAGAAGAAAAAGGATTAGATGATGGAAATAAAAGAAAAAAATATACAATAAGTTTTGATCTATTCAATAAATATACACTCATTAAAAGAGTATACTTAATAGCTTTTCTAATTCTTATTTGTGTACAGTTGGGGATCCACTTGCTGTTGATGCTGAAGGTCTTCTACCACAAAATGTTAAATATTGATGTTTAATTTTGCCTTATTGATGTAGCAATGATAAAACCTAAATAAAATTAGATAATACATTTTAAATTCTTGGTTCTAGATATTGCCAACCACCTGAATTTTAATGTTCTTCTTAACAAAATACAAATTCTGCATTTTCGTATTATTAAGCAATAACTCTGAAATGGTCATATGGAAAAGGTGCTAATTATTCTACTCTAAGAATGGCAACATCCTAAATATATTTATAAATATTTACATTTCTTTTTGTATCCTATCTTTTTTGTAAAATATCATAATAAACTTGACCATAACAAATTACAACTTTTTATATTTCTTTAGGTGCTTTAATTTCTTCATGAGAATCAGGAATTAATCTATGGAATCTAGTTCCTTCAAGGAAATGAGAAATTTCAGAGGTTGCTTTAGAGAATTTAAGTAATCTTTTAGAATTGAATAAAATTAAAGGTTTTCTAAAGTCTCTTCTTAATTATCTACGTAGAGAATGGAAATAATTGGAAGGATTTGAACAAACACAAACTTAGAAATTAGAATCTAAAATCTATCTTTTAATTCTTTATTCTTTCATTTAAAATACAATATTAGGATCGTCATCCATTAATTATAAAAATCTTTCCATTCTTCCACTAGAATGTTCAGGTCCTTAACCATCTAATCCATGAGGTAACATCATAACAAGTCCTGATGGTACATTCCATTTAGATTCTCCTGAAGTAATGAAATTATCTATCATAATTTATGCTCCATTTGCAAAATCTCCAAATTATCCTTCCCAAATTGTCAAAACATTAGGATTTGATTGAGAATATCCATATTCAAATCCTAAAACTCCGTATTCTGACAATGGAGAATTATAAACTTCAAATCTATTATTTCCCCCAGCAGGTATATAATTCCTAAGTGGATAATATTTAATATCTTTCTTTTGATCATTAATCACAGCATGTCTTTATGAAAATGTTCCTCTTTCACAATCTTAACCACTTAATCTAATACTAAATCCTTCATGTAAGAGAGTTCCAAAAGCTAAAGCTTCAGCTGTACCAAAGTCTATGCCTTTTCCTTATTCAATAGACTACTTTCTTTATTCATAAATTCTTTTAACTTATGGATGAACAGTTAATTCAGCAGGTAAATTATTAACTTTCTCATTTAACTCTAATAAATCTTTCAAAGCAACACCTGTGTCCTTTACCTTTCCCCATTTAGTTACTTATTAAATTTTTTCCCAAGGTTTAGGTACCCAATGTACTTTATCAAAAGTTTCCTTTTAAATGTTTTTATAAGCTGTTTCAAGACTATTATTTAATTTCTTAATTTCATTATTTGCAAAATCATCTGTAATAACTCCATTTTTTCTTAATTATTGATCATATATTTAAAATACAGGTTTTTATTTATTTATTATTTCATACATTTATGGTTAAGTAAATGCTGGTTAATCTTATTCATTATGACCATATCTTCTATATCCAATTAAATCAATTACTATATCTTTTTTAAATTATTATCTAAATCTAACAGCAATTTTAAATATTTCTTCAACAAGATCAGGATCATCAGCATTCACATGAATAATTGGTACATCAATAGCTTTTGCAACATCTGTACAATATAAACCAGATCTACTATCAATAGGAGTTGTAGTAAATCCAATTTAATTATTAACAACAACATGTATTACACCTTCATTTGAATATCCATTTAGATTTTCAAGTTATAATGATTCATAAACAACACCTTAACCAGCCATAGCAGCATCTCCATGAATAATAATGCCTAAACAATGTTATTTATTGCCACATATATCTTACAATGCTCTAGTCTTACCTTATACAACTGGATTAACAGCTTCTAAATGTGATGGATTTGGTAACATTGTCATTCTAATATGATGTCCATCTGGAAACTATTAATCTCTTGTAACTCCCAAATGATATTTCACATCTCCAATATTACCCCATGATTCTTCTATTTCTTTACTATATTTATTTTAAAATTCTGCAAATATTATTTCTAATGGTTTCTTAAATACATTAGCTAATGTGCTTAATCTTCCTCTATGAGCCATTCCTACAATAATATGTTCAACCTTATTTTGAGCACATTAATCTACTAATGCTTCTAAACCTACAATCAATGTATCTGTTCCTTCAATTCCAAATCTTTTGCTAGTTGTGAATCTGTTTTTCAAAAATTCATTAAATAGATCAACTCTAGCCAATCTCTACCAAGTTGCTGTTTATGTTTCCTTACTTGGTTTCCATTATGCTATTCTATCCATTTCTTGTTCAATCCAATGTTTTTATTCAGTGGAAACCATGTGAATGTATTCAACTCCATATTTTTTTGTATATATTTAAGATAATCTATCATAGATCTCTCTAATTGTCCATTCATCCTTAGCTTCCATAAATGGCTTAAAATATAAAATAATAATGTACATAGATAAATGATCTTTAATCCTTATTTCCAAAATAAATTGGAATATCTAATTCTTCCTTCTTAAACCCAAAACTATCCAAAGTCATTTCTGGTCTTTAACCCTTTACTCTACCGTATTCTTTTGTATGAGGTAGATCTAATAGAAATTCACAAAATTAGATTACTTAATGGATCTAAATCAGCTAATTAATGTCCACATACAAAAAACATTCTAAACATATAATAAGTGCGATATAGCAATTATATTTGTTTAGCATGATCTAATGGATTCAAAGAAGTTGTGCCTTAGACGCCTACTCCTCCATTAATCTAGTAATAATACTATAAGTAAACTTATTCGCTAAAATATTGTCTCCATCCTTCAGGAACTGATTAAGGGTTCTTTTACCAATGTTCAAATAGCCCACTAACATATGTAGCTGAAAAAGGATATCTTATTAGTTTATTTGAGGCTCTAATCATCTAATTAAAGATATTAAATATTAAAATTATTCACATAAAATATATCAAGAATTATTATAATATCAATTTATAATAATTAAAAAATGTAGCATAAACATCAAGACTAATTATTTATTTATAATAATTCGTAATTTTATCAAAATCTCAAATCAAAATTATGAAATATATTTATTATTAAATATTAAATTACGCACTTTCTGAATTTATCATCAATAACTATTAAATCTATAAACTTTCATTTTTTTAAGATTAAAGCAATTGAAAATTCAATTTGTATTTATTTAAATTCATTTTTTTATTAATAGTTAATTATGATATATGATTATGAATATTAAATTAAAGGTTTCTAGTATTATTATTATAATATACTAAATCTTTAGAGGTTCTATAAAGAAATAATAAAATTTGTTTAATTATAGAATAATTATATATCACAATGTTTAAATTAAATTTTTATTTTTTAGTTATTTATTAACTTATTTAATCTATAATCTATAAAATTGCTTTGATAAAGAATAAATATGATGATAACATTAAGATGTAAGAAATTAATTTTGGAAGTTTTGAATCAAAAAATTCAATAAAGTTAATAAATATTATCAACAAAAAAAAAAAGAATAAAAATAATTATTCACTCATTACATTTTTGAGAACTTTTATCTTATATTATAATTTATGAATATATTAAATTCTCTACTCTCAAAAATTGAAATTTTGAGATTATATCTACATTAAGTATATTTAGATTTGAAATTATAAAATTCACTTATAAACACTTAATTGTAATTTATTTAAAGTAGAAATATAATAAAGCTGACTTTATTATTTTGTCATTTTAGTTTTGAAAATATAAATTTTGAAAAAGTCATAAGAAATTGTTGAACATACTAGTCTTTGGTAATTTTGAAAAGTGTAAGAAAGAGCTTACAAAATTATAAAGTTAATGCAAATATTATATCAAAATATTTCAAGATTTTAGATCTCAGACAGCATTTTATTCTATTATTATATAAATTATCCAATCAAATTAATATAAAATTGTGAAATTTCATTCTTAATTTAAGAATAAGAGTTTTAATAATAATAATAAAAAACAAATGGCAAGATAATCTAAAGGTTAAAAGAAAGGTCCCAAACCAGGTAAGTTTTTAAGTAAATTTAAATAGCCACTAAAAAAATTACAAAAAAACCAGCTGGTCCTAGATAAACTAGAACAATCAAGGCTGCAGTTGCTGAAGCATAAGCCACAACTTAACCTAGTGCTGGATAAAGAAAATTACCAAGATAGAATAGAAGAAATAAGTAAGCCAAAAAAGCTACATAAAAGAAAGCAACATAATAAAAAAAATGAATGGATATATAATTAATAAAATATTAAAATAAAAAATTTAATTGATTTCATGTTTTTCAAGTAATAATCATAGTTGATTTAAGCTTTAATCGATTCTTTGGATTTTAGTAAAAACTTGATAATTTATTAAAAAATGAAAGCTTGACAATTGAGACAATATTTAATGAAGATGATATTTTGTAGGAATTAAAAGGATCAAGCTCAGTAAAATTTGCAGATTAGTAATTAATATTGTGTCATTTAGTCTTATTTAACATCCGTAAGAATACAAAAAAATGATTGGGTATATTGTTGATGAAATTACTGATGAGTCTTTAGATAAAACTTAAAGAACAAAGTTTTAAAATATATAAATATAATTAGATATCCATTTTATTCAAGTGAAATTTTAGGATAAGAGAATGAAAAACTCATAAACTTTTTATTTGATAAGCCTGAAGATGAAATGTATGAAGAAATAAATAATCCAATTGAAGATGATGAAACATAATTAGTAGAAACAATAAATAAGAATGATTAATTAAAAGAGAATGAAGAGATAAGAGCAAATTTATTAAATAATTTATTACAACTACTTGAAAATGATGCTTTGATAGTTACAACAGCAGGATATTTTGCTAAAGCTGTAAATACAATAATTCTTAAAAGAGGAGTTTGTGTAAATTATGATTAATATATAGTTTTGGGAACATTTGAAACATAATCCATAGGTTATTTCAAATATGTTTAAACATTGTTATCTAAAACATATTGTAGACATATTTGATAAATTGATTTCTTTAGAAGATAATTATGAATAACATAATTAATATATGAATGATAGATTAGCTTTAATGCAAAGATTGGCATTAATTTTAAAAGGAAAAGAATATTCATAAGTGATAGTTTAAAATATATGTGAATTATTTGAGGGATAATTTAAAAAAGCAGTATATTAGTATGAAACTTAAACTTAAGAATACAAAAAGATGTTATTACAATTTATATAACAATATACTCCTTCATTTTTTATGTCTATAGCTTTATAAACATAATAAGCTGTGGCATATAATGTTATAATAGCATAATTAGAATTTTTGAATAAATTAGCTTTTTCAAATGAACATTAAGATTAAATAGAGAATACAGAAAAAGAAAGTCTCAAGATTCCAGATATTGTTCAATTATATTCAATTATTATAAAAGACTTTTCAAAAGCATTAAATTAAAAAGATTAATTTACTTTATCATTTAAATCTACTGATGGTTTTTGTATTACACCTTTGGGAGAATGTAAATTATCATTAATCTATCTGATAAATAATTTATTAAGTAAATCTGAATTACAAAATTACTATTCATATAACATATTTTAATCAATAATAAATCTTGTTAACTAACATCGTTCAAATAATTAATTACATTTATTATTTGAAAAAATAGTATTGACTGTATTTTCATCTAATAATGAATAATTATAAAAAGAATTGTTTTAGGAAACCAATTTAATTACATTTATAATTTAAAATAATAATGAAGAAGCTAGAAAGAATAAATTTGGATTTTAAGGTATATTAACAAGACTTTCAAATTATTTACATTAGAATTAAAGTTAATCTAAATAATTTCAGTTAGTTTTATAACAAAGTAATCATTATTTTTAATTATAGTGAATACTAATTGGAATTAATATATGGATGGTTTAGATAGTGTTAACAAATATGAATAAGAATGGATCTTAGGAGTAAATCCAAAATAAAAAGCATTTTAAATATCTGAAGAAGTTTCTAGTCCAAATATTATAATGCCTGAACCATTAGTTTAATATGCATATACATAACCATCAGGATTCAGAAAATGTGAAAGTTTTGAAAATAATGATGAAGATAATGAGGTTAATAATGAAGAAGAAATTTAATAAGAATAAAACGAATAATAATAAATTGAATAGATAGGAACAGAAACTGATTAAAAATAAGAGGAATCTAATTAGAATGATAATGAACAAAAGGATCAATTAGAATTAGATTCTACTGCTAATATTTAAGAAGAAATTATCAAAACTTAATAAGAATATGTATCTTTAGATGAATAGAAAAATGAATAAGATAAAGAAAATTAAATTAATGATAATGTAGATAATTAAATTGATAATAATTAATTGGATCAAAATAATGATGGAAATGAAGAGATAATTCATACTCAGGAAGTTTAAGTGGAAGAAAATTAAAAGATATAAGAAGATAATTTAACCGAGCAATAAGATATTTAAAAAGAAGATAAGGAGCCTAATCTTAATTAAGAAGAATTAATAAAATAAGGTGATAATGAATAATAGGAATGATATATTATTATTTTAAAATTGTATAAATAAATTGCATCTATTAAATTGATCATTTTCTGACCAATTATAGTAATTATAGAAATGAATTTCAATAAATCAAGTATTTAAATCCTAAATTAAAATTAGTTTTCTCAATAATTCTAAGTTTTTAAGTTTTTATCTTAGTAATTATAATTATAGAATGAAAATGTTTTCTGATTGAAGATTTAACTTCTTACTTATATTATTAAAATTTAAATTAATAATGCAGGAGCCATTTAAAGTGAGTATTAGAGTGAAACCATATGAAGGAAGATCAAGATTTCTCACTCAGAGAATAGGAAAAGAAACTGTACTATTGAAATAATCAATAGATTATATAAGTAGAATGTCCAACTTAGACAATAAGAGATCCTGATACTTATGAATAAAGATCATTTGCATTTGATAATGTGTTTAATGAAGGAGAAAGCACACAAGATATATATGATACAGTAAGAGAATATAATATATATTTTTAGTCAATATCATAAATGATTTATGATTGTGTTTCTTAAGGATATAATGGTACAATTTTGGCTTACGGGTAAACAGGTTCTGGAAAGAGTTACACAATGTTTGGCAATTTATATGATCCTTTAGTAGAGAATGATGGATTAGTTTCAATGGTTTTAGAATAATTATTCTAAATGAACGTTAAAATTAGTATTTCATATTTGGAAATTTACAATGAATAAATAAGAGATTTAATTGGAGATTAAGTTGGTTTATAGTTGAATGAAGATCCTATAAAAGGAGTCATGTTATAAGATGTGCAAGAATTGTAAATTATGACGATAGATCAAGCTAAATCAATAATAATTAATGGCAATTAAAAAAGAGTTATGGCAGCAACTAATGCAAACTAATTCTCTTCTCGATCTCATGCTATAATATAATTATTTGTTGTAAATTAACAATATTAATGCAAATTATCATTAGTTGATTTGGCAGGTAGTGAAAAAGCTAATGTAAATGAAGGTAGTAAAGGAATAAGATAAATGGAAGGAGCTAATATCAATAAAAGTTTATTAGCTTTAGGAAATTGTATTAATATGTTAGCTTGTGATTAATCAATAAAGAAATTTGTACCTTATAGAGATTCAAAATTAACAAGACTTTTAAAAGATTCATTAGGAGGAAATACTAAAACTCTTATGATAGGATGTGTATAATAAGTAGTTTAATGTCATGAAGAAAGTATTAATACTTTAAAATATGCATCCAGAGCAAGAGCTATTAAAAAAAAGATTGTTTAAAATATTAAAATTAATGATATTACAAATTGTAATTGCAATTGTAATTCAGAAAATGTAGGTTTATTATAAGCAGAGATTGAAGCATTAAAATAGGAAGTATCATTCTAATGTATTTTATTATTATTAATATTATAATAGATTAATTAACAGAAGAAGAAATTGAAATTAGATTAAATTTAAAACAAATTGATTAATTATAACTTTAAAATAGAGAAGGTTTAGAATATTTATTATAACAAATGAATTCTGAAATGATAGATGAAGATAGATTGAAAAATGAAATACTATAATATGAAAGAGCAATTAATGAAAATGAACGGATTAGATAAGAATTGAATTCTTAATTATAATCTAAGAAAAAAGAAAGAACTGATCCAAAAGATATTCAAATTGAAATGCTTAAAAAAGAAATTACTTTTCTAAGAGATCAAATTAAATAAAAGGATTTAGTTATTGATTCCTTGAAAATTGATAAGGATAATATAAAATAATCTAGACCACATACTAGTTATTAAGAAACTGATAGACCAAAAATGAATAAAGAAAATTCTATTGAAATAGATGTTAGAAAAGATAGTCTATAATATTGTGGTTCATCTAAATCTATTAAATAACCTACAAATAGAGAAGAAGAATAACATCTTTAAAAATTAAATAAGGCAAGAGATAATTATAAGATTTTTAGAGCAAAAATGATTTAACTTTAAGAAAAAATGAATTATTACACAAAAAATGATATTCATTTAAATCAAAATTAATTAAAAGAAATTATTGATATGATGAATGAACTATCAACACAGAATGGTCCTGTTTTGAAATAAGATGAAGAGATGATAATTTATTTTCAAAAATTCATTATATCTTAAACTTAGAAATCCTAATAATAAATAAATCAAAATACATTAAATACTCAAATAACTACACCATAACAAAGATCAAGAAGTGTTAATCCAAATCCAAATAGAGNGATTTGGCAGGTAGTGAAAAAGCTAATGTAAATGAAGGTAGTAAAGGAATAAGATAAATGGAAGGAGCTAATATCAATAAAAGTTTATTAGCTTTAGGAAATTGTATAAATATGTTAGCTTGTGATTAATCAATAAAGAAATTTGTACCTTATAGAGATTCAAAATTAACTAGACTTTTAAAAGATTCATTAGGAGGAAATACTAAAACTCTTATGATAGGATGTGTATAATAAGTAGTTTAATGTCATGAAGAAAGTATTAATACTTTAAAATATGCATCCAGAGCAAGAGCTATTAAAAAAAAGATTGTTTAAAATATTAAAATTAATGATATTACAAATTGTAATTGCAATTGTAATTCAGAAAATGTAAGTTTATTATAAGCAGAGATTGAAGCATTAAAATAGGAAGTATCATTCTAATGTATTTTATTATTATTATTATAATAGGTTAATTAACAGAAGAAGAAATTGAGATTAGATTAAATTTAAAATAAATTGATTAATTATAATTTTAAAATAGAGAAGGTTTAGAATATTTATTATAACAAATGAATTCTGAAATGATAGATGAAGATAGATTGAAAAATGAAATACTATAATATGAAAGAGCAATTAATGAAAATGAACGGATTAGATAAGAATTGAATTCTTAATTATAATCTAAGAAAAAAGAAAGAATTGATCCAAAAGATATTCAAATTGAAATGCTTAAAAAAGAAATTACTTTTTTAAGAGATCAAATTAAATAAAAGGATTTAGTTATTGATTCTTTAAAAAGTGATAAAGATAATACTAAATAATCTAGACCACACACTAGTTATTAAGAAACTGATAGATCAAAAATGAATAAAGAGAATTCTATTGAAATTGATATTAGAAAAGATAGTTTATAATATTGTGGTTCATCTAAATCTATTAAATAACCTATTAATAAAGAAGAAGAATAACATCTTTAAAAATTAAATAAAGCAAGAGATAATTATAAGATTTTTAGAGCTAAAATGATTACACTTTAAGATAAAATGAATTATTACACAAAAAATGATATACAATTGAATCAAAATTAATTAAAAGAAATTATTGATATGATGAATGAACTCTCAACTTAGAATGGTCCTGTTCTAAAATAAGATGAAGAAATGATAATCTATTTTTAATAATTCATTAAGTCTTAAACTTAGAAATCTTAATAATAAATAAATCAAAGTACATTAAATACTCAAATAAATACACCATAATAAAGGTCAAGGAGTGTAAATCCAAATCCAATTAGAGGAAAAGGAACATCTTAACATTAAAGAAAACCTTTATAACAAACTAATTAATCACCTTTGAATAGATAATTATTCAGTAATCACACAAAATAATATCAGTAATTAGTTTCAAAAGGAAAGAAGGTATAAAAATGGTTTTATTTTAGGAAAGTTGTCCCACTCCGTAGAATAAATAAAAGTTCATTTTGGAATACGTAAAGAAAATGGAAAATCCATAACCGAGGGGGAGTAATAAGTCCCCACTACAATCATTTAGCTCAGATAATTCAGATAAGTATTAATTCACTAATATAAGACCAGAGACGATATTATTAAGCGTAGTTTTGTCTAAAAAGTTCCATTTCAATCAATTTAATGATATTATATTTTACAATTATTATTGTCTCATTACAAACCCTAATATTTAAATCAATAGTATTATTAAATTATATTATATACATATAAACTATGTTTTCCTTAAAATTTTAGTTATCCAACAAAATTACTTTTATAATTCATATTTGAGATTATAAAATTGTTTCAACATTAAATAATTAAATTTAAATATGGATAATTCTAAATCGATTGAAAATCAAAAAAAAGAACCATTAAGACCTTGTTGTGCTTGTCCAGATACACGAAAACTAAGAGATGAATGTATTGTTTCTTTTGGAGAAGAAAAATGTTAAAAAGAAATTGAAAATCATAAATTATGTTTGAAGAAACTTGGATTTGATTGAAAGTTGATTTAAAATTAACTAAATAATAATTCAAATTCTTTTTGAACAAACTTTAAATAAAAACATATTTTTATTTTACTTCTTCTTGACCTTATTCTATATAAATTATAATATATAAATTATGAATATTTATAAATCAATTAAGACTATTGTCTGTTTTCAAATTCCCAACTTTTGCTATAGAGATTCTCAATAGGTTTGATAAAGAATATTATCTAAAGAATTCTTTAAATATATTCATTTCCACTGGGTTTCTAAGATTAATTTAAATAATATTGGAACTTCAAAAACCTTTGAGATAGTTAATAAAACTTGCAATCCAATTAGTTCTCTAAAATTCAACTGTGTAATTGCTTAAGGATAAAAAAAATCATTTTTCAATATAAATTGATCTATTATCTTTGTTAAAAACAAAAAGATAACTTTATTACACATTCAAAAGTAGATCAAATCATAAATAATAAATGAAATACTAGTAATGAAAGAATTAATTTGAATAATTACAAACTTTTCACGATCCTTTCATAATCGCAATATTAAATTAAAACATAATTAATAATATAATATAAATACTTGGTTGAATTTTATAAACCTTAATTAAAGAAATCAAAGATTTAAAATTAAACACGTAATATTAAGTTCAATTTAATCCTTTTAAATATGGATAGAAGATAGTTTCAATAGTCAATTTCGATATTTATCAATGGATAAAGAGAAGTAATAAGAAATTCATGATAAATTAAATTAATTTAATTAGAAATATTCAATAAAAAATTGAAGATGTGAAGAATTTACAAAAAAATTATGATTTTATGAGTTTAATAGTATTATTAATTTATTTTATATTATTTGATTAACTATGGTAAAGAATAGCTTATATAATAGTCAAAAGTATCTGTGGCATCTACTTACACTATAGGAGAATCAATATCATCATTAGATATAAGTCAAGAATATACAGCTGCAGGTTTATTGGATGAAACAGTGGCATTATGGAAAGATAAAGTATCAAAGGAAAATGAACCATAAAGATTGGAAGGGCATTTTTTAGGGATTGTTGATATAAAATTTTCAAATAATGGTGAATTACTTGCAGTAAGTTCATTAGATAGTGTTATTCGTATTTGGGATTTAAAGAAAAGTATAAAATCAAAAGAAATTGCATGTGATTAAATGGAGAATTGGAATATTTGTTGGTTAAAAGATTATATATGTACTGCAGGTGAAGGTGGTAGATTGTCTATGTTTAGTATGGATCAAAATCAAGAAGAAATTCCAGTTTTTTCAGTTGAGAATTCATTTGGCTCAGCAATTACTGCTAATAATGCAAATATTGCTGTAGGAACAGATAGTGGATCATTACATATTGTTGAAGATCCTATTGAAAAGAGAAAGCTTCATTCAAAAAAAATTCATAAAAAAATGGTGAGATCTGTAAAATTTAGTAATGATGGTTTTAAAGCTTTTACAAGTTCAGATGATGGAGATATAAAACTAATTGATTTAACTAAAATGAAAGAAATTAAAACATTTTAACATCATTATTCTGTTAATTCAATTGATGTTAATCCTATAGATGATAAATTAGTTGTTAGTTGTTCATCTGATTATAAAGTTAGATTATGGGATACATCATCTGGATAATGTATTGAATAATTTAGTCCATTTGATAAAAAAGATGATAAATTATGGGCTGTTCGTTTTAATAGAGATGGATCATTAATTGGAGTATGTTCATAATAAGGTTAATTAAGTTTCTATAGTAGAAATTGAAATTTTTTAGTAATAATAAAAGTTATATAACCAAATGTTTATCATTATCTCTAGATATTTATTATAATAATTAACAATGAATTTTCTCAATAATGTGTCTGAAATAATTGAACAAAATCTTCCTTAAGATATATAAGAATCATTTGCAGTAATAACTACACATGTTGGAGTTCCAAAAGTAATTGAGGATTGCTCCTAAATTCCTGAAATGATATAATTAAAATCTGGGTTAATGTATTCAGAATAACACAGATTAATATAATTTCATAAGATTTAACCTTAACTTTCCTTTTTATAAGGATAAGAAGATAAAAGTGCAATTTTATAAAATGATTAAATTCGAGGATTAAATTCTGAGAGAACTGAAAATAATGCAACTCTTACATCTGTAATTATGTAGTCTGGATTGTTTACACATGAAAACTTTAATCAATATGAAGGGTTTATATTGAAAAAAACAAAAAACTTATTATAATAATATAAATAGATATATTGTCATTTTTAGGATGGAATTTTAAGTTTTTATAAAGATTAGTAAAAATAAAAGGTAAGTTTTGTATTGAATTTGGGTCTTTTTAATTTCTAATATTATTAGAAACAATAAGTGAATAATGATATATATGAATTTGGATTAAAATGTAAGAATGACAATAAAATATTTCAATTTAAAGGTCTAACTAATAATTAATGGTTTATTTTGATCAAGAGATTCATTGATAATGTTCGTAAGAAACCAATAGTAAAGTTTTATTTGAACCCATTTACTAAATATTATAAAAAACGATTAATAACAAATGATTAATTTAGACAAATGAGTTAAACAGGAGATATATTATTATTTCAAACAAAATCTTGCAGTTCTAAAATATAAAGATTAGTAACAAGATCAAATTATGGTAATATTATATATTAAAATAGATCATGTTGCTATGATATTAAAATATTAGTCAGGTTCTATATATGTTTTAGAAGCAACTGATTAAAATGGAGTAGGAATATTTGATTGGGATTCAATGACTAATCAATTATGGTATGAATTATATTCAATGTAATAACTTTTTATTTATTATAGGGTTGTATATAGATAACTTTAATTAATTAGAAATGTTGACTTTTTATTATAAATTGAAAAATTTGTCAAAGAAAATGTTGGTAGATAATATTAATTAAGTTTTACAAAACTATTACAAGAGAAATCTACAATTATAACTTCATAAAATTAGTAGGAGGATCCAACTTATTTTTGTTCTTAACTAATAGCAAAAATATATAAATAAATAGGATTATTAAATTAAGATAAATCAGCTAATTAATATTGGCCTGGATCCTTTTCTAATGAAAAAGATGATATTTAGCTTACTGGCTGTTCTCTTTCAGATGAATATCTAATCGGATTTAATATGTGAATAAATTATTGTTGTACTCAATTCAATTTCTTTAATTTATTTGATTAATTTTATTTAGTAATATAATTTTGATTGATCATTCTAATTAAATGTATTAATAAGATTGGAATACCAATTATTATTATTAATTATATAATATTTATATATAAACTTCTTATTATTTAATATTATCTTATATACATTAATCAGAATTAATGTATATAAGTAAGTATATATTATAAATATGTTAAAAATAAAGTGACTAATATATAAATTATCTTTATTATTAAAATTTGTATTTAAATAAAATTCATATATTAGATTACTTATTGTTTAAAATTTGTGATTAATTTTTATTAAATTTGTTTTATTTTTAATTCAGATGAAAAACACAGTAAGCAAATCAAATATGGTTTTTAACAAATCATTTGGTTAACACATCCTTATAAATCAATAGATTTTATAGATGATAGTAGATAAGGCTGCAATACGACCAACAGACATAGTATTAGAAATTGGACCAGGAACAGGTAATTTGACAGAATTGTTATTATAAAGAGCTAAATAAGTTATTTGTGTTGAAATTGATCCTCGAATGATTATAGAATTAACTAAAAGATTTAAGTATTCTTAATATTCAGATAAATTCAAATTAATTTAAGGTGATTTTTTAACAGCAGAATTACCATTTTTTGATTTATGTGTAGCAAATGTTCCTTATTAAATATCATCTCCTTTAGTTTTTAAGTTATTAGCACAAAGACCTCTTTGGAGATGTGCAGTATTAATGTTTTAATAAGAATTTGCATTTAGATTAGTTGCTAAACCTGGAAATGAATTATATTGTAGATTATCTGCAAATGTTTAAATGTTATCAAGAGTTGATCATTTGATGAAAGTGGGAAAAAATAATTTTAAACCTCCTCCTAAAGTAGAATCATCAGTTGTTAGAATAGAACCAAAGAATCCTATTCCAAATATTAATTATATTGAATGGGATGGTTTATTAAGAATTTGTTTTAATAGAAAGAATAAATAATTATCTGCCATCTTCAAAAACAAATCAGTACTTAAAACATTAGAACATAATTTTAATGTTATTGAATAAGAAGGAATAAAAGTTAATGATCCTTCTATTCATGTTAAATAATTAATTTCAACTATTATGGAAGAGGAAGATGTTAAAGGAAAAGGGAAAAAAGATAAAAAAGAGAAAAAAGATAAATAAAATTAATAAAAAGATGAAGAATCTGAATCAGATGATGATGAAGATAATAATTAATAACCAGAAAAATAATAAACTACTTAAAATCCATTTAGATAAAAAATAAATGAAATATTAAAATCTAATGATATGTTCTAAAAAAGACCAGTTAAAATGGATAATGATGATTTTCTTTAATTACTTTGTGGAATGAATGCACAAGGAATTCATTTTAAATGATAAGGTTGTTTCTGATTATTATAATTATATTGTATATTAAAATAAATTAATTAATGCTAAAATAATAAGATCAATAACAAGATGGATTTGTAAGTTTTATGTTAGAAAAAGAAGATTCTTATATAATGAATCATAAAAATAACAATGATGATGACTATTATAAATAATTAAGTAGGTAATTTTATGGTCACAAAAATGAAGGTAAATAGTCTTATGCCTAATAAAGAAGTGAAATTAGTACCAAAAATAGATCCATCAGTATTAAAATATAAAATTGTATCTCGTACTATTAGAACAAATAATGTAGAGAGATAGAAACCTGCAATTTCAACTCCTACAATAAATGAATAATTGTAATAGGTATAAGTTTATTGTAATTATTCTTTTTCCTATTATAGTAGATCTAGAAACTCTTATAGTCAAGTAAACCTTAAATCTAAAGTAGCATCTAAAATACACAAAGGAAAAGTGTTCATTCTACATAAAAAATAAATAAAATTAAAAATTTGTATATGTAATAATAGCCAGCAAAATTTAATATTCCTATTCCAATTTAAAAAATTAATATTCTTGAACCTCGAACTTATCGTTAAAGAAATGAAGAATCAATAGATTAATTTAATCAAATAACTCTAAATTCATATAGAAGTACATTAAACAGCAGTACAAAAAGCATTGCAAAACCAGATAAAAATACAGATAACTGTTATCCTATCAAATTGCAAACCTAATTACGAGAAGATAATTCAAATAATGTATTTAAAATATCATTTCGAAATAAATATTGATTATAATGAAAATGCAAATTTTAACTATTTAAATTATTATTTATTATATAATTAATTCATTTATCATTCTAGTTTTCTATAAAATTATATTCATATCATCTAAATTTTATTAATCTTCCAAATGATTATAAGTTTCAATATATATTTTAATAAACAATAGTTAATATTAATTTATTCCATAAGAGAACAATGATTATTATCAAAAATTATGAAAACTGAGTTAAATTATCTTCAATTAACTTAATATTTTTATTTATTTTTGTGAGTAAAATTATATTATATTAAATCACTTAGTGATTTTATTAACTTAAACAGTAAAATAATATTTTTTAAATGTAAAGTAAATTGAAAACGATATTCCTCATCCTTAAAAAATAGCAAAAAGGTTGTTCAATTTTTAACCTATTATTGATTAACAATATTATAATATAAGTTAAAGAGGAATAATATAATTAATTAAAAAATAAAGAATTAAAATTTCATATAATAGTTAATCCTTAATAGAACAATAATCATACAAATATAAGTTGATTAAAAAAATAATAGTATTACTGAATTATCATATGAAATTATGAAATGCAACTGTTTAGAATTGAATTTAATCATTTTTTATTAACCTCTATAACCAAAAAAGGAAAACTATCAATTTAGTATTAAGTAATTAATAAATTTGAAATAAAAAAATTTAAAGACCTAGTAAAATAAGAATAAATCAAATAAGAATAAAAATAATTAAAGAGAGATGATAATTTTAATATATTAGATTTTCCATTTTTTTTTTTTTAATGAAAATAAAATAAACTTAATTTTAAAATACCTAAATATAGTGAACCAAAACTAAATATGAATAAGAATTCTTTCATATTAAATAATATTGCGCATTAATTGAGAATTAAAGGATTGTATAATTTGAAAATTTTTTCAATATTAATAAATTTGGTATGATGGCACATGCTGATTTCATAGAATTCAAAGCATCCAGATCCCATTCACAATACAAATTGAACTCTATTGATTTCGATGACTTTGCTTACAACTTAAATAAAACTATATACAATTTTTAAAAGTCATAAGAAGGAAAAACGATAGATAAAATTTCTAAATTTAGAAGAGCAAAGAGCTTCTTATAAGTAAAAAACCATGAATCTACCAATGCTATCTATTAAACGTTTAGTAGAAATGCACCTGGATTTGATGAAAATGAAACCAAAGAACTTATGGAGCTCATTCTCCAATTAGAATATTTATTCATTCTCTACCACAAATTCTATCCAGATTAAAGTAACCCAATTTTATTAACATCTTATCTAAATTGTCTAACCTACAATAAAGAAAGTAAATAACTCACTATATTATAGAATATTTTGATAATTATACCAACGACATCTCGGAAACCCTCCAAATGTCAATTTTACGTAATTCTTAATAAAGAATTATTGAAGAAAAAACTGATGAAAACCTAATAAAATTTTTAGTTAATGAAATCAATAGAAGGAATAAATATAAGAAAAATATGTAACTTATCAGAAGTGATTTAAATAAATTTTAAAAACTTTAACAAAACTATGAAATTTAACGAAAAACTAAATAATTAGAACATACTAAATCTAACCTATTAGTGGCTTCATTAAAAATAACATTTTAAAATGTAATATAAAACTTAATAAATTAGGATTAAAATCATTCTGTTAATGTTAGATTTCCATTGATTGATAAAAATAAGTCTCTATGTTTAGATTTTGAGAAATTACTGAAGTAAGGGGATATTCATGATCTCTTTAAATAATGGAATAATTACATAGATATAACATCTTCTCATTCAGAAATAACACTATTAATCTCAATAATATAAGATCTTTTCCAAGAAGATAGTTGGATTATTAAATCTATTGTAGAATAAATATAAGATGAATTCATTATCTCTACTTAAAAAATAGTTCTTCAAATAGGAGCATTAACATAATTCTGTCCTAAATGTTTAACTGTATATGACAGAAGTCATAAAGAAATTGCATATTTGCTATAATCAAAACTATAACAACAATTATCGAATTTTTAGATAAATGAAAATTTAAATATAGAAAAATAAGTTATGATAATGTAAAACTCATAGGAAGAGTTGTAAAAAGAAGATTAAAGACATAGTTTAGAGAATGCTCTATTATAATCAAACAATTTAAAAATGTGTTTAATACCATAAGGATTGATGAGTTAATTATTTTTCATTCATAGATATTGTGATGATGGATCTTTAGTAGAAGAAGAAGAAGATTAAGGTTAAAGTTAAAGTTAATGTTAAAGTTAAGAATAAAAATAGGATTCTTAATCAATAAAGTAATTAGATAATAGCTAAATTAAATTTAATCAATAATTTGTTAGATAAGCTTCTAGAAGAACAAGTCTAATAAGTTTTGGATATTCTGAAATGTAAGCAGAATATTCTAATTTCTAACCACTTAGATAAAAATTAACAGATATGAAGATTCATTCAACTGTATATATGGAAAATATGGATAAGAAGGAATGGAAAAAGATTTTTGATAAAATCAAATAAGAAAAGATGTAGAATAAAGATTTTTTAAAAACTAAATCAATTTCTTCTAATTCATCATTCGATATTAATTGTAATGATGAAAAATTTTTGAAATAGATGAAAGTTTTCTTATAAAATCAATAAATGAGAAGACAATGAAATCTGTAAATAAATTAAAATTAATGAAATTTTTTGTACAATTTGTAAATACATAATTAAATTTTTATTTGAATTATTTTCACAGATTCTTATGGTAATCAATTATTGTTAATCAAAATATAGATTAATTCAATAATAATGGAATTAGATAAAAATAAGTCTAAAAAAAAAATAACAAAAAATATTAATTGATTCTTAAAATTTTATTTTATTAAATTGAGTAAACTATTTTATTCAATTTATTATTATATTATTTTAAATTTTATTATAGAAGCACTTTCATTATTTTTATTTAATATTATTTGAATGTAATTTAATAACATAATAGATGATGTAAAATATTTAAATATAGGTTAAAAATCATTAGCAACTATTTATATTAAATTGAAATCCTATAAGCAACACATTTATTTATAAAATACAAAAAATTTCTTCCTTATCTATTTAAAGTTGAAAAAAAATTATTAATGGAATTTGATTTGTATATTATATATTTATATATTTATGAATTAATCTTCTGTCATTATAGAAGATAATAAATATCAATCTGTCTAGATAGAAGAAGAGAGAATGTTAACTGCTAAAGCATGTGACTTTAAAAAGAGTTTAATTTCCAAAAAAATTTTATAGAATTATGGTAAGGAAGAGCTAGAGGATATCAACCAATTATTTGATGAAAGACAATTAAATATATTAAATGATTTAGCAAATGATAATGGACATGACTCAGCATAAATTACAACTCATCGAGAAGAAATTAATTAAAGAATATAAACAGCCATAGAGAATGGCTTTAAAAGACATTCAGTTATGATTATGAAGAAACCTGTTGAAATTCAGAGATTTAAAATTTAGGTTTTCAAACCTGAAGATAAATTCAGAATTCTTTGGGATTTGTTCACTATGATCGTTATATTTTTTGCAATTTTAATATTACCTTTGGATATTAGTTTTACAATAGAATCTGATTTTTTTGATAATTTTAACATTGCATCAATAACAATATTTAGTTTAGACATTTTGATAAATTTTAATACTTCATATTAACAAAAAGGATAATACATTTATGATAGAAAATTAATAGCCAAAAATTATTTAATGGCTTGGTTTTGGATTGATCTATGTATTTATTATTTTTATTATTTTATAGTATCTACATTTCCATTTGATTTGATTATTAATGCTTCTGCAGAAGAAATATTACATTCAGATGAAATTGATGAAGCCTAAGTGTAAAATGTTAGAGATAAATAGTAATAATAATAATAAATAGCTAATACATTAAAATTGTTAAGAATTTTAAAATTCTTTCGTTTCATTAAAGTTGTAAGACTATTAAGAGTATTGAAATTAAAAAAAATATTTTCTAAATTAGAAGATTATGTTGATTTATCAAACTCCATGATTTCATTATACAAAGTTATAAAATTAACATTTATAATGCTTTTTGTTGCACATTGGCTTGCTTGTATTTGGCATTTTATAGCAGATTAAGAAAATATATCAGGAGATTATAATTGGTTAACAGCTTAAGGGATATAAGATAATGATTGGTATGTAAAATATATTGCATCAGTTTATTGGGCAACTGCAACAATGACAACTGTAGGTTATGGTGATATAACTCCAGTAACATCAAGTGAAAAAATATTTGGGATAGTTGTTATGTTATTAGCTTGTTGTATATTCGCTTATATAATGAACAGTATAGGTGGTATATTTGTTTCAATGGATTACAATGAAAAAATAATAAGATAAAAGATGGGTTAAGCTAATTAATTTTTAAAATCAAATGATATACCTAAAGATTTATAAGCAAGAGTAAGAAAATATTTAGAATATAAATATGAGAAAGAGTCTACATAGGTTAATGAAAAAGAAGCTTTAGAAGTCTTATCTTAATCTTTGAGAGTAGAAGTATTAGCTGCAGTTAATACAGATTTGATAAATAATTCTAAAGTTTTTAAATAGAATAAATTTGAAAAGGAATTATTACTTTAATTACCATTTGAATTAGAGGAATAGATATTTGGACCTGAAGAATGTATATTTTTGGAGGGAGATGACCCATTAGAATAAGAAAATGGTTAAAATTTAGATGAAAGATGTTTATATTTTTTAAATTAAGGTAAGGTTATGTTATGTATATAAAAAACATTTACTTGTTTAAAAATTTTAGAAAAAGGTGATACTTTTGGAGAATTAGGTTTTTTTAGTAATAAATCTAGAAGTGCTTCAGTTTATACTTTAGATTTTGTTTATGTTTAAAAATTAAAGAAAAAGAAATTTTTAGAACTTATGAAGAGATTTTAAACACAAAATGAATATTTTTAAATGAATAAACATATTATTGATTTAAATGATGATTTTACTCCTCTTAATTTACCATGTTTTGGTTGTTAATAAATTGATCACTTTGCTTATAGATGTCCAAAGTTACATTTTATAATTAAATATGATAGAAAATAAGAATTAATTCAAGAATTTCAATAAGCTTAGAAGGAAATTAATAAAAATTATAAAAGGCATGATAAAATTAAATATAATTCTAGAGGTTGTTATACACTTACAAATGAAGTTGCGAATGAAATAAAATTAGTTTATAATTCAGAAGAATAATAAGAGGAAGATAGGTTAATTTAATTATAATAGTATTATATAAATATTTAAATATTAGACATAATGAAGAAGAACCTACATTAGCAGGTTTTGAATTTATTGAATAGTCTAAACAAATATAACATTAACAAGAAGATGAATTTGAAAGGATGAGTATTATGCAAGCCTTTTTCACATAATTTAATCTAGATTACATAATTATAGCTTATAATGAAAGAGTAGATTATATTTTAAATTAATAATAATAAGAATTAAATAGAATCATAAGATCAAATTATAAATAATTTAAATCTAATAAGAGTAAACAAAGGATAAGATCAATGTCAGCTGAAAGAGCTATTTACTTTGAGAAACTTATTGAAAAGTATGGAGGACCATCTTTATTTTTATAAAAACTACATGAGGAAGAATGAATTAATATTGTATAACTATATCACTCCTAAATATTATTATTAAAATTAGAAAAGCTAGGTGAAGTTATTAAAATACTTTAAAGTTTTATGGTATTTTTAGTAAATTCCAATTATTTTTATGAAATTAAAAGATATATCTAATATAAATATTTTTTGAATAATATTCTTAACCTTTTTTAAAGAATGAGATATTTAAAAATTCAATAAAATAATTATTATATTATTAATACATTCACCATAATGAATTTGCTTCAAAAAAGTTTGGCTCATATTTATTTGGCTTTGCAAAATTTCTGATAAAATATTTTCTTAGTTCTTCCCAGCAAAATAGACACATTGAATATGGTAAACCAGGCATTCTAATAATAATAATATCAATAATTTACCCTAAATTTAAAATATCAACTGGTCTAGCACCAAACCATGAATTGACTCCTGGAATATAAACAATAAAAATAAAAATTATAGTTTCAAGGAGGACACCATAAAACATAACTACATTAATTGGAGAATAAATCAAAGACATTTTACGTTCTAAATATAATTCTTTATGATATACATTTGCAAGAAAAGACATTAGACCATTGGACAAGTACAACAGCAACAAAATATGAAGTTTAAGCATATTTAAGTGCAGCAGTCTTGAAACAAGCATTAGTATTAATGGGATATTAGTTGTCTTCAAGCAAGGAATCAGATCTATCAAAATATCGACAGAGTTCATCTGAATTTTTATTTTACCATTCTTTAAAGGTTGGGAACCATCTATTATATTAAGCATCGTATTATGCAAAGATATATCTTAAATCATAGTAAATAATTTCAGGATTTATCCAATTAAGTGGAGTTTTTTAGAAACCAATCTCTGAAGTATATCCATCTGTAACTTTGAGAATAGGAGCTTATTACCAATCAGGACTGTAAGGTTGAGTAGTTAAAAATGGACTAAAATTAATAGAATTATTTACTTATTCATATTTGGTAGGTCCCATACCCAAGTAGTAGGAGGTGGAGTATAAGGTTGCCCATTAGCTAAAGTAATAGATGGCCATGGAATTTTTTAGTATGGGGTATTCATAAAACTAAGTAGTAATTATGGAGGGAATCCATATTCATTCATTGTGCTAAAATAACTAAAGAAACCAGCAGAAGTGGCAATAATTCCTTATAATAAGTAAGCATGAGTGATTAATCTTAGAGATACTAAATGATCATCCTTCTTTCTAGGTTTACGAGTCATAATATCGATTTCAGCTTCTTCATAGGCAAAGGAAATAGCAGGTAAAATATCAGTTCCAATACAAATAGTGAGAATAAAGGCATTGCTTAAAGGTAATGGTAATCCAATAGCAATTTCACCAACATATGGGAAGACTTCTGTGATATTTGAAGTAAGTAAATAAACTATTGTCTTTTTAAGATTGTCAAATATCTTTCTACCTTCTTCAACACCATCAACAATAGATGCAAAATCATCATTTAATAATATCATATCAGCAGCATCTTTAGTGACATCAGATCCACTAATACCCATTGAAATACCAATATCTCCTTGTTTAATTGCTGGAGAATCATTTACACCATCTCCTGTCACTCCTACTACATGTCCTATGTATTGACAGGCTCTTACTATCATAAGTTTTTATGCTGGAGATGTACGTGCAAATACAACTTAAGGTTTACTACACCAACTTTTAAGTCTTCTATCTTTCATTTCTTCAGGCACAAATTCTCCATTCTAATTTTCCTCCTCCATAGCTTATACAATCATGTCTCCATGAATTACAATTGCAGGTGCTAATCTAAAGGCTTCATCATAAGACATCATTGGATTTTCCTCTAATAAATCATCTACTGTCTTTCCTGTGATAATTCCTATTTATTTAGCTATTGCTCCTGCTGTTGGTGGTTGATCTCCTGTTACCATAATTACCTTTATACCTGCTGATTAACATTTTTTTATTGCTTAAGGCACTGTCTCTTTTGGTGGATCCATTAATGATAATAATCCTAAGAAAGTAAAACCTTCTAATTTAAATTTTAATGTGTCAATAGAATTCAAATTAAATTTATATCCTTTTTGAAATTCAGATCTTGGTAAATGTAATTTTGCAAATCCCAAAACTCTTTCACCTCCTTTACCAAATGATACATTAACTGATTTGAATTTCTATGTTATCTATTCATCTATTGGTTGATTTCTACCTTCTATTAATAAGTAACTTGAAAATGTCCATAACTTTTCTGGTGCTCCTTTTATATATACACAGTAAAATGAATTCTAAGTCTCCCAATTTACAATACATAATGAGAATTTATTAGTTGAATTGAATGGCATTTTTGCTAAAGATCTATCTGATAATTCAACAAGTTATCTTCTTTATCTTGTACTTTCAATATCTTCAATTGGTTAAAAGAATTTAATTAATGCTGTTTCTGATGCATCTCCAAGAGTTGGTGTATCTAACCAATTAATAGTAGCTTTATCTTTAGCTTAAATATTAAACTTTGCTTCACTAGTTATAATTGCACAATCATGTAAATCTCTAAAGGTAGGATCATTAGAATCATATTCATATTCAGTATTCCTTCCATGTTTAAGTTTATTCAAAGCAACTCTTTTTAATCCATCATACCAAACATTTGCTACTGTCATTTTATTTTATGTCAAAGTTCCTGTTTTGTCAGAGCATATACAACTAGTTGATCCAAGAGTTTCTACAGCTTCTAAATTTTTGACTAATACTTATTTATCAGCCAATCTTTTTGCTGTAATAGCTAAAGATACTGTAATACAACCTAATAAACCTTCTGGTACATTTGCAACTATAATTCCTATTGCTTAACCTACTGCTGTATCAACAGATGCATCTTCAACAACTAATGACAAAATCAAAAATAAGATTCCTAATCCTACTGCTATACATGAGATTAATATAACAAATCTTTTTAATTCTATATTTAAAGGAGTTTCTGGAGTTTCTCCACCAGTAGCTAAATCTGCTATTTAACCCATCACAGTATTATCACCAATTTAAATTACTAAACCTTTTCCTGATCCTTCCTTACATAAAGTACCAAAAAATGCTAGATTTTTAGTTTCTAAAGGATTTTCACTTGTGAGTTCAGTTACTCTAAGTAAAGGATCACATTCTCCTGTTAAAGCAGAATTGTCAACTTTCATTTCTCTAGATTAGATAATTCTAACATCAGCAGGTATTTTATCTCCCATTTTAATTTCAATTATATCTCCAGGAACAAGTTTCTCAGCTGGAACTTCTACTTTTTCTCCTCCTCTAATAGCTATACATTTTTATGGAAGGAAATTCTTAAATCCTTCCATTAATGCATCAGCTTTTGCAGATTAATTGTAAGTTATTGAACCAGTTAATAAAATAATAGCTATTAGAATGATTGCTATTAATAATAATTACATATATTTACCTAGCCATAAATTTGATTTTGCACCTAATGCATTTGGATTAACACCATATAATACAAAACACATAATAGATGCTATCCATAATAATATAGAAAATGGTTAAACCATTTCAAGTATCAACTTAATCCACCATGGTTTCTTTTTTTTTTCTGTCAATTTATTATCACCATATTATTAGTTTTTTGCTACAGCTTATTCTTAAGTTAATCCATCTGTTAAAGATGTTTCATATCTAATTATTATAAATTAAAATTCACTTACCTTTATGATAATGCAATCACATCAACTTTATGTTCATCCATGTTTCTATATTCTTCTCCTTTATTTTATGCTTTTTTTAATAGATCTTGTTTATTATTTGAAGGAGCATCATATTTCACAATTGTTTCATTCAAAACAATTCCTTTTTCCTTAAGTTAAAAATAACCCTTACTTTTGCTTATTAATACATTTAACTCTATCTAGATACTAATGCTGCTGCTTTCACAGAACTTTTACGAGCATCTTGATTTTATCTTAATCCCAAATCGACACTTTAACGAAGTATTTAAAATCCTGTAATGATTTATGGATTATTATTGGGAGGGAACTCTCCCTCATTCAATTGCCTATACTATGCCATAGGCTATAAATTTAATTAAAATAATATCTTAAGTCCTTCATGCCATCATACTATATATATATAGAATTTAATTGGATTATCATTTATTTAAATCAATTAATTGCTAACTAAATTATTATGAAAAAAAGAATCAAAAGATTACAAGGTTCATCTTATGTAATTTCTCTTGAGCCAGAAGATATATTAGGATAAGGATCATTTGGTAAAGTTGTGAGAGCCTATGATCTTGACAATAGAGAAGAACAATTAGTGGCCAAAATTATGGAAATTGGAACACAAAGTAAATTGGAATCATTATAACATGAACTCACAGTTTTAGAATAATTTTAAAGTGATCATTAGAACCTTGTTTAATACAAGTAATTTAATTTACGATCATCCACAGGAGGAAGAAATTGTAATCAACCAAAGCTTGTTACATTATAATGGAATATTGCAATGGGGGAACTTTGGAAGATAAAATGAAAAATAAATTTTGGTCTGAGGCTGAAGTTATGGACTTTTTAAGTTAATTTTGTAGTGGCTATCGTGAATTGTTAATGTAAAATATTATTCATAGAGGTATTATCATAATAAATCATGAAATTAGATTTGAAACCAGCAAACATTATGATTCATGATAGATTTTATAAAATAACTGATTTTGGTCTTGCAAAAATAGTGAATACTTTAGTAGATAAACTAACAATATCATTTAAAGGCACTCCTCTTTATATGGCACCAGAAATGATACAAGAAGAAGCAACAGCTGATCCTAAAATTGATATGTGGAGTCTTGGAATAATATTATATAGGATGCTCTATAATAAATATCCTTTTTTGATTTAAAATAAAAAGTATGATAGAGAAACTGCATTCTCAGATATTGTCAATAATGCTTTGAATATTCCTTAAACTCCAAAGAGATCTGATTTTATCATTTCATTGCTATAAAGAATGCTTAAAAAATAAAGTAAAGATCGAATAGGATGGGAAGAATTATTTTAATTACCACAAATAAAAATTCAATATTAACCCCAAGTTAATTAAAACCATTAAATGATATCTTCATCAGTATTTATTTAATAGATGGTAATCTAAAAAGTCTCTCTCATTAAAGTATAGCCATTTAAGAATAAAAAAGTAATGTCTTTGGTTTCTTAAATATTAACAGAGGATGATATAAAAAAATAAAGTGAAGAAAAAGATAAAGAATAAAAATAAATTTTAAATGAAATGATGTCCAATCTAAATAATAAGTATTTTATTCTAATTTTATAAGGTTACAAACTCAATTATAAATTAATTAAATTGAAGATATTCTATTTTATTTTCATGAATAAATATTTTTCTTAGATAAAGTTGCTATGAGAGTTTATAGATTAAATTAAGTTATTCCAGATATTGATTATAACATCACATATAATATTACTGCAGAAATTTTAACTTAAGCTTTAGGATCAATTCAAAAATTACAAAAACTTTAACCATTAAGTGCTGTCTAAGCAAACCTATATAAATCAACTGAAAATTATCAAATATTTTAATCATTACTATAATAAGATTAATTAGGTTTAGAAGATTTCTATAAAGAAGTAAAGAATAAGATAGTTTCACATTTAAAAAATCCAATTAATTAACTCTTTCAAATAATATCTAATCTACCAACAATTAATTCTATAGTTTAAATTTATATCACTATCAAATACTTAAAGGACAGTTAGAATATAAATGAATTAAACTTTTCTATAATGGAAGACTTTTGGACTTATTATGAAAATGTGGAGAATACCTCAGAATAGGAGGCTTTGCAGTATCTTCAAAAAGAATTGATTTGATTGATTCTGTTTCATTTATCCTTAAAACAAGAAATAAAATATATTATTTATTCTCAACTATTTGTTTATCAATTTTAGTATATATATTATAAATTATAATATAAATATTAATCAAATTTTGAATAAATAATAAATCAAAAATCAAGTTATCTATATAATTTAAATTAGTGCTTCTATTAATAAAACTTATATTATTTTTAAAATTAAATAAAAAAAGCATATTAATTAATTATAAAAATCAAATTAATATTCACTTTCCAGTAATCTAATTCTATATAGTTTATGCTTCTTATTTATAATGATTCAGAGCTTCATCAATATATATATTTTAATGAATCTCTTAGATTTCTTACAATATATCTATAATATTTTTAATTAATTTATGAGCAACTGTAAACATTTTTTGATCTAGTAATTATTAAATAATTTTATCTGTATGATAAAATAGCATTTCTAGAAATTCTTACTTCTCAATCCAATGCGTAAACTACAAAATAGGTATAATTCATACGAATTCAAAGAAACTCTCTAAACTTTCTTCTGGAGTGTTAAAAAGTGTATCTCTCAATCTAAATTATAAAAATGCTTTCTATCTATCTATATTAAACTACATTATTTCAGTCTCAACCATATAGCCAATATCATTAAATCCATCTAATAATTATTCCAAAATTGATTCATGCAAAACATTATTCGGCTCCACAAATCTCTCAGCTAATTCATTTAAATATAATAATCTCTCAGCCTTCTTATTTGGATTATCAAATGAATTCAATAATTAAATAGATTCTTCATAAAGATCAAATAAACACTACTAAAATTTACAATTTCTGATGACAAATTTAATAGCTTAAATATCATATTCAACAATCACAAAATCATTTTATATATCAAATTTCTCTCTCATTTCTTAAATCTTAATAAATAATTCTTCCTTTCCTCTCTCTTAAAATTCTAATATGCAAAAATAATTCATAGCAACTTCTAGATATATTGTGTCTTAATGAAAACTTTCTAAATATTCATGAAAGTCTCTTAACATATCTTCACATTTTTAAAAATCTGTTTATTAGTATGTTATAGCTAATTAAATGTAACTTTATGCATATGGAATAGAATGCTTTCCAAAAACTTATAAATAAAGTTCAACAGCTTTTTCAAAATAAGGTCTTGCAGCAATATATTCTTAAATTTATATTTGAACCATTCCTAATTCTTCAAATATTTAAGCAAATTTAGCAATTCCTTTTTCCTTTCTCTTTTCTGCTTCATTAGCTACTTCAGGATTATCATGATTACATACTATTTTAATTATTTAAATTTTACATAATTTAACTATTTCCATAAATTTCTCTGTTTCCTATAAAGCAATCTCAAAATTTAAAATTCCTTATTATATTTAATCTTATTTTATCAATAATTTTGCTTTCATTTCATAATAGAATGCCATATTATATAAGCATTATGATAATCCTTATTCTTTTGTTAAGTATCCTTCATTTTCTCCAATTTCCTCAAAATTATCTTATAAATAATTATTAATAAACACTACAGATTCCTTATACTATCTTGCAAAATATTCAATTATAATACTTTAACCATAATTCAATTTCTTTAAATTCAACATCATCTCTTTACTAAGAATATTTAAGTGGAATAATTCGAATTACTAAATTGTGCCATAAAAATTAGTAAAAATTTGTTGGATATTAAGACAAATCAATATTTTTGTAATGAACATTATTCAAAAAATCATCAAAAAGTACTTCTTGTACTAATTTATCCTCTATTTATTAATTTTCAATCAGATATCTTGCATATTCTATTTTTTCTAATAACAATGAATAACATTTCTTATTTTCTGACTTATCCATTTCTTCTCTGATTCCAATTATTTTTCTTAGCATATCCATTTATTAATGTTCATTTTCACAACCTTCCATTTCATTAAACAAATTATCAATTTAAGTTTATTTTTCCTCTCTTATAATATAATATCAAAATTTACTTTTCATCCTTGCCATTAAAGAAAATACCATATTATGGTATAATAGTTAAATTTACATAATAAACCTATTATTTTATAGGTAGGAATGATTTTCTATTATGAATTATATTTTAAACAATTCTCTTCACAATATTTCTAATGAGCATAATTAATTAATTAACTATTATTTAAAACTATAAGAATAAATGATTATTATTAAGAAAAGAATTTAATAAAATTTTTTTTATAAATAATTATTTTTTTTCATAGTTCTGTTTAATAAGTACCATAATGAATCGTAAAATAATTGAACAATTTAATTTATTTTTATTTATAAATCATCAACTCATTGGTTATTACATTTATCCAAATTGATTAGGAGGTTGTGGTGGAATTTATGGATAATTATAGTTTGATTATTAGTTCTAATCTTTCATATACAGAGTACTATCTGTAAATGATACAATTTAAGGTTGGAAAACTTAAGGATTCCAATTAGAAGGCTATACCATTGGTTAATTATATATTTAAGGAACAGGTGCAACTATTTCAATTGGAACATTTACTTTAGGATGTTTATTACAACATGTACAACCTATAATATATAAATTATTAAAATTTACCAGCAAGCACTGCTTAAACTTCTAATCTATAAACAGATTTAACTAATTATCCATTAGATGAAGGATGAATACCTTCTGGTGAACTCTTATTATGTAAAATAAGTTAGATTTATTTTCTATCATTTTCTACAGCTCTTTCTCCTGCTTTAATTCCTTACATTTATTATGAAACAATAGTTCTTGTTATTAGTTTTTCCCTTCCTGTTCTATCCCTTAAGGTTAGGTAATTTATTAATCTTGCTTCTATTCTTGTGACATCCAATTTACAATTAGAATTATCCAAATCAGCCCATAAATAAGCATTATCTCCAGGAAGATAATGATTTTTATCAAAAACACATTTAATATGTGATGTCTAATGATATTTATATATAATTACTCCTTTGTCGATGCAACACCATGTGGATGCTTTTACTTCCATTTATCCCATCAAAGCTGTCATATTCTACTTTAATGGTTCTCTAACAATAAGAGGTTATGAGTGTTAGATATTTTTATATGATTTGTTATAAGATTCGATTTCAGCCTTGACACTATAAGAAATTTTGGCTTAGTAGTTGGATCCCTTCTCAAAATATGATCCAGGTAGATGTGATAACAATTAAAATTAAAAAGGAAAGGTATACTATCCAACAGGTAAACAAGGAGTATTAAAAGTCCAAATTGCCACTCGATGTTAATAAAATTAAGTTTCACCAGAATAGGTCACATATTCTGTGGTTTGCTTTTGCTTACCATCTGGGCCAGTAGAATTACGAGTACGACTTTCAGTCCAATGACATTTTTCTTTGCCAGATACTTTCAATAATACTACACCTCCAGGAAATCCATCTTTGAAAATGTTCAAATAGATATTTCCTAAGTTAATGTAATGGCTACTTTATACCTGTAATGATTTCTCCTGCAAAATAGAAAGGTTTATCAGTTCTGATATATACCCCTCCAAAATCTGATCCTTATTAATTTCCCATTATAACGTTTAATATTGAAATCCATATAGTACATTGTTTATAATTCAAGAATGAAAAATAATATGGAATATGTACTGTTATTAAATAAAGACTAATACAATAATCAATTCTTTAATCTAGTCTATAGCCATTACTTTAAATATTTTTCAGATCTTTATTTTTGAGTACTCTTGTATATAATTAAGCTAATAACTTTCATTAACCTGAATGAGTATTTGTAAAATTCTTGTTCATTTTCTAAAGCCAGTTCAAATCATCTTTTTTTTGCATCTTAATCTACAATTGTAATTCTTGATAATCATATGCTTCTGTATTTTTCATTCATATCCAATATTATCTTATATTTTATCTCCTTAGTATTTCTTGATAATTCAATATGAAAAGTAGCTTGAATTCAAGTTATTTCTAAATATTTTCTGATACTTTCCTTTTCTAAAATTTGGTCAGAATCAATGATCATTTGAATCACTATCATTTTATACATTTATTTTCATGGAATATTTGTATTCTTACTATTCTAGATATTTTTTTGTGTCCATCATTAAATGATTAGGTTTTCAATTTGTGAATTCTTATTGTTAAAGTTTGTTAATATATTTCTGTAATCATATGACCAACCTGTTATACATCTTTTAAACAAATGTAGGTATCATCATATAAAAATAATACTTTAATCTCAGTCATTTGAATTATATTAATAATATTTCTCTTTTTAATTTATGATAATATTAGATAGACTTATGAACTTTATGCTGCTGAAAATGAAAAAGAATATTTTTATCGAAAACTCTCTGAATATCAAGATATGGACTTCATTAAATAAGCCATTACAGTTTATAATAAAATAAAATTATTTAATATTGACCCATAATATAAACTTAAATATGAATGCTATTCTAATTGTTATGATTATAATTAAGTGATTTTTGAAAATTAAGAAAAAGGAATCAAAAAGCTTAGGTAAATGCAAAAAAAAAACTAAAGATCTTAAATAGTTTTTAAGAAACTTTGATAAATCTGTATATATCAATAATTAAACATGCTATTCAAATTGTGATTAGTTGATTAGTTATAATTTAGATTAAAAATAAAAAAGAAAAAATAATTGTTAATCTTAATAAATTATCAGAATAAAGTCAATTTTTATAGATGATAATAGGTATGTGAAAATAAACTAGATAGAAGATATAGAGAATTTTGGCTGAAATGAAGAAATGATATAATTGATAGATATTCAAATTAAATGCCCAATTGATGTATTTACAATAAATATAAACTAATTATTATCATTTCAATTAATAAAACTTTTTATTCATCATTCTATTTAAAAAGGGAATCAATAAATAGTTAAATGATATTCTATGAGAGAGAATTTATGAATATTATATATAGAGTTAATGTATAGTTTTATTAGAAGCTTATTTGATTATTTATAATTGAATAGAATATACATCTTTTTCTGTTTCAATCCACGTACGATATATAAATACATAAGTCATATAAAACAAATTATTGTTGTATTATTAATTCTTTTCATATACCAGTTTAACATAAGTTTTAATGAAAATGAATAAATAATGAATTTGCAAAACCCATAAATTAATAATATAAATTAGACACGTAATAAATAAAGATTATTATTTAATAGATTAACCCAGGCTGAGGCAACTTGGCTGTCACTTTATGTGGGTTGTAAGAGGATGTTTGATAAGCTGTCATCTGAGAGCTCGCTGAGTCATTTCGTTAAGAGTCACCGCCCTAACCGAGCTCGTAGTCACTTGTGGGATCCATCAGTAATGAGGGTATCACTTGTGTTGAAGAATCTCGCAATGGCTTAGGCTGGAAACAGAGCAAGCAATAGGGATCGCTATGAGCGGCGGAAGGATACCGGACTCGTGAAGTGATGTGGCTTATCGTGGCACTTATTAAACAGAACTCTGAAAACAAACAAATATTTTTTATTATTCAATATTATTATACTGATGATATTCATAAATTAGNTAATACTTTAATCTCAGTCATTTGAATTATATTAATAATATTTCTCTTTTTAATTTATGATAATATTAGATAGACTTATGAACTTTATGCTGCTGAAAATGAAAAAGAATATTTTTATCGAAAACTCTCTGAATATCAAGATATGGACTTCATTAAATAAGCCATTACAGTTTATAATAAAATAAAATTATTTAATATTGACCCATAATATAAACTTAAATATGAATGCTATTCTAATTGTTATGATTATAATTAAGTGATTTTTGAAAATTAAGAAAAAGGAATCAAAAAGCTTAGGTAAATGCAAAAAAAAAACTAAAGATCTTAAATAGTTTTTAAGAAACTTTGATAAATCTGTATATATCAATAATTAAACATGCTATTCAAATTGTGATTAGTTGATTAGTTATAATTTAGATTAAAAATAAAAAAGAAAAAATAATTGTTAATCTTAATAAATTATCAGAATAAAGTCAATTTTTATAGATGATAATAGGTATGTGAAAATAAACTAGATAGAAGATATAGAGAATTTTGGCTGAAATGAAGAAATGATATAATTGATAGATATTCAAATTAAATGCCCAATTGATGTATTTACAATAAATATAAACTAATTATTATCATTTCAATTAATAAAACTTTTTATTCATCATTCTATTTAAAAAGGGAATCAATAAATAGTTAAATGATATTCTATGAGAGAGAATTTATGAATATTATATATAGAGTTAATGTATAGTTTTATTAGAAGCTTATTTGATTATTTATAATTGAATAGAATATACATCTTTTTCTGTTTCAATCCACGTACGATATATAAATACATAAGTCATATAAAACAAATTATTGTTGTATTATTAATTCTTTTCATATACCAGTTTAACATAAGTTTTAATGAAAATGAATAAATAATGAATTTGCAAAACCCATAAATTAATAATATAAATTAGACACGTAATAAATAAAGATTATTATTTAATAGATTAACCCAGGCTGAGGCAACTTGGCTGTCACTTTATGTGGGTTGTAAGAGGATGTTTGATAAGCTGTCATCTGAGAGCTCGCTGAGTCATTTCGTTAAGAGTCACCGCCCTAACCGAGCTCGTAGTCACTTGTGGGATCCATCAGTAATGAGGGTATCACTTGTGTTGAAGAATCTCGCAATGGCTTAGGCTGGAAACAGAGCAAGCAATAGGGATCGCTATGAGCGGCGGAAGGATACCGGACTCGTGAAGTGATGTGGCTTATCGTGGCACTTATTAAACAGAACTCTGAAAACAAACAAATATTTTTTATTATTCAATATTATTATACTGATGATATTCATAAATTAGATTAGATATCGATACAAGATCTTTAATAATTTGATGACATAATTAGGATAATTTTCTTTTTGAAACTTTATGTTTACAAAAGAATAAAAAATGGTTTGTTCCTTATTTGACTTAAGAAATTCTTCTTAAATGATATTAACACTTTTGAGAGTTTGGAGAAACAATATTCAATCATATGTTTTATTATAATAATTATTTATTTTAAATCATGCCTTAAAAATATTTACTATTCCTTCTATTCCACTAAAAATAATAGAATCAGTTGTATTCATTTAATCAATGCTAAGAATACCTTTTGGTAAACCTAATATAGATGCCTTGGCTTGACCATCTTTCAAACTAAAAAGTTTGATTTCATGGAGTCCCGAACTGCCAGCATAAATATAGTCCTCATTTGCTTTGCTAAATTTTAGTAAAACAATTACTTAAACTAAGTTGCATATATATAATATGATCTATTCTCATCAGATTAAGATCCAGTCCAAAATATTTCTTAATAAAGTTTTCTTGTTCTCCAATCCCATAATTATATTTAATTTTCTGTTCTATGTGATCCAGTCAATATTAATTATCTCTTAACTGAAAAATCAAGCGAATCTCCAGATAAAGATGGCCCATAAAATTGACCTACACATTATTTCTCTCTTATATCCCAAATCAAAACATTTGCATCCCAACCTCCTGATATTAGAATATTAGGTTAGTCTGGCATGAATTTTACAACAAATACTCTATTTGCATGACCTCTCTAACCCCTAATTTATTTTAGAAAAGATACCAATCTGCTGATTAAAATTGATGCTACACACTTTTTATGTCATCATCATAAATTCTAATACAAAAATCCTTACCTCCAGTTGCAAACAAACTTCCATCAAAATTAAAGTCTAAACATAAAACACTATTATTTTCTTCTACAATTTTATGTAATTATTTTCCTGAATGTGCATGCCAATGTATTATATGTCCTTCTGCATTTGCTGATACCAATATACCCTTTGCTTTTATACCATAATTTGGTCTCCATCTTAAAGCAGTAACAGGAGTTTAAAATTATTCTAGTGTATGTGCTAATTTATCTATTTTTATAAAATCATCAATATACTTTAATTATAAAGATGAATCAATCCTTCTGACATCCCTACAGCAAGATATTGATCATCTTAATCGTATCTTAAAGAAAATACATCTCCTCCACTAACATTGAGCTATTGTTATAACTTTAAACCCACTTAATTCTTGTGAACACCAAACCTCTTTTTTTAAGATACAAAAATACTTAAATTCATATTTGTTAAGCTCTAATGACTAATTATTTAATTGTTAGTCTTCTTAATTTTACGTACTTTGCATAATTAATATTTTTAAATAATTATACTATAAAGCAAAGAACTTGAATATTATTAAAAACAATAATCCTATATTTTTTTATATAGATTCAATCCAAATAATTTTCTATTGTTCTTCTCAATATTCAAAATCAGAATGATAATAAATATATTACAAACATTACTTTCCAATAAGTTTTTATAAATCTTTATTTTAGAAGATTGATAATAATCGAAAGGTTGTTGATATGTAATTATGTTAATTTACTATTTAAGATTTTATAATAATCTTATAAATAAATAGTTTTATGCAAATATATATCAAATATAAGTATACTAATTTATAGATTTAATATCCAAAAACAATTTGAAGTAGTTGAATTTCATTTTTGCCTTAGATAACTAATATTAGAGGGTTATTGCATAGTCTGGAAACTGCAAATAATTTAAGTCTTGCTAATTTATTTATTCTATGTAAACAAATAATTATACATTGAATGGCAAATAACCTACTAGAAATAAATATAATATATTTTTATTTATTTTATATCTTTAATACCTTTATTTACTTAATTTTTATTTTTTTACTGTAAATAAATAATTAGATTTCATTTACGAGAATTATCAATTATCTTTTATTTTAAAGATATAATTTATCTTTTTAAGTTAATTGTTTGGGCTTTAAGAATTACTTGAAAAATAAAAAAATAGTTTCTAATTTTTTAAAGATATATTATAGAATTCACAAATATCATGCTAATCAATTGGATATTTAATAAAAATTTGATTATAATATAATCATTAATATTCGTCTTCCATAAAATTCCCATCTTTCCATTTACCAATCACTATGATTCCATCCTTTGTAAATTTTCCAATTCCATGCTGTTTATCGTTTTTCCAGTCTCCTTCATATTCTGAATTATCAGAATTTTTAAAATATCCTTTTCCTTCTCTTTAAGCATTCACAAAATCTCCTAATATTTTGTGAATGAATCTATACCTTTGTAATATTTATTTTCTGGTTATGGCCAGTGCATCTCTCCTTTACCATCAGGTTTATTATTTTTAAAATTTCCTTTATATCGTTTACCATTTGAATAATAATATGTTCCTTCACCATGATATTTTTCTTCAAAAAACTCACCTTCATATTTTTCATTTATAATTTTTAGTTCTTATGTACCTTTACCTGACTTTTTACCATCCAAAAAGAAACCTTTATAAATAAATTCTGGTTTTTCTAATACTCCATATCCATGAGGAGCTGAATTTTTACATTAACCTTTATATGAATAGTTCTTTTATTTTACTTCCATCTCTTTTTACATAGTTCCATCTTACCAATAACCGCTCTAAAATATTAATTTCATTTATATTTTACCAAATATCCTTAATTATTTATAACTCTTCCCCAACCTTTTCTTTCATCATTTTCAAAAAAGCCTTCATAAAATTCATTTTATGTTAAATAATAACCAAATCCTTATTTTTTATTGTCTTCCATTATTCCTTAATAAAAAGATTCATCTTCCAAAATATAAATTTACATTTATTTATCAAACTAAACTTATTAATCAGGAGGATTATATGGTCCAAGTTAATTATAAATTTCTTTAAATTATTAGGGTAATTTATCGATCATAGAACTTTCAATACGAGAAGCTTAAGAATAATTGAAAACTTATGAGGATGAGTTTAAAATTGGTGATATTCCTTAAATCTATGTTTAAAAAGCTAAATCTTAGTTTTCTTATTCTTCTTTATCATTATTTTCTTCTTACTCACTTTTTTCTGATTTTTATTACTATTATTAATATTATAATTATTATTATTATTATTGTTATTATTATTGTTATTATTATTGTTATTATTACTACTATTATTATTGCTATTACTATTGTTATTGCTATTACTACAACTATTATTCTTAATCTTACTATTAATTATCAAATTAAATAATGATTGATTATCCCTCATTATTTTACTGATTATTTTCTCTACAAAAAAGTAGAACAAATATCTTACTTCTGACCTTGGCTTATATTTGATCTAACATTTTCAATTTTTTATATCATAAGAGGCCATAAAATGACTTCTTTTTAATACTTATCCAAATCAAAATCTGTAATCTACGAAGGTGATTAATTATGTTTAGGTGTTTACTAAAGATCCTAACTAGCCTATTTAGTTGGAGATGCACCCATAGAAACAATTTAAATAAAGTTGATATTTTTATTATTAATTCATAATTATTTGTCTCCATGTTTTCCAAATCTATTAAAATCTATTGGTGTATGACAAAGGGAACAAAATTTTAATGCTTGAGTTTACACTTCCTAATCAATCATCTTGTGTTTGCAAGCTTTACAAGTGTAAAATTTCTATCCATATATAGATTTTCCAGAAGCCACACAAACTCCGAAAATAGTTCCACATTCTTTACAAAATAATTAACTAATTAAAATAATAATAATATTATTTACTATTCTGTAATTTTTTTATTACCACAAGAAGGTTTTGGACATTGTATAGCATCACACACTGCATCCTCTGGTTCATGTCTATTATTTAATAATATTTTTTTACTTTACAAAAATTTAAGCAGCTACTGATTGATATCTTTCTCTCTCTTCTTCAGTAATATTATCCAAGTTTTCTAATTTCACAAAAGCTCTGGCACATTCTTTAAAAGATTTATTATAATAAGCAGCAAGGGCAAGTAATGAATAAATCCTTTTAGGATCCATATCTAATTCAAATTCACATAATCTAATGGCTGATTTTCTATAATTAATAATAGATATATATATATTACAATGCACATTTATAGTTTCCTGAATAAAGGAATTTTTGGGTCAAAATATAGAAATGCCAAGCTTCTGCTTATCTCCAAGGATTATTGAGTACTTTATCAGCAGAATGATTTAAATCATTGGTAACTAATTAATCTAATGTATGAGCAATTGTATTATTTTAAGCAGTCATAGTGACATCATATAACTTTTTTTTATATAGATCAACTTCTAATGCAGCCATAACAAACAATTTCTTTACAACAAGTGGACTTTAATCACTTTTAATAAGATCTTCACCAATTTATGATAATAAACGAGCAGCATCTGAATTATGATTGGCTTTTCTATATAATTCAGCAGCTTCTAATTTCATTCTTTATTCTAATAATTAAGCAGCATATTATTGTAATAATCCTTCAATTTATACAAAATTATGTCTTTCAGCTAATTCAACAGCAAAATTCCAAGCATTTAATAAAACAGCACAATCTATAGCTTTTTTAATATCTCCTGCTTTTTCAAAACATTTGATTGCACTCTTTGCCATTCCTAATAATTAAAATCTTTCTCCCAAATCACATAAAAATGAATTTCCTTCTTATAATGAATTTGCTAATTCTTCAAGTGTTTAATAATCTTCAATCATAAATGAAGTTTCTATTAATTTTTCAATATTATTAGATAATTTAAATTATTATTATGCTTTTTCCCATTCTCCTTGATCACAATAATAATTTCCCAATTTATTTTAAGTTTGAACTGTAACTTCATCTGCACCTACAAGATCTTTAGATAAAAATAACACTCTTTAATAATCACCAGTTTTCATTCTCATTTATACAGCTAAATCTTTTCTTTCAATTTCTCTTAAAATTTTCTCAGCTTCATCAAATCTTTTCAAAAATACATAAACTTCTGCTTTTTATTTTTCTTTTTCATCATAATCTAAAATCCTTTTTATAAATTGCAATCCAGCATAATCTTCTAATTTCAAATAACATTTTTCTGCTACTGAAAAATCTAACTCTTCAAGTGACTTTTATGCTAATAATTACCATAAAGTATTAGACTATTTTATAATAAATCATAATAATACTGGTTATTTTTCTATTATACCAAACATTTCTTTAGGTGGAGTTTTATCAATGGACTCCTTGATTTCTTTAAATAATCTACTCTCATATTATACAAGCAATTCATCTGCTCTTAATTAACCATCTGGACTCATCATTATATCATCTAATAATGCTCCTCTAACAGTAAGTTCTGAGAATCTAATAATAATAATACTTAAATTTACGAGCATAAGAAAGCATCACAAGGGACAGGATCCTCAGCAGTAATATCTCTTACTAAATGGATTCTACCTTTTTCCATCACAGCAAATTAAAATGGATCATTATCAGACCAAACAACTTGCCAACATTCTTTCTTATCAAAATCTAATAATTTTCCACCACCTACAGAAATATCTAATAACTATAAAGTTCCCATAACATCAATAACTGATAATCGAGTAGAATTACAATTTATATTAATAATATTTGGCCTATTTTCTAAGAAATATTTAGGTTCAACACTGACATAAGGTAATGTAAATTTTAATATATTACCATTGATTCTTCCAATAAACAAATAATTTTCATTAGCTTATATTGCACAAATAGTTTCATCAGTTTATTTTTCTAAATTAAATGTATCCTTATCATAAATTACTTAACTATCTGGGTTTTCATCTATAAACCAAGCCATTTCTTTACCAATTTTTCTGATTCCTGTATTCTAATTGGATTCAAAGGTGGTTAATCTTTAGACTTAGTTTCTATATTACCATAAATAGACATAATCACTATTAGCAATAATAATATGAGTTTTAGTCATACAATTATATTTAGGTTCAATAGATATAAATTTAGTATCTAAAGGACTACCAATAGAATTACAAAGTTCAACCTTCCATGTGTCTTATTCAACAAGACTTATTAAGACACAACAATCATTAGAACCTTTGATATCAAGTAAACCTTTCATATATCTTATGGATTTTTATTCTCTTTTTGTATCCCAAAAAATAATTGTAAATTCCATTCTATCTTATCTTTGATAAGCAAAAATAAGAGTTTCAGATTATGATAAATAACTCCATTTATAATCTAATTTGAGATTGGCAACATAAACAGTTTGACCAACTCCCATAACTAATCTTAAGCCATCACCTTCAAAACTCAAACTATTAACTTTGTCAGTATTTGCAACTCTCAGCGTCTTTAGATGATCACCCATATTGGAATAGAATTGAACTACTGCCCTTTATTCATCTTTATCCTTTGCACTACCAGCAACAGCAAACATAGAACCATTAGGACTCCATCTGACAGATGATATAGTCATGACTGTATCAATTAATATAGGTGACTCATCCTTATCATTTTTCATTAATTAAACTCTACCACATGTATATGCAATTAGCAATCCTGGAGGAGTTTCATCAGTATACATTTTTCCATATTCATACCATTGGACAGCTGCTATTTATTAATTAGGAGTATAATAATTTTTAGGATCAACTAATCCCATTAAACAACTCATTTTTAATGAATTTAATTGATTGCCATTCTAATCATGTATAATAACTTGTCCATCTGCTGTTCCCAATATCATTAATTTTGAATCTGGTGACCATTCAATTAATCCTAATCTATATTGATAATCTTTGCCCCATAGTCTATTACCTTCAACCGATCCAATAATAACAGCTCCATCTTCATAGATTATTCCAATTTTGAATCCATCAGGTGACCATTTCATATCGGTTACAATTGATTTCTATCTATTATTGACCATTTCTTCCATCCATTCATTCTATTTAAATATATATATTAATTATTTACTCCTAAATTTACCCATACTATTATCTATCCTTGATCATCACTAGTAGTCAATTTCTGATATCTCTCGTTCCATATTATTATATTCACCTTACCCATATGTTATTCCAAAGCTGCTTCATATGGTAATTTGGCTTACTTAATAATATTTATATAAAATTTTTACTTGTCCTTGAATTCCTGCTCTTTGATCATCCAACTTTATTATTTTCAATAAACCTTTTTTTTAACCTTATGGCGCATGTCTAATTTATAAATTTTATTTACTCTCCTCCTATTGCTATCCAACCTTCCTCCTAACTCCAAGCTATACTATGCACCTTCCCTTAATTAAGCATGCCTATCTTCTTGACTAAAAATGAAAACATTTCTTAGTAATTTGATATTTAAATTAATAATTATATGAGTTCACAACTGCATTATGAACTTAATTCACTAAATGAGGATTTTAGATTTCAAATTAATCAATTATCAACTGATCTAGATCATATACTCTCACTTACCAAAATTAGAGGTTAGGATATTCCCTTTTCTCGAATTTGTTAAAATTGCAAATTCAATCATGATTATGATAGTTAACATAATTTGGTAATGAAATAATACACAGAAGCATAATTTATATCAGATCTTATAGCAGAACATGACACACTTTATTAAATTTGTAATTGGGCTCATTAAAGTGTAAACTAATAAAATGGAAGGGAGTAAGATAGAGCCTGGACTCATATAATTTCAAATAACTTTAATCAAGTTCAGAAATTATTAACAGATGAAGAAAAATGTATATTAAATTCACTTAGACCTTTTGGAGCGGGAAAAAATTAATTTGACTTCATGCGTTTATCAACTTATCAAAATGAAAATTGGGTTTTAGCTTTGGAAAATCTCAATTAAGTAGCTAATCGAATTTCAAATAATAAATTATTTAAATGGGCTACATGTTAAAGTGTCCCTTGGAGTACAGATATTTCTAAATTTAATGAAAATTTATGGCTTAATATTAGAGCTGATCTATTTTGTAAGGTTATGACTGCACATGCAGAAATATATCCAAAAATGTAAAAGTGTATAAATTTTGGAATCAATAAACCATATATCTGGTAACCAAAATATTATGAATTGAATTGTGATGACATGCATTATGGAATTGAAACATTTGGTAAACTATTTATTATAGAAATCATTAAGTATTTAACATAAAAATCAAATGCTAATTAATTAATCGAATTGGTTTATGAGGCTATTGATGTTTTAATCAATAAATAAATAAATCCATAATATACAATTAATAGAGCCAATTGCTTTTATAAAATTGCTTTAATGATTAATGATTTATTGGATATTAATAACGATGATGAATATTAATTTTTACAATTAATTGTAGAGATCATTAAAATTATAGAAACAGAGATCTTTGATTTACCAACAAAATATAAATTTTTAATACATTTATTAAGTATTTTAACAAGGTTAAGTACATTTAATTTATTCATATAACAAATATGTTAAAATATCATCAATTAATTTGGAGGTTCATTATCCTCTATTTTATAATTATTACTTGATAATAAATTCAATAATGCTTTAATTACTAAAATTGCATTTGATAAATTTACTCATTTAAGTCCAATCTAATAAAATGAATTAATTTCTTCATCATTTTCATAATATTTTGATTATAATGAAAAAAAGGTTTAAATACTTTTTTTTCTCCCTTATATTATTGAGAATATTGAAATCTTTAAAAACACATTCGAACAATTACTCTAAGATTATCCTGATTTGGGAGAATTAGAAAATTAGTATTATCAAGTTTACATAAATAAAGAAGTTGAAAGAATGAAAAACTTAATTAAAGAAGTCAAAATTCCTTTTTATTGGTTTACTAAATATATTATGTTTTTACTTAATATCCCAAAATTAAAATAAAAAGACATGTATATAAAAATTTTCATATTTTTAGTTTAATTATAATGGATGCAATTCAGATTAATAATGAGCTATTTGATAGTCTAGAAAATAAAACATTTATTTTAGCATTAATTGCTAAGAAATTAACAGAATTTAAAGCATTTGTTAATTATTTGCTTTAATGATTAATATAGTATATACCATATAAATTCCACATAAAATTTATGTGGCAAATTTCTAAATATAATATATTTAAATGAATCATACTGAAATTTCTTAAGAAGAGCCTCTTCTAGAAAAGAAATCCTAAAGACCTCCTGGGTTGTTATCGAGAACCTTATTTCTTTATGTTTTTCCATTACTCAGACTAGCCAATAAAACTCCATTAGAATTTGAAATGGTTAAAGACTTATAAATAGAGGATTAAAGTGAATCATTATTTAATAGAATGAATTCAACCTTTTAGATTTACAAACATGAAAGATTTGCACTTTACAAATCCCTTTTTTTTACATTTAAAAGTATATTCTTAATAGTAAATGTAGAACAATTTTTTATAGTGTATATCATAATCTTAATTTGGAATATTTCTTTAATGTATGGTCCTATTATGATTCGTTAAACTCTCTCTTATATTGACAATTCTGAACATACTTTAGGCAAAAGCTTTTAATGGTTAGGTATAATAATAGTTGTTAGAGTTTTTAATGCAATAACTTATTAAAATAGTTTCTATATGTTGGTATTTTAAATGATTAAAATTTTAGAGAAAACTAGGATATGATTAACATTCAGCAGTTAGTGTCTCTGTGATGAAAAAAACTCTAAATGTATCATTTTAGAGTAATAAGCAATACAAGACAGGTGAAATAATGAATATTATGTAAGTTGACTTATAAAGAATATTATAATTTAATATAGCTGTAGCTTCAGTTATTTTTTTACCATTTTAAATAGGAATCTCTTTTTATTTATTATTTGATTTTATTGGTGTTTCATGTTTAGCTGGTTTTGGTGTAATGATTTTAGGATTACTGATAAATTTTTTACTTGGAAGATGGGGTTGGAGATTGTAAAAATAAGTGATGGTTGCAAAAGATAATAGAACAAAATAAGCATATGAAATATTTTCTTAAATTAAATTTATTAAAGCAAATGCTTTTGAGGATTATTTTAAAAATAAATTATTAAAATTTAGAGAAAAGGAGATTCAATTAATTAAAAAGAAAAATATTGTGAGTGGTTTATTTACATTAGCATTTTTAATGACACCATAACTTACATTAAATGTTACTTTAGCTGTATATATATGGCTTTAATATAATCTAACACCTGCTGATACATTTACTATAATCAGTTTATTTAATATCTTACAATAATCTGCTAGTGCTTTACCAAGCTTTATTAATTAAATTATTGAAGCCAATATAAGTATTAAAAGAATATAGAATTTCTTATTAACTGATGAACTTATGAATGATTGTATTTAAAATGTAAATGATGTTCTTGGAAATTCTATAGAAATTGAAGGAACTTTCTTTTGGGATTAAATCAAAAATAATTAAGATCCCAATAAATCTACTTATATTGTACCAATAAATTAAGTAATAGATCCAATTTTAAGAAATTTACAATTAAAAATTTAAATTGGTGAATTTGTTACCATAATTGGAGAGTAATTAATATATTTATATAATTTAGTGTTGCAAGTGGCAAAAGTTCTTTAATAAGTGCAATTTTAGGAGAAATGGTTTATAATGTTTAAAGATAAGCACCAACCATAAAAATAAATGGAAGAGTAGCTTATGTAAGTTAAAAGAGTTGGATATAAAATGCTACTTTAAGAGATAATATTTTGTTTGGTTTGCCTTATGATGAAAAGAAATATAATGATGCTATAAAATATTCTTGTTTAGAATAAGACATTAAAATTTTAGACAAAGGAGAAACTACTATGATTGGAGAGAAAGGTGTTAATTTGAGTGGAGGATAAAAAGCTAGGATTAGTTTAGCCAGAGCATTATATAGTGATTGTGATATCTATTTATTGGATGATCTAATAAGTGCAGTTGATATGCATGTGGGCAAATTTATAATAGAGAAATGTTTATGTGAACATTTGAATGGTAAAACTATAATATTAATTACTCATGCTCTTTATTCTTGTTAATTTGCTGATAGAATTATTTTAATGGATAATGGTTAAATAATTAAGGAAGGAACTCTTGATGATATTAAAGAATGTGATAAATTTGATTAAATTTATTAAAAATATTTTAAAGAATAGAAAAATGAATAGAAAGATGATTAGGAAGAAGAATTAGAAGTACTAAAATTATAAAAAAAAAAATCATCTACATAATATATAAATAATACTAATAAGGATTAAGTAGATGATTTAATGATTTTAGAAGATAGAAAAGTTGGTAGTGTTTAATCAGATGTATATAAAGAATATTTTAAAATGAATGGAGGATGTTTATTCTTTACATTCAATTTAATTGTTGTTATTATATAAGTTATAGCTAGATTTGGATCACAAATATGGTTGGCAAAATGGTCTGGATAAAATGACTTAACATATGATGAAAACTTACATAATCTAATGATTTTCTCTTTCTTTTCTCTAAGTTTTGGCTTTTTTGCTTTGATTCGTATTTTAACTTTATCTAGAGAAAGTGTTAATACTGCTAATAAAATACATACAAGAATGATAGAGTAATTCTAATTATATTATTTATTAGTTAATTACTTTATGCACCATTATGTTAATTTTTTGAAAGGATTCCATTAGGTGTATTAATGAATCGATTGACTAAAGATTAATCAGTTTTAGATACAGAAATTCTATGGACTATATCTATTCTATATATTAGTTGCTCTAATTTTATAGGTAATTTATTTATTTTATGATAAATTTTAGCAAGTACACTAATCAATGTTTTTAGTAGTTCTTATTATATTATTTTTCCAGTTTTGATATTCTTATATGCAGTTTGGAAAGTTTAAAGATTTTATATGGCTGCAAATAGAGAACTCTATAGATTGGAATCTATAAGTAAAAGTCCTATTTTAAGTTTCTTCTCTGAAACAGTGAATGGATTGAATATAATAAGGGCATTTAGGAAACAAGACTAATTTTTAAATAGACACACAAAAAATATTGATTTAAATAGGAAGATATAAATAGCTTAATTATAAACTACAACATGGTTTTCAATGAATTTAACATTCACAAGTTTTATAGTAAATATATCTGCTATTGCTTTTGTTTTGTTTTTTGGTAGTGAGAATCCTGCATTAGCTGGTTTACTTATGACAGTTGCCACTGTTATTGATAATAGCTTATAATCAGCGATTAATTCTATCACTTAAGCAGAAACTTAATTTATATCCTTTGAAAGATGTTTAGCATTTGCTAAAATAGAACATGAAAATGGTTATAAATTAAAGAAGGATTATATCTAAAATTGGCCTTAAGTAGGAGATATTAAAATAGATTAATTAATTGTTAAATATAGAGAAAATCTATCACCAGCCTTAAGAGGACTTAATGTTGTGATAAAAAGTTAAGAGAAGATTGGAGTTGTAGGTAGAACCGGAGCTGGAAAATCAACTGTCACTTTATCTTTATTAAGAATTCTTGAAGCTTCAAGTGGTTCTATTATAATTGATGGAGTGGATATATCAACCTTAAATTTAAAATAGTTAAGAGAATCAATAACAATGATATTATAAGAATCAACTCTATTTGAAGGAACCTTAAGAGAGAATCTTGACCCATTACATTAACATACAGATTAAGAATTAAATGATGTAGCCTTACAATGTTGTTTGGGAGAGTTATTACTGTAAAAAAAAGGCTTGGATTCTGAGATATCAGAAAATGGAGATAACTTAAGTGCTGGAGAGAAATAATTGATATCAATAGCCAGGGCAGTTTTAAAATAATCTTAGATAATTTTAATTGATGAAGCAACGGCTAACATTGATATTGATACAGAATCAAAAATCTAACAGACAATTTAAACAGCCTTTAAAAAATGTACAGTAATAACGATTGCTCACAGAATCAATACTATTATGCATTGTGATAAGTAATAGATGTTATTAATTTATTAGAATATTAGTTATTGATTAAGGAGAGGCCAAAGAGTTTGATGAACCTTAAAATTTACTAGATAATAAATCTTCCATTTTTTATAGTTTGTACTTATAGGGTAAAAAAAGTAATAAGATCTGATTAAGATTGTTATCATAACAATTCAAGAGTGTTATTATATTCTTTTGATATATTAATATTATTTTAAAAAATATTAAAGTTATGGGAGCTACATGTTGTGCTGCTAAATAACTTGGAAATACCGAGATAACTAACGCTGCTCCTGAAGAATTCAATCAATAAATTGATAATGAAAAACCTTAAGAAGCAAATCATTAAAATGAAGAACTAGAACACGTGAAACTGGTCAAAGAACCTCCTCATATACCAGTCGAAGAACCAGCTCCAGGGAATCCACCAGATGATGTATTTAATGTCTTACCTCTTAGGCCTCAAGAGAAAAATAGAGATAAATGATAGCTATTCATGGTCCTAACCCTGAAGATGCAAAACCATATGAAAAAGTACCCTTAATAGAAAATGATATGGTACGCAAGACTCTAGAAAAACTTGGAGAATATCAATACGATCCTGAATCACTTCAGAAGTTTGCAGATTGTATTGAACTAGAACCTTATGTATTAATTAATTGTTAACTTATAGTAATTTGAGAATGGGGCTATATATGTTGGGCAATGGAAAAATCATTAAAGATGGGGAAGAGGTAAATAATACTGGCCTGATGGATCCATTTATGAAGGATTTTGGAGTGTTCATACAGCTAATGGAAAAGGAAGATTGATTCATGCAGATGGTGATGCTTATGTATTATATTATTTAAGCATAGGATGGTGATTGGGTAGATGATAGAGCTTAAGGATAAGGAACTTATTATCATGTTGATGGAGCAAAATATGAAGGAGATTGGTTAGAAGATTAATAACATGGTAAAGGAACTGAAATGTGGCCAGATGGAGCTTAATATATTGGAAGTTACGTTAATGGTAAGAAAGATGGAAAAGGAAAATTTAAATGGAGTGACGGAGCAACTTATGAAGGAGATTTCAGAGATAATAATATTGAAGGTATTTTTATATTTTTTAAATCTCTAGGATATGGAGAATATATTTGGGCTGATGGAAGAAAATATAAAGGACAATGGTAAAATAACAAAATGCATGGAAAAGGAGATTTTAATTGGCCAGATGGAAAATAATATAGTGGTATTCTCTTATTTTAAATTATTAGGCGATTATGTGGAAGATAAGAAAGAAGGTTACGGAGTTTTTAAATGGTCTGATGGAAAATAATATAAAGGCTATTGGAAGGATGGTAAATAGCATGGCAAAGGAATTCTAGTTGATAAAGATTAAAGGGAAGTTGAAGCTGAATGGGTTGAAGGAAAAAGAGTTAGACAAGATTGATTATCATTATATTATTATTAAATCTAATACTGTATCCATATATTGACCTATTATAGGTTATAAATGTACTGAATAATTTCACATTTTCTGATAAAATTATTTTTATTATTTTCAGTTAGATATTTTTTGTTTAATATTTCATTTAATTATAAATTATTTATTTTATAAAAATATTTTAATTCTAATTCTTATCCTTCTAGTTTATCTTTAATCATGGTATTTTCACTTATTTTCAGTCTAAAACCAATTTTTTTTATAAAATTATATTATCATCTATTATGTTATACATAAACAGCAACTACCAAATATCAAATCGATTTACTTCTCAAACTCTTTGGTTTTCTTAATAATTAATAAGGATTTTTCTTTTCTTATATAAGTTTTTTTATTCTAAGGCACATTGAATTTAATCAATTATTTAGATTCATAGAATTAACAGAAATATTATTTATTGATTTTTCTAAGGAAAATTTAAAAAGCTGCTTATGAATTTATATAAATATAATAGTAGTTTTAAAGATCTAAGAGATATTTAATATTTTCTAAATATTATTATATCAGTAATAAATTTAATAAATACTGAATATTATGTTTAAAAATTAGTTAAAAATTTTTTGATAAAACAATTATCTAGTGTATTTTTAATTCATAATGATTGTGTTAGTTTTACAGAATGCTAAAAATTGAATATAATATTGAGTAAAACTAAATTTAGAAAGATAAGAAAATTAAAAAAAAAGACAAAAAAATGTATAAATGAGAAGAAATCATTATGTTGCTTTTTATTTTGAAAAAGGGATTTCTAATTCTTCATCAGAGTCTTATTTAAATTTTTCTTTACTATTACTAACCTAACTATTATCTACTATACATTTTGAGACAACATTAAGTTTTTAAGGACTTTTTGATACTCTATTAACTATTTTGTTAATCTCTTTAGTGGTTAATCCTGTTTATTATTTTAATCTATTTCTTAATTATTACTCTGATTTTAAGATTTCTTTTTTCTCTTCTTCTTATTTATTACTTTGATGATATTCTGAACTCTTTGATTCATAAAATGCATAAAATTTTTAATATGTTAATTTGTCAATTTAGAGAGTTTTCAATAATTTTGTTGGTTTATAAAATATATGGGTTAATAATCCAAATAAAAATATATTAGATACATCTTAAAATCCTATTTGAATCATTTCAGCACAATGATTAATAAATTTCATTCTCTTTTCATTAACATTTGATTTATTAACAGAAGCAATATAAGAATTAATACATAATTTTACAAATTCATTAAAATTTTCTTCACTTTATGATTAATATTAAATTGAGGAATAATCAATAATAAATTTCCAAAAATCCTCTTTTTTTAAATTTTAATCATTTTCTATAACTTTTTATAATGATTATGAAATGGATGTTAATATTGTTGGTTTTAAATCACTAAAGTAACAACTAGATTTTATTAATTCAAATAAATAAGATAAAAATTGAATACCAAATTCTTTATTTATTAGTATTGAAGGACATTAATTAATTAATTTTATTGAATTGTTAAATAATTCCATTTAAATATTACTTATTTAAGGTAAGTTATCAATTAAAGTGCGACTTTTCCTTCTTTTAAAATCATTTTATTTTTCTTTTTCTAATTTAACTTATCTAGATAATTCAGAAAGTACAAAATTATGAAAATGGATGTACAATAATTAATAAGTTTATGAAGATATGTAATATTATAAGTTTAATCTTTATAATTTAAAATTATTAGTATAAATTAAATTATTGATAACAAGTTATAAAATAGTAATGTGGTATTGATCTTTATTTTTATTTTCTAAAATTTAAAAGCAATAATTAAAAAATAGATCTCTTATTTCTTTATAATTAATTTCATGATCATTTTCTTAAGGTTTATTAGAACTTAATAGATTTCTAATTTAATTTTGAAGTGAACTAGCCAATAAATTTGCATTAATTATGATTGATTTTTCATCTTTATTTTCAAAAATTGAGCTAATTGGATTTAAGATTTATTTTGGAAATACTAAATTTTGTTTAATCAAACATTCAATTTTTTAAATATTTAAGAAATTTAATTTTTCTTTATATATCTTAATACCATATTTTACTAATTCTTTTATACACTCTTTGACTACTTCTGAATCTTATTGTTATTATTGATATATAAACATCATTTTACAAACTTAATTAATTATACCAATATTTTGACTTTTTTGAAAAATCTTTTACACACTAATAGCAATTGCTTTCATGTCTTTAAGAGGTATTAATTTAGAGTTTAAGTTTTAATAGATATGTAAATAAGGAAATAGTAAATTCTAAAAAATTTTAAATTTAATATATATACCTCATCAACCAAATCAATTGAAATCTTTGCTTTAGTTAAGAAGTAACTTGTAAATTGATCTGTAAATTTAATTTCTTCATCTTTATCTTCTAACCACCAGAATTTAATTTAAGTATGTTAATATGATAATATTGATGCATAAAAATAAAAACCCATAAGCTAGAATTATTCTTATTATTCTCCTTCAAAAAATTGAGAGTATTGTTCTGGTAAACAGACAAAAGAATGACTATGAACAAAAGAAAATATAAAATTTTAGCATTCCTCATAGCTCTAAATTTCAAAAGGTGCATAAGTCAAGTAAAATTCAGTTAATTTATATACACTTTTAATTGGTTTTTCAAATAAATGTAGTAAAAATGAGGATTCATATCTTATTCTTAGATTTTTTGCAAATAATATTCTAATAAAAGCTTAACATGTCTTGGTTTTAAAAAAATTACTCACTACATTTGTATTTTTTGAAAATAGCTATAAAATATTTAAAAAAATTATTATACTTTTAAGAAATTGATTAATTTTAATTGAACACTTTCATTAGGATCAAATATTAAACTCATAACAGCCTCTTATTCTTCTTGTAGAAAATCAATTATTGGTTATAAGGATTTTTTACTTTCAATTAAAGATTTTAAAATTTTTTCTAATTCATTTAAAGCAGATTCTCTGCATTCATGATTTTCACTTAGAAATAAACATCCTAAATAACTATAATAGGGATCTGTAGGAATATCTGAATTTTAAAAGGAATGAAAAAGTATTTGAATAGCTTTTTTCTTTATTAAAGTTTATACATCTTAAGTTCTATTAGTTACTAAATATTCAAATATATTATTTATAAATTTAGTTACTTCTTTCAATTCCTATTCATTTTCTATAGTTTATTTATTAAAATTATACTTATAAATTGTAAGAAATTAGAAGTAGAATTAATAATTAAATCTATAACTTCTAAAGCAGCTTATCTAGCGGTTCGAAATTTAGTTTAGGAGATTATTGTTAGCCAATTATATGTATATTTGAAAAAGCCTTCACATTAGAAAGGTAATTAAGTTTAGGTTGAGAATAATGTATCAAAAAATTGTCTTAAGAGTTTATTATTTTCAATTAATTAGCATTATTATTCATCAATTAAATTGGACTAATTTTCAAGTTAGAGTGATTCTAATTTATTTATTATTTCTTCTAAATTGACTTTTGCAAGGCTTAATCCCTTCAAATATTGATTACAATGATCCATTCCAACCAACTTTAAATAAAAAGACACAAAACTAAGTAAAACTCCTTATGGACTTTCAAGCAATAAATCTTCTAATTTAATTATTACACTAGATTATTCAATATCTGGATCATTCATAGATTCTAGAATATATTTATTATTACCATATATTTCAACTATTTTGATTTCTTCAATTTGTTAAAGTTCAGATTCTCTATTATTTTATTTCTTTGCTATCTTTTTCATACTAATTCTTTAAGCTTAAATTATAATATAAATAATGTTATTGAGATATTTATGATTTCCTTTAAATGTAGTTTAATTTAATTATAATGAATTCTTACTATTTTTCTTGTTGATTTTTATTTTATTTGATAATTTTTTGGATTGTTATATTTAATTTCAAAATAATTGATTTTGCAAAGATGATAATCATGAACAATACACCATAAAAATAAAAAACTTATGATTCTGATTTAATAGATTAACTTTCAATAATTGAAGATTCTAATTTTAAAGAAAATTAAGTTGAATACTAAAATAATCTTAAAATTAGAAACGTAGAACTATAATAACTCAGATAAAAAAGTATTAAAACTCCAACTTTATTTATATCTACTTAAACATAATTTTAATCATCATAATAGATTAGCTCTAAAAGAGGATCTTTAGCTGAATTGCATTCTAATTTACCATCTACTTAAACATATTTAGGTTAAATGTAAAATAGAAAAAAAAGGGAACCTCCATCTTTAAAATTAAATGAATAGTAATAACTAAAAAGATATGAATCTTTGGTGAATTTGATTTAACAACCAACTAATAGAAACTATATAAAATCATAAAATGATTATACTACTAGAAATAAAGACAATATTAATTTTAATTCCTAATAAGTTTAAATTCAATAACTAATAAAAACATTAGGAAGCAGAAGATATTGAATAAAATTTCTATAAAGTATTAGATATTTCATAATCCAATTTTATTTATGTAAAAAATCTATAATAAACCATATTAAATTAAAAAACAACATGCCTCTATTATTCATTACTTTAAATTATTTAAATAAATGTATTTTTATATTCTTAACAAAGTTATCCATTTAATATTTTATAAAATTTTGATTTTGAAATTCTCAAAGACTAATTTATTCTTAAGAGTTTTTAATATATAACTGATTTTCAATTTTATAATTATTTTAAATATAATTTTATAATATTATTCTTAACATAATTATTAGTTTAAAATTAATATTATTTCTGATAATGGATGATTATTTAGATGACTAATATTATTCAGAATTAGAAGAAGATTATGATAATGATAATGTTAACAATAATGTAACATTATTAAGTGAAAATAATCTCTATTAAGAATTTTAAGATCGGCTTGAGATTATTAAAGATAAAATAGGAGAAACATCTTAAGTTGTTTTAAATGTAATATTAAATATATATATATATTAAGTTATTAATCTTTTTCAATTTTGAAGTAAAAACCATTTATGATAAATTGTTGCTAAATGATTAGTCTGAATAAATAAAAATTTAACTTTAGGAATAAGGTATTTACAAAGTCTCTTAACTAAATTTTCATTCAAATATGATATGTTCAATATGTGAAGATAATAACACATAAGGGTATAGTTTAAATTGTAATCATAAATTTTGTAATAATTGTTGGAATCAAATGATAGAGGTCTAATTCTCAAGTTAAATACCTTTAGTAAGATGTTTATAAGATTAATGTTTTGAAAGATTACCTAATTCATTTTTAGAATAATACTCTAAATATACTTAAATATTAATAAAGAGATTTATGTAACATGATGATGAAATTACTTGGTGTCCAGGTAAATTTTATAATTTGAATGATAGGATTAAATTGTGAGAATGTTTTTAAGTGTAAAAATTTTTCTCATTCAATAAAATGTCCTTGTGGCATCAAATTTTGTTCTAAATGTAGATAAGAAAAACATTATCCAATTCCATGTGATATTTTAAAAAAAGTATTAGAATATCAATAATCAAATGATTATTGGGTAACTTTACATGCCTCAAAGTGTCCTTAATGTGGAAGACTTATATAGAGAACAGAGGGATGTTTTCATTTAAAATGTTTATGTGGGTAACATTTCTGTTTTAAATGCTCTGGACCTTGGGCAAAAGATCATGAAAAAAGTTTTTATACATGTCCCTATATGAATACAAATAAAAATCCATCTAAATATGCTTTATTATTAAATAATGAACTATAGAGTATAAATAACATTATTCGAATTATTGAATAATCTATAAAAGAATTAAAATAGAAAGTTAAAAAATTATAATTAGATAATCTTTTAGAGTATTCAGAAAAGTTTATTTAACTTTTGAAAAAATCAAAATTGTATTATATATTCATAATATATTTAGATTTTTGTATTATAAATTCTATTTAATGGAAAATAAGGATATATAAATATATGAATAAACATTCTAATAATTTTAAGATGAATTGAATATATTTTTAATAATTATACAAAATAAGATTATGGAAATTGAAGAAAATGAATAAATAAGAGATAAAATGATTCTAGAATTCATCAATTTTGAAGATTCAGAAAAAAAAGTTTTAAGAAATTTAAAAATCAAAAAATAATTTATAAAATAATATATAATAGAAACCTTAATAAAATGATAATTACATTATTTATTTTGTTATAGTGATTTATAAAAACAACATTATATATTTCATGAATATTTTTGATTAACTTTCTAATAAAAATTAAAAAAGTTCTGCAAATAAGTAAACTGATTTTATAATAATATAATTAAAATACTTATATATAAGTAAATATTAAATATAAATATATACACAAAATATCAATCAATTTAACAAGAATAATCCCAACCAAATACTTCATTGATTCTTTCACCATCTTAGGGATAATCATGATCAATTAATTTGGTTGTTTATGTTAATTTATTTGTCTCTTTTTTTTTTAATTTTGGTGCTATATATTCTTATTATTATAATTTTAACCAATCAATTTCAGCAAATATAATATGATTTTTTATTTACTTAATAGATAATCTATCATTTGGATTTTTAGTGATAATTTATTCCAAAAAATTTTTTACAGATCCTGAAAAGTGTTTTGGTATTCTGAGTTCTTCATTTTATATACCATTTAATAGTATTCTGATATTATTACTAAAATGTGGAGGATAACCTGATAACATTTCATATAACAATAGACCAACTGTATATATATCTGTACTTTATGTTACTCCATGACCATTTAATAATTCAGGAGATAAATAAGCTGGTGAACCACAAAATGTATGAGTTACATTAAAACCTTCTTTTGATAATCCAAAATCTATTAATTTTATGTAATTATTTTTTGATATCATTACATTTTCTGGTTTTAAATCTCTATATATTAGATTTAAAGAATGAAGATATTCTATTGCAAGAATAATTTAAGCAATAATAAAAATGGCTTAGGTCTCTTATATTATTGTACCTTTAGTCATATAATTAGTTAGATCTCCATTGTCACAATATTCTAATAACATGTATAGATAGTGTTAAGTCTAATTAATATAAATTTAGATTCACTTAAAAAGAATGATGTAATTTTACAACAAATGGATGATTTAGATATTTCATAATGCTTAATTCACTTTAAATATATTTAACATCTTGTAGAACTTATTATTTTAATTACTATTTAAGAGCATATATTTTATTTTTATAAATTACCTAAATTAGAATTGAATAAATTAATTACTTTAAAGACTTATCCAAAAGATCCTTTTCCTAAATTTGAGAGTACTTGTATATCTTTTATTCTTATAACACTTCTAATAAAATTTTAGATTTGATGTTAACTTAATACAGATTTTTCATATTGATTCATTTAAATGATTTGTTTTTCTATATCAAAAATTTCAATTTCTTAATTTTATTTTTCCATCATAATTTAAAGAATTGTTTTCTTTTGTTTTTCTTATTCATAAGAATTTAATTTTTTATTCATATATCTACAATAACCAATTGAATTTTTTATAGATTCTAACCATTATCGAGCAGCATTTTTGGTTTGAAATGCAATATGTAAATGTTTATTAAAGTACTGTAATTCTAAATAAAATAACTTTTTATCTTAAAACCAATGATCTTTAGATAATTTGATTTCATTTATAAACTCCAAAGGAATTAACTCTCAAAAAATATAAATAATATACTTTGGATTAAAAGGATATTAAATAGAAGTCTTATATCTTGCAATGGCTCCAGAATCTGGATCACAAATTAAATAGTTATCAATTAAAAGTAATTTAAAATATGAAACTATTTTAGCACTTCCTTTAATAATAGGAGGTTTTTGTGGTCTATTAGTAAAGAATGAATTTAATGAATAGAATGTACAAATAGATTATCTAAAAGAATTTATGATATCAAATTATTTATTTCTTAAAATTAATAGTTCCTTTTAAAGTATTTTCTTAGTTCTATCACCTGCAACATCTACAACAGATTTTCCTTAAAATGTTATTGAGATATCTATTTTTGGATGTTTTAATAATAACTCTATTAATTCTTAATCATCTATTTAAGCAGCTATATGTAAAGCTGTTCCTTTTAAAGTAATCTAATTAATATTGATTGAATTAGAACCCATTATCAAGTTTGTCACTAAGCTAGTTAAAATTTAAATAATTTACTTTTAATATTTGATTACCAAATTGCTATTTATAAACAATTCCATCCATCTTTAGAGAGTATAGAAATATCCCCTCCAGAACTTATTAACCATAAATACATCTTCTCATCTCCTAAAAATGTAACTAAATGAAGTGCATTCCATCCTGTCAATTCAATTCCATTTATCAATTATAATCTATCATTTCTATCTTCTAAAAAGAGTTCTAGATCACTTAAAAGAGACAATCTAATTAATTAAAATATAGTCTCTTATTCAGGAATAGAATTAGCTGAAGTATCAAGAAATTGTGAGGGATCAAATTATGATGAAAATGAAGATGCCATATCAGAAAAAGGATCAGTTGTTTTTTATGCAAATATGGCAGATCCTTATTAAATCTAATAATCACATATGTAAAGGTTTAATTCATCAAGAACAATCTTCTTAATCTAAAATGTTACTTTCTCATTTGTTTATATCAAAATCAATTTAAGTTGATTTTAATCAATTCCTGTCAAATTTGATACTTAATCATACAATTCAGATATTTTATATTTCGATGAGATTTTTAATTACTCAACATTCAAAATTCCCCAGTCATTATAATATCTAATTACGATTTTCATAAAATAAAATAATAATATTTCAGTATTCAGTATTATTACCAAATCAAATTGTATAATAATATGAAATTAATTCAGATAACCTCTTATTATAAAATTAATTATACACATTAATTTTCAATACATTAGTTTCTGTTATAATTCAATATCATAAGGTTCAGATGAATCTGACCATCCTTCTGGCTTCATTTTTCTTTCAAAATATTATCTATTTAACTTAAGTGCATCTCTTCCTTCAAAAATGAGTCTGTCAGAAAATGTATTATTAAAAATGAATTATTTCATACCAATTAATTAAAGAGTCTTATCAAACAAATCAAAGTAATTAATCAAACATAAAACAATCAATAAACATGGCATTAAAGCTGTAATACTAACTCCAAATATTGGTAATAATTCAATCTAAATATTTATATTATTAAATTCATACATTTCCCATTGCATATCTAAAAGCAGTCTCTTATTTTAGTTTAATCATATTTAAGAAATTTTAACATAATGGTGCTCCAACTCTACTAAAATTTATTGTTGCAAACATAAGACTTGGTGCATCTGTCTAATGATCTCCATAAAGTCCATAAAATCCTTGAATTCTTATTTTAAATAAACCATAATAAACACAAAAAGCAATATAAAGTAAAGGTATAAATGAATAAAAGGAAATACTTAATAATCCATCTACATATCTAAGAGGTAAACCAAATATTGTAAATTATGTACCCATAAAAATTGTTACTTCAGAAATCAATACTAAAATAGATAATATTCCAAAAGTCAAAGATATTATTATTTTTAATTAAGGTTTTATTACACATAGCCAATGCCATTCTAATATATCCAATTTTTATGCAAAAGTTCCTTCTCTTGGTTTTTTAAAAGAAAATTAAACCTTCTTTTCTTAACTATTTATAGCCTTTATAATATCCTCCATTTCATATGCTGATTTACAATTCTCTTTCCATTATGCTTTAATTCTCTTGTATTCTAATGAGTTCTTTCTTATTTCTTAATATAAATTCATCATTTCTTCAACAGATTCTGGTCCCTTATTTTTAAAAAAAGCCCCTGTTATAGTCATTAGGATTTATGATTTTCTCTTTTCTTCTTCCTTTTTTAAAATCTTATGCATATTTCTTGGTATCATATTTAAGCATTTATTAAGGTAATACATCATATCATCATTATCAAATCGTTGATCTTTTATTTAAAATACTTTCATTGATGTTTCCAACAATTTATGATGAGCATCATCCTTTTCTCCATTTATGCTTGCTGTTCTAAAATAAAGATATTTCATCTATACATCCAATTAGGATGTTCTCATTTATGCCTTTGGAATTATAACTAATCCATAACCCAATAAAACTATAATTAGAGCAACTCCAAATGAATTTGCCATACTCTTCAAAAATGTACCTAAACCACATTGTTAAGCTTATCCAGTATAGAAAATTGCTAGAACAAAAACTATGCCAACAACAGAAATTATAATATAGAATCTCACATTGTTTTTAAGTGCTTTTTTTAATTTATCTCTCTTATCTAACTCAACTGATTCTTCATATTCTTACATAATCGGAATTACAGTCCAACACAATATGAAATTTGTCCAATAAAGTATTTAATAAGTCTATCATAGTATTATAGTCATTACTTCAGCTAAACTCAGGTAATCATTCGAAATAGATCCAACGCTTTAATCTCTATATGTAATATATATGTCAAAAGGTAAAAATAGTAGCAGCAAAAAATTAATTAACCATGATACTAGTGCCATGCCTTTTACATAAATACTAACATCCTTGCTACAATATTTTTGAATCAAATAGCCAATTAAGCAAGTTACTATCACGATTTCAAATATAAGTATTAAATACATTAATTTATATGCACAATGATTTAAATTTATGGTCATTCTATGTCTAAGTCTCATAAAAAGAAAGTCATTTGATATAATTATTGATAAATTTTGTTAAAGATACATTTGATATGGTTTAAAATTAGAAAACTATCATAATTTTGGAGTTATAGTGATTAATTATGTAAAAATCAAAATAAGTAATCCAAATATGCTTGCACTAAAAAATTATAAATATAGGAATTTATAAATAATAGTAAATTATCAACATTCATAATTTTCAAGAAATCTAATTAGTATTCCATATGCACACTTAATAATTTCATACTAAAGACATTTAATAATAATATTAATTTACATCATTTTGTTATGTATTGCCTCAAAACCTAAGATTTATACTGAATTTTACTATTTATTCATTGATTTCAATCAAAATTTTAGTACCTATTAATTATCACTTTTTATTGATTTGATTATTCTAAAGAAAATAATGATTTAATAAACTTTAGAGAAAGTATTATATTTTTGAATCAATAATGAGGGAGGCATGTTCATATTACAATCAATAAAATAATAACAATATTCATTTTATGAAAAATAAAAATATTTACATTTCTTTAAATTTTAATATAAATATAATTCGATAAAATTTACAAGAAATACTTTAAAAAATAATAAATAATTAATCTCTTAAGGAATTTATTTATTTTTTAATAATAATAATTATGATGAAGTCTAGGATATCAATATTTATATTTACTATAAGATAATTACAAAATAAATTAATGCACATTCTCTGCTAAATCGAGAAATTAATCAAAATATTAGAATAAATCAAGGACTAATTAAAGTTTAATATCATTTATGACCTAAAATGAAACAAAAAAGTTAAAGAAAATAGCTATTTGTTTTTAAAATTGATATATCTCTTCTAATTAAGGTTTGCTCATCAAAGTAGATAAAGTCCTTATAATCTTTTTCTAATAAGCAAGTATTACTTATAGATGAATAATATAAATACTCAATATTTTCTAAAGAGTATCAAGATTCTATCCCAGACTAATTGTAAAACAGATTAAAATTTTATTTTTGTATTATATAATGAAATTTAAGAGACATTTAAAAAGAAATTGAATAAAGAATTCTTGTTATTATATGTATAAATTGTTATGTTATTTTAGATAAATTGCAAAAATAGTAGTATCAATTTAATAGAGGTTGAGTACTTTTAATAGAAACATAATTTTGATTAATAAAAATGAATTGAAGTTTTAGATACATTAAATGACTAAGTAAAATTTAATACTAATGATATACATTTTATGAAATTCAATATATAAAAAATAGAGTGTTGGAGTAGATGAAATACAAGTAGCCATTATATAGTTGCAATAAAACAGATGGAATTACAAGAGGAATTTAACCTTATTTTGATACATTATGAATGTGTTATTAATAAATGTTCAATTATAGTTAATATGAGGAAGAAATTAATCATCCTCAATATCGTACCAGAGTGAGATATTAGTAAGTAATAATGCTAATAAAAGGGACAATGGAATCTAACGAAATCTGAATGGATAACTTGACGTGACTTGTTTCTTAATGGCTGTAGAAATATAGCGTCTGGTTGCTGAAAACACTGAACTAAAAATTACTATAAAGTAGTAGTCTGATAGTGGGTTAGATAGAATTAATTATGAGATGTAAATAAGAGATTTAATGGAAAAGCTACAATAATTGCAGCAGTATATAATATAATTAAGAATAGGGACAATTATTTAATAGGTAGTGATAATGAGAGGTTGAGAAAACTTATAAAAGACCTTGAAGTTTCATTATAACGATATGAAACTTAATTACGTGACTATGATCCAAATTGGAAAAAAGAATTAGAATAATAGAAAAAACAGCTAGTATAATTGTAAAAAAAGATAGGTGATGATGATGTTGGTAAGAGATAATATTATTAATAAAAGATGATTTAAGGTCTCAATTAAACAAATTAAAAAAGAAGTTAGGGGATTATGAAAAACAGTTTAATGGGAAGAGTCCAGAAGAATTATAAAGAATGTTAGATGATTTATAAAGAAAGGCTAGATAATTTGATGATTTATAAAATAAAATTGGAGGTATGGATCCTGACACCTTAGCTAAAAAATTGAAAGAATTAGAGAAATTATAAAAGTCATTTGGTGGAAGTCCAGAAGATTTATTAAAAGTAAAATACATACAAATTATTTTAGGAGTTAGAAAGATTAAAAAAAAAGGCTAAAGAAGCAGATGATCTTAAAAAAGAATTAGATAGATAATAAAGAGAGAATGATAAATAGAAAAATGATTTAGATATTCTTGATGATTTAAAAGTAAAATAAAATTTTATTTTTAGAAAAACGCATAAAATTTGTAAATGGAAAATGGATACTTAAATTAATAATTAAATGATTTGAAAAATAAATTAAGAGATGCAGATCAATTAAGAATAGAAATTGAATAATACAAAGAATTATTAAAGAAAAAAGATTAAGAAATAGCATATTTAAAAAATTAATTATAAGATTAATAAAGATAATTATAAGATTCATAAAGATAATTATAAGATACTCAAAGGCAATTATAAGATTAATAAAGATAATTGGGTGATTTGTAATATAAATTTAGATAAGCAGAATAAGATAAATAAAAATTATAATCAGAGTTAAATAATTGTTTAGATGAATTAGATTCAGCAGATGGATAAAAAGAAGTAGCAACTTAATTAAAAGATGAAAATGATAAATTAAATTAAGAAGTAGATTAATTAAATGATGATAAAAATAGATTATCAAATGAAAATGATGAACTTAGAAATAGATTAAATGATTTAATGAGATAATTATAAGATAAAGATAATAAATTAAAGGATTTATAATAAGATATAAATAAAAAGAATTCAGAATTAAAAGATTTAGGTAATAAATTAAAGGAAGCTAATGATAAAATTGAATGGATTAAAAATGAATATGGATTGACAGATGATGATTTAGATCCAAAAAAAAGAAAATTTAATGGTAAAAATATTAAGGAAAGTATATTATTCTCTAATATATAACCATCTAATTTATTATTGAATCTTTTATTACAATCAGCTGAAATTGAAAGATTA